ACGACGAAATGCCACTAGAGTATGACAAAAGATTCTTACAGTTGCATATTTTCCCCTCTCCGTAAATTTTTAAAGACATACGTCACTAAAATCCAATTCTAGGAAAAGCGGAAATGACACCTCACGGTAAATAGTTATTTGCTTTGTTGAACCGCTGACCGAGTAAGCACGCGTGAGTTAAACAAGAATATCATTACATACAGGGGACTTTGCTTTAATTTTCGTTCGTATGCAAAATAGGCAACTACCATTTTTCTCGGAGACACTTCACACTCATTCTAAGTATTAATTATTCAACTGATTTCCCAGAAAGACCGCGAGATACAGCAAGTATCCGGTGAAATACGATATTCATGGTGTATTGCTACAGAAGATGTTCGACAAATATTGAGCTAAGGTGTATTGAGGTCACACTCTTGGTCAGCTCATCTTTTATCAAAAACAAATTTAAATGTACGTGAACAAAGGAAGCAATAACGAAAAAAGGGAAGTCGTCAGGATACAGTTCTACTGACTGTAGGAAATAATTCAGTGCTGTTTGTCCAACAAAGCAATATGGGCACAAACAGAGGAAACAGAGTTCGTAAGCGAAAGCTACTTACTTTTATGTCGGTTGGTTTGCTATTAAATTAACATGTGTCTGAGAAATCAACATCTGTGAGGATTTAGAAAATAAAACCAGTTTCTCTTTGCTATGTGTGAACTCATAAGTTCCTTAAATAAAAAGGAGATGGATATGTAATCTTTGAAACGATTATGTTGTCTTATTCACAAGTCAAAGAACGAACTGTTTCAACTGGACTAGTTTATATGACTCCAAATTCCTGTATCAAAGTTGACGGGGCTCATATGCTCGTTGAATCCTGGGGGAATCCCCGGTCGCCTGTCCTTAATGACATCCGTGATATTTATGGTAAGCTTAACCCTACTCCCGCAGTTTAAAAAACGCACAAATTTGTCCACGTTCAGTTTTTACATCCAACAAATATTTACAGTGAATATTTATTCTCAGGAAAAAAAATTTACCATTGAAACCCAGGACTTTCCTAAAAAAAGTAAATTTAAAACACAAAATAAGCATTTTGATTGGTATAGGTTAATCAAGATTAATTGATAGCATATTAATTATTTCTAAAATCTGAAAGAAAAAGAATAAATAATGAATTTTTATGAATTTTTATATGCACCCATGTCATTCCAAAAAAATTAGCAAAAATTTGTCCACATTCAGTTTTTAATTCCACACAATATGTCATTTTAAAGGGTATAAAAATAAAAAAAAAATCCCCAGCAAAATTTAAAACCGTCATAGAAAACTTGAGGTCAAACAGGTATAGGTTACTTAAGATTAATTGATAGCAGAAGTTAATTATTTATACACGCATTTTTATTGGTTCTTTCATATGATCTATAGATCGTTTCCACCTACGAGACAAATATCCTAGCAACCGTCGGGAGAAACTGCAAGAATTCTCTGTATGTATGTTGTTTTGCAAATAATCTTAACTTGTTTGTGTGTCTTTTTAATTAAACTGCGTGATATGTCTGTAATGACCAGAGTGCCAAATTTATTCTTTTATTCGCAGTTCATGACCCGATATTTCAACGAAATTATCGAGAAGGGCCTTCCGATCACCTTTGTTTACTTTGTAAGTCACTTAAGCGCGCAAGCGTTACGACCGATCAAGTTTACGCAACGTTTTAAGGGCAACTTGGCATCTATTCTCCATTTAGTTGTTATGAAAACCTATGATCCTCAACGTAGAAGATAAACAAACGAAGTTTGAACGGTCAAGAGAAGATCTTGGTCAATTTTCCTAATTATGCAAATTTCTTTGATACGAGCGCAATTGAGCAATTTCAATGACCTGCGTTGTTTTGAAGATATTCAAAACAAGATACAAGATAGAATTCCGTGAGGTATATTATTCCAGTCGCTGCGCGCAGACAATGTCTGCACAATTTACGCTTTCGATCGCTGTCAACAAGGGTAGTCTAGCTAAAAAATTATTTTTGGCTTGTTGCGACGCAAAAAGAGAGAAGTGGAGAACAACTAAACCATTTTTGAAACATGCGTCCTAAACCTTTTAATGGGCAAAAAATAAAGAAAACTTTTTTCCGACGGGAAGTCGGAGGACCGCTCTTAGAGAGAGCAGCATTTAATTATTCGTGTCCTTGTTACCCAACCAAAACGCCTGATTCTTGTCAGGTGGATGAGTCTAGAAACTCTATGAAAACCACACGGGCTCGGAAACGATTTCAAACCCGTGTGTAAAATATTTCTTAATCTGCATATTCATAACGTAAGACCAACCCATGAATCTCTCTGCATCGTCGAGAGCTCGTCGAAAGATAGAGAGCTTATAAAGAATATAAAGGTAGCCCTAAAAGAAGCTGGACTATCAAAATATCAGAATCAATAATGAAAAGTGCTATATAGAGCAATATCAATGCAACCCTTGTCCGAAACATTGGGAGGATTAAAATCCAACTTCTCATTCTTTTCTCCAATGAAACGACGTTTTCCACACACAATCTGGTTGAGTATCTTTCCTTTAACTGTTTCGCAACTTCTTGGATAAACTCCATTTGCGCTCATGGAACTTTCAAGGGCTGAACTTTATGCAGTTCATAACGTTGAAAGAGAACGCCTGGTTCCAACCTTGCTACTTTGGGAAATCGGGCTCTTCGCCAATCTTCAAAAATCCCTGCTGCCCATTTGTTTTTATATTGGGTAGACTTCGGAATAGCGCTGGCCACACAAGTTTCCCCTCCTTCACTAGTTTTTGGCGCTCTAAATCTGTATTCTGCAATCTGCGCTGCGATGCAACGAGCTTGTTCTGAAGTCACAAACAGCTGGGTAACAATGTAGCATTTGATGCAAATCGAATGATATCACAGCCCAGCATGCAACAAGCAGGTAACAGGTTCACATCCCACGTCTCAGATAAAATATTTGAATTCAGAAAATTATGGCAATGATAATTTCTACAATAAAACTAAAGAAAACATTTGAAACCTGTGGAAACCCTCGCATTCGTTTTTCAAATAGTACCCATACCCATTGAAGATCTGGATTAAAATTTCAATGTTTTTGTTTATACCGTCTCACGAACATTTTAGGCATGGTTTGTTTGTCAAGAATACAAGACTTTAACCATTCTTTATGTGGCCGAACCGAGAAGCCTTTTGGCGCACCAGTATGCCTCAGTATTTCCAGCACTCTTTGTAAAAAAAGTTACCGTCATCATTGATTACTTGAAATTTTTACCGACTGTGCACAGACATAATCGTCCTACAAACTTCACAACATCGTGCAGTGTTTTCTTAGATAAAGGTTTGGATGGGCAGACCTCCACTAGATTAAAATCTAAATACAATGAGTCTGTACAATGATAAACCACAGAAGGCGTTAACAAAATGTGTTCTTACCACCTTTTGACGTCACCTGTGATCTATAACTGAACATACGCACGGGAAACATGAAATCGATTGGCTAATGTGATTGCCTCGCTCCCAATAAGCTTCGTAGGTCGGTTTGGCGCCAAACGAGTACATCTGGAAGGCACCGGTTCAATCAGTCAAAGCCTTTTGTTTGAGAGATGTTTCAAAAATGTGAAACACATTAGCACATCATTAAAAACGAGTTTATTCCCTACATTTCCCATACATGTTACTATACTTGTTACAAATACTGTAATACTTTTCTAATTGTAATATAATAGAGAATCCGTTAAATTCCCCACACATTACTTTCAATTTCAAAATAGATTTTATTTCCAAAGCGAACGACAATGTCGTCAGGAGCTCTATACTCTCATTAAGCACGCTAAAATAGGCGATCCAAATTCTTGTTAGAATGGTTCAAATAATTTGGTTGGTTGAATGAAACTGGAGCTGTCAAAAAATTCATACCGTCAAAGTTCACAAACTGGAATAGTTTACAAACTGAAATACTGTTCGGCAGCTCGAAATTTAACACTTTTGCATAAAGTTTTCTTAGTTTCTTGTACAGAATCTGAAAGCGAAATGTTCCGTGAAATTCGGCTGAATAGTGGCTCATAAAAACAAGCCAAATTTTTTTCACGACAATTGAAAAAATAAACTGCTCAAGGCTTGTGTTTTATGAATAAAAGACAGCCGAATTCACTGGAACATGAAGCTTGCTCGGGATGACAGTGCTGTAAAACACGGCCGCTGTGACTGTTGATGTGGCCTTCCACTTAACCTATCGGAAAGGATATCAGAGCAAGCTCTTATTTGTTCATTCGAGGGGCTGCCGATGTAATTTCAGAGGTTTGCTTCACAGCGATGACCGGAAATCGCCATGATGAGCTAGTCGTGTTGGAACTCAGCATGATCGTAGTCGATTTGACACCGTCATAATTAGTATGAATTTGAACAGTTATGCCAGTTTGGCTATATTTTTCATAATTCCTGATTTGTTCTTTTGTTTTTGACCACAAAACTATACTTACTATACAAGAGTTAGCTGTGTTTGATTTTTATCACCGTCCGTAAGCTTGCAATCTAACTGAGCGTGAAAACCTTCAAAACCTGGACTGTCCATTTCGTTTTCTCTTTGAAGATTTTCGTCTCTCCTCGCGTTACAATGACGTAAATTACGGCGCTTGGCATGTTTAAAAAACCTTTGTTTGAATTGGTTCTTCTGTTGCTACTTGCCGGCTCCTTGTTCCGAAATTTCACTTTTAACAAACGAAAAGAAGCTAAAGAGCAGTCCGGGAAATGGTCGGACATATTTCAATTTGGCAGATGGCGCGACAGCTTTAGCTCAGCTCTATCCTTTGTACTCTGATAGAACACGCTGTTTCAACTGATGACAGCGCGCGCTACTTCCAAAGCTAATTATAAATTCTTAATATCTTCTTCAGAATGGAATGTTTTTTTTGCTCTTAACTGAGCTTTCGGCTTTATGATCACTTAACATTATATTCAAGCTGCACATTCATGATCAATATTTCTTTCCGTTTTTAATATTATTTTCTGAAACAGTTGTGTAACAAAAATTTTCCTCACTGAACATTGGCGTTATACGTGGTTCAAACTTTTAAAATCAGATAAGGGGGAAAATTAATTCCGATACAGAAAACGAAACTCTGAGTAATGAATATATACATATATATATATATATATATATGTGGTACAGTTTTTGCGTACAATAGGACAAACGTAAATTTCATATGATTGTGCATATGATTGTTGAAAATTAAAAGAATGCAAACACTGCCTGGAACGGACGGATTTCTCGGATAATTGTCTCGCTCATCAGTACCATCTTATCCACATAACTATGCGCCTTTCCTCTATAAAAGGGAGCCAGTGTGTTTTAATATTTATAAGTAACGATGCCTGCTGATGAAGTCGTTGTTGCTGTTTAAATCCGCGGCCATCCCTCACCGTCAACAAGGCAAGACTTATTTTCGTAATGGTATATTAGGTGGCCCCACAGCTCACATACATTGAGCAAATTCTTGTTGCCTGCAAATGAGACGAAACAGAAAATTCCTAAACTCACACGAATGCTTTACAACTACTCAATCTGTGGCAATACCTAGGAAAGGTCAGTGTCAAAGCAGGGAAATGGCATCTGTCGGTAAAAAAGCAATGTAATTAATATTTGCTTTGTTTTCCTGATGAAAAGGTAAGGCAGAATGACTTTTTCTTAACAGACACTGTGGATTTAAGTAGATATGGCGACCTTAAAATCAATCATAAAAAAAATTCTGAAAAAACCAAAGCATTAGTCAAACAATACATTCCTTTGAATCTCACACACCCAGCGGGTGGGGGAACATGGCAGACTTTATGCACGCAGAGAAGCTTTCATTGCAGAAAGGTATGAAGAGTGGTAAAAAGAATTGGCACAGCGTAAAAATGAAGAGGTTTGGATGCTGATATTTAGGGAAAGGTAGTGATTGTTTGCGCTTTACCTTAAGTAACTGGTCAGTTGATACACAGTAGGATATCGACCATTTCTTATCCATCTTACCGATAATACAGAGTCCCTGTTTTGCTCTCGTTAGAGCAACATTTATCTGGTGTTCATCTGTCACAAATCCTAGGTTTTCTCTCAACCATCGGCGGTCAGGTTCGCAATCTATTTGGGCCTCTGGCAACGACCGGACCAAGGAGATGATCACAAAATCACTTTCACTTCCTAAAACAAAGTTTTGGTGTCAAAGGGTCTCAGTATTTAGTTCTACAGCGTTAAGTATCCATGTGAGGTAAATGGATGTATAATTGCAGATTTATTGGATAACCAAACGTTTCGTGATCATAATCATAAGTCTTTTATGTAGCTACACACTCGAAAAAAACAACAAAAACAAATAAACGCAGACCAAAAACACACAAAACTGAGCAGCGTACGAAAAGCGCGTAAGAAAAACAGAGATCATGTATAAGAACCTAGGAATGGCTTCAATGAAATCACTGAGATGCAGAATTAGATTTAAAGGTACGAGATGCTGGATATGTCCGACAAGGACACCAATGATTCTCTCTATTTCGTTTTTTTTCCCAATTGGTAGGTTGTTATGAGCTCCTCTTGATTAAAACAGCAAAACAATCGACTGAAGGGCAGTATGACACAAGAATGCTCCTAAATAAGAAAATGATTCTATTGACAAAATGCTACTTCCTACCTTGACTTTTGATAATGGAAATAACAGGAACATCAGATAGCTCCATATCTGCGAGCCCTTCGCGAATGACATGACACTGAGCACGGTAGGGGGACAGTACGACAATTTGATCCCTTCCCACACCACAGGAATGGACTAGTGTTCTTACCACTTCCACCTGGAGAAAAAAAAATCCTATTAGAATTCATTATCATCCGTGACAAAAAATTGGGTTCACTGAGCTGAACTGGACGTTTGCAATAGTTCCCTGCTTTGCAAAAAAAGATCTTACAAGGCGTGTGGAGATTGATAACGAATGCGATGTTTTTAAGAAGGCAACCGTGTCCTTATCTCGCATATACTTCTTTCAATCTCCTATCGAACGTACAAAGTTAAGAATATCCACAAAACTTTCCGCGCACTCAACACGTATATTCCTGCGCTCTGAAATAGCAGATCACTGAAAAACAAAAGAGCAAGGACAACAAAAAATTGATTAATAAAAAGTTCAGACTTACTACTTTGTCTTTTTCTCGAAGGTTACTCTTTGATCGCTGATTGCCTTGTTCTGTTGTCACTGCTAGTTCCCTCTCCTCACCAGCCACGTGACAAAACACGAGAGGTACGTAATCTTTATCTTTATGGCAAGGCCAGAAATGAAGAAATTTTTTGGTTCTCTTTACTCTTATGTCACGATCATCAACCGAAGAGGAAGTTTTAAGTTTGTCCTCATAAAACATTAAAGACGGAAATTCACAAATATCTCTATGCTAAAAGGAAAACAAATACATAGTTAGTGCTTAGTTAAGTTAGTTGGTGATCAAACACACGGTGTTAATGATAGTTAAGTTTAGTTAGTGTATATTTATGTGTCAAGATGTTTTCTTCTAGACGAGGTTTCACATATATACACAATCAAAAGCAAAAGAAAAGTAAACATAAGCAAGCAAATATATTGAAAGCAGCAGCCGGGTAAAAATATAACACATCAAAACAAGCACGTATGCATGGAATAAAAAGCGGTACCGTACGGTTAGGGTGGAAGTATTTGTTGGTTTGTTTGTTTTTTTAGTAAGATTTGGTCAGATATTCTGCGTTTCTGTGCTACCTATTCACTATTGCGTAACTTTTGATGTTCTCAGTCCTTGAGGTGAACGATATCCATTATGTCAGTAGAAAATGAATGGACAACTGTAGTTTCATTACAAATCGAAGCCTGTAATTCAATTAAAACATACATCTACCAATTTACCATTCTGTATTGCTCTTCAAGCAATAATGCATGCTCTGAGAATCGCTCGAACATTGATGTTCTCAGGCCAAGCGACCTTGCCACTCTGTTTTTTACAATCGGTTGAAGTTGTTTGTGATCCCCAATTAGTACCACCTGTTTCGCTTTTGATGAGACAATTGGAATAAGAGTCTCTGGCTCCAGACACATGCCACACTCGTCGACTATGCATTGAAACACATTGTTACATGTTTCTTTTATCCTCTTGCTTCCAGCAGCGGAACACGTGCAAAGAACAATCTGAACATATTCTCCTTTACGCGAGCTTCTAATCGCCCACTCCTCGGCGGTCTTTATCAACTGAAAATGAACAAAAACATTAAAATTTGTTTTAAACTTGCTTCATCGATGAGCAACACAATAAGTAAATAATGCCACGCTGGAATAACATGCCACAGTTAATACAACTGAAAAATGAGCAAATATCATGGAATCAGTGGTAAAATTGTCCGTAGGTCGTCCACAATTGTGATTGTTTTTTGGTTTTGTTTTTTTCATTTTAAGGATAAAAATATAACGAAAAAGGATTGAAAGTGTTTATAAATAGTCAGGTCAAGTCAAAATTAGATTTCTCATCCCCACCAAACTACTGTACTTGCACCAAAATAAAAATAAACGAACTAAAGGTCATAAAAGCAACAAATAGGAAAAGCCGTTAAGTTGGAAGTTTGTCAGTATCCTGCTATTTACAAAATTGTTTATAATTTGAACAACATTTTAAACATTAATACAGGATCATTTTGAATGCGTCGAAAGGGTCATAGAGTATCGTTTCTCTATTTTGATAATCTGAACCTTGAGATACACTTGGACCATTTCATCCTTTACTCTATTCTTTCTCCTCTTCTCTTCAGCGAAAATGTTTTCATAGTGCTTCAGCTGCCCTGCATACGGTGAGGTTTCCTGGTCTCTGATCACGTGATGCAATGCAACAGTTCTCAAGATTTCAGGTACTCTCAACTCCTCTTGGCTGGCAAATGGCCGGGGCGGTTTAACCTGGTTTGGTATCGGGAATTCTTCTTGCTCAACCATATTTCCGTATGCTCGAATAATCTTAATGCCTTGAATTCTCAACAAATACTCTACAGATAGGGATTACAAAAACACCAACAAAAATCAAACAGACAAAAAAAATTAAATGAGTAATACGCCCAACGCAAGGAAATAAAAAACATAAAAAATAATCAAAGGATTTAATAAAGTTAAAAGTTAAATCCTGAGCCAAACGGTTAACGTCCATTCAGTAGTTAGGAAATTTTCTGTTGGGTTAGAAAACTTTATTGTGAGCTTGCTGCATGCAAAGCTCCGAAACAATGACCACACACTTTTCATATAGAGTAAATTATCCCTCACCTGCAACGACATCCACAGATTTGTTGGAGGGCCCACAGTAAAGGACCTGAGCAGGAGCTTTGTCGGGAATATCATCTGTTGGGGTCGTTCTATTTAATGGGGTGCTTTTTCTGTTAATCATGGCAAACCAATAAGCGATGTGAACTCCAGTGATAGTTTTGCCAGTTCCTGAAGATTCAGAACATTGACACGTTCAAGAATTTTTTATGATTTGGACGTTTTCAAATAACAAACAATAAACACACCATAAGATCTTTGGTGACGACAAAAACAGCTGCTTAATAAAATTAATAAACACCTCATGCCCACAGGCTAGTGAAAAGCTAATTACGACAATTTAATTGAAAGCATTACGGTCTTCCAATTGACTTTTTTTGTCGATCCACACTTACACCATTTTTTTTTATATAAAGACTTACCAGGAGGGCCTTGAATGAGAGTGAAGGGGTTTCTTAAGGCTTTCTTCACAGCATGCACCTGGAGATCGTTCAGCCTTTTTAAGCTGCACCCTTCAACATGGTCAGCAATCGAAAGGTTTTCATCCGGTAAGCGAATATGGAGAACTATGGATTTAAGAAAAGAAATAATCATCAAAAGATTAAAAAAAACTGTCCACTAAATTTGACGTTACTTATTTTACTCCATCGCAAGCAAAGAGTATGGATTATTGGTGTCAGCGCTACTTATTTCATTAACGCTAACACAGTATCATCCTTCATGAACTGATGCAATGACCATAGTAATTAATACTTACCATCTAATCTAGTTGCCCTTCCCAAACAAATGTCATGAGCAAGTGGAGTGGCTTCTGGAAGATCTTTCACAGTATTGATCATTCGTCTGGAAATTAAAGGATAAAGAATTGGAAAAGAAATATAAGCAAACAAAGCCAACTGACATATGTGTGGTAGGCCTTTCAAACAAATCATTTACTAATTGCCAAACTATTAAGACACACAATACCTGCAAGGGATAGTTTGTTTTATAACTTCCACGGTGCAAATTCTAGTCTCGCCTTTCATGAGTCCTTCAGGAGTTTTCATTGACGATTGAAACAGCTGGAGGGTAAATTTGAGAGAACTTTCTGCTTTAGTGAAGACGCAGTGACAGACAAAATACCGTTCCACTGATTTCCTCTCCCGGGTTAAACTTTTTCTGTTATCAGCATTTTTTGCCTCGTGAGCGCTGTTGTACAAAGCGGAATACCCAGAAGATGCTGCATAGTGTTCGTCTGTCAGATGTGGAAGCATCTCAGAAAAGCTGCTGGATAAGGAAGCTTGATAAGGAACCCTAACACATGCGTAGTCCCCAGAAAAAATTTCTATCTTCCTGGTCTCAGCGAATGTTTTGTACAGCTTAAAAGATCCAACTAGTTTGCCGCTCTCATCCATCCTCCATGTTACTTTGATGTTTTGCAGAACCAAACTGTCATCATTTGATACAGCGTTCGTTGCAGCTTCCATTATCAGCAAAGGTTTCCATAGGATCATATACCTCTCTACACTTCGATAACGCGCCAGCGATGCCTTCTCTGATGCAACTTCTGCAAAACACTTATCGGTATGCTTTCTGTGCTCGAGGCAGAGTTGGACACTAGGGGCTAATTCAAGGACCTGAATGTCAGGTAACATGAGAGGTCCCATTTCGTTGGCTGAGAGTTGTACTTCAACTACGTCAGAGACTTTTAACATCAGCTTTGTGTGAATAAAGTGTAACACCATATCTTCTTCGCCACTAAAAGCTTTTGGATCATCGATGTCTTCACTGTTACTCCCAGAGTCGCTTTCGTGATCATCACCGTCATCATCATTTTCGAAAAAATAGTCATCGTCGTCATCATCACCATCACATTCGTTTCCTTCTGCCACTATTGGCCTCTCTTCACTATCCTCTCCAATTTCGATACAGTTGTGAACCTCCTCTAATAAGCTACTCAACCTCATACAGTTATCTTCTTTGACAGCTTCCAACACTTTAAACCAAAGAAATCCAGGGATGTTGTGGGCAGCGTTTGAGAGGTCTAGCTCTTTAGGCAAAAAAGCCTCAATATTCATTTTGTCTTGACGGAGATGTTCTTGTTGATCCGTCATTCGACTTGCCCGCTTCATATTTGCAGTTGATGCATCGTAAAGTCTTAACTTCCAGCTCAGTTCAATACATGAAGACGAATCACTCACCATTGGTTGCTCAATCGGTCCCAAGTCACTAACCCTAACCTTGTTCTCATTGGAAGAGTAATATTCGTCTGCTTCAGATAGAAGCTTTAGCTGAATGAAATCCCACCCGATGTCTTTAACGACTGCGGTGGTTCTGTAAGGTGCACTTTTAAGATCAAAAGCAAAGCGAACTCGACCAAAATCTTTCTGAAACTCGCTCGACTGTTCTGACAAAAACGAACATCGGCGAATTAGCTCAGAAAGATCTTCTGACTCTAGCTCTTTCCCTTCTTCCTCAAGCAACAAACGATGAACTTCAATGTCGAGGTAACGCCGGATTGGAGAGGTGAAACGAGTGTATTCCATCACGTTCAAAGACCAGTGGCGTCTCTGATTTAAAGGGACATCAGCTGCTTTGACATCTTCGGCCACCCTTGCAACAGCATTCAAAGAGGAGCGCGCCACTGAGAGTTGTGGATAGAGGTTATCATTGCAGATTAACTGCTTTAACTTCCTATAGTCCCTTTTGCAATAGGCCCTTCTGATGTACTTCCATGTAGAGATCGGCACAAGGAAATTTTCTACACAATCAACATCTTGGACCAAATGTTTCCTCAGTGAGAGAGAGAGCTTAGCAAAATTTCCAAACCTTTCCCGCCACGCGTTAAATTTGCGCGTCTTTGGTGGAGGTTGAACTCGCAATGGGAGCAGCTTCTCTTTCTTTCCAATGAGATATTTGGCAACCGACGCGTTGGCCAGGATCATCATTTCTTCAACCAGCTCATGAGCCTCAAGGTCTTCTTTTCTGTCTGCGTAGTCAAAATGATAAAAAGAACCGTCAGCAAGACGTACTTTCCTCCTCTTCTGGGCCACATCACTCAAGGTTTTAATACTTTCTCTGATCTCTGATGTTACTTCAGGCCTAGCTTCGATAGGTTCTTCCATAATGATTCTTTGAGCCTCAGCATATGACAGACGGCACTGTGATCGTACGATTGTGCGGCAAAAATTAAGCTGCTCTTCTCTCTGGACAAGACCATCTCTATCCAAATCTATGTAGATGGAAACAGCAAGCCTTTCTTTGTTTGGAAGCAAACTGCATATATCGTAGCTTAATCCTTCCGGAAGCATCAATGCCTCGCCATTAGGATGCCCTTTGTAGTGAGAGGTGCCTCTTTTCTCTGCCTCGACATCTACCTTACTTCCGCGCTTTACGAAGTAAGACACATCAGCAATGTGAATTCCCACTTTTGTACCATTTTCCAAAGTTTCTACGGTCATGGCATCATCTAAAGCTCTACTTCCAGGAGGATCGATAGTAAATGCATTTAGAACGGGCTGGCGGCTTTTCCTTTCATAATCAGGGATTCTCGTCCATTTTGAGACTTGTCGTTTCGTCTCAGAAACAACATGATCAGGAAAATTTTCTTTGACCATAAACTCAAAATTGAGAATTTTGAGTGAATAATCAAGATTGTGGCCTCGGGGAATCTTTTTAGTCGCTATCCCAAGTGGGTGAGGAAATGTGCGTTTCCATTGCAAATACTGCACAACAAAGAGATATTTACCACTCAGCGCCTCTTTGAGTGGTAATCTTTCTACACACACTGGTCTCTCCCCAGATTCTGGTGGAATTTTTTTGTAAATCGGAACTCCGTTAAAGGATTCATCCGTCAGGATTGCCATGGGCGTCATCGATCCATTGATCGGGCACATCAACTTGGGATTTCCCCTGGCAATTGTACATACAAACTGGCGTTCACGGAAATTGATCGCATGGTTCTTGGTACAAATAATTTTTCCTTTCAGTCCTTCCCGATAATCGTGAGGAGCAGGCTCTTCAATGAAAGGCGGGTTAGTCAGTTCAATTACGACGGTGTCTCTATCAAAACTTTGTCTAGTATTTCCCTCGATCAAAACATCTTCAGTTTCGTTATCTTGAATCTCTCCATAAGTTATTCTTCTTCGGTCTTTTGTAATGCGCAGTTTGCATTGCTGGTATAGATGTGGTTGCTCTCGTAGTAAACGATCAACATACTCCGGCTGAAAGCTTTCTTGTTCTTTCACTTTAGGCGGTCGGATTAATCGCTCTGTACGCTCACTATACCTGAATGTCATGTTCTCAAGGAAGACCTTTGTTATACCACCTTTGTTTCTTATGTTGTAATCTTCGTGAATAACCCTGTCTCCTGCAGTATTAGAATCAAAACGTTCGACACAGCACTGGGCATTTCTTTCAGCATCATCTACCTTCAAATCATTTTCTTTGCTCTTTGCCTTGTCTTGAGAATTCTTTTTGAGTGCTTTCTCTTCACATTTAGCTTTCAAGGCGAGAATTATCTCATCCATGTCCTTTGGAGGAACAGTTTCATCCACATTCCCATATTCAGCAAAGTCATCAGCATTACCAAGATCGTCACTTTCGGTTAATTCGTCTCCTGCATCGTCTGATTCGGATGTCCATTCAGGTTCGCTATCCTCTAAGTTGGGGTGATCATTTACTGTGCTCTTCCTCCCGCCAGTTTCTGGACGCTTACCCTCGACTGAGAAACTAATTTCGTTTCCTCTGTTTTTATCCAGTTGACTCTGAGATGGTGCTAAGGACGATTTTGTGAAGAATGTTTTTCTGATATCCTGAGGTTTACGGTTGGTTTTCTCATCCCCGGATGGAGCCGAATTTCGAATGTCTGTAGATCCACTTGGCACAAACACCGCGGCATTAATGTTAAGACCACTCTGTGAGATGGCTTCTTCGAGATCGTTGTGTTCTACACCAAAAAGTTTTCCCATGTCACTGCATCTTTCTATAAACTCCTCCCATACAGCTTGGCAGTCACCAATGGTTCTCAGTGAAAATGGATCCCCAACGACGACGATGAGGGATTTGGCACGTGTAAGAGCTGTGTTAAGAAGCTTTGGATCCGACAGGAAATACATGTAAGGTCTTCCATCTCCATTAGCTTCGCAATCATGAAACTCTTTGTAAGTGTGAAACGTTCGAACTGTGCTGACAAACAGTGCACGGAATTGTTTTCCTATCAAAAAAAATTATGGAAAAAGTCATGGGCGAGACAAAGTGCAAAAATATTAAACTGTCAATATCCGGATAGGCGAGAGTACTATATATTACACATTTTGCTTCAAAGAAAGAGAGTCACGTGTATGCTTTAAAAGACCAATTTATAATAAGTTAGCTCCTTATTTCTGTGATGAGTCACAGAATTGCTATGCACGTGCAAGAAGTTCCAATGAAGAACTGAAACTGGCGAGACGCAGCAAATTCAAAGAATTCAAACTTTTGGTTCTTCGACAATCATCGAACAATGGAAAAGGCCCGATTTTTTAGCGTCGTCTTCCCATATTCCTCCGTGTGGTTGTGAACCGTTTGTGGATTCTCTATGAGTTAAACGAGAAATATAAAAACAACTAGCAACAACACGGAGATATGAAGAAAGATGCGTTATCGTCTCGTCATGAACGGGAGACAACGAAAACACCTTGGGTACCGATGAGGAATTGAACCTCAGCCCTTCGGATTCCGGTCACCAGCGCTCATATTCCACGAAGATCTCTTGGTGGGTCACCGAAAAAGCAAGCGCGCTGACAAGACAAAAATTACTATCTTTGTCGGAAAACGATGTTCGCCCACCTTGAACATTTTCTATAGTCTCCACATCAACTTGTCCGAGACCATTTTTTCTTAGTGCATCTCGAATTGTTTTCACCTATTGGAAGAAGAAACTAATATTTCAGTTGTGCTACATGTTTTACGTAAGTGATAACCTTGGGCATCTATTACAAAGGAAACTTTTTTCGGTTCAATTAATACCTGGTAATGATATGAAGACACCACTGCAACTTGTTTGAGATCTTTTGCTCCCCATTCCTCAGGCCAGCTATCCGCAAGTTCTCGGACTCGCCTCACTATTTCGCTTACTTCAGCCAGATTGCGAAATGAAAGATGGTTCGCCTCCATCTCTTCTTTGCCAAGAGCACAGAAGAACATGAATGGTCCAAAGGAAGGATGCAGAGGCTGGTTGCTTCCCGCAGAAAGCTTACCACCATAGAACATGTCGGACGCCAATTGTAAAAGCTGTTCGTTCGACCTGTAATTTTCTGTTAAAAAGATTAAATTCGAGTCAAACGTTTCCTCCGCTTGAAGTTGTTTGTATTCGTAAAATAGTCGTTCTTGTAGTGAAGTTTGAAATCCCCAATTCTTCGCTTCAGGAGAAAATACATCAGGGCTCATCTGCAAGAAATTAAAGGTAATCAGGATAAGATCACAAAGACGTAGTAACAATGGCACGATACTTCCTCGAGTTTATTTTATTCCGAAAATTTTAGAGATTTTACGAATACATTTTGTAAGAGGTTCATTCAGCAAGAGGTACTTTCAAGTTAGAAGGAAGTAAGGTTGTAGTACTATTGAGTAAAGGTACAGCAAATTGGGATGGAAAACTCTTCAAAAGACATTTCAAATCGGAAAGCAACTTCAAACCTGCATGTGATCCCCAGTGAAAACCACTTTGGTATCGTTCCCTGCGAGAGTGATAGGAGTGAGAGTTTCGGTTTCCAATGCCTGGGCTGCCTCATCAATTAATATATGCGAAAAGAAGCCCCGATGGAGCTCCATGTCGAAAAGAGCTCGAGACATTCCCAGTGTTGTCACTATGACTCGATGAGAAAGCACATCATCACGAGCTGGAAGTCTAAAGGCCTCTGTTGGTTCGCCTTTGTCTGCGATCAGACAATACTCCTTCACTATGGTGGAAACTGTTGAGAGTTTACGCAATGGTGTGTAAATTCGTAAAGGTCTGGAAGCAGATATGCCATTCTGTTCTTTAAGATATTCATCTAGCAGTTCTACGTGTATGTCTGCAGCGCTGTTTGAGTGAGTGCAGATGAGAACACGGTTGTTACGGTTCACGGCGATTCGCCGCACGGCCTGATTCAAGGCAAATGTTTTCCCTGTACCAAATGGACCGAACACGACGAGGGGAGGGGCGTCTGAAGATGGCGCTGCAATTCTCCTAATAATTTCCTTTTGATCTTCATTTAACTTTGGATCAAGAATCCATGGAAGAGGAAGAATCTGAAAATTACAAATTATACATTTCATAAATGTCGAAAACTGATTAATGCTTATAGCCTCACTGTTCTTCTTTCTGAAGAGTTCCGCTGTATCACTAATATTGCAACATAGATGAGGGCTTACCTTCTCCTCTTGAACGACCCTGCTAAAGGCCGGAAACAATATTCGTATGTGCTCTGGTCCTAATCTGTCAATGGCATCGTGCATCTCGCACAGCGGAAGCCTGTTGATTTGAAACTGAATATCTACTGTTATTTCACTGCTATCCTTCAGCCCCAGATCTCCGCAGAATCGTGTAGGAAGCTTTAATATGACCCGACTTTCCTCCACAGACTCTACCAACGCTTCGTAAATCATGGAATTTGGGATATGACTTTGTGATATGAGCACTGATCCAAAGCTTGCGAAAAGATTCCTCAACAAAAGTCTTCCATCTGCATCATCAGGTGTTATTGGGCGTGTGACATGAAAGGAACCATATAGCCATCCTTCTTGGGCTGATAGCAACTCATCCCTCTTTACGACAAACTTTGAGGCGTGCAGATTTGTACCTTGAATGTTGTAACTGCAACATAAAAAAAATATAGCAAGATTTTCGTACGTGTGTCAGTATTATCAAACTAGTGAACTTTATTAAGACTTTTCGTACATGTGCACCACGTACTCCTGCCTAAATCTTCCAGTCACAAGATAAACAAAGAAATCAGTGAATAAAAGAGACATGCAGCGTCCGCCTAGTACTTTTATATTATACAGCGTTTACAGCATAATTTTTCAATCAAAAGTTCAAAAGGACAACAGGTGTCGATCAAATTTACCTTGCAACCTGTTTGCGAATGTAAAATTCCTCAACAAATAACAACTGATGCATGACGTCTTTGTAATTTTCCTTACTCAAGCCTTGAGATCCATTAAGAAGGGGACATGGAATAATATCCGTATGACTTGGTAACCCATACTTTCCTATTAAATGCTCGTTGTTGAACACTGATGAGCGTTTAGGCTCGAACTTCACAATTTCTCGAGATCCATCATCCCATAACTGTAAATATGGCTTTAATTTTGACTTCACTTCGCTATATTCTTGCAAGAACTCTTGGCTGCCAACTTCGACAGTTATTTTCACAGCAAGATGTGTGTCTCTACCAAAGTCAAGGACCAGGAATTGCACAAAGTTTCCAAAAATAGAGGTAGAAAATGACACGGCAATTTCTACGTCACAAACACCTTGCTGGTGTCGGAGACTTGATTTAACCGGGTGGTGGAACTGGTCAGGAATCTCCTCAGAGTCCGACATTTCCACAGTTCTCTGCGTTCCATTCGCGTTTGGCACTTTGCAGCTAAACTTCACGCTCGACAGCGTATAGAATTTATGGTAATTTGGTAAGAGCACTATGTCCCGTAGATGGCCAGTGACATTAGACTACGGGGAAAGAAAGAAAGAAATTGATACTTCAAAACAAAAACCTCAATGACCCCTTCAATGGAGGGAAATGGGGAATGCTTTAATTACTGATATTTTCTTCTGACCATGAAGCAATGAAGCAATCTCATCATTTCGACAACAATTGGTACTTTCGAACCGTGCAATTTGACCTGCGGCTTCAGTAAAGACGGTGAAAGGAACATCCACTTAGTATCTAATTCACTTTGCCCAGCTTTTCCCAAGTCTAACCTCATAGTGAATGCGCAAATTCCAGCTATATTGAGTCTCTTCTTCGCTGTTCAGAGGTACCTGTAGCGTGACATCGAGATCGGGAGGATCACACGATACATTCACTCCTGGTATACTAGGTACTAAGTCCTCAACCTAGAACAAAATCGGAACAACATCCAGTTGCTCGTAAACATAAGATTTCAAAGATTAGATTTTACTACTTAAGGCGGCTCCATAGGGTTTTTGCTTATACATTGGCGCGCGCGCCAGCGTATTGTTTTTCGAGAAAATTTTTCATGTTTTCGCTTCTCTACGTCATTTAAACCATCAAAAAGGGATGAGCAAGGTTCGAACTATCGTTTGCTGTAGTAAATATTAAGAAAGTTATTTTCGTTATTACGCTAAGGCGCCACGAAGGGAGGCGCTTGCCACTGATAATTTGGCTTTGCCTTTGATTTTCTGCACTGAAATATCTCAAAATTTTCACAAGTTGGGAAAATTGTCCTGCCGATCATTTGAAAGCCGAAAAAAATGGGGGCTACGAAGGCAGTTTTCTTGCTATTTGCAATTTTTCGTTTTCCTCCTCTATCTCATATTTGGTCCTATGAGTTTCTTTTATTAACAGGCACTAGGAAGGACACAAATATGCTTAATGGTCCATCAAATCTTAGGAAATTCCACTGAAGGAAACGCGATAAATTTTACTCGAAAGATCCCTATTTTCTTTGTCGCAAAACATTACGTAATGGAAGAGAAATTCACTAAGATAGGATCAGAGCATGCGTAGACTTTCGAATTGAGTACGAACAAGTATTCATTTGGCATGTTTATTTCGGACTTGATGAATTCTTGGATATCGAACACAAGCCCTCTGGACATCAGTGGCCCTGTATTCTGTAGTTGCTCCGTGCCAGATAATAAGGTACGTACCTTTAAGCGATTCATCTCGAGGAATCCTTGCGAGCATCATCGAAATGCTGCACTTTGGCAAATAAAATTCTCATAGTACGTGTCACGCTTATTATTGTTGTAAAAATAAGAATTACTCATATTGAGCACTCTTACAAAGTAACCATTCCTGTGCAAGTGTTTTTATGTCAACCACTCGAGTTACTTGTAGATTTTTAGCCGCCGTCTTTTGGTGGAAATCAGAGCCACAATCAAAACAATACTTTTTGTCTTCCGAGGACGGAAAAAAGTAAATATCCTGATCATCGTAGGTTGGTTACCCGAGATGACTTTCGAGCCCGTTTTGTAGACTTTAGAACCTGTTTTGTAGACTTTAGAGCCCGTTTTGTGAGTGGTTCTTTTTTCCTCGCAGCCGTCTTAGTGATTCAGTTTTCGCTTGGCTGACCAAATTTTGTAGCCTTTACTTAACGATTCTCCCCTCTTTTCTTTATTTTTGAGGTCTTCTCGAAGCGACCGAACGCGCCGCGGGTGTTGTGCCTAGAAATACTTTGTGTGTCGTTGCTGGAATTCTCAGAGTCCATAATGTGGATATATATTTTTAACCACCTCTTTCATAGTTGATATGAATCGTGCGGTCGTATCGGGCCGCCATAATGGTTTTGCTTAGCGATATTTTTATCGCTCGCGCCATGTTGGGGACCAGATCTCGCGCGGTAAAAAAACCCTATCGAGCCACCTTAATATGTAATGCTTGGGCAAGAAATTTTTCATGGCATTTTCATGGACGCCCAACACCGTATATAAAATTACCACCTTAGAACTCTCATTGAACAACATTAAATAACACACGCGTTAAATGAATCTTTACCAACCTTGTAAGTAGTAGCTGGCCGCTTATCATCATTTATCGTTGAGCTGGTCATTGATTCTTCACCTTTTTCCTCTGCCTTTTCCGTTTCCTCCTCTTTTTTCCTTTCCATTCTCATCTCCATTTTTTTCAAATGCTCATTCCAAGCTGTTAGCTCTTTCTCACCATGTGCTAACGTACATTTTCTGTCAAGTTTGCAGGAGCCTTTCCTCCACCTGAAGTCATTTAAGAAGAGAAAAGTTTGACTAATTCCTATCTTAAAGAGATTGACAAATATATTCATGATGATGATATATAAATAACGTAGGTAAAAGACTTACTCAGGGCACAGTAGGTACTGTTTGCCTTTTTTAGGAATTCGTAAGGGAGCTCGACATTGTCCTCTGAACTCTTTTCTCCATTCTTTAAGTGCAGAGCTGACACTTGTTTTGTTCCTCTTTTTCTTTGCAGTTTGGCTCTTACTTTTGGACGTAGTTGGTTTACGAAATCCTGAAAACAAAAAAGGCCTCCAGTTGCACGTGAGTTGAAAATACTATAACGACTTTGAAGAACCAGCTAGCACGCAGTAAGTGCGCTACTGAATAACGTTGATTAACATTTATAAATATTATGACAGAATAGTTCAGTTGTTTTTCATTGGTTGGTCAATTTTCGTAATCTTCGCTGAAAACTTAAGACTCCTAGAGATTGAAAAAGTTATTTTAATTCAACAAGAGTTAAAAAACGTCAGTCCAATCAATAATGGTGGCTATATAGCGACCTACGTTTCTTCCTTTCCTCTTCCCATGCAGCTCTCTCGGTCTCACCATGTGCAAAACAGCAGTGGTCTCCTGTAGGACACCATTGCCGTGCAAGATAGTGACGGCAGAGGCGATAGGTACCATAAAAATTCAATGGGGCAGGACGAACTTTATCCTTCTGTCCTTTAGAAGATTTTTTCGCCGCCCGTGACACCAGAATCCAGTCGTCAGACGTCACAGCAGTCTCTTGAGAGTCTTTAGGCTGAAAAAAGAAAACAGGAGCGACATATAATTTTCCAATGTATCGAAAGCATTTTGAACTACTTTGTCATGAGCGTAACGTAACGACCAAATATTTGGAGTTCGGGTGAGGAATAGAAACCCCATACAGACTGAACTTCTAAAAATTCTTACTGCTGAGCTAAAGAGGACGCTATCCAGGAACTTGTGACATATTTTCCGGCGCACGTAACTGCATGTTGGTGGACGTGACTTTTGGAAATATTCTACCACCCCGTAAGCACACGATAAGATCATTTAGGACTCGACTTTACTAATGATAAGCACTCACAATAATACTAACAACCTCGTCAGAAACAGCAACCGGACGCTCATCTGCTCGAGTTGTCTTTGTGGTTATTTCTTCTCTCCTAACAGCTTTACGAAAGTCCTTTGATGGAGTAGAAGTGATCCCAGTATCTTTATTCTTTCGAGTATTTTTCCTGCTAGCAGTTGGTTTCCTTTTACCTAAAAATACATCGATTTAAATTTTTTTGGGAGTGTGAAAACAAAAACCGACAAAACAACTACCCAATGAATCGTTGGTTATCAAGACTTTTCCAGGAAAACTCTAGTAAGGAGAAAAAAATTGATTGAAGGTACTTACTTCTTTTGAAGTCGTCTTCCCAAGCCTTTCTTTCAGCTTCACTATGCGCGTAGGTACAAAGCTTGCCTTGCCAACAGAGTTCTGGTCGATCAGAGTACTTGCACAGACGGTAGGCAGTATAAATACCAGGTGGTCTTGGCCGGATTCCACTGGTTTCTTTATTTGGTGATTTCCCTTTCGCTTTCGATGACGGAGACGTTGATGATTTCGGTACATCGCTGACAAAGCCTTGATCACTTTCCTCAAAAGTGGGCATTTTGGGGCGGCACGTGGCCTTCGTTCCATAACCCAAATCACCAGGGCAGGTACTAATGCTACAAACGCTGCTTGCATCAGAATCGTCAGCTACAATGAAAACACAGTCCGGGTCATAACCATTTCTGGATACTTGATGACGTCACCAACATGGATGTCGCAGTGGGACCTCGAGGAAACTCATTCATTACTTTATTCGAGCCCTAGCGACTTTGTTCCCTACCCATATCCCATGAAACCTTACAAAATTACAGAAGACAAGCAATTACACACAACAAGCAAAGAACTGATGGTGGTGGCGATGACGTAAGATACTTACAGCATGGCCGCCATATGGCCGCCACAAAAAAAATCAGCTTCTTCTTGTTTCCAGCACCTCTCGGCCAAATTTGCTTTGTTTTGGTTTTGATCTCACCCAATCACAAAGCTCGAAAACGATATCCAGAAATGGTTATGGCCCGAACTGAAACAGAACTAATTTTAACTGAAGAGATCAAGAAACGGATATGGTGCCCAAGAGGGAATGCACTGCACACCAGCAAAAGCTATACACACGTTGCTTTAAAATGCAATTAGGAGAAAAGCTTAAGAGAGGCGTCTGAAGGAGATACGGAGAGAAACAAGCGTGAAACAGGGGGAGAGAGGGGAAACGATTTACCTTCTCTTGCAGCCCTTAAAGTTCTTGTTTTATTTCTTGTTCTTCGTCTCTTTTTCCGCTCTGGGAAAGCAGAATCTAGAAAATAGAATATGAGCTTTCTTTATAACCCTTTGGTAACAAAGTGCGTGAGAGAGTGAGAACTAATTACACAAATAAGTTAAAAAAAAAAGGTCCTTCATACGTTTCACAGGCGCAGCTGATGGAAGGAGGTGTCCGGCTCTCAGCGCCCCTTGAAGTTAAAAAAATGAGAGCCACTAAATTCTATTGATGCTGTTTTACCCTAAATACCTCGCTATACGCAATTCCACAAACCCTTTGACCCAAAGTAACCAAACAAAACAGCAAAGGAAGTTAGTATCAACTGAGAAGAATAAAGAGTGCTTCTGGCTCCTCCACTGAGGGTAGAGAGGATAAAACGGTAAGTCGGGTATGTATCTCAAGTCGGGATGAAATCATCGGTTGGCCAGCTCTGTTTGGGTTTCACTGACATTTTAACGAGGCTAGGAGGGCTTATATACACGCACATTAAAGAATACCAATAACTGATAGTCCTGACATTTATGACAGAGGCCCATTAAACAACATCAACTATGAAGGGTAGTTTAGTTATCATCTCCACTCGTAACGACGAAGACGACAACAAAAACAGCAACGACAGTGACAATAACAGTACCAGATACAAAATGAAGAAGAGGTCAAAGAACAAAAAGAAAAAAATAATAACACGGAAACAAATGGATTTTTCGCAGGTTTTTCAATAGGTATTGGATTTTTGTAATTTTCATTGTATTCTTATTTGTAAGCTGGACCAGTGTGTATGTGAGTCAAATTAAGCACGCCAGGCATAGACAAGATAAACCAAAGCATACTCTCCCTAAAAGTACATTTCACCACGTATTTACCAGGAGAATCGTAAGATGTTGTAAGTTGCTCTTCTTTCCTCTGATTAACAGCTTTGCCCTGTGTGTAAGAAACATTAGGAGAGGTAAGAAGATCCTTGTTTTGTTTCGTTTTATTTTGTTTTTGTTTTTTTTTTTTAACCAAAGTACATAGGGAGAAGACAGGAGCTCCAAGCTTTCGGTAAATGCTAAAAGTCATAAGTTCAAATTTTTACAGTGTGTACATCGTCTTTAGTATTTTATGTGAGATTCAAGTGTCGAAAAGGAGTTATTTACGGCCAGCGCAAAAAAGTAAAATGAGAAACACAAAATAGTTTCGCACAAAAATAACCTTCGCATCCTGAACGTCTTCTTGCTTATTCCTTTCCTCTATTTCCTGTGCTTGTTGTTGGTATTCCTAAAATAAAGCAAATATTATACATTTTATTGAATGAAAAGGAAAAAAAGATCGTTAAGAAGAGGTATTATGAAACTGACTTTGAATTCTATACGATTAGTTAGCTGTATTCTGACCCTAAGAAAAACCACAATCCTGACAGAGCTACACGTCAGTACTAGTCATTTTTTGACACTATTACTTGATAACTTCTTATGAACCGAGCGTAAGGGTCGTAATGGAGAATATTAGCCCGAGGTCCTGGCAATGCGACGCGAGCAAGCGAGTTTAGCAAGAAGTCTCTTATAAGGGGCTCTGACCAAACTTGTGTAGATTGAATTTGCTGGCTTTCGCGACAAAAAATACACGGTATAGCAAAACACGGACGATGTAAGAACCAATAAGAACAATCGGATTTACCTCAGGGCTACCTTGCTACATTATAAAACTTTTTAATGACAATGGGATCTGACTGTTGACATTGAGGGGTCAATGGGATCTGAATGTTGCTACACTTGAGAAAAGGTCTCAATATTTACACCAATGTCTTTCCTTAATTGCTACAGGTTTCCGCTAGTCATTGAGTTCTCGTTTACCTACTTCCAAACCACTACGCTGTTAGGAAACACGCACCCACAGGGGCTTCACCCTTTTCATAGGTGGTATTTTGCCAATGTCCCTTGATTGATGGACTGGTAACGACATATTGGAAAGCTGTACGATAGAATGTCGTTATGAATTTCTTTATGAACATTTAAGGGAATTGAATGTTACCTAGCGATACAAAAATGGGATAGAAAGTCACCGAGTATTTGAAAGCTGCGATAACAAACCAAAACTCTCGAGACTTCCTATATCATGACACTGATATGCTATCAATGGTGAAGCGCTAAAACTTTAAGATTTCTCAGTCATGTGTGGTATTGGTGCACCAGAGTTGTGAAATAGTGACTATTACACACCACTTATTGTCTGGTTTTAATGAGCAATCAGGACATATCTAAAGCAGGTTTATTAATAATCAACGTCTACTTACTGACTGACATGGCGGTATGTCCTGAGATTGCACTGTTGCCATCTTAGCCCTGATGTCCGATTCGATCGCAGAGAGCTCAACATTCTTTGAAAAAGAGAAACGCATAAGCTATACTAACTATATTGTTGGGAACTTTCCTTTTCAGTTTTACTTTTTGATGAATTTCTTCTTGGAATTCTGTAATGTCTAACACAATTTCAAGTAGGTCACTCATGAGCGCTAGATTAAATAGTTCAAATCATCGCGAAACGTACCTCAGGATCAATTGTTTTCCATTCATTCACCAGTTTCAAGGCATCATCGAACTCCTCGAATTGAATTTTCATTCTAATTTCTATATCAAACGCAACGGTACTTGTGCGATTGGTCAATTCAAGAGCTGAGGAAAAAATAACGTAGAATGTAGGTATAATTATAGGGCAAAGTTGACGATTATAAGATCGTAGTTTAGTTGCTTTTTTTTCCTAACACTTGAAGACGTTTGATATAAAATTATATCATATGAATTGAAGAATTCATTTAAGAACAGCTGAAACATTTCATACCTCGGTTACAGTCGCGTTTGGCTTGGAAAAAATCTCCCTGATGAAAGAAAAGAAGCATATTATGACCTGGGAGGGGGACAATTTTGCCGGTTATGGTTATGACCATCGAATTTTATGTTCACAATTTTTGCTCCTAGTTATAGCTATATATCAGACAATTAGGTGCCTTAGATTCCCTATGAACTGCAACCCCAGTCCAGCCTGTGAACAAACAAATGCCACAAAAATATATTTACCAGTTTGAAGTAGCACTGAGCTCGTAATTCATAAGCCTCCACGACCATTGGGAATAGAGTCACGACTTCTGTAAAGAAGCTCAGAGCTAATTCTGTCAGAGAATCTGCGAGCTTCATTTCTCCCTGTTGTATTAGCATATCGACTGTGCTGCTTACTTGGTGAAATCCCTGAAAATAATTCAGACAAAAATGTATTATTCTTCACTTTTGATTCTGGGTTAGAGCTCGTGTGATTATGTTAGAAGGAAATCTTAAAACACAAAATTAAAGTTAGGTTAGAAAGAGTGTACGAGTGATAGAAAAAAACATGGAGAGTCCATTCAAAATGACCACAGTTCCAGTTTGTAAAACTGCTTGTGTACGTAGGCGGTTTGATTACTCTCCGTGATAGAAAAATGTTCGAATAACTGAATTACTTAAATGTACCCTAAAAATACATCTTCGCAATATGTACGTAATCAATTTTCCGAAATTAAGCTTGGAAATTTTCTCATTAGTTCCTTTCAGCGAACGTTTCACTGAAAAATTTCGCTCCTGAAAGTGTTCGTCTGCTACAGAATAAGTCTCATTATTCTTTAAGAGCTATTATAAACCATACTTTACCTGTCCACACAACGATTTTACTTTTGCTCTTAACCTGTCCACAATATTCTTATCTCTTTTCATCTAAAAACCAAGAAAAGCACTGTTAGAAAAATGAAGAATTCGGATTTTTTTTTCATCATTTATTTATTATTCGGATGCAACACGCTCTGTTATTGGTTGAAAGAGCGTGCTCCATCAGAGTACAAAACACGGAGCTGAGCTAAAGCTGTCAAGTGGGGAGAAATAGTCGACCACGTCTCGTGTTTATTCCTACACTTCTTTCGTGCTCAGAACAGAGCACAGTCAAGGCTTCTTTATTTGCTAATTAAAATCAGTCAGCCTAAGTTCATGTGCAGCCCTGTAAAACCACCTATAAAGACTTCAACAAAATCTCCAAGGCGACGTGGAAATAAGGCAGCGAAGCAAGATATTCAACCCGTGAAATCTTAATTTTGCACAGTCCGAGAACGAGAAACCCGACGCATTCTTGGGGGGGAGATCTGGTGACGTTTCAAAAAGGGAAGCGCACTTGAGGGCATGTGCACGCAGGTTTGTTGGTTGGGGGAAAAAGAAAGTGATAAACTAAAATTGAAAAGCAGGATTGTAGGAGAGCCAGTTATCTTATTGATTACGGGCGGTCGGGTGGCCGAGTTCGGTCTGCTCCTGCTAATTGCGGTTTCAGCCTAGTTATATTTTTTAGAAACATCTGATGCATTAATTTAATCGTCCCTGCAAGTCTTTATTCTCAATATGAACCTATCTGACAATAAACGAGTCAAAATTTAAAATTCACTGACTTAGGGATGTATTTAAATGCTTCGAGTCTAAAAAACTGGAGAGAAATACCTCGGGATCGAGAAACTTGTAGATGACGGAATTCACAAAAGCTTTCAGCACTTGGCCTTGTAATTCTAGTGCGTGCGACCATAAAAACGCTATGTGCTCATTTTCTCCTCCGATGATTTCTCTGGCTGAAAAAGAAAAAAAAATCAAACTAACTGTGCGAAGTTGCCACACTTTGTTGGAAATATTTCTCACATAAAATATGATTCCATCTTCCTTTCTTCCCAAAATAAACTGGAAAGAAAAGATTAATTAATATTCTGATTTTCTTACCAGCTAAACAATCCCGCAAAACTTGCTGAACGTAATTCTGAAGATCAAAGGCAAAAAAGTATCACTAATGAACACTTAGCTTTTAGTTAGACGTAGCCTGTGTCGTGAGAAACAAAACCGCGAGAATTATGGGTCGAATGGAAAGAACTAAGCCAAACTTTTTCGCACGTCAGTCGCTTACATTTTCATCGAGCGCCTTAAAAAAAAAAAACGGGTCGTCACATAAAGATGGTTGAGAGATAGGGAGACGATACTTACCAGACGAAGTAGGCATTTAGCTCTTTTGCATAAAATAGCACTTTTCAAATCAGGAGGAACGACAACTTCTGAGTGTCGAAGAGCTAAAGTAAAAAGCGCTGCAGCTGTACCATAGTCTCCAGTCACCATGAATTGCTCAGCATTGTTGACAGTTTCCACGGGATTTGGCGACACAAGAGACGAACTCAGCAGGGACTAAAGATAAAAACAAAGAATGTCTTTTAAATAAATTCACCATCCTCTGAAATGGAACCCGCGATATAAAGTGTAATCTACTATTTAAAACAAGTTATACAAACCGGCGATATGGGAAATGGTAAGTCTTCTAACTCTGCATCAAAAGACATGGAACTGCAAAGTAATGCTTGAAAGTTATGACTCTTTAATTTCGTATCACTTAACTTCTTTTATTATTAAAAATGTTTCGATGATGTTAACTATGAAATAAGTTGAATGGCTAATGAAAAGAAGTAATTCATGAAAAGATGTTCATAACAATTTGATTTCCCCCTGTTACATTATTGATCGAAATTTTGAATGTTTCCTGACAGACTCTACTAAACCTGGCCCCGGTTGTTCGAAAGCCGATTAAATTATCCCTCGATTAGAGGTTAATCGACGATTAAATTTCTTATCCCAAGGATGGCTAATCTAGGTTTAAAATAACGTTCCTGAAAGCAGATTTATCCCTTGATTAACTATCCCACGATTAAGCTGAGGTTAAACCAGTCAAACCGGTTATTAAGAGCTACGCGGCTACGCGCGAAAAAAAATTGGAGGGAAAAAATGGCGGAAAGGGAGAGTGCACATGGAAGTGGAAACCAAACGAAAGACAGAAAAAGAAAGCATAATTTTTCAGTTTATGAGATTGAAGTCATCACCGATAATGTCAAAAAAATCTCGATTTAATCCAATCCAAATTAACGAATGCTGTGACCAACAAAAAAACAAATGCTATGGGAAGAAATAACCCAAGCGGTAAATGCGGTCGGAACAGCCAAGCGAACAGTCACGGAGGTAAAAGACAAGTGGAAAAATCTCCATAGCATCGCCAAGAAAGAATTTGCAGAATTCAAGAGGGAGACCAAGATAACTGGGTGGTCGGCGTCCAAAGTCGCCGAGTGTTGCCAACAAAGAGATTATTGAGGTGCTTGAGGACACGCCGGCGTTCAGCGGTTTGATTGGCTTTGAGACAGGTTTGTAAACAATTCTCTATTGTTTCTAGGTTACCAAAAATTTTAAAATTGTAGACAGTCAGCCGGCCATGTTGTTTCGGCGGGGTTTTCAGCTTATCAACCGCTTTCCCGTCTTTGAGCGTACGAAATGTTCGGACACAAGGGAGGAAAAGATAAGTTTGCATGTTTTTTTTTCCAATATCCGTAACTGTATTAATCAAGTTTTACCTTGTTTAGTTTATTATCCCGTCACATTTCATGAGTGTACTTTACTAAGCGAAAGCTGCTACGGAGAACTCCAAACCGGTTTGCTGCTTTTGCGGCATTTATAGGGTTGCATTCGATTAAACCCTGTTTAAGCTGAATATAGACGAACGCTCATGACGGACTGTCAGTAATTTAGCAGACATATATATAAATTTCAGCTTCACTTGATTAATTCATATGTCGAAGATTGCATAGCTCCGTCATTTTGGAAAGCGATCTGATGAGTGAAACAAAAACCTTTGATTTCGAAGAATGTCTTGGATACGGTTTATAATTTGGTTAAAATTCGTTTTGCCAAAGACAAAGTGCTCCTATTGTTTCTTTATTTATCTTGTACTAAGGAGTGTTCTTCAAATATTTACGATCGGCTATTTACATGTATAAATAACTAATTTTTTTTATTTCGTTTTGACGCAACTTTGTTTATGTTTGTGATGGACGAAATAATTTGTTGTTGTACCTGTTATCATGTCCTATTTTTTCGATCACTAAACTGTGGTACGGTTCTCGTTGTCGATTCACTCTGATTCCCCTTTATCTGTCTAAAATAAGCTTAACTTTTGGTACATGATTTACAGATTTTATAAGCATTTTCGTAAATGATTTCACTGAGTTAAGTCTACCAGTACACAAATTCATTTTATGAAATTGAATAATTTATTTTTTACATGTTTAAGCCTCAGATTCCTTGCGGGAGAGATGCTCCTTCTGTTATTTCATTTATGTGATGCATAAAAATAAATTCACACTTTTTGAGCCTGAGTGAAACCTTAATTGTGCTTGAAATATTTTGTAGGAGAAGATGCTCATTTACCAGCAGAGTCTGCGAAGACTGTGTTTGAAGAAGACTGTCTGAGCCTTAATGAAGACATGCATTCTTCACCAGCCAAGGCTGATGAACAGAGGAAGCCTTCAAAAAGGATAAGTAATGGCGATGTTTTAAAAATGCAGTACGAATGCCTGTGTACTCAAAAAGGAAATGTTGAATCTTAAAAACAAAAATTGAAAATGCAAATTCATCTTCTGGAGCAACAGGTCAATGCAAACCAAACCTTCGCAACTGCATTAAATTCAAATTTTGTAGTTCCCAACACCGATTCATTTTAAAGGAGGAATAGTGTAATAAGTCCTCTTAAAAAATATTTTTGGGCAAATGTTGTTCTCGTATAATTTATTATAAAACATACACAATGTATTTTGTTCTCAAAATGTATTTTAATGTAATAAAACAGATTCTTGAGTCAAACTTATTTTAATGTGTTTTTTCAACCAGAAACCCCTTAAATGCATATATGAATTTTTTATATTTTATGGGAAGTTAAATTAAGAGCAAAACTGATTGCGTAAGGCAGAAATACAAAAATTAAAAATTGTCAGAAAAAGGTGTTGCAGATGTGGTCTCGGATGACCTTGCCATCCTCTGGACCCCGGAAGCAAACAAGATTAGGTTGATCATCAGCCTCAGCATAGCCATCCAAAGGTTCCTTTCTCAGAATTGCAATGTTATGTAAAACTGCACATGCTCCGATAATGATGGACACTTTTTCTGGCTTCATTCTGATCTCAGAATGAAGCAGATGGAACCTTCGCTTCCACCAGCCAAAGGCTTGTTCTATTGCCACTCTTGTTCTTTTGTGGGCACTGTTGAACTCTTGCTGCTTGTCAGTGACTGGATTCAGGTAAGGGGTCATCAGGTACGGCTTGCAAGGGTAACCACTGTCACCCAACAGTAAACCATCTTCCAGGGACTGGTGTTGGATATTCAGTTGTTGGCCAATTTTTGAATCCCTAAATATGAAGCTGTCATGGGTGCTGCCTGGCCATCGTGCTACAATGTTGGTAAACATGCCTAAAATGAAACAGCAAAGAAGTTATGTGACCAGTTCTTACCTATGATGTAGAAAATCTCATCTCAGTTTATAACAATAATGTACTGCAAAGAGAAACAACAATAATTGTGTCTATGATGAACTGGGGTAACTGATACAAATATTTAGTTTACTTGGAAAACCTTTTCATTGTTTAATTTGTTTTTTGAAATTTGGGAGACTGCATCATTTTGAAATCCCTGCTGATTGTTACATTCTGTAGGTCATTAGCTGAGCAATATATTCACAAATATCCCACATTATTTCTTGCTTTTTTCCCTTGTTTTTTACTTTTTTATACTGTCACTAAAATATTGGTGTGATAATTTTGGTAAATTTTCCGTATGTGTGTTTGCAAACCAAACTCCACCTATACCATTTGACTCAAAAAATATTAAAAAAAAAAAAATTTTATCACCACTCCCATTTCCTGAATATGTGAAACTGCAATCTAGTAACTCCCACCAATGCAACCCCATAGCAGCTGGTGTGCTAGAAATCTCAATCTAAAACCTTCTATAAGGGGAGTACCCCTCCCTGCCAAAGGTTATTTTGCAATTTTTATAGAACACTAATTGTGACATTTGAGTATTTTACCTACCTTTGTGATTGCAAATTGCTTGCACATTTATGGAATGGAACCCTTTACGATTGACAAAATCGTTTTCGTTTTCATGTGGTGCCTGAATCTTGATGTGAGTGCCGTCAACACAGCCAATCACCCCAGGAAATCCCCCCTTGGTAAAAAAACCGCGTTTGTTTTGAAGTATCTCCTCTTCGGTCGATGGCCACTTGATGAAGTTTCTTTGTTTCTGTGCAAGGGCAAGCGAAACTTGACCGATTATACGGGACACGGATGACTTTGACAGGCCCAGAGTATCTCCAATAACTTGAAGAAAGCTTCCGGAGGCGAAAAAGCGCAACGCTACAAGGACTTGCACAGTTGTCGACAAAGCATGGTTTCGAGATGTATCTCTTTCAAGATCGTCGCGAAGGAGCTCAGATAAAAATTCTATGGACTGGCCAAAACGATATCGACTTCTCAATTCTTCATCAGTAAAATTGGACAGGGAAAAGTCGTCTGGTAGCCTAAATGTCCTTTCTTTCCTTCTTGGGGCCGGCATTAAGCCTAATCCGCCAAGTAATAAGTCGGCCATTTTGTTTTGTTTGGGGAAAGTTTTCCCTCGATTAGTGAGTTAATCCACCTCGCTAGGTGTGTTAAAGTTAACCTTTATTTTAACCCTGGGATAGTGCTAATCGCGCTTTCAGGAACAGAAACTAATCGTAGGTTAAATTTTATTCTTGGGTTAGGGCGATTTAATCGTGGGTTAGCGCTAATCGGCTTTCGAACAACCGGGGCCTGCTCTATAAACGGAATAGACTTGTAGACATGCAAATAAACAAATAATTGAAGAAGAAAAAAAAAAAAAAAAGAATAGATTTAAAAGATAAAGCTTAGTATCGTTCTTGATGCAAGCAGATAATTACCTGTGGTACGCCATGACTTTCCAGAACTTTTCCTGTCGCGGCTTTTTTAGAGTATATAACGCAATAGAATGTAAAAGGAAAGACTGCCTTTGGTAGGTGAGTATTTCACCCAGACTTGCTGCTGGCTCTCGTGCAGACTTTCAGTGTATCTCGTGTTCTGGAGGAGGTGGCCGGGTACTCGCCGCTCTAAATAAATAACAGGGTAGTTAAGTATTTAAAACTGAGTTGTTAACGTAAATGGCCACGTTTCGAGCGTTAGCCCTTCGTCAAAGCGATTGGAGGAATTGTGGGTTGTGTGTGGTTTTATATGCAGAAATTGGAGCTACGCTATGAGTCGAAATATAGCGACGAGAGAACAAGAATAAACAGAATAAATATAAATTTATTCTTGTTTTCGCATGAAAACTGAAGCTCAGTGTTTTCTTTTTCTATTCCTTGACATTTCGCCTACTTCGTGAGAAAATTCGACGTAAACATGATTAAAATGCCTCTGTTCACACAAATCATAACCAGTATCTAAACGTCTGCAAAGAAACTGTCACCAGGCGCTTGGTGACAGACGAAACAATGCAAGAGCACGTAATAGCGACAGCTTTCAGTCACGGCTTGATTAACATCACATAAACAATAACTCAACCTGTTTAAATTTTTATTCGTTAAAACGAAAGACTCAAGAATTTCTAGTAGATAATCCCCTCCCTTTTAGATTTAAACCTGGCAAGTTCATTTTGAAAAATCATCAACGCTCTCATGACTGGCTCGAGAAGATAATATAAACAACACGAACTGATACCACAGAAGTTTAGGAAGGAAAGCTATTCAACCGCAAAGAAACTGAAAAGCTTTGGAAGATTTAGACTACATATTACCACAAATAACCTAATACCAAATAACAGAAGAATTAAGCGTCGGAGTTAATGATACAAGAGCACTGCCCTGAAGTTTAGGAAACCATTGAAGAAATCTTAAGCCCTCCGTGATCACATTTCGCTCGTGCTTTTGACGTTCAAACATCATCTACTCAGGTGTTAAAAGGAAAATAGGTCAACACGCGCTATTTGTTCGATACCACCGTAACCATTTCGTCAAAGAAATTCTCAAACGTTTCCCACGATCTGGTTCATTTTGAATCGCTAATTATGGAAATACCAAATGAAAACTATTGACTTACCCTAAAGCAAAATATTTCCTACATCGTGAACGAACACATCGCCATTTTGTTCAGGAAAATTTCACCTTCTCGACGCTGTCTGCATTTCTAAATACTTATCCAACGTTTTGAACTAACAAACTAATAAGTACGCCGGGAAATCATTGACGACGTTTTCAACAGCATTTGGTCGAATATTACGACCTCGGGCGAAATAACAACATACAAGACTATTGTCTAGTTTAGGAGAGCTGAATCAGAAATTGCAGATGAGGCTGTCATGCGCTCAGCACGTGAGTTTTATAACAATAGACTGATTGATTAAATAGATTGTCATTTGATCAGTGGACAACGACCTATGTTCACAGCTTCAATTTAGAATAACTAAATTTCCATGTCAGATCGCTATGGCCCAATAAGCTGTTTATTTAATTTTATGCGTCTTTTCTTGTAGAAGTCCAAGTACCACAATTTCCTACTCGTATTGTTTTTGTTGTTCTGTTATTGTCACGCAACGCAAAATTCTCCTGTGAACCGTTCTGGTTCAGAAATCAATAAAATTCAGAACGCATATCAAGTCAAGAATAAACTAAATCGTATTTATAAATTCATCATTTCTGATAACGTCTCCCCTAGGCGAGAAAAATAACGATTTTGTCAAAGAGAACCATGCGAAATCTTGAACATGAGTTAAGACTGGTTATGGCAACGCTGACGACAACTATTTCACACACAGGCGATCCAAGCTCCGGCTGTGAGATGATCGTCTTATGCACTTATCAGCGGCCATCCCGAGGGGTTGACCCTGGGGAACCCCGGGGCATTTGCACCAAGACATTTGCAAATTCCACCTACCCAGGGCCAATATTCTTCCCCAAAAAGCCATTACTCTCCCTCCCCCGGGGAGCATAATTTGGAAGGACTCCCAAATTGTAACGTAATTTCCTGCATAATTTTTAGTAAAAGTTTAACAATAATATATACAGTAAGCAAAAATAGCTGGTCCACCTGTTTTCTGCACACAGCGAGGTTCAGCTTTATACCTTGTAAGTCATAGAATGACAATTTAGACTAACATATACTTACCTCGGCCTGTGTTTACTACACAGGGCTATACAGGGCTCAAAGTTAAAAACTGCGATGTTACAAATCCCGCGGGTCTTTCCCCGTGTATCTTGCCTCGGAAATGCAAAAGCGGTCCAATGCCCCCGTCCCGGGCCAAAAATTGGTGACAAAAGTCAGCAGATCCCGCGCTATTCCCCCATCTGTCCCCGTGGTCAGCCCCCCGGGATGGCCGCTGATAAGTGCATTACGAAATAACAGTCGTGGCGAAGTTATAAGAGTTCGTATGGGAATATTTACGACCGCTCTAAGGAATGAAAATAGAGGTCAAATTCTCATAAAAAATACCTCACCTTGCTTCACAGTGCATTGCTTGTTATCTAGCCGCTTACTACGTTGAAGGGAACCCATTTCAGCGAGTTATCTATTTGGAGGTTTGCTACGTACATAGGAAAAGCCCAGGGCTGCACAGCTCCAAACTAAGCCTCACCGGCCGGGATCCACACCGTAACTTGGCACCCGTGGTTCTAACAGAATTTGTTCATGCCGAGTGACGGGGTGGTCCTCAGCGAGGCTCAGTTTAAAAAGGAGGCAGGGTTACAAAGCTGATTTTCAACGGTCGTGTATCAAGTTGAATGTGAACGCGGGCCTTTGGAAACGTCTAAACTGTAAACTGGAAATTTTTCAAGCAAACTGCGGCTTAGCGTCGACTTCACGGGGAAGATTGAGATTGTAGTGAATTGAAATGAAACTACAGTATGTGTGCTTGGATTCTGCGTTGGATCTGTGGCCATTCGCTCATTTTGAGCTTGGAGTTTTCGCTACTCCGATCGGGCGTTCGGAAATGGAGTGTGCAGCCTTGGGCTTTTCTTGACTTTCTTATGGGTTTTTAGAAGAACGTGCCGAATTTTGTTAATTTTGTCGGGAAATGAACATTCTCAGTTATTACCATCACGACTTAAACAACCGGCCACGTGCTAATCTGACAGACGTGGAACAAAGGGCAATTTCAAAACAATGATCACTACCTTTTCAATTTGGTCCTTTTTTTATCAAATACTTGTGGAGATTCTCAACAGGGTTAACCGTTAGCCGTAAAACTGCCCAAAACCTTAGCCGTTAGGCATAAAAAAGTGACACACTTTAACCGATGATCGTTAAAAATGTTAAAGGTGAAAAAAATTGTGGCAACAACAATGGAATGATATTAACCGTTAGCCGTTAGAGCCATTGCGCCTTTGAGACCCTCCTAAATACCAGATAACATTCTTAATTTTGCACTCAAATACACTTGGAGCATAGTTATCTGAACACACTTCGGTGTGCCTTCTCGTCTGAATCGTTGCCATTCGTTAACTGTGCTCAGAACATTTTGATAACTGAAGTTCAGAGGACTTTTTTTTAAAATTAAACCACGATATTTTAAATCACTGTTTACTGAGTAAACTTTTAGGCTTTTGTTTAGCCAGCCGTCAATTAAGCCGATAAAATGTGAATTTAAATTTGAGTAAGGGAGGAAAAACTTTGACGCTTTTTGTTACGATTTGTTTGTTTGTTTCTTTTTTTAGGGATGTGTGTCACATCAAGAGATTATAGACTGTTTGAAATCTCTCGGTCAGTTCTATCCTCCCACAGAAGTCTGCATGCATCAACCATCTTGGAAAGTCCTTCCTTGAATAAAGTTTTGTCAACGGTGAAAGTTTCTGCACGTGCTCTAAAAAAGTGAGCGACCTATGGAAGCTTTTTCATTTTAATAAGTTCACTTTATCAAACGAGGCTTATCAAATTGAAATACTACAGCTTGTAGTATTACAAAACTAAACGGATGGTGACTCATTCGGTAGATAACCTTTGGGGTTCACCTTCGAACATCAGTTAAGTGCTTAATTAACAGAGTACAGCTTGGATATCAGGAGGTCTTCTTCTTTCGAATGTAGCACAAGTAGATGGCGAAGTCAATAAATTCAATGACAGTTAGAACACTGCAGCCAAGAAATAATCCAAGGGTACCACCAATTTCTCCTATAGGAAACAAAACCGTACAGTAAACACATCGTTAACCGATTTCTTCTGTAATCATAAAAAATCGATTTCCTCGATTGTGATTGGTTTAAAAAAACTCCTATTTTCCACTAATTCACTAACCAAGTTTTTATCGGACAGTTCGTTATCGGACAGTTAAATAAACCAATCACATTCAAAGTTGTAGTTGAAATCAACCAATCACAATTGCACAATAACATTAAGTAATTTAGGCCTCCTTTGTCCGTCTTTTAATGCAAATTGTCCCTTTCTTTCATAACTTGGCTATTCTTCTTTTCTGGGAAAAAGTAGTTTTTATGATTAATTAGTAATAGGACTTCGTGTCGTCCAATTCGGTCTATAATCGTACTCGTGATAAACAAGTCGGACTCCCATTGCGCGGTCGTCCGATTTTGTCATCACTGGTATGACTACAGACCGAATTGGACTCCACTTAGTCATAGTACCATTGCAAACAACTGAAAATCAGGTCGTAGACTCTATATCAGCCAGTGAGCAAGAGTGTGTATCAAACAAGGGAGGTGAGGCCCTATCACAAACATTAATTTGTGGTACACCTAGAAACTCTAGGTCCTTTTCTCCCTTACAATGAACGTCTGTCATTTTCCTTTTTTTTTTTCTTGTGTATCTTTTTTCCTTATATGTTATTTTTATTCATTTCTGTTTTATTTCCAGTGTAATTAAATTAAGTCATTAAAGAAAAAATAAATAAATAAATAAATTTTGAGCCGCCTCGATTAGCATTTACTATCTGCGGGTCAAAGGAATATCTTGTAAATATGTAAGAAAATAAAAAATAAAAGTGTGTGTGTGTGTGTGAAGCGGTTATTAGCAATTAAATCTTAGTAATAGTAATTAATTTTGAAAATGATAGTCGAGCTCTTAAATCAGGAATGCATAAGCGCTAAAGCGTAGTATTCTTGAAAACTTAGAGACAAAAATAGCAATTGGCCGGTCTAAGAAAAACGTCGGCCAACATCACCCTAGCTTGTACGTTGGAGTATGGGATGGTGAAACAGCTGTAAGGTGCGGTTGACCAATTAGACACTGCATAATCTCTCAGAACTTCAAGCGAACCACACCAAGGAAGACGAAGTAAAGTAGAGTGAGCGAGCCTCATTTATTTTATCTTATTTTTTTTTTTTTTTTTATAAAACATCGGTAAAAGATCTGTAATCATTTAACATACCCATGAGTGCAGTACTGTCGTACTGAGATGTTTGCTTATACTGTTCATAACTTAAGGAGGTGTAGCCAACTTGAAGCATTATCAGATTCTTTCTGCAAAGATGAATATTCACATAGATCAATGAAATAATTGTTGTCACCATCAACATTATTAGAGATTAGAGCCGAGAGTAGGCCCTAACCAGGAGGTCGAGTGGAGAATTCCTCTCTGATTTTTTTTCCTCTCTGTCGCTTATTTTATGACGAGGGCTCTTGCAAGAATTGATGAAAAGTTTTATGTATTTTTCTGTAAGATATAATAAAATGAAATCATGTATGGAATCTTTTTTATGATGGGAGAACATGCCACCTGCAAATCCAACAAACAGGAGAAGATTTAGATCCCAAGGTGCTATACAGGAATCAATTTTAATTGTTATGTAGTGTCTTGATTAAAATATAATTATAAACCAAAAGTTACGCATCCCTCAATATCTCACAACAATATCACGAGTTCCCTCCCCTTCCGCCCGTGTCCAAGGGATGAGATCATGAAAGTATTAGCTTTTTGCATTGTTAACTGCTATCGGCTATTGTCGCGTCCTCTTCAGCAGTTTACAATCGACGTACCTGAGGTAGTCATCAGTCTTATTAACTCCCTGCATTTTCCAGTGTTTGATCAGCAGTGGGCTTGGGAAGGCTGCAGCAGATGTTTTTGTCTCGTATTTGACCACTTCACAAGCGAGGGGGCATTCACACTGGTTACCGCTGACCAAGTCTTTTGCATATAGAGCATAGGATAAAGAAATCAGTTCCAGTTACGTCATATCTGTTATACAGAATATCGGCTCTGATTGGTAGTTTCTGACAATTTCATCTCAAAACTATTACGCTTTGCATTATGCAGCATGTAAACTGTAGAATACTCATGGCTGAGTTTTCTGCTGCCTTAAATCGGCTGATTTTTCTCGATTTGTGATCGCAAGGTTTCGATTCAGTATATTTCTATCATTACAAAGCTGTAACGATAGTCTTTGATTGTTAAAAAAATGTAGGTAGACAGGCAACACCACTGACAGATACTAGAAACTGACCAAGACGGGCTCTTACTCGGTGTAGAAGACATAGTTGACGTAAAACAATATGAACAAATCGGCAAAGAAACAAGTGAAACAATGATAATGATAGGTTAATGAGGCGGTTTTCTATTGTGACGTGTCCTGTGTCTTCTACACCAAGAAGGAGCCCAAAAATGTGCAAACGAAGGAAGGAGGAAGGAAAGACATGTATATTATTATTACCTTCATACACCTTAAAGACACATGGAAAGTCATCCCTGAAGCAGATCCTCTCGCTCATGCGATCTTGGAAAAAAATTAATTGCACTATTAAATGAAAAGAAAGGCCTATCTAATCATGATGACACTTCTGTTTCATTAAATATCGGCGTTGCAGGGACACGAATGACGAATGTTATCAACGAACGTTGATAGGAACAACTACAATATACCACCCGAATATTGACGATCGAAAAACCAACAATCAGAAAGGCGCTAAGGCGGATCAAAAGTTATTACTCCTCTCTCAGTTAGAATGAAAAATCATCCCCCCCCTATATGGCGCGAGAACAGATGGGAAGGGGGGAGGGGTAGATATGATAAGTTGCTTTAGTCTTGGTCTGTTTGTTTCTTTCATATTTGTAAATAACTTGACAGGTCATTCATCATCATAATAATAATAATAACAATAATAATATTTAATAATTATATTGCGCATTTGCTATAAAAATAAAGAAATGCGCCTCGGTGTTAAGATATTTCCAAAACATTGAAATAAAGCAAAAACCGAGGAGGATTGAAAGTTACCTGTTATTTTTGAGGATTAAAAGAGTTGAGGATTAAATCTGATTACCCGATCCCTTGATATTAGAAGGCTTACGACAGAAAAAGAAAAGTGCGAGAAAAAAGAGAAGAATGAGGGAAAATCCTGAGCTGGATCATTTTATTTATTTACCTGAGTCAACGAGAGAAGGTAACCTACAGCCACATTTCTTCCCTGTTGTGTTTGACAAGCATTCGTAATAACATCCGTCAGAGTCGTACTTTAGGAAACCAGCAAGATTTTTTGTCTCGGTGCATTTTGTCTCATATGGACTTTTCTTGTTGCGATACTTTGAAGCGAAAACAAGCGAACAAATAGTTGGAACAAAATTATGTAAACAAGCAGAGTACGAAACAATGGAGTCCTCTATCTTTTAAAAGTGCTACTGCTTATAGCTGTTCTACGCAAGTAGATTTCGTGAAAAGTGACCACCCTTCACTTTTGATTGATCGCGGCCACCCGTCTCGAAGCGGTCGCAGAACGAACAAAAGCAGACCAATTATATGCCTAGTCATTAATACTATCGAGCATCAAGTAAAATTTTTGCTGTGGTTTCTGTAGAGGGAGGAAAACTGGGACTAAGGGCCCGGAGAAAACCTCCGAAGCAAGGTCGAGAATATTAAAACCCATGCACAAGGCCAGAATCGGGAATTAGGCGCGGGCTGCCATGGTTAGATGGGAGAGCACTCAACACTACTTCATCAACGATACCTCTCCTTTAATGTCTGCATTTTACTAGCACATGAACTTACCACTTTTCGTTTGACGTTGATGCGAACATAACTCCCGGGGGCTACAAGAACAGTATCTGCAGAGTTTATATATACCCCCTGATCATGGATAATGACGAAGATCCCCTCAGAGAAAAACCCAGCCAAGTGGTCATCCAAGTGAAGATCTAATTCTAAATGTAGCTCCCGTGCTGAGTCACTACGAGACACTTTCTTTATTTCCTTGTCATTCCGCCCTGAGTTGAAAGTGAAGCAGAGCCCCAGCTCTGTCACAGTAGGTAAAAAATCCTTCCCAGAACACCTGTAATCCAGTAAGCCGAAACGGCATGCTAGATTTCTCTGCAGGTTTGGACCGTAGGCTTCCTGGAATTTCTTGTCATTGAAAGATTTCTTGTCTTTCATTATAACATCAAGAAGTTCTTTCTTGTATTCTTCGGTGCAGTTACTGAGAGCCACAGAAACGTCTTGGAAGTAAGATGCGCAACAGCATAGTAGGGCTTCTCCACATGGCCTTCCCTTTCTGACATGCGCTGTTGCATTACAAACGGGTAAGTCTAGCCCCAATGATTGAAACATTACGTCATCGTCTGTCATGAAAATTTTGTTTTTCGTGAACTTTGTCATGGGGCACAAAGTAACTGCAGGAAAAACCATTGTATCTGGGTATTGGATCCTCATGACCGTGGCAATGGGGTATTGAAAATACTTGTTAATGCTTCTATACATGAAATACAAGATCAAACCAGTTGAGGCCAGTAGTAAGATAAGCCACAGTATTCGCACATGAAGAGATGCCCGAAAAAACATGTTTCGGAAACCATGAAGGCTTGTGTTTTGTGCAAAATCACCCCACTTTTCACTTTCTGGAGTTTCAGCTTTTCCTTGGGGAGTTTCTTGAGTGTAAAACGTTGTAAATGGGCGGTTTTCAATAACTTTGTTTTTGAAGGAAAAAGAAAATACGAAGTTACAACATATTTACAAAAGAATTACCCTATCTTTTTAATTATCGATCTAACTATTTATCAAATGATTAATCTAATGATGAATGAATTAATTAATTAACCAGTAGGTTAGCATGCTTTGTCCCTCTGTTTGCTGGGAAAAGGTTCTATTCAAATGCAAATTCTTGCAAAGACCACATCTGCTTTTTTTTCTTTTTTTGTCCCATTTATTTAGAGTCTGGTGCCGTTGATTTCGTCTGAAAAATAGACCTGTTTCGGCTATCTGTTAGAACTTCAGTAAGATTTTCGGTATGATAAAATGCTCTGAATCAAAAAGAACTCAGTGCATAAAATAAATGTAGTTCCAGTAACCTCTAAGGAAACTCAAGAAAATTTCTGACAGAAACGGCTTAAAAGATAAACATCAATCACAAAAATAATGACAACAATAACGAGAAGGATCATAATAATAGTATCCATGAAAATAATAATAACAATTTTAAAAAACTGAAATTGCATCAGTAGCCTGAGTCTATATCAATCTTTATTTACATTTATTTTCGTAACTCGAAGGACAATAATATTACAACTTTTTGCTAAATTGATATCTGTGACTTTGCCAGCCGTTACTGAAAGAGCGAGAAAATAGATCATGTTTATTCAATCGGCGCACTCCAATTCAATATTTCTAGTGCTACTGTGTTTTCAAAGCAAGTGCAAAACACAGACGTTTTGCATTTGGCTGAAAGCGTTGCTTCACTCAACTTAGAACTGACCGAGTTTGTCGCCGAGTCCATACATAGTGCACGGCATTCACTTCCGAGCTTGCCAATAAGCATATGAAAAGCGTCACCCACTTGCTCCAATATACCATTTAAGATTAGATAGGAAACACTAAGAAACACTTATGAATGTGGTATTAGTGGTCTACGCAAAATTCTCAAGTTCTTATCCCAGGAAAATTTATTCACGAAAAGTGAAAATACATAGTTCACATTTTCATCTATGCTTCAGTTTGATTAAAATGACTGAACGTTCGTGAAAACTGAAATGATTACTTTCGCTGACTACAATGAAGCGTGGCTTTTATATCAGTTCCAATATTTCCTTCAAGATAAATAAGGAAACACTAAGAGATACTTATGAATGTGGTATTTGGTGTTTTTCTCAGAATTCTCAGCTTTTTATCTCAGGACGATACATTCACGAAGAGTAGAAGTACATTGTATATACTTTCATCTTCGCATCAAGGTTAAGGTGACTGAACTTTCATGGAAATTGAAATGATTAGCTTTGCTATCTCTGGTGAAGCGTTTTTAATCGTTCCCTTGTTGTGAAAAACTTCATATAATTCACTTGCATTTTCCAAGTACAATATCCACTTACTTGTGGATATTTTATTGCCTTCTATTAGAAAAAAAATTCATTATCCAGAATAAGAAACTCGATTGATCCGATTGTGGCGAGTTACTTACTTGTTACAGAACTGCCGTCGATATCAACAACTTCGCTCGAGTTATTTGAAGCCTTTTTATCTCTCCCAGCCTTCCCTCGGTCATCCACTGGATCATCACCCACGGCTTTCATTTCGCTGGATTTTCTGTCCCGAGATTGTTGACGGAAAGGTATAGGTTTTTCCTCGAGTTCCATTTAGCGAGAGATAGTGCATATGGTGCGCGTGATAGCTGACTTTTGGGATTAATAATAATAATATTTTTACCCGCGTGCGATTGGTCGAAACGCCTTACGTGACCTAATACCCCTAGCTATAATTGGGGAATATCCGAACATATAACCCAAATGATAGTTCTCCATTTTCGAACCTTACATCCAATACAGAAAACTCTGCATTTAAAATTTCTTTTAGGACGAGAGAGCGGTGTGTGGTTGTAGCAAAAGAACGAACATGTTTTTTTTGTTCGTAAAATCGTACCAGAGAACACTGGAAAGTGAACTTTCCAGGCCGTCAACAGTAAGCTGTTCGTAAACATTTTTCCCGCGCGCTGAGGAGTATTTGAAGAATAATAACCACACAGTGGCCTCCATTAGGCCCTAAAATATGCTCGTATATTTATCGTTGGACTTTATCTGGTTCTCGAAGATCACAGTTTTCCTCGAGCTTCGCCCTCAGAAAACTATTCCCATCTCAGAACAGATATTGTCGGCAGACAAACATTCGTGCATATTTTTGCGTCAAATGGCTATTATTTATTTATCCAGAGTCACAACAAATAAAACAATTCATCTTTTTCTTCCACGTTGTCGGGTTCCGCAAAATACGCTCATTCCAAATATAAAAATTATCATACACTGTATAACCAATAAATATCCTAAGTGCTGCGTGTTGAATTTAAGAATTTGTTCATGCTTACAGTGCGTATATCGAGCTATGGATGAACGCGGGAAGTTTGTGAACAAACGTCCCTATTGGCTGGTCAAAAACACGCCACATTTTATACTTTGGTTTGAGCGTGAACATTTGATTCAGTTAACCGATAACTGTGAATGAAAAGCTCTAAATTTACGGGGAAAGTGGAGAAAATCAAAGCCAAATGAACTCAAGTGTCCTTAAAAATGTTTTAAATGTCAAAGACCCGGTCTACCGACAAATTTGCGAAACGTGCAACTTGCGAGTTTTTTCGGATTTATGTTTTTTTGCTTGTTGGATCAGGACCTAAAAGGTCAATGCCGATAGGAAAATTGGCAAGTTCTTCACTGATTTCTTCCATATTTCAAAGAGAAGGGAAAATGCATTGCAGCTCACCAGGACGGAAACTCTGAAGCCAGGTTAAAAAAATGCTCACGTCATCTTACTTACGCACGGGCGTGCGTAAATAAAGGTTTTGTTCATAGTGGCTCATAGGACATATATAGGGCAAGCACGCGCATTGCAACGGAAAAACAGTCATTGAACAATATTGCGGGTTAGTATCACTACTTACCGTGCCATTAGAGTATCTCACGCGATACGCACCCGATATTAGAAAATAAAATAAAACAATTGCCTAATATCGTGGTTTAGTATCACTTATTTGAAATGTTATTATTAAGAATGCTTACAATACACGTACATCGTTAGTAATTTTTGATTATAATATAGCGCGTGTGCTTGTCCTATATAAGTCCTATTGAGCCGCTGTGAACAAAATCTTTATTTACGCACGCCCGTGCGTAAATACGATGACGTGAGCATTTTTTTTACCTGCAGCCAGAACTAAAAAATAACAGTTGCCCAAGAGAAAACTGCAAGTTTCCTGCTGTCTCTCTCCTCCGATTGCACCGTGCACGGTAGCGTAAACATTATTTTGGTCAATCAAAACCCTTGATAACTTCGGATCTTTGACTTTTAAAACATTTTTTAGTGACACTTGAGTTCGTTTGGCTTTGATTTTCTCCATTTTCCCCGTAAATTTTGAGCTTTTCATTCACAGTTATCGGTAAACTGAATCAAATGTCCTCGCTCAAACTAAAGAATAAAATGTGGCGTGTTTTTGACCAGCCAATAGGGAAGTTTATTTACTTTTTTGTGCGTTGTGAGAATTTTGCACTCTATCACAATAAAAGGCTTCTTCGCGCAGATCCTTTTTGTCGCTCTGCTATAAAAGAATTTGCTCATGCTTTTAGCGTGCGTATATCGAGTTATGGATGCACTTGGAAGTTTGGAGAGAACTCAAAAAGCTAGAGTTACTCTCGGCTGCGCCTCGAGCTACTCTTACGCATTTTTCGTGCTCTCCAAACTTCCTGCGTGCATCCATAACTCGATATACGCACTCTAAGCATGAAAAAATTCTTAAATGTTTGCGTGTTTGTATTATGAAAAAATATACTCTTAATTCGCGCTGGTTGGTAGTGGGATTGGTTACAGCCACAAAATTTCTCTTGTCAGAAGAAAGAAAAGATAAACACTCTTTATCTTGTTTGGCTGATTTTTTATTGAAAGACTTTTGTCAAAAATTACACTCATCTGAGGCGAAGCTAGAATTTTTGAAAGGAAGGTCGCGGTGACGAATTTCCGTGCGCCTTACTTAGTGTGGCTAATACAGTTGTTTACCTCGTGTTTCAGCACGCCCGCACATTCGTTCGAAGGATTATACAGATTCTTCAGATTCACGCGTTTAAGTTGAAGTGTAGAGAGTATTTGTTGTTCATAGACAGAATTATTTCACAACGGATAATAGGTGTCATGGAGAAGGCCCCTTCCTGTCTACTGCGTAACTTAGGATTTTAATTTCTAGGCGCCATTTCGATACATAAGCTTGAGCTCAAAGAGGCTTCTGAGGTCCTCAGTGTTAGGATTTCTTCTTGTTTCGAGTGCGGTACAAGTATATGGCGAAGTCGATAAACTCAATAATGGTGAGAATACTGCAGCCGAGAAACAATCCAAGATTGCCCCCAATTTCTCCTACAAAAAATGTTCAGATCACTGTGAGTAAATGGCGTTTGCTTCAACTGATCACCTCCATGAAGTAAGCAACTTGAATTCAACCACTGACACAGTGTTACATGAATGTTACGACTAACAAGGAATGGAGGCTACATCAGATGTCTAAGGCGGAAAGATTCACGACAAAGCATTGCCTATTTTGAGAAAAAGATTTACATATAAAAATCGGGGGTGTTCTGGAGATAACTTAAGAATAAAACCTCCTTGGAATAGAGTAGTATTCAACTGAGTAACGAACGCGATCCTGGATTGCTCTGGTTTTGGTTCAGTGATTGGTCTAAAAAAAACTTGCGCCACCTTCTCAACCAATCAAATGCCAAACCAAAGCCAATCCCAACTTGGAAACTATTATTTTCCCGCGCTTCAGGAAGGTTGTCTATTTTTATCATTAGTCAGTGACGACTTTAACTTTTTACCTGATTGGTAGCTGTGATCCCTTTGATGTTGGTTTCTCGACAATCAATTGAAAACTTCCATTAGACGTATATCGGAGATTGGTGTCGGAGCTTGATCTTCGCTGGACGAAAAACCATCATTGATGATAGGGAGTAAAACTACTTGCTTTTTTTTTTTCACTAGTGAAACAAACTCATGTAAAGATGTCCCACAGAAAACTGTAACTATATCAAGCTCGTGAACTACAACCACAGCCGGACTAACTTCTCAGCATGTTCCGGTACGATTATCAAGGAACTCAAATGTTAATGTTCTTTCATAAAATCGTGAGAATAACTGAAACCAACTTACCCATGAGTGCCTGTGTATTATATTGGGACTTCTGCTTGAGAACCTCATAACTATTTGTCGTGTAAGCAACTTGGAGTTTGATCAAGTTCTTTCTGCAAAGAAAAAACGCACAGAGATAAAAATGTAAAGACATCATAGTAAAATTTTTTTAAAAAAATCCGAGTTTTCTATACATATCATACATACAGCTTCATAATATATCGTAACTCATGAATGCAAATCTGTGTCCGTAGGTGGGAAAGTTCCCTCAATCCATAGCAGCTACTCCGCCTCAATTTTCTGGGTTGCTGCTCTCGGAGTTGTGCAAGGAACTTGCTTGCGCAAAAGACATATATTTTAATACCTCCATATGTTAGACCCTGTACAACAACCATTCAGTCTCAGTGAGAGGGTTTCAGGAGGGAAGTCTTTGCTCCATGAAAACATGAAAACATACTCAATACATTGCACGAGTCACTAGGACTAAGTCATGGACGATGGCTTTCTTGCATTTCAGTGGGGACAAATTTATAAATAAAACCAACATCTTTATGAAATTCAGGTGAAAAAGTTTAAGGGATTGAGAAGTATTTGTTCCCTTGGAAACCGACTAAATGGCTCAAAAGACTAATGGAGGTTTGTGAAGCAAAAACTCATTCCAAGTAGAAAATGTGAGGTTAGGTAAACAAAATGTAAGAACAAAACTACTGATCACAATAAAACGATGCACACAAAAAAAAAACGTAGCAACGAATGGGCCGCACTCGATTCATAGAACTACAGAAATTGTTGCAAAAAGTTCATAATTTAGAAGCATAAACTAAATAGTTGCACAACAAGTTATAACACTTAGGTTTTCACTTTTTTACTTACTTTCATCGAATGTTTCACATACTCTTCAGCAGTCTAGCTACATTTGACATACCTCAGATAGTCATCTGTCCTGTTATATCCTCTCGTTTGCAATATTTTTATGAGTGATGGGTTCGGAAAAGCTGTTACAAGCGAGGGGACAGTCACATTTTAAAGTTCCTGCCACCATCTCTGTATCAGACAATACATATGATTGCATGTTATTATACATTATTAAAAAATGGATCATTGGATAATGCAATTCAAGAGTTTACATTGGCTTGGCCATCATGGGTTACGAGCCATTATACCATACACGATCATGAAGACGAGTTAACGGGTAACGGATTCTAATGACTGTAGCAATGGGGTACTGGAAGTACTTATAAATGCTGCGATACATGGAATAAAGAACCAAGGCGGAGAAAGCCAATAAGAGAACGCGCCAAAATATCCGCACGTTAGGAGAGGACCGAACAAAAACGTTTCTGAGGCTGTAATCACTCCACGTTTCTCTTCTTGCACCTTCACCTTTGGCGTGAGGACTATCTTGAATGTAGAACGTTTTCACTGGAATATCCTCAACGATGGCTTTTCGTAAGGTTGGAAAAAAACACATTTTTCAAATAAGCTGGCGTTAAGAGAACCAATAACCACAATTATCGGTAAACCGTAGTCACATGTAACCATATAATCTTAAAATAGTACTCTTAAGACACTAAGAGGGAGCACTTCTTAAGGATATTCGATTTGCACTAATAGTTAACACGGTATCTCAATCCACGCTCCCTAACTCCAACTAAAGAAGTGTTCATCGGCCGAAATTTTAACCATACTAAGCAGTGTTTGTTGTCGTATATTTTAAATGTTATCAAATCATGCAGCACGATTGTTCAATAAAGCAGTCCAATTAGATTGTCATTAAGAAACACCCGACGGGTCCAATCTTAAGAACAGAAACAAACAAAAAGAACTCTATGGTCCTTAAAATGATCAACGGTTAGTCCTTAGTCGAACGAGGCGACATCTTTTCGAGTTGTATCGGAGGATCGTACCTCATGATCAAAGAAAAGGATATAACAGGATAGATGAGTATCTGAGGTATGTCAAATGTAGCAAGACTGCTGAATAGTATGTGAAATATTCGATGAAAGTAACTAAAGAAGTGAAAACCTAAATGTTATAACTTGTTGTGCAATTATTTAGTTTATGCTTCTAGATTATTAACTTTTTGTAACAATTTCTGTAGTTCTATGAATCGAGTGCGGCCCATTTGTTGCTAAGTTTTTTTTGTGCATCTTTTTATTGTGACTAAGTGATACTAAACCACAATATTAGGCAATTGTTTTATTTTATTTCCAATATCGGGTGCGTATCGCGTGAGATACTCTAATGGCACGGTAAGTAGTGATACTAACCCACAATATTGTTCAATGACTGTTTTTCCGTTGCAGTGCGCATTGTTGCCTTAAATATGTCCTATTGAGCCACTCTGAACAAAATCTTTATTTACGCACGCCCGTGCGTAAATAAGATGACGTGAGCATTTTTTTTAACCTGGCTTCAGAGTTTCCGTCCTGGTAAGCTGCAATGCATTTTTCCTTCTCTTTGAAATATGGAAGAAACCAGCCAAGAACTTGCCAATTTTTCCATCGGCATTGACCTTTTAGGTCCTGATCCAAAAAGCACCAAAAATAAATCCGAAAAAAAAACTCTCAAGTTGCACGTTTCGCAAATTTGTCGGAAGACCGGGTTTTTGACTTTTGATTAAGATTTTGTTCATGCTTAGCGTGCGTATATCGAATTATGGATGCACGCTGGAAGTTTGAAGAGAATATCCGAACATATACCCCAAATGATAGTTCTCAATTTTTTAACCTTACATCCAATACGGAAAAATTTCCATTTGAAGTTTCTTTTAGGACGAGAGAGCGTTGTCTGGTTACCTTTTATTGTGATAGAATGCAAAATTCTCACAACGCACCAAAAAAAGTAAACAAACTTCCCTATTGGCTGGTCGAAAACACGCCACATTTTATACTTTGGTTTGAGCGAGAACATTTGATCCAGTTAACTGTGAATGAAAAGCTCAAAATTTAAGGGGAAAGGGTTTTAGATTTAGATTTTTTGCGGCCTTGATTGTTTTGGTTTTGTTAAATTCCCAATTAACAACTGTGTACTTTACTCCCCAGGTTGAACAAATTTAAAAACAACAATAAAAACGGAAATTTTACCTTTAAATGTTGTTAATGACCAACTGGTGACTTTCGGCCAACATTTACAGTAGCTGGTCTTCCGACAAATTTGCGAAATACGCAACTTGCGAGTATTTCCGGCTTTATTTTTGTTGCTTGTTGGATCAGGAACTAAAAGGTCAATGCCGATAGAAAAATTGGGCAGTTCTTCGCTGGTTTCTCCCATGTTTCAATAAGAAGGAAAGCTGCGCTGCAGCTTAACAGGAGGGAAACTCTAAAGCCAGGTGAAAAAAATGTTCATGTCATCTTATTTACGCACGGACGTGCGTAAATAAAGATTTTGTTGATAGAGGCTCAATAGGACTTATATAGGGCAAGCACGCGCGCTATGTTATAAAACATTTTTAAGGACACTTGAGTTCATTTGGCTTTGATTTTCTCCACTTTCCCCATAAATTTTGAGCTTTTCATTCACAGTTATCGGTTAACTGAATCAAATGTTCTGGCTCAAACCAAAGTATAAAATGTGGCGTGTTTTTGACCAGCCAATAGGGACGTTTGTTTACTTTTTTCTGCGTTGTGAGAATTTTGCACTCTATCACAATAAAAGGCTTCTTCGCGCTGATCCTTTTTGTCGCTCGGTTATAGAAGAATTTGCTCGTGCTTTAAGTGTGCGTATATCGAGTTATGGATGCACTTGGAAGTTTGGAGAGAACTCAAAAAGCTAGAGTTGCTCTCGGCTGCACCTCGAGCTACTCTTACGCATTTTTTATGCTCTCCAAACTTTCTGCGTACATCCACAACTCGATATACGCACGCTTAGCATAAACAAATTCTTAAATGTTTGTGTGTTTGTATTATGAAAAAATATACTCTTAATTCGCGCTGGTTGGTAGTGAGATTGGTTACAGCCACAAAATTGCTCTTGTCAGAAGAAAGAAGAGATAAACACACTTTATCTTGTTTGGCTCACTCATCTGAGGCGAAGCTAGAATTCTTGAAAGGAAGGTCGCGGTGGCGAATTTCCGTGCGCCTTACTTAGTGTGGCTAATACAGTTGTTTACCTCGTGTTTCAGCACGCCCGCACATTCGTTCGAAGGATTATGCAGATTCTTCAGATTCACGCGTTTAAGTTGAAGTGTAGGGAGTATTTGTTGTTGACAGACAGAATTATTTCACAACGGATAAGTGTCATGGAGAAGGTCCCTTCCTGTCTACTTCGTAACTTAGGATTTTAATTTCTAGGCGCCATTTCGATAAATAAGCCTGAGCTCAAAGAGGCTTCTGAGGTCCTCAGTGTTAGGATTTCTTCTTGTTTCGAGTGCGGTACAAGTATATGGCGAAGTCGATAAACTCAATAATGGTGAGAATACTGCAGCCGAGAAACAATCCAAGATTGCCCCCAATTTCTCCTACGAAAAATGTTCAGATCACTGTGAGTAAATGGCGTTTGCTTCAACTGATTACCTCCATGAAGTAAGCAACTTGAATTCAACCACTGACACAGTGTTACATGAATGTTATGACTAACAAGGAATGGAGGCTACATCTGATGTCTAAGGCGGAAAGATTCGCGACAAAGCATTGCCTATTTTGAGAAAAAGATTTACATATAAAAATCGGGAGTGTTCTGGAGATAACTTAAGAATAAAACCCCCTTGGAATAGAGTAGTATTCAATTGAGTATCGAACGTGATCCTGGATTGCTCTGGTTTTGGTTCAGTGATTGGTCTAAAAAAACTCGCGCCACCTTCTCAACCAATCAAATGCCAAACCAAAGCCAATTCCAACTTGGAAACTATTATTTTCCCGCGCTTTAGGCGGGTTGTCTATTTTTATTATTAGTTAGTGACGACTTTAACCTTTCATCTGATTGGTACTTCCATTAGATGTATATCGGAGATTGGTGTCGGAGCTTGACGAAAAACCATCCTTGATGAAAAGGATGCATTTTTTTTTTCACTAGGGAAACAAACTCATGTAAAGATGTCCCACAGAAAAACGGTAATTATATCAAGCTCATGAACTACTACTGCAGCCGGACCAACTTCTCAGCATGTTCCGGTACGATTATCAAGGAACTCAAATGTTAATGTTCTTCAAAAAAACGTGAGAATAACTGAAACCAACTTACCCATGAGTGCCCCACTATCATATTGTGACTTCTGCTTGAGAACCTCATAACTATTTGTTGTGTAAGCAACTTGGAGGTTGATCAGGTTCTTTCTGCAAAGAAAAAACGCACAGAGATAAAAATATAAAGACATCATAGTAAAATTTTAAAAAAAAATCCGAGTTTTCTATACATATCATATATACAGCGTCATAAGATATCGTAATACATGACACATGAATGCAAATCTGTGTCCGTAAGTGGGCAAGTTCCCTCAATCCATAGCAGCTACTCTGCTTCAATTTTTTTTGGGTTGCTGCTCTCGGAGTTGTGCAAGCAAAAAATCATTCCAAGAAGAAAATGTGAGGATAGGTGAACAAAATGTAAGAACAAAACTACTGATCACAATAAAACAATGCACACACGAAAAAAAACTAGCAACAAATGGGCCGCACTCGATTCATAGAACTACAGAAATTGTTATAAAAAGTTCATAATTTAGAAGCATAAACTAAATAGTTGCACAACAAGTTATAACACTTAGGTTTTCACTTTTTTACTTACTTCCATCGAATGTTTCACATACTATTCAGCAGTCTAGCTACATTTGACATACCTCAGATAGTCATCTGTCCTGTTATATCCTCTCGTTTGCAATATTTTTATGAGTGATGGGTTCGGAAAAGCCGCAGTAGTTGTTGTTGTTTCGTAACTGACCACGTCACAAGCGAGGGGACAGTCACATTTTAAAGTACCTGCCAACATCTCTGTATCAGATAATACATATGATTGCATGTTATTATACATTATTAAAAACTGGATCATTGGATAATGCAATTCAAGAGTTTACATTGGCTTGGCCACCATGGGTTATGAGCCATTATACCATGCACGCAAATTAAGACGAGTTAAACTGGACTTAAACTGTTTTTGAAACATTCCGTTTGTTCTTACAAAGTAAAGTTGGGAAGATTTAATAAAACAATTATTCCACTCACGCGTTGGATATGCGGTGTTTAAAACAACTCAGCCCTACGGGCCTCGTTGGCTATCTATCATCTCATATCCAACGCACGCTTGTTTATTATTATGTATGAATCTTCATTTTTTTGGCCAATAATTTCATATAAAGTGGATACCAGTCCTCAAACCCATTTTCCTGTATATTGTGACCATAAAGCTAATGGTTTGAACCCGGAGATAGAGAACATTTGATCGTGTAGTATGATCATCCAGGTGAGGGTAGCCCTGAGAGGAAATGTTCTTGGAAGAGGTGATTGACGATATTAAATCGATTTTCAGAGTAATAAATCACAATATCATATCAAAAAAACGTTTGTCTGAAACAGCCTTGATCAGGCCTACAGAAAGACAGACAGAGAGACTGACAGAGAGGCAGACAGACCGTTATTCTTCGGTGGTTGGGTCTGACTGTGCTGTGGCACAGCACAGTCAGACCCAACCACCGAAGAACAACAACACACATTAATTGAGGAGTCCAGACAAACAACAGGAGGCGAGATGGAAGGAAATAGCCTGTTTATTTTACCAACCAGAAAATACGTCGATAGGGCAAGGTCCGTCATCCCTGAAGCAGATCCGATCGTTAATTAAGCGATCTGAGAAAAAACAAATATCATCATCATTAAACCATTTCATGAAAAGGAAATGATCCCACAGTTCTTAACAATACGATGCCGGATAATCAACACTACTCTTCTATGAAATTCCATAAGTCCTCGCAAGATGTTATCTTCCAACGTTGATAGGAACACCACGCCCATAATACAAGTGATCAATTACATAAACGTAAACCATACGGTATACTAACACGAGTTCCTGCGTTGTTTGTACTACATCCCAACTACACCCACAAGCTGTAAGCTACTTTTTTCCTAACTGATCACCCTGCATTTATATTGATAAATTTGAGTTACATTAAAAGTGCCAACGTGTCCAATGGTCGATCATTCAATCTCCATTATATTTCCCTAACATAAAGGACAGTGTAAACGCACACCAATCACTTAGATAGAGTAAAGAGATCCATTAAATTGATAAAACAAAATTAGCGAAGAATATTCAAACGGCAAAAAAAGAAGGGATGAATAGAAATGACAACATCAAGGAGAGCTTAAGCAGTTTTTTTCCTTACCAGGATCACTTGGTAATCTACAGCCGCATTTCCTTGCTGTTTCATTTGATATACATTCGTAATAACATCCGTCAGAGTCGTACTTTGGAAAACCTTTAAGCTTTTTGTTGTCGGTGCATTTTGTTTCATAGGGCGATCTCTTGTTTGTATACTTTGAAACAAAAACAAACGAACAGACCATGAGACAGGACTTTCCTCCGTCTAAGGTGCTACTGCAAATAGCTGTACGATGCAAGTCTGAGTAAGTGAATGGTGACCTTTGGTACTTTTTGATTGGTCACTTATGTAAAGTCGATCCTGGTAGTTTCTCGGCTTATTTGGCGAACTGAACAAATCGTTTTCAGGGTGTTACACCTTTAATATGCTAGATATTGGACAGAGATTTCAAAATTCATAACTTATATTTGAGAAGTGGAGTTTGAAAGGGTGGATTCAACACACTCCTTTCCCCTCTTTATACGACTTTGGGTTGATTATTAATAGTTATATACAGTTTTTTTATTACCTCCTTCCGTTTGACACTGATCTGAGCATAACTCCCTGGAGCCACCAGGACATTTTTGGCGGGGTTTATGTAAACACCCTGATCATGGACAATGATCCGGATGCCCTCAGAGAAAGCCCCAACTAAGTGGTCATTCAAATTGAGGTCTAATATCATCGACAGACCGGTAGATGTATCGCCATAAGATACGTTCATTGCTTCCTTGCCATCCCTCCCGGAGTTGAATGTGAAGCACACCCCATGGTCACTCATAGTGGGGATAAAATCTTTGTAAGTGCAACCTCCATTCCGCAGTGCAGCAAAAATACACGTCCCGGGAATGATCATTCGCCACAGACTTGGACCATAGGCTTGTTGGAATTTTTTGTCATCGAACAATTTCTTGTCTTTCCGAATGATCTCCTGGAGTTCCTTCTTGTAGTCATCGGTACAATTACTGAGAGCCACCGAAACGTCCTCGGCGCTGTGATCTGAGCAACAGCACAGCAAGGCCTCCCCACAGGGCCTCCCCTTTCTGACATGCGCTGTTGCTTTGCAGGAGGGTAAGTCCAGCCCTAGTGATTCAAACTGTGGATTATCGTCTGTCATGAAAATTTTAGTCCTCGTAAACGATGTCATTGGGCACAAACTAACCGCAGGAAATCGCATTCCCTCTTCTGGGTAACGGATTCTAATGACTGTAGCAATGGGGTACTGGAAGTACTTATAAATGCTGCTGTACATCGAATAAAGAACCCAGGCAGTGAAAGCCAGCAAGAGAACAAGCCAAAATATCCGCACATAAGGAGAGGACCGAACAAAAACGTTTCTGAGGCCATGAAGGCTTGAGCTTTCTGCAAAATCACTCCACTTTTCTCTTCTTGCACCTTCACCTTTTGCGTGAGGACTATCTTGAATGTAGAACGTTTTCACTGGATTATTCTCAACGTTGGTTTTTTCTAAGAAGTAAAAAAGCCCAAAATTTTTCAAATAAGCTGGTGTTAAGAGAACCGATAAGAAAAAACCGTAGTCACATGTAACCATGTAATCTTAAAATATTGTTCTGAAGATACCAAGGGGAAGCACTTCATAAGAATATTTGATTTTTACCAATAATTAACACGGTATCTCCATCCACGCTCCTTAACTCCAACTAAAGAAGTGTTTATCGGCCGAAATTTTAACCATACTAAGCAGTGTTTGTTGCTGTACATTTTAAACGTTACCAAATCACACTGCACGATTGTTCAATAAAGCAGTCCAATTAGATTGTCATTAAGAAACACCCGACCGGTCAAATCTTAAGAGCAGAAACAAACAAAAAGAACTCTATGGTCCTTAAAATTATCAACGGTTAGTCCCTAGCCGAACGAGGCGAAATTTTTTCGAGTTATATTGGAGGATCGTACCTCATGTTCAAAAAAGATTCCAGCGTAGCTGATGGTTAAGAAAGACTGTACCAGCGACAGGTGAAATATTAAAACGCTTTACAAAACGATATGACGTGAAAAAAACCATGAGAGCTCAGCCGGAAAAGAAAAAGAATTGTTGGAAAATTTTGATCTCTCTTCTGACTGTTAGCACTTTATCGAATGATCACATATATTTTGTTAGGTGTTTTCTAACATACTTGTTGTGGTTCAATTTTATCCTTGGTTCAAATTTTATTTTCTTTTGTTTTTGGGTATTGTAATGTATGATAATGAGTTTGAACAAAGGAAAATAGGATTTGAACCAAGGATAAAATTAAACCACAACATACTTGTTTACATAGCGGGAGAGGAATCAAGGCCCAGTTCAAACGTCGAACTTCACAAGACACAAACCAGAATGGGAGAATTAAGTCCATGTTAAGTGTGACGATTGAAGCAGTTGAGTTGAGTCAAATATTGATAAAACGTACGAAGATGGACTGTGGGATAAGCTTCGATCTTTTCACGAATCGAACTTGATGGGTAAACAAAAAAAAATGCCTTGTTTGAAATCCTACAGACCGAAAGATTTATTCTTGCCGCTCTGAATTGGTTCGACGAATTATAGTGTTCGATACTTGACCTTACGGTGGAACTTTTCCTGTTCGGGTGGACCAAAATGGTAATCTAGTTCTTTTCAAATGAAGCTCAACTTTTTAACTGTACCTATCGTTGATTATAATCCTGTGTGAAGAACTTAACGCTGAGCTGCACCCCTTTGCGAAGGAAAAGTCATTGTGGGAGCAAACATTGTAATGACGGAGCATAATGTAGCATAGCATAATAGTCTTCGAGTACGTATCTATATTTTGTATAATTATTTCAAAATCGAGTCGGCCAAGCTTAAAATTGGCGAGGTATTGCATCAATTAAATGCTGACATCAACCAAAGAAAAAAAACTAACGGGCCTGCATGGATAGATTTTATTTTTTATTTCTATCACGCGTTTGGTAGCTCAAAAAATTGTCATAACTATAAAACTCAATACAATGGTGGTAATAGGGTTGGGAAAAATAAGCAGCCTAATGCAGTTTATGAATATTAAAGTTTATCTTTGTCGTGCCAAAATTGAATATTAAAGAGAGATGCTTTAAGTCGCAAATCGAAGACACCTTCTCGTTTAAATTAGGTTAAATTATATATTCTCGGCGTCTAGAAGATCCGGTAAAACGTTCTCGCTAAGATATTACATTCACTGAATCTCAGGGTGAGGGAAATATTCATGAAAGAGACCATCACGCTATTTCAATTTTCCTCATTAATTTCACTTTAAATCAATTGACTGAACGCGAACGAAAACTTAATCAGTAGCATTCTCGCTCTTTCGGAAACGTTTCCATAATGATAAGGATTACATGCTTTCTTCTAAAATCATCTACCTTTAAACGCTTGTTTGTTTTGACAGAAATACGTGCTATAATTAACTGTGTTTACCAGTAAAACCACTACTTTGTAAACCTTGGTTCGATGAAGTCGTGAGTAGCACCTGACTACAATCAGCTGTTTCATTCGATTCGAAAGACATCTTATTCACACGATGAAGCAAACTCCATTACAGAATTTGTACAAGAATGACCTTACCTAGACTCGAACCGTTGTCAACATCTAAGCTCGTAAACACATCAATAACATGACTTGAGTTGTTTGGGCCATTTTCAAATTTTACGGTCTCTTCTTGGTCCTCCACCGAATTGATACCTACAGCTTTCTTGTAGCTGGGTTTTCTTTCGCGAGATTTCTCATGAATATGGGTAAGTTTTCCTTCCATCAAGCTGCTACAAACAATGCTTGAATTTCTATCGCGTCGTGAATTATTCGGTGAGTCACGCGATGAGCGATCTTCGACCTAAGCTTTGTGACACTCCTAATCGTGTCCAGTCTCCTGAAAGAATTGTGCAAGTCACGCAAGAGAAAATTCAACATCATTTCCAGTAGACCACGTCACCTGAAGAAGATTAGCAGTATACAATTGGAACGTCGCGTTTGATCATATGCATACGTTAATCAGCGCTATAGAACTACCAAATATTTCTATTAATGTCATTATTTTACATCAGAAAGTGATTACATTTCGAGAAAACGATGAAATTTTATTTCTAGAGCATCCGCCAAGATTAATTCTAGTTCCACAAGCTTTTTTTACGATATCAACAGAAATTCTCTTTTTCATGCCAAGCACAAAATTTCCAACATCATGAAGAATGTTACGTATGGAGCGAACGTTTAAGGTTGATGTCTCAATTCTACTACTTAAACGTACTTGCTGATAAAAGATAAGCTCTGAGGATAAATAAAGGCATTAATTAAGTCACGGCTCCAGTAGCTTGCAAACAACTTCTGGCAAAGCAGCCAGTTACATGAAATGGCTTTATTTGTGCATTTCTATAAAAAAAAATAGCTGTCGTGCTTTTTACGGGTTAAAGGAGAGTCTCTCTCTGCAAAGTCAGGCATTTAACCCTTCAATCCCTAACATCAGAAGGAATATTCTCCATACTGTTTTCTAAACATTTCCTATGGTAGTGACAAGGAGAATTTGTTTAACAATCAAGAGATTCTTTAGTTGGTGATCATTTCCTTTATTCTCATGACCTTAAAGTGTGATTTAATAATGTAATAATATAATAATGTAGGGAGAAATTAGATGCTAGTCTCTCTTAGAGTTTAAAGGGTGAAAAAATGCTTTGGTCCTATGATTCTTGATGAGTTATATCGCTAAGCAGTTATTTTTTTTTTTGCGTTGGCTTGAAAAGGTTTCATTTGTTTATATAATCAAATAATGAAAATTTAAACTTACCCCTTGCAAAGTTTAATCAACAGTGTGTTCTTGTGAAAGAACTGCAGTGGAAATCAAATAAACACCCAAAAATAGCCTCCTCTAACTTTAAACGATTTTTAATTTCCACCTGTTAATTTTACTGAGTGATGTCCTTTCACACAGAAAATCAAATTCAAAACAAAACTAAGGTTTACCTACACAAGTCTTCTGACGGGAAAACTGCAAGTAATTTTGACAATTTTTAGGAAAGAGAAAAACGTCGGTGATATGTTCTTTGTACTTGTGCAAACACTATCGACAATTGATAATTTCCTTAGTTTTGTTTTAAGTTTCAATACGTCAATACACACGATATCTCCCGGGGTGACTACTTGTACTTTGCTGAGAGGAGTAATTATTTATATTTTGTTGATTCATGTAGTTTTTCAATTTTTTCACGCATTGTTATGTTTTGTAAACTTTGAGAATCTAAAGACCTTGACCATGCACGTACGTGCTCACCATAAATTCGACACAGGTGGGAAATTTTTGCATATAGCACTTTTAGTGGTGATTGAGTTTTTAAGACAAATTCCTCTTAAACTAAAAATACCGATGCTGGCGACATGATTTAGTCTTTTCCTTTTCTGATTCAAGTTTTTAAGAACATTTTACTGGGCGCATCACTTCAGTTTGATCTGCCCTGTGACCAGTTGAGAGCTAAGCTAAGGTTATCGCTTCAGAGGTACCCCGAAGATACGACTAAGTAAGCAGCGTGAAAGGGCAAGAAAACCTTCTGTCACCCACACCTATCAATGATCGTCCTCTTGGATGACTGTGCTATCACCTTAGGCTTTAGAAAAAAAACCTATCGCAAAGTGTGGTTTGTTCCGCTTTCCCTCCGCTTAAAAGCGGTTATAAAAAAAATCTATATAATTTTCATGTCTACGCATTGTTACAACTAGTATACAAAAAGAGAAAAAACATGACATTAATCTAGTTCAATTTTAAATCCAATCAAAGACATTTACGAAAAATCTCTTCGAGAGGTGATTTTACATTTTGAAGGAGAAACAAATGCATCTTTAACAGTTAGACCGAGTAATCTGGTGAAGAGCTAAGAACAGATGATTTGAGAATTCGATTTATTCTACACGCTTTGAACTTGTCATCAATTATATCATGCAGGCAATATTATTTATGTTATGAATAGGATCAGCGCCACGCCCCGATAAATTAAAAAAATGTCAAATCAAAAATTCAAAAGAAAAGGTTTTTTGGGTTCACAGATATCGCCATACTTAAAAGGAATCAATGCCATGACCACGCAAATTTTTCTCTCGAAAGACAAAAACACTTGTTTTCACCAAATGTAAAAAAAAATGTTATTTATCACTTTGTCTGGGAAAAAAGTGTACTCGATATCATGGTCAAATGAATGCAAAACTGGTATTGAATCAATTATTTAAGAGAGGAAAGTCTTGCCTCTTAAGTCGCACATGCGCGAAAATAATCTCTTCTTAATAAAGTAGAGGGCAATTATTGTTTGCCTCAGTAAAGATTCAAACAGCCTTTGAACCTTAAGCGTTGAACCCCACAGTTCCTTGCAAGGTAAATATCGATTTTAGTTGATTCAAAATTAAAGCCTCACGTTTTCGTAGAATTTTTCCGAAAATATTCGGACGTCAGCAAGGCAAGTATTCATGTGAGAAAGTCAATTCGTAATGAGATCATCTAAGTACACCTTGATTTAGTAGAGTACGTGCATATATCTGCTAAATAAGGTCCTGTTGTATGCTTAAATTTTTATATTTATCTAGAAGTTAATATAACATGAAGAGTCCCATGTAAAATCCCATGATAACACAGGTCAAAATTTATTTAACGTGCATTTATGTCATTTACTCCACCATGAACAAATACGAATTTAAACTGAACTTAAACTGATGTTGTCTATGTATGTCAATTAGTTTTTAAACTAACTGACATACATAGAGTTACTAAAATAAACCAAAGCTTAAACCTGTTTAAAAGCTGGTTTTTTTAAACACGATCTCAAATTTTTTTCCTCATACAAGCTGCATAAACTCATGTTTGTCACCTTTAAATGTAACACCTGGCATTGAAAATACAAGTTAGTTATTAATTGAATCCTATTGGAAATCGGGATTTTTATTACTCTGTTTCTGATTTCATTCAGTTAAACTTACTTTAGCTAAAAATGTTTTACTGGTGCGAATCTGCTCAACTTATTTTCAAAATTATGGAGACGAGTTGTCGTCTTCAGATGAAGCATATTGAAAATGCAAATTGGCAATTACTAGAATCCTATGGAAGACTAAGTTTTGCAGTCCTCTGTCCCTGATTTTTATTCAGTTAAACCTACTCCAACTAAATATGTTTTGCTGGTGTGAAGGTATAAGTTTGAATATGCTCAACTTTTTTTTGTGGAGATGAGTTGATACAACCCATAGAGTGTATTTGTACGTAAAGGTATCCCACAGTAACGCATAGTACATCAGAGAGGGCCAAATATAGAAAATAATGGTCAATTAATCCAGTATGGACAGAAACTAGCTTCAGTGGCTTAAAAAAAGGAACTGTAACAGCTACAGACTCACCTTAGTTCCCAAAGATAAAGGGTGAAAGGAGTTAAAAATTATTTTTGTCACTGAATTGACAAAATCTTCATTACATCATTACTTGATTTTCCTTAGAGTTCACAAGCAGGTGCCATTAGGATGGATTTAGTAGTATTACGTAATCATCATTATTAGGTAATTTTGGTTTTTATCGACTGACTTGACTTGGACACCATAAAGAGTTTCAAAGCTGACGTTTCAGGCGTTAGCCCTTCGTCAGAGCGAATAGAGGGATTGTGAGTTGTGTGTGTGTGTTTATATACAGAAAATAAAGTGGGAAAACGACGACGAGAAAAAAAAAGAATTAAAAACAAGTATATATTGGCTAAATGAAAAGCGTTCGTTGATACTGTGGGGATTCATAGTACCGACTTGAAAGATAAATTTTTGTTCAAGAAGTATGCAACGTTCCGAACTGTCTTGATGTATAGGAAGGCCGCAGACTTCCAAGTGCTGCTTAGAATGATTAGGGAGATTTCAGTGTCTGTCAACTGGTTTGGATGCGTCCCTTTCATTCCTTTCTATGTCGCATAGGTGTTCCGCGAATCGGTCACCAAGTCGTCCTCCTGTTCCACCAGTGCATATCTTTTTTGACAAAGTGCAAGTTATGCAGTAGATGACATTGAAGTGATCAGTTATCTTAATGGATATTTGGGTCCCGATATTTAATCAACGTTATGAATGAAACGGCAAGTTTTGTATCTTGCGCATTTGAAAGCACCGGGTCATTTTACCCTCACAAGAACTGCGTGGGTTTTTTTTGAGGGTGAATGTGAGAGTAAATAAAATGATAAAGGAATTTTTCCTTCAGTGACGTTTATTGTACTGACTGTCGGTGAACTTTTTGGGCGCGGAGGTAGCCCGCTTCAGCGAAAGAAACAGAAAAAAGACATAACTAGATAAAAGACGAAAAATGCTTTTGTCGCGTTTTAATGAAAGTAGTGGAGGTTGCGAAAAGATAGTTCAAGTCTCTGAATCGTTTTGAAGTAATTTAAAGTTTTTAAGAATGGGAGATTTAACTGCGTGGTTGTGAGGGTGAAATGTGAGAGTGAATGGAATGTGATCAGTATTTTCCTTCTGAGGCGTTTGTAGTGCTGACTGTCGATCAAATTTGTTGGGCGCAGCGGTGGCCCGCATGAACGACAGAAACAGGAAAGCCATATTTATCGAAAAACTGGCACATTGCCTGTGATTTTTCGGAAAAATCAGAGTCGTCACTACATAAACGACGAAGCATAGGAAACTGAGAAAAGGGAATGGAATTCTTGACGCGTTGATGAATACAACAAGTAACTACGTGAGTCTATAGCTTTATAGTGAACACTAGCGCATAAATTGTCACTTTAAATTGAACTCTGGTGTCTAAAGGGATAAAGAGTAGACGGAAATTTTCCAGGTATATTTTAAAGCAAAGTGAAAAGAATTGGCTGCGGCTATAAATTGAGTTAGCTCCTCTCTGTTAGAGGAGCTAGCGCCGTTACAGTCGTCACTATAGCGACCGTAGAGTTCAGGTTCGGGGCCAAGACGTATTGACTGAAAAATTGGTGTTCGATAAAACCTACGAAAATATTGATCTCCGAATTGAAAGAAATTGAGTGCAGGCGCGAGTTCGGCTAAACGGAGTAGCGTTTCATAACTAGGCTCCTTACCAGTACGTTGATCAAAAAAATGTTTGTGGGCCAGGAGAGCTTCACCATTGGGAATGACAGAACTGAATAATAATAATAATAATAATAATAATAATAATAATAATAATAATAACCAGTATTTATGTAGCGCACATATCAAAAAGAACTCTCTTGGCGCTTTACAATAGGTATAAGAAATTAATTAAAACTAATTTAAAAATGAACTCAATAACTGCCGATAAATATATAAAATAAAAATGTTTTTAGATTCTTTTTAAATAAAGGCAGTGTTCCAACATTTCTGACGTGGTTAGGCAGGCCATTCCACAATTTTGGTGCAGAGACTGAGAATGTTCTCTCACCATTTGTTTTTGTTCTTGATGTTGGTGTTGCTAGGAGTCCTGGAGAACTTGAGCGCAACGCTGGAGATGATTTTCTCTCCTGTAATAGTTCAGAGACATACCCAGGGCACAGTCCATGACGAGCTTTGTAGACAAGGAGTAAAATTTTGAAAACAACCCGATACGAAACAGGAAGCCAGTGAAGTTGCAGCAATAAAGGGGTGATGTGATCGTGCTTGGATGAACAAGTGACTAGTCAAGCAGCTGTGTTTTGAATCCTCTGCATTTTGTTAACTTGATATTTGGGCAGACCAAAGTAAAGATGGTTGCAGTATTCTAGCTTTGTAGTTACAAAAGCATGTATAACCTTAGAAGTGGCCTCATCTGTCAGATATTTACGAATTTTAAACAGATTTCTTAACAAGAGAAATGAAGTTCTACAAAGTTGATTTATCTGATAATTGAACGATATTTCCCGGTCAAAGATGATTCCAAGATTAGTAACTGTTCTAGCCATAGTGAGTTGTTCATTACCAAGGATGATCTCGTCCAGTGAAGGGCTATTCCGAAATTCAGAGTGAATTAATAATATGTCAGTTTTCTCTTTCTTAAGCTTTAGCTCGTTTCGCTCCATCCATAAGCAAATGTCAGATACACAGTCAGCAATCCGGTCAGTAATCGAGTCAATGTCATCATTTTTGAAGGCCACATAAAGCTGGGTGTCGTGTGCGTACAGATGGTAGTTTAGTTTGTGCTTTTTGATTACTTCAGAAATGGTTATGGTATACATCAGATACAGAACAGGTCCCATAACGGAGCCCTGAGGCACTCCTATCAATAGATCACGATAGTTTGACCGCGAATGCTCGATGTTGAAAAACTGCATGCGATCATGTAGGTAATCTTTAACCAATTCCAGGCGGTATCACTAATGCCGAAATGCTGATACAATCTTGTGAGAAGAATCTCATGATTGACGGTGTCGAAAGCCGCAGACATAACTAACAGCACCAGGATGACATTATGGCCGCTGTCCACAGAAAGCAAGATGTCGTTGTGAACTATAATGAATGCCGTCTTTGTGCTGTGCAAGGTTTTGTAAGCAGATTGTAAGGGCTCGTGTAAATACAAGACGTCTTAGGAGCGGTGATGTTGAGATTTTTTGCGGTAGTCGGCAAGTCATTATTAGCGATTGTGATGAGAAAGTTAATACCGAGAAGAGCTGTAAAATGCAAAGAAATTTTGTTGTGAATAGCATTGGGTAGTTAGCTTACGCACAGCAGTAATGCTCCATACAATATGGTACACTCATTAGGATAGTTAACAACAAGCGAATCGAGAAATTGTCTCAACCATAGATAAAATATATCCAAATAATAACAAGAAATGTTATTATTCATGCTCTCAGCCTTCAACGCCCAACTAACCAGATTTCCTCACCATAATGATCCCCGTGGAGTCGATGGAGCCTACCAATGCCTCATTAAAGGAACTGGTAAAGTCAAAGCCCTCTCTTTTATCCAGATGGAGAGAATTTGCCGCAAACACAACTGTCCATGGGCTACGATATGTCGTTCAAGCGTCTCTACCTGGTTATAGACGACTGGTGTGGGCAATTTTACTCTTCGCAGCCTCAGGTGCTTATTTGTACAATTCGACAATAAGCTTCAAAAAATATATTTCAGGACCAATAAGAACTGAAATTTCGCAAGAAACACCTCTGGATGGCTTGAAGTTTCCTGCAGTTACAATCTGCAATTTAAATCAGTTCATGAAAACAAAGATAGACACGACCGATGAGGACGAAAACTTTGAAAAATTAGGATTAAACATCAGCGGATGCAGTGAAACAAGAACTGTTCGTGGTAATCTGACATGTGGCCAAGCTTTGTTGTGCGCTTTCGCTGATTATGGTACCCTTCTGGTGGACAACTGTAACAATTCGACCAGGCAGAGAATAATAAGTGTTCTTAGTCACACAAAACGTATCTATGACGAAAAAGAATTCCTTGCTAAGTATGGGCATGACCTCTTTGGCAATAACAGCATGGGTGGAGATTTAAAACACTGTGCTTTTAAAAACCTGGAACAAATAACCTGCTCGGAACATCACTTCATTCCAGTTGTTACAAATGATGGCATCTGTTACACGTTCAATTCTGGTTATAATGGGTCTACGAAGAGTAAGCTGTTTCGTTCTTTCTATGAAGGTTCAGATTTTGGTTTAGCCATTGCTCTAAACGTTCAAACAAATGAGTCCACATTCAGTGCCTCCTCTAGTGGCTTAGCAGTTAATGTTCATGACCAAGACACCTATGTAAATTATCATACTGCGTTTAAAGTCCAGCCCGGCGCACATGCGTCTGTTGCAATCAAGATGACCCGGGTAAGTATATAAATGCGTCATTTTGCTTACGATGCCATCAATTAAACTGTATCCGCCTAAAGGGAAATAAAGCCGGCGTACTGCCGCAAGGTTTTCTCTCGTATCATCGATATGAAACGTTCCAATTTTGGGTACTATGCAAGGCATCCAAAGACCCAACGCCTGTAACAAAGAAGGCTAGTAAAACTGATCGAAATGTCGGCCTATTTGAAATGCTCTTTGCGGATGAACCATCTTGCATTTTTATCGGACATATTCAAACGAATCTCAACGTATTGCCATTCTTGTGCATTTACTCGGAGCATCATATAAAGGTTAGCCCTCATGTAGACGTCTTAGGAGACAGTCTAGTAGTTGGTTAACCTAGGAGCTCCTTACTCTTTCAACTCACTTCAGCTTCCTCCCTCTCTTTCTCTGCCTTGATGTATACCATTTTATCGTTTATTTAGTACAAAAGACTCCAGGCGCCCTTCAGAACAAATTGTAGCAAAGTGGACAGCTTAGCGGGGATCAAGTCATACACGAAAGATGGCTGCATCTATCAGTGTCAGTCAAATTACAGTATGGATAAATGCGGATGCCGAAGAAACCATGCTTTACCAGGTGGTATAAAAGATAAATTTTGTGCTTTTACGAATGAGCTTCAATTCAGAATTGTCTTGGGTACCAATGTGTTATCGACTTAGCTCGTTCGGTCAAGATATGATCCAAGTTTTTTTTCTTTTATAAAATTGCCTGGACAGTAAAGAATGTACCATATGACATAAGATACTGCACCACAGAATTGCCTGTTCAAGCCACGAATCTTTCTTTGTTTTGACCAGCTAAATACTTTTTTGGACTGTGATATCGCCAGAATTTGTGTCAGACATTTTCTACAAGATAAATTTAAATTGCATAGAAGTTATAAGGTACATAAGCAAGCTACAAGCTCTCTTCACATTTTGTAAGATTAAAGCTGGTACTCTCAGGCTTATCTTTCTCGTTCGGTAAGCTATTAAGAACAGCATTTGCTTTTTTCGGTGCCCGGGAAAAGCTCATATCGTGTTATATTGAAACTTATTCCGAAGACGTTTTTGCCTCCACTATAGCATGAAACATTCCAAAGTTGTGCCCCGTTTTTATGATCTCCTTGTTCGACATTTTTGCTTAGATCTGCGGGGTTTACCTGTGTGTTCCTTTCAAGACCGTCCGTGTCTTCTAAAAGCAAGAAGTAAGAAATGTGTTTTTTTAATAAGTCGTTCTCACTCTCTCGGTGAGCAGCTAACCTAATCTCTTGGTTCATCGTCTCAGCCGCTATTTTATTTAATTTCAAGCCAAAATGGCAGCCCTGACATCGTGTGAAAGCGTTCTATAAAAAATAATTATTATGATTGTGATTTTCTTTACGAATTCTATCAGAAAATGTTCTAGAGTTTTAAACGAATACAGACTTCACTTGAACTGTTCATTAATGTAAGATTCATTAATTAATGGACTGTGCGATTGATTAAATCGTAAGCTCGAAGGCGTCACCTGCTGAGTGACGATTGTTTATTGGCGACGGCTATGTTAAACACTGTAGAATGTTCAGTACAATGTTCAATATTTGTTTTTTATGAATGATTTTCAGGGGAGTTTAACTTGACGGAATGTGGCTGCAACAATGCATGTGAGCAGACAGTTTATGAATCACGAGTCTCATATGCTAAATTTCCGGACAATACACTATTAAGGATATTTCGACAAACTTATAACTTCAGCGAGAAATACCTCAGGTAAGTGAGCTTACATACAAGTGATCATTGGCCTTTGAACGGAGCTAGGAGGAGGAAGAAAGAGAAATCGTAAAGGAGCTAGTATTCTTTATTTAGAATAGCATGTGAAATAGAATCTCTGAGCACGTTTTCAGATTTCCGATTGACTCTGTTGAAAAAAGGACCAGAAATATTTCTGTTTCTATCAAATTAATACTTTTCTTGTGTTTTCCTTTTCAACTTGTAAGTGAGAACTATGTCTATCTTCAAATGGGATTTCAATTTTTGTCTTACGAGAAACGCGAAGATGTCCCTGGCTACACAGCTGAGAGCCTTTTCGGTAAGTCAACTACAATGAAGTTTGGCCTTGTTTAGAATAAAAAATGCTTTGGCTACACACAGGTGCTCACAGAAAAAACAAAAAAAAACAAAAACAAAAACAAAAACCTACCATTTTTAACGGAATTTTCCGGATTTTCTCAGGGATTGGATCTATGTCAGCCCAACAGTTCCGGCTGTACCAAAACAAATTCGTTGCTGTATTTTCACACGAAAGACGAAGTCACCGTCTCCCCCCTCCCCCGTCTCTTCCACCACTGTGGATGATCTAATTTAAACCCTAAGCTTCGCACTGTGAATTTGTTTCTAAGAAAAATTAAAACAAACATAACAAAGACAGAAAGGGAAAAATTCTAACCCACTATTGAAAAAAGACTTGTATGTATCAATATATCGAGATGTATCAATATTTTTTCTCGTCTGACATTGCAAAAGCTTAGAGTTTCAGTAAATCCTCTTGAGATTTTGACGGTTTGTTGGTGTTTCTGAGGTGCTGATAAACATACTCTTCCCAGTTCCTATGAAAGAGAAACCCAAGGAAAAGTGCCTTCGGCAAGAAAGTTACGTAAAACTGTATTACGCCTTTACTACTTTTGTTATGGAATTGAATAAAAGGAAACAAGAAATAAATCATGACTTTCTTTATTTAACAATAAAAGTCATTTTCGTTTAGGTGAGCTTGGAGGCAACATGGGTTTGTTCCTCGGGTGCAGTATTCTGACCACCTGTGAGTTCCTCGACTTTCTATGGGAACTCGTACTATCCAAGATAAGGAAACGTCCTGTGGCAGTAAACACGGAGCCTGCATAACCAGATGATAGATCTTACCGAGCATGCAGCTGTGGTGTCGTCTTATATAAATCTTCATACCTTAATGTAATTCCTACTTTTATGATAATTTGGCTCATGTTGTGAACAGCCATTTTTGGGAGTGGGGTCATTTATTTGCTTTTTGATATTGATTTATCATGTAATGTTACTGAGCAGTTACTATGTTATATATACAAATCTTCATAACTGACGATCAGTGTAATGTCTTCCTTAAAGATAGTTTGGCTCATGGGTGAGCAGCTAGTGTGAAGAGAGATCACTGAAGAGTGTGTTTTATTTAGTTGCATTTTTGTACAGTATAGTATCCAGGTATAGTTGACTTACCTAAGAGCTGATTTCTAGTATATAACTAGGAAAATCCTCCCGCTGTTTGTGAGCTGGAATCGAAACCTACCGAAGTCAAGTGTTTCAATGGTGGAGAAAAAAAGAGATTACAAACAAAACGAAGTAAGAATAAATTTGGATGAAAACGGATCAAGCTGAGATGGCTATTGAATCGTTTACACAGCTTTTTATTTTTTAAGGTAATGTCTGACACATTCATACTTCCGTATATGACTGTAATGCCTCATTTCACTTGCTTTGCGGCTTTTGTAGTATATAAATAAACCGGAATTTTAAAGGAGCACACCATTTTAATATAAAATTATTCCTAGAGTATGAGATCAGACAACCGTTGCACTGTTACTGAGCAGTTACGATGTCGTTTTATACAAATTTTCAAAACTGACGATCAGTGTAATGCCTTCCTTAGAGATAGTCTGGCGTATGGGTGAACAGTAAGTGTGAAGAGAGATCACGGGAGTATGTCACATTTAGATGCTTTTTGTACAGTATAGTAATCATCATGTATAGTTGACTTACCTAAGGGCTACCGAGTGATTACCAAAATCGGGTGACCGCGCAGCGGGAGTTCGATTTGTTCATGCCTCATGTATTAAATATATCAAGTTCAGTACCTTCAAAGTCATAAACCGGGCTTTTTGGGGCTACAAAATAATAAAATAATCAAAGATTTATGCCAGGCAAATTGATCGAGAGTCCATCAAGTATAGTTTCCCAGAGTCGTACGGAAAGTTTAAAATGTGCTTCACTTGTGCAACATATACGGATTTATCTTTCTTACTTACTGATAAAATTCCGAGGGTGTGACTCAAGTAACGCAAAAGAAAATATAATCATTTATGAAATTCCGAGATTGTTACTCAATGAATTCAAAAGAAAATATCCAGGAAGGCTATAGAAACAGACTCTCAAAAACTGCTCCTGAATTCGAAAACTGTAGACAACAATTCTTTACGCTAGCAATGTGCTTACCAGCGTGCTTGTGAGCTCAAATTGCCAGGACTCTGTTTAATTACACGATCAAAGCTCGATCACTGCAAAAAGTGATGACTATCAATTTCATAGATTGATTTTTCAGTTTTAAGCATTAGGAAAAAAGTTATCTCATTGCAAGCATGTTCATTACAACCCGAGCATTAAGAGAAAGTGGCTTCGAATGGATCGAGTAGAAAGAATGAAAACATAGAGCTGAAAAGTACCATGACCAAAGAATGAAATTCACTACCCCCGCAGTAGGACTAACACCACTCACCCGTGAGTTTGTTTGCACCACGCATTTGCGGACTTAATATAAACATGAACATCGCTGACTCAACCTCATTTTATTTGGGAATGAGATGGGAATGATAGAAACTTGCTCACACCGTTCGCTTTCATTTGAAAACTTTCTAGGCAAAATATAAATCGTAAGATTACTTCTTTTCCCTTAACACCACGTCTGCATTAAACATTCCAAACGATAGGACAAGAAATACCCTGAAGAATACGAAAACTTTGAGATGTTATTCGAGCGATGAACCGGCGCGAGGGTTTTAAAGCAATGGATGCCAAATTCATTGTTTTACCGAATCGTGATATTATTTATAAACTGAAGCTTGTATCTAACGACGATTGGTAAAAAAAGGTTTGAATTTTTCTGGGCCTTAGCGTAAGAGAAAACCCAGATAAGACACGACTTAACTTCCCTTCTTTCTCAGATACTTTGTAGTTTGCTTCCCTTTGTTGATGATCTCTTTTCAGTCTGTTTCCTGGAGCTCTTTGTATTTCCTTCTCTCGTTGCTCTTCGCTAGATATTAGCCTTTTCACTTATGCCTTTTCTTGTTCTCTATTCGCGTTCCTCTCGCCGTATTCTGCCTACTTTAGCGTCCTTTTTAACTTTCTTGCGTAAATAAAAAATTACACACTGAAGTGGTGGCGAGATTGATTCGTGAAAAACACTGTTAGCTTATTATGGACATGGCATTTCAAACATGGTGCATATGCCACAAATGTTCCATTTCTGTGACTAATTCAACCTATTTGATATAGCCGACAACAACATCAACTCAACTTTTTAACTAAAGAGAAAAGTTGATTCATGTTTGAAATTAATTTCTGTGATGTACAAGTGAAATCCAGGTATTATCTAAAGTTTTCTGCCAATGTCTTCATGGTCGATTCCTAAGTCTCTCTTCGTTATCAAGTTTTCATTATCACATTCTAGTTCTGGTTTGTCTTCCTTTAAATCAAACTTTCGCAGCATAAGAAACATGTTACACAAATTTCGTATTTCAGTAACTTGAGTTGCTAAGATCATGGACAGCTGGCTTAATGACCCCTACATCATATATGCAGTTACAGCAGAGGTTACAAATTAATTAAAATAAAAAATCTCAAGAAAGACGACGTGTATTTCCAGCCAGACGACAACCATGAAACAAGAATAGCCAAACGGAAAAAATTTAAAAAATACAGATTCAAACACGATTTGAAAATGACTTTTATTTTTATATTTCTATATTTCTTATACCTGGCAACTTCAAGAGAAGATATAACAGAAGCCCATACGATTCTGGCGTATTGTTTTACTGACTTACTGTTCTCACGCGAATACTCTTCAATCAACCGATGTCTTAACACGAAGTAGCTTACCGTCGCTTCTTTCAATTTGGCTCATTTTCCCAAACCGAAATTATCAGTCACGCTCAACAGAATATGCTGATGGTGACATCATACACAGCATCTGAACAAGAAAATATTCCCTATCTTCGAAAATTTACTCAGGCCATGAAATCAAGGTTGTTTTCAAAATGTGTCAGAATTCCCCTTTCATATCTACTCTACGCATTGTTACAACTTGCACACAAAAAACAGCAAAAAAAATCCTAACATTGACCAAATTATGAAGATAAACGAAAAATAGGTGAAATTAACCTCAGATAAATCCTGTAAAATCTAAAACGCACGATGCGAGAAAATAAATTTTGGAATCACCTGCTGACGTCTCCGCGTGGGCTTTTGTAAAAAAAAACAAACAAAAAATAAAAGCGGGGAATTTTCTTTAAAAAAACACCTTTCATTACAAATAAGCGTGCGCCTGCGAATAATCGGTTAACTTCAATAACTGTGACTTATTTTTTCCTAACAGTTCTTTCTGGCTTTTTTAAAACTTACCACTGCAACTTTTAAAAAAGTTAACATGTATCAAAGAAACATCTCATAAAAACAGGTATACCTGTATTACCTCAATGGCGCGACAAGAGAATCGTTTTACCAGAATCGTTCAAGAGAATTGTTATTCAAACCCTCTTCAGAAGTCACGAGAGAGACATCGTGAATATTAATTATTCACCTATGAAAAATTCAAGTTGCCTTGAAATCAAAGTTGATTTGAAAATGTGCGAAAAACTGTCTTTTTAAATCAAGGTTGACTTGAAAGCAAGGTCAAATTTCGTGAGTTGCCTTGAAATCAAGGTTGTTTTCAAAATGTGCCAGAGTTCCCCTTTCATATCTCCTCTACGCATTGTTACAACTTGCATACAAAAAAAGAGCAAAAACAAAGCCGAACATCGACCAAATTCAATTTTAAATCCAATAAAAGACATTTACAAAAAACAAAGTCTCTTCGAGAGGTGACTTTATATTTCGAAGGTGAAACAAATGCATCTTTAGCAGTTAAACCGTGTAATCTGATGAAGAGCTAAGAACAAATGATTTAAGTATTCGATTTATCCCATTCGCTTTTGAGCTTATTATCAATTATGTCATGCTGGCAAAACTTTTTATGTCATGAATAGGATCAGCACCACGTTCCGAAAAATAAAAAAATCTCAAATTAAATGAGTCAAAATAACTACTTTTTGGGGTTTTCAGACATCGCCAGACTTGAAAGAAATCAGTGCCATGATAATGCAAAAGAATTTATGTCATTTATTGCCTTGTTTGGGAAAAAAATGTATCCGAAAACATGGTCAGATTAATACAAAACTGATAATTAATCAATTATTTACAAGAGGAAACTCTTGCCTCTAAAGTCGTCCGGGTGCGAAAATACTCTCCTTAATAAATTAGGGCGATTGTTTGTTTGCCTCATTAAAGATTCAAACAGCCTTTGAACCACAACCATTGAACCAACAGTTTCTTGCAAGGTAAATATCGATTTTGCATTAATTGAAAATGAAAGCCTCACGTTCTCGTCAAAATTTTTCCGTGAAATGTTTGGACGTAAGGCAAGTATTCATGTAAAAATATTCATTTGTAATGCGATCATCTAAGTTTACCTTGAGTTCGTAGAGGAGATAATTATCAATTAATCCTTACCAGACGTGTTCTCCAGTGGCTCAAAAAGGGAATTGTAACAGTTCACAGACTTATCGTAGTTCCTAGTCATCAAGGGTGAAAGGAGATAAAGTTATTTTTCTCAACGAATTGAAAAAATCTTCATTACATCATCATTTGATCTTCGCCAGAGTTCACAAACAACTGCCTTTAGGATGGATCTCTTAGTATTACGTGACCAACATTTCTAGGTAATTTTGGTTTTATCGACTGAGTTGATAATGAAAATTGAACATCGTAAAGAGTTTCAAAGCTGACGTTTTGAGCGTTAGCCCTTCGTTAGAGAGAATAGAAGAATTGTGAATTGTGTGCGTGTTTATAGTGAGCTTAGGGTTAGAAAAGAAAACAAGAATAAAGGACAACTAAATAATAGTTGAATGAAAAGCGTTCGTTGATACCGTAGGGATTAATAGTGCCGATTTTAAAGATAAATTTTTGTTCAAGAAGTAAGCAGCTTTCCGAACTGCTTTAATGTAAGTGTTACGCAGTTCGCAAAACCACATAAGCGAAAACTCAACCATATATCTACAGGTATTCCAAAGATAATTCAGAAATATTCCAGTAATCAAGCCGAGTAAACATGCAATTAGGCAATAAGGCAGGTTTTCTACGAACAGAAATTACACCTTTAGCTGGCGAAATTACAGTACACGCCAAATACGATAGAACTTACAGACTGTTTCGAGCTTAGATTGACCATACCTCAACAATTTTGGTTGGCAAAATATGCCAGTACGAACACGGCGACTAGTTCTTTTTCGACAAAACACATGCCCGATGTGCCGGATGTTGACGACAAAATGCAGGCACGCAATGGGAGCTACAGTGAGGAAAGGCCGCAGATTGCTAAGTACTGCTTAGGATGTCTACGTCGCGAAGGTGTTCTCAGTCGCCCAGTCAACCTCCCGTTCGTAGAGTTCAGGTTTAGGGCCAAGTTGTATCAACCGAAAAATTGGTGTTCGATAAAACCTACGAAAATATTGGTCTCCGAATTCGGAAAGAAATTGAGTGCAAGCAAGAGTTCGGCTGGCCGAAGTAGTGTTTCATAACTAGGTTCCTTAACAGTACGTTGATAAAAAAAATATTTGAGGGCCAGGAGACCTTCACCATTGAGAATGACATTGGGAATGACAGTATCTTTTTCGGTGGCCGGCAAGTCATTAGTAGCGATTGTGATGAGAAGTTATTTCCGAAAAGAGCTGTATAATGCAAATAAATTTTCTTGGAGAATAGCATTGGGTAGTTAGCTTACGCACAGCAGTATGCTCCATACAATATAGTACATCCATTAGGAAAGCGAATCGAGAAATTGTCGCAACACTAGATAAAAGATATCTGAATAATAACAAGAAATGTTTTTATTCATACTCTCAGCCTTCAACGCTCAACTAACCAGATTTCCTCACCATAATGATCCCCGTGGAGCCGATGGAGCCTACCACTGCCCCATTAAAGGAACCGGTAAAGTCAAAGCCCTCTCTTTTATCCAAATGGAAAGAGTTTGCCGCAAACACAACTGTCCATGGGCTACGACATGTCGTCCAAGCGTCTTTACCTGCTTGTAGACGACTGGTATGGGCAATCCTACTCTTCACAGCTTTAGGTGCTTATTTGTACAATTCGACAATAAGCTTCAAAAAATATATTTCAGGACCAATAAGAACTGAAATTTCGCAAGAAACACCTCGGGATGGCTTGAAGTTTCCTGCAGTTACAATCTGCAATTTAAATCAGTTCATGAAAACAAAGATAGACACGACCGATGAGGACGAAAACTTTGAAAAATTGGGATTAAACATCAGCGGATGCAGTGAAACAAGAACTGTTCGTGGTAATCTGACATGTGGCCAAGCTTTGTTGTGCGCTTTCTCTGATTATGGTTCCCTTCTGGTGGACAACTGTAACGATTCGACCAGGCAGAGAATAATGAGTGTTCTTAATCGCAAAAAACGTATCTATGACGAAAAAGAATTCCTTACTAAGTATGGGCATGACCTCTTTGGCAATAACAGCATGAGTGGAGATTCAAAACATTGTACTTTTACAGACCTGGAACAAATAACCTGCTCGGAACATCACTTCATTCCAGTTGTTACAAATAGTGGCATCTGTTACACGTTCAATTCTGGTTATAATGGGTCTACGAAGAGTAAGCTGTTTCGTTCTTTCTATGAAGGTTCAGATTTTGGTTTAGCCATTTCTCTAAACGTTCAAACAAATGAGTCCACATTCAGTGCCTCCTCTAGTGGCTTAGCAGTTAATGTTCATGACCAAGACACCTATGTAAATTATCATACTGCGTTTAAAGTCCAGCCCGGCGTACATGCGTCTGTTGCAATCAAGATGACCCAGGTAAGTATATAAATGCGTCATTTTGCTCACGATGCCATCAATTAAACTGTATCCACCCAAAAGGAAATAAAACCGGCGTACTGCCGCAAGGTTCTCTCTCTTATCATCGATATGAAACGATTCAATTTTGGGTGCTATGCAAGCCATCCAAAGACCCAACGGCTGTAACAAAGAAGGCTAGTAAAATTGATCGAAATGTCGGCCTATTTGAAATGCTCCTTGCGGATGAACCATCTTACATTTTTATCGAACATATTCAAACGAGTCACAACGTATTGCCATTCTTGTGCACTTACTCGGAGCATCATATGAAGGTTAGCCTTCATGCAGACGTCTTAGGAGACAGTTTTCTGTGCGACAGGCAAGTAGTTGGTTAACCTAGGAGCTCCTTACTCTTTCAACTCACTCCAGCTTCCTCCCTCTCTTTCTCTGCCTTGATGTATACCATTTTATCGTCTTTTAGTACAAAAGACTCCAGGCGCCCTTCAGAACAAATTGCAGCAAAGTGGATAGCTTGGCAGGGATCAAGTCATACACAAAAGATGGCTGCATCTATCAGTGTGAGTCAAATCACAGTATGGATAAATGCGGATGCCGAAGAAACCATGCTTTACCAGGTGGTATAAATGATAAATGTTGTGCTTTTACGAATGAGCTTCAATTCAGAATTGTCTTAAACTATATATAGGTACCAATGTGTTATCGAAATGTTCGGTCAAGATATGATTCAAGTTATTTTTCAAAGTTTTTATAAAATTGCCTGGACAGTAAAGAATGTACCATATGACATAAGATACTGCACCATAGAATCGCCTGTTCAAGCTAGGAATCTTTCTTTGTTTTGAACAACTAAATACTTTTTCGGACTGTGATGTGGCCGGAATAGGTGTCAGACATTTTCTACAAGATAAATTTGAATTGCATAAAAGTTATAAGATACATAAGCAAGCTACAATCTCTCTTCACATTTTGTAATATTAAAGCTGGTACTCTCAGGCTTATCTTTCTCGTTCGGTAAGCTATTAAGAACATAGAATTTGCTTTATTCAGTTCCCGGGACAAGCCCATATTGTGTTATATTGAAACTTATTCTGAAGACGTTTTTGCCTCCACTATAGCATGAAACATTCCAAAGTTGTGCCCCGTTTTTATGATCTCCTTGTTCGACATTTTTTGCCTAGATCTGCGGGGTTTACCTGTGTGTTCCTTTCAAGACCGTCCGTGTCTTCTAAAAGCAAGAAGTAAGAAATATATTTTTTTAATAAGTCGTTCTCACTCCCTCGGTGAGCAGCTAACCTAATCTATTGGTTCATTGTCTCGGCCGCTATTTTATTGAATTTCAAGCCAAAATGGCAGCCGTGACATCGTGTGAAAGCGTTCTATAAAAAATACTTATTATGATTGTGATTTTCTTTACGAATTCTATCAGAACATGTTCTGGAGTTTTAAACGAATGCAGACTTCACTTGAACTGTTCATTGATGTAAGATTCATTAATTGATGGACTATGTGATTGATTAAATCTTACGCTCGAAGGCGTCACCTGCTGAGTGATGATTGTTTATTGGCGACGGCTATGTTAAACACTGTAGAATGTCAGTACAATTTTCAATACTTGTTTTTTATGAATGATTTTCAGGGGAGTTTAACTTGACGGAATGTGGCTGCAACAGTGCATGTGAGCAGACAGTTTATGAATCACGAGTCTCATATGCTAAATTTCCGGACAATACGCTATTAAGGATATTTCGACAAACTTATAATTTCAGCGAGAAATACCTCAGGTAAGTGAGCTTACATACAAGTGATCATTTGCCTTTGAACGGAGCTAGGAGGAGGAAGAAAGAGAAATCGTAAAGGAGCTAGTATTCTTTATTTAGAATAGCATGTGAAATAGAATCTCTGAGCACGTTTTCAGATTTCCGATTGACTCTGTTGAAAAAAGGACCAGAAATATTTCTGTTTCTATCAAATTAATACATTTCTTGTGTTTTCCTTTTCAACTTGTAAGTGAGAACTATATCTATCTTCAAGTGGGATTTCAATTTTTGTCTTACGAGAAACGCAAAGATGTCCCTAGCTACACAGCTGAGAGCCTTTTCGGTAAGTTAACTATAGAGAAGATCGGCCTTGTTTAGAGTAAAAAATGCTTTGGCTACACAAAGGCGCTCACAGAAAAAAAAAAAAAAAAAAAAAGGCAAAAGCCCACCATTTTTAACGGAATTTTCCGGATTTTCTCAGGGATTGGATCTATGTCAGCCCTACAGTTCCGGCTGTACCAAAAACAAATTCGTTGCTGTATTTTCACACGAAAGACGAAATCACCGTCTCTCCCCACTCCCCCGTCTCTTCCACCACTGTGGATGATCTAATTTAAACCCTTCTTCGCACTGTGAATTTTTTTCTAAGAAAAATTAAAACAAACATAACAAAGACAAAAAGGGGAAAACATACGAGAAAATTTCCAACTCACTATTGAAAAAAGGCTTGTATGTATCAATATATCGAGATATATCAATATTTCTTCTCGTCTGACATTGCAAAAGCTTAGAGTTTCAGTAAATCCTCTTGAGATTATGACGGTTTGTAGGTGTTTCTGAAGTGCTGATAAACATACCCTTCCCAGTTCCTACGAAGGAGAAACCCAAGGAAAAGTGCAAGAAAGTTACGTAAAACTGTATTAAGCCTTTACTACCTTTTGTTATGGAATTGAATAAAGGGAAACAAGAAATAAATCATGACTTTCTTGATTTAATAATAAAAGTCATTTTCGTTTAGGTGAGCTTGGAGGCAACATGGGTTTGTTCCTTGGGTGCAGTATTCTGACCATCTGTGAGTTCCTCGACTTTCTATGGGAACTCGTACTATCCAAGATAAGGAAACGTCCTGTGGCAGTAAACACGGAGCCTGCATAACCAGCGCAGATGGATCTTACCGAGCATGCAGCTGTGGTGTCGTCTTATATAAATTTACATACCTTAATGTAATTCCTACTTTTATGATAATTTGGCTCATGTTGTGAACAGCCATTTTTGGGAGTGGGGTCATTTATTTTCTTTTTGATATTGATTTACCATGCACTGTTAATGAGCAGTTACGAGGCCTTTTCATACAAATCTTCATAACTGACGATCAGTGTAATGCCTTCCTTAAAGATAGTTTGGCGTATGAGTGAACAGCTAGTGTGAAGAGAGATCACGGGAGAGTGTGTTTTAATTAGTTGTATTTTTGCACAGTATAATACCCATGTATAGTTCACTTACCTAAGAGCTGATTTCTAGTATTTAACTAGGAAAATCCTCCCGCTGTTTGTAAGCTGGAATCGGAACCTACCGAACTGAAGTGAGACGTACATGTAGTTCTCCAACTGTTTCAATGGTGAAGAACAAAAAGAGATTACAAACAAAAGGAAGTAAGAATAAATTTGGATAAAAGCGGATCATGCTGAGACGGCAACTGAATCGCTTATACAGCTTTTTATTTTTTAACGTAATCTCTGACACATTCATACTTCCGTATATGACGGTAATGCCTCATTTCACTTGCTTTGCAGCTTTTGTAGTAAATAACAAAATCGAAATTTTAAAGGAACACATCAGCTCAATTAATATAAAATTATTCATAGAGTAGGTGATCAGACAACCGTTGGAATAAGGTTTATACAATGGATGAAGTATTTTATCTTGATTCTATCTATATTTCTCTGTATAGTACCGGAATTTACTACATGGATACTGATGAGACACCAATTATTATCCTAATAGAAAATAATTTATCGTGACGGCGGGCAGTGATCGTGCCATTCATAGCAACTCTTGTGAAGATGACGATGTCGTCAAGGTGGTTCCAGTTTCTGACATTACCAGCCTTAGAAATGCAGTTTAAGATTTTCTCTGATTTAGGTATCGTAATAATATCTGCATAATCATCACTATGAATTTACAAAACAATTATGATTAGATGTATGATAAACGAAAAAAATGCACACGTATGGATACGTGTGTGGCACACAAGGCGCAGCCGAGTTGTTCTTCTAGTACTCTTGACACATTTTGACGTTTTTTGTGATTTATTACTACACAGACTCACAGCAACACGGTATTTGTTTGCCTTTTATGATGTGTCTCTCTTTAAATAGATTTTGAGTATGAACCTATCCAAATGCGTGTATAATATAAAATTGCACCAATCAAAATGAGTGCGTTATATAAAAAACGCACCAATCAAAATGCGTGCATAATATAAAATCGCTGCACTCACTTGTGAGAGATATTATCGCGCTTGAAGATGTAATATCCTCAATTTAACACAGTCATTTGCTAACTTTGTTATACTTTCTTAAGTCACTCAAAATTATGCACTCTGCTTAGTGGAGCTGCGTTTGATGAGAAATCTCCTTTTGACTTGTTTATTTAGAGAAACCATTATCCTAAGTTTACCTTGTACAACTGGAATAGGAAACAAGTGTCTCGCATTCCTGCCCCATGCATGCGTTGCTGCAGAAGCACGCTGACAAGTTGACTTCTCCTCAAATTAGATAAAGTTGATGGTATACTTAAGAGACAGTTTGTGTGTCTCACAACTTTATTACGCAGGCTTAAGCTTACAATAAATTTCCTTCGTTTTATTGTGTTTTTTGTTTGTTTGTTTGTTTGCTTGTTGTTTTATGAAATAATGAGAATGGATGTGCAAAGTTGAGATGAATTTAATGAATAACAAAGAAGCATTAGTGCAAACCTTGCAGCCCAAAACTGCAACGTCCACCTTTAGTTAATGTTATGTTTGCCAAGTATCGTGAGATACAGCCATCTTTCGCGTTGGTAATTTTGCGAAGCTTCTTCAAATTTGCCAATTGACAAGATAGACGATAAGAATCCCTAGAGAGAGAGACAAAGAGAGGTTGAGTGAAGAGAGTGATAGCCCCTTAGTTCAGGTTTTGAGAAAGGTCAACCCACCACCCGCCTCTCGAAGGGAGTTCTGTTTCCAGAGAAGTCTGCATGAAGGCTAAACTCGATATGGGCTTTGCTGGAGTGACTGCACAGCAAGTCCAATGAATATGCACAGTAAAAAATCCAAAATGGCTCTTAGGTAAAGGGGCTTTACAAAGGCCAATACAGCCGTTGTATTATTCAATAATTAATTAGCAGGCGAATAAAATCTTACAGCGAGAATATTTCTAACATTCGCCTGGAACACCATCATCCTCGGGCTGAGATGTGCTGCGGGAATCTTCCTTCCTATTTAAAAACTTGTTTTGTGAACTCTTTCTATTCACTTCGCTACAAGGGTATGTTTCTATTTCTCTTCTTCGAGTTTTGATCCTTATTCGGAGCGAAGGCGAAGGCTAACCCTTGAAACGTCAGCTTTAGAAACTCTTTGCGGTGGCCAATCTGTATATTTGCATAATCAACTCAGCTGATCAAACCAAATAAATTATCCGGCAACACAGTTTGTATACAAACAAATCCCTTTTGTGATTGACTGACGGAAGGAGGGAATGACGGACTGACAAACTGAGTGACTAACGAACTTGATAGACTTTTGTATTTTTTGTCTGGTTTCTTTTTGGTTTCACTTTGTTTTCACAGAAAATTGTTCGGCTTTATCTTCAAGTCAAGTTTCGGAATTAAGTCTTCCTTTACCGCTGTATTATGGCTAAATTCATACCTTGTTACTTTATTAGAATCTTAATTATACGCCAGAAAAGAGTTTTTTTAGTTTTTAGGAGTAGTTTTGATGCACACACCAATTCTATTTTGTCACACTCCTAGCAGATATAAAAACAGCATTCTTCCTGATAGTGGCAACGATATGTCCTTTATCAAACTTTGACCTACATTCGTAAGACACCAGCGGTAAAAAGTTCCTTCCATTTACTCCTCTGCAGGACAAACGTAAGGACACTTTCATTCCGTTCTCAGGGTCCTAAATTCTTTGATTCTCTCAGCCTTGAAATTCAGAACGCTCCTAGTTTTGTCTCTTGTGGGACAAACGTAAGGACACTTTCAATCCGTTCTCAAGGCCCCAATTTATTTAACCCTTTTGCTCTCAAGATCTCATTGGTAATTCTGGTAACCGGTCAAGTCGCCCGAGAGTCATCTCGCCCGAAGTCATGTCGCCCAAAACCTGCCCGAAATTTTAGTAATGTCGCCCGAAAAAAAAAAGTCAAGTCGCCCGAAGAAAAAATACTAAAAAGATCGGAATTTCAGACTGTAAATAGGCAATAACGTTGAGAAATTTTTTATCACTAAAGCGCTCTTTGTTTCCGACAACACCATGAAGATTCTTAAAGTGTTGTTCGTTCCTAACAACAAAGGGAAACGTTGTTCGTTTCCAACGACAAAATGAAGCGTTGTTCGTTTGGTATGTAATTGTTTCTTACTTACGGACGTTTCGTAAGCTTGAGAAACTTCTTCTTGCTTTTTAACCATACCATGAAGACTGACTACACAGAAATCGATGGTATGCTCGGAATTGAAATGTGTTTTAGTAACGATTCTAAAAGCGTTGTTCGTTTCTAACAACAAAGGGAAGCGTCTGTTGAAGTCCTAAATGTAATAACTGTCCTAAATGTAATAAAGTCCTAAATGTAATAACATTTGGTCCTAAAATGTAATAAAGCCCTAAATGTAATAACGTTCGGTCCTAAATGTAATAAGCCACCTATGCAATCGTTTAACTGCGCTAACATTGAAATGTTAAAGTGACAGCTGTTGCGCTAAATAATCCTCTGACCAATATTTATGGAATATTGCGGGCTCACTGATATTAATCAGCGTGTTTTTATTTGTTAAAGAGGTAGGTTGAGAAGCAATGGCTACAAAACCTTATACTGATACTGATGTGCTTTTGGCATCAAATTGACGGACGCAAAGGCAACGAGAACGTTGACTAATAGCTCTCTCTATATCATTGGCTCAGACTCTTAAGTGTAACAGATTTTGACGAAATACTTCTGTCATCAGTGCTGAAGTTAACACTTGATGAACCGAATTACAAGGAAAAAGAAGTCCACCGACTCATACGTTAGACAAATTCTGGGCTCAGAAGGGCATTCTTTGTACTGTCTTCCCTTGCCCGATTTGTACGGGTCTGCATAAAATATATTCATATGCGTTATTGACCAAGCGTGAGGTCAAAATGGCTATATATTGGCTGAGTTCTTTTTTTTTTTGCGTTTTTATGGACGGAGACGAGGTCACGGTCCATAAAAAAGTAGAAAAAGAACGAGGCTAATATCCAGTAATCTTGACCATACAAGCTTGGTCAAGAGAGTTTATATTCTCTTGGCTTAATCATTAAAGGATTCATTGTATAGCAAAAGATTTCGCTTTGATAAGAATCAAGAATGGCCTGTTTATTTCGAGAGCCAATAGTGAAAGCCAACTGTGTTTGCAGTACAATAAACCCAAGAGGGTCGTTTATTTTTTTCTATGTATATGCAAACATTGTCCAAAAGTTACGAACTTTGTAAGTTTTCTTGCGTGGGATCAATACGGGGTATCCCGAGCGGGCGAGGGTGGGTCCATCATGCCCGCTCAGGTAGCCAATCAGAACACAGGATTCACTTCATCTTGCCCACGTGCGCTGCTAGCTATTTGATAAAGTGACTTGCACAGCAAGATATCGACTGACCAATCATATGCTATCCCATTTCACGATCACAGGTCTTGACATGTTACCTTTTTTCCACGCAAGAGTCAAATTGAACCATTGAGCTACACCAATCAACACATGATGGTCAGTTGACGGTCTAATGAACCATTAATTTTTTTCCTTTAGCCCCTTATGACGGGTTCATCAGTTCCGCGAACCGAAATATTAGGAAAACATATATTTTACAGTTGATCTCAAGTTTATATTTCATTTTTTGTCTTCACCTCTTCTCCCCGCCGTGAGGGGAGAAAATGAATAGATAAATAGATGCATGAAAAAAGAAAGCTCAACAGTTTCCATTTATAGTCATATGGTACATGAAATGATTACTGAGGTGGAGTAAAGCCATAGAGGGCTGGAAATGCAATACCCCAAGTTCAAAATTGAATAAATCAGGATAGTCATTCTTAAAAATGAACTCAAATGCTTCATCAGAATCAATCGACACTGAATAACATTGATGTGCAAAATTTCAATAACGCTACTGATTATAATAATTTACTTTTGGATTAACATGTGACACAGCGAAATCATTCAAACTGCTCTAAAATGGTGCATCACTACTAAAGACTTTAACACGAACGATAACATCAACAATAGCATGCTAGTTCATCATCAATTGTAGTCAATTTCTTTTCCAAAAAGTCTTAATGATTACGTACCAATCGATTCCATCCTATTGAGCTTCCAGCCAAGCACTAGCCCACTTTGGGCTGGAAATGATTTTCTTCAACTCGATCGATAAACCGCTTTAAGGACCATACTTCGACTGCTGATATTTCTTATGTCTAGCAGGTAAAAAGACGCTTTTGATATCAGTGAGCCCATAATGTGACATGTATGCTGGTCAGCGGTTTTTTTGGTGCAACAGCTGTCACTAACATATCAATGTGGATGTCCGCCATGACAACAATGCACTGCAGGAATCAAACGATTGCATTGGAGGCTTATTACATTTAGGACTAAATGTTATTACATTTAGGACTTTATTACATTTAGGACCAAATGTTATTACATTTAGGACTTTATTACATTTAGGACAGTTATTACATTTAGGACTTCAACAGCGTCCTCCGAGATGACTCACGGGCGACTTGACTGTAAACCGTAATTCTCTTTACCGTCTGCCACACAATTCTTATGATGCTAGTTCGAAGAATTTGGTACTGAATCAACTAACACTTCCCTACTTGATATTTTCCTTTATTCTCATCATTTGTCCGCTTGATACTATATTGATACAATATTGATCAATATTGATGTCGTAACGAGAAATTCTGTCTTGGTCACTTATTGGAGTTAACTATTCGTTCTCATAGCCTTGAAATCCTGGATGTTCCCTGTTTTGTTTCTTCTTTCATTATAGGAACATTCTACTTTCCTTTTAGTGTGTATAAGTATTTTTCATTTCTCTTTTTTATTCATTCCCTACACTTCTTTTAACCTTTTCAAAGACTAAATTCGTACATTATGTATACTTACAAATTTTACATTAAGTCCTGCCGATGACATAATTGTTAATTTTGTATAAGCAAAATGATCCTTTACAAAAGCCTTTTTGGCTTCTGTAGGTTATTTTGCCTAGCTGATATTTTACTAATAAACTGTTTAGAATATTTGTGGTAAACTAATAAAATAAAACTGAAACTGTTGTTAATATAATTTCCATGTTTGAATGTCAATAGACAATCTAATTTCACCGGATTACTATGAACTAAAAAAATTAAATGATACAAAGGAGCGTACAGAGGTTAACTAAGCTTCTTTAAAAGGGATTATCACTAACGCCAGAAGAAAGAACAAATTACGCAAAGCCTTTGTGAACCTTTATTCGCAGAGAGTTCAATAACAAGAAGTCAATAGAATCATCACGAATTCGAATAAGTCAATTTTTTAATAACATATAACATTTTGTTTCCTCTTTCTTACGCATAAATTTTTTTTCTGTAATGAAATGAATGGGAAGGTTTGTTTCTTTACTGCGAAGATGTCGAGAAATGAGGTCGAAAGGCAAGCGTGCGATCCTTTACATGGCGGATGAATATTCATCCGGTGAGTTTTAGCCCAATTGTTTGCCAATTTTCTTAATTACTAAGGGTTCGGGTCCGACTTGTCAATAGGCGACTACAATTACCCCACGCGAGGGTTGCATAATGCTTATGTACCAATTTTCTCTTCTTTTCTTTTCCCTTCCCTTTCCTCCTTTTGTTTTGTTTGTTTTTTTCGTTTTTTTTTTAATTTTCTTTTCGTTTCTGACGACGGAATTGCAAAATACATGAGCTCTGATAATAACCTGAGTTATTAAGCTTAGGCAACATTGGGGTTCAGCGATGATTTTGTTTTTTTTCTTCCAGATACTGTTATAGCTACATTGTCATCCGGTATTTGAAAGCAGACACAGCCTAATTTGAATAATCATTAGATTAACTTCATTTGCTTCTAACCCCACCGTAACTTTTGGCTTAACAAGTATATTAAGCCAAAAAAAAACATATCTGACAGGAGTTGCAAGCAAACCTTTTCTCACGTAATGTAATTTTCACCTTGTAGGAGTCTATCATGCTGACTGGTGGCTGATTAAAACTCTTCCAACTACACGCTGTGTACTAATAAACAATCTAAATTTGTTTGGAACACAAGTGAAATGACTAGGACTTGTAGACCTCATTTAAATTAAAATTAATCAGTTTTAGCGTTCCTGCCATCAATTGCTTCGTGCGTAATTTACCGTGAAGAGCTTTAAGAAGATCAATTTCTTAAAAGAACGCCGGTAAAGAGGGTTTCCTTCTAATATTTGACAGTTCCAAACCATCGCTTTCCAGAAACAAGGTATGTAATTTACATAGTTTTATTTCACCACTAGGGAATCTAATCCTCACTCTTTTGAATTGCCAAATGTCGAGGAAATGTCTCGAAACTAATTAGCCAAGATGCCATCTTCCTTGGTATCTTTGACACATGAACATAATAGCACCTGCATGCCCAATTCATGTCTTTTTCCTATTGTTTCCATATTTTGTGCATTCCGGTCACGTTTTCGTCCAAAGTCATTCCTCTTTGACGAGGAAATCCTAAATTATTTAGGTTTAAGCTCTTGTCGCACACGTTTTAATTTTTATATCTATTAAAAACGAATAGGCAAATTTTACTCAATACCTTCAGAAGGAAAAATTGAATTAACACTGAGCCAGTTGTTGGCTAGAAGATATCTATTGTGCAGTCAAATTAGGACGTTCTTAGGAAGAGGGTTTTTTCATAACTGTTCCGGTAAAACTATTTTCTACCCAAACGGCTTTTGTGGTAATTTTCTCTCAACAAGACTTCTTGAATTGTTATGATTTAATTCTCGTTTTCAGGGGCGACTTAATGCCTTCGCGTGCACTGCCAGTCACTATGACAACCCGTGTAAAATCGTTTGGCAACTGTTCTACCGGTACCTGTGAGGAAAGTCACCAGAAATCCCCCAATGCTTCTAAATGGAGAATATTTGCCTCGAATACTACTCTTCATGGACTGCGACAAGTCGTCAGAAACGAGTCGTCTTTTTTCAAAAGGTTTATTTGGTTTTTGTTTCTGTGCACTGCCGCTGGGACATATTGTTACCTCTCGACCATTAGTGTCACGAAATATTTCTCCCGACCTATCAAAACTGTAATTTCGCAAGAAGCTTCAAGTAACGGCTTGAAGTTCCCAGCTGTGACAATATGCAATTTGAATTTTTTTATGAAATCCAAGATAGACACAGCCGAAGAGGATGAGAACTTTGTAAAACTGGGCTTAAACATCACTGGTTGCAGTGATCGTGAATTTCGAAGAGTGCGTGGGAATCTCACTTGCGGTCAGGCGTTGCTGTGTGCCTTTGACTGGTTTGGGTATGCCATAGTGAGAGGTTGTAACAAAACTGTACGCCAGAATATCGTCGAAGCTTTAAACCGCTCCTCAGAACGCATATTTAGCCAAGAGGAGTTCCTCACCAGATATGGCCATAACATAACTGACATGTTTTTACTTTATTGTCGTTTTATGAAGACAACCGAATGTTCAGTCGAGGACTTTGTTCCAAAGCTAACCGAAAGTGGCATTTGTTATACGTTCAATTCTGGAGAGAAAAGCCCAGTTCTTAGAACATTATTTGAAGGTCCTGATCTTGGTTTAAATATCCTCCTCGATGTTCAAACAAATGAGAGTACCATGGCTGATTTTTCACACGGATTTAAAGTGATTGTGCATGATCAAGATACGTTTGTAAACCGTCACATTGGATTCAACATTCCTCCAGGATTCCATGCTGCGGTGGCTGTCAAACTGAGAAAGGTAAAATCTGATCATAATCATATCGATCCATTCATCGCTGGAATTTGGACAAGGTTTCACGTTTTCTTTTATTTATATATGTTAAGAATGTTTGGGTTTTTGCTGAGTTCGTTTTTTTGGTCCTTCTTTCTTCCACAATGGTTCACACCTGAGTTGGCGAAAAATTTATTACTAAGGCCATTTTATTTACTGGTGATCTGGAGAGAAAGCAGTCCACTACTGAAGTAGGAAAGATCGATAAATTAATAAATAAATAAAGCTGGGTACAGAAATTAAGTAATCTTCTTGAGGATCAATTATAATACATTATTATATATCATGGCATTTACTCCGTCAAAGAACAACAAAGACAGAAGAGGTAACATACTCTTTGATGCATTCAGAACTTTTTAACTACTTTTGTGCCGGACACCAACAAGCCTTTTCCAGCCATCAATGCTTTTTTGCTAACCAAATAAGTTACTAATGGTAAACATGCCTTCCACTTAAATTGTTGCTCTCCCTTGATTATCATATTTTCAGCATATCAGATTACCAAAACCATATAAGACAAAATGTCGGCAGGAAAAATTGCCTGGGATTGGTACCTACACAAAGGACGGCTGCATCTCGCAATGCTTGGCAAACATGACGTTAACTAGATGTGGGTGTCGCACCATTGCCATGTTACAAGGTTTGTGCGGCATATCTTTGAAAGTTGATATTTTTCATCGCCATTTTACATTTTTTTTCCCAATGATATCAAAACAAAGGTAAAAAAAGCGAAACCAAACAAACAAACAAAAAAACAAAAAAAATAAAAAATTACATTTCGCTTGGCCTGCGTGTCGCGATTGAACTGACATTATGTTTAATTTTATACTTTTATCTTGTTCGTACGCATTGCGTGCCTATGCGTTGTGACGTCTAGGTCACATGATTAAAGAGACCTTGTAGTTGAGAAAGGTAAAGAAAAAGATGCGTTGTGGAAAACAATCCCTATTTTTGTGGAGGAAGCGATTTTACACGACACTGCATTCTTAAGTTGTAACATAAAGGAAGGTTTGAGTAGAAAAGCAACCTGTTGTCATCAGAGTTGCACACTTTAGTTCCCTATAAAGGAGCTACGCTATATTATGGAAACATTTCCAGTGAATATTTTTGTCCACTTTCAGGCCAGACCGATGCACCTCTATGTTCCATGCGGGAAATGAATTGTCTTGTCAAAACCGAACGTGAGATAGGTAGGTAAGATTTTCAAAATTGTTATAAAAAAGACAAAAGGCAAAGTCTGCACTCAAGCCAAGTAGCGCAACTAGTAGGAGCTTGCCCCAGTTTCAATAGCATAAAGCGAGTAGGAGTATTACTACTCCCCCCTGGATGGGATACCAGTCCATCGCAAGGTTCCTCCCCTAGCATTTCATCAGGCTTTCCTAAAGGTTACCCGTTACTCATCTATACTCCCGGGTGGGGAAGGGCACTGTGAGAGAAAAGGTTTCGTACCCAGGACACAACGAGTTGTCCCGGCCAGGTCTTGAATCAGGACCTCTCGACCCGGAGTCCATTGAATTGAATTGCTATATTTTGAATTCAAAGTTTCTGAACGAAATAACAGTTCGTGTAAGTATATCATCACTGAGATTAGTTTTGATTTTTAGGAGAAGACAACTTGTCAGCGTGCTCCTGCAGCAACGCATGCACAGAACTGGAATACGAGACACGTGTTTCCTATTCCAAATTTCCTGATAACTCGATAATTGATATCTTGCATAATATCTTTGGAAAAAAAGAGAGCTCCAGTTACATGAGGTAAACTTAAGTTAATGTTAACTCTAAATAAGCAGGTAAGGAAACAGTTTCTCAACCAACTTATCTCCACAATGTAAAATGCAATGGCAAGTGGCTCGAGAAAGAGTTCTCAAAATAAGCGAATGTGTCAAATACAGGCTATCACATGAACATAGCTGCGCGGTAACACGAATTTCATTCTTGAGTGTTCAGTCATAAGCGAGTGATATGATGTCATCCACAGGAGAAAATATACGCCCATGCACATGCAGACATGTTTTGTTCGTCGTATAGACACTGATTAACAATAATTTTCACTGTACAGAGAAAACTACGTCTTCCTTCAAGTCGGTTTCCAGCACTTGGCCTATGAAAAGCGGGAAGATGTTCCCAGTTACAAATTAGAGAGTCTCTTAGGTAAGTCAGCTAAACAGTGCTACATGTATGTGTAGACTTGAACCAGATGGGCAAAAATTTCTTTGAACACAAGATTGATTTTTTTCTTATAGATATATCTTGGCTGACACAATGTACACTGGCACTTTAATTTAAACTAATGGTAATATAAAAAACTTATAATAACTTATAAAATCTCATTCTCTTTGGCGCATTGGCTTACTGTGCCACCTTTTGCTCATAACAGCAAATTGATCGGTAAAGTTCTTGTCGATGACTTGTTACAGGTGAGTTTGGTGGCAACATGGGCTTGTTCCTTGGGTGCAGCTTATTGACTCTCTGCGAGTTCCTCGACTTTGTGTGGGCTGCTGTAACGTCCCGGATGAGAAGACGTTCCGTAGAAATATCACCGAGTACTGGCACCATCTCATAAACGACGCCAACATATGAATTCTACGTCGTAGATTCCTTGAAATACCGTGCAGCAGTAGTAGGAAGAAAAAGAAAACAATCGTACTTATTTGTTTAGGATAGAGCAGCGCTGGTTGACAGAGAGAAACGAAATCAGGGAGCGATTGACATCACTGAAGACGTTGTCAAGGTTGATAAAGAACACGTCAGGTCTTACGTCAGCTGAACGTTTGAGTAAAAAACTCCTTCACTTCAGTATCGTCCTAAGCCCCAAAATCTTCCCCTTTTTTTTCTTCACCGTACTGCTTTTCTTCGTTACAACACTGGAAAATAGTTCCTGTGGTTTCTGTATTATCGGCGACAAGTATCACCTTGTGATGGCTGATTTGAGTTTCCATAAACTACTGTTGACTTCCGTGCTATAAAGAGTTTCTGTAGCACTTTTTGAATATCGAATAAACTTTGCCACCAATCGATATCAAACTACGAGTCTTTTTTGTTACTTTTATTCGTTTTACTTCTATTTAATTTCCTTTTAATATAATATATCTTTTCGAAAAGACACTGTCGAGTTGTTTTTCTTTCTTGAATTTGAAACTCAAACAACAAAAGAAAGTAAAAAAGAAAAAAATGCTGACAAATCAGAGCTCTATACCATTTTTCCTCTAAAGCGAAAACCAACGCCTTTTTATCAAAAGAAAGATTTAAATTTCTATTACCTTAAAATAGCAAGTTCATTGAGCACCCTACCCCGATTTGGAACGACTCAATGTTTTTTGTTTGTTGTTGTTTTTTTTCATAAACGGCTTTGGTTCAAAAGCCAAACTTCCCTTACTGGTTAATTTGGTTTTTTAACTGAGTTCACTTGATAACAGTGATAATGTTCGTTAGTCAGCTCAAAGAGTTTCGACGCTGACGTTTCGAGCGTTAGCCCCTCAGTCTGACGAAGGGCTAACGCTCGAAACGTTAGCTTCGAAATTCTTTACGTTGGCCAAGTTACATTACAAATTACCTTGTTATACTCTCCCACCGACACAGCACCACAGTTTCTTAAGAACCTTCCTCCCTTTTTTCCATGCCGGTGTCGAATCAAAGGTAAAGATTACTGTATTTTGAAAACGTTCTTGTAGAATCTCGATTCTATTGATTTTGAGAACACCACACTAGGTTTGAGCAGTGCTCTCTGTTTTGCATTGAGAATAGAAAAGCTTTTCCATATATGGTAATTAGTGGCAGGATCCCGCTTTAGTGAACTGTGGAGTCCAAAGAAGTCAAATTTTCACACGAAAACAAACTTTTTGCTGTATGCAGAGGTAGATTAGATTTGGGAACCGATTAACAAGAGTACTTTTAATTAAAATTCTGGTTGTATTTTCTTTGTTTTGGTTTTTCGTTTAATTAAATTTGGTTGGTGCGGTAATTCTAAAAGAACAGGACTTGGCAAGCAAACGACCTATGAACTATTTAGGGCGCTGGCAATTGGTGGTAACTGGGAATAGAAGGTTAAACCAGCACAAGTAATTGTGGCATCTCTGTAATTATTTGTTTGTGCATTTCTCCCTTGATTAGTTATACGTTATGTAAAGTTTCATCTTCAAACTAGACGACAAACGCAAAAGATATGCAAATGATACTGGCAAACTATTGTTTGATATATAGACCGGATAAAATTTTAATGAAAGTGTTAATTCATTAACCTGTCGACGCTCTGGGTAGTTTGCCAGAAATTAAATGCTTATATGAAATGATATCCTGGCAAACTGAGTAGTTTACAAGACGCTCCAAAAACTAGTTGAAGAAAACAACCACCTGAGTAAAGCATACTCCACGGAAAAAATCGTCAATTTATGCAAGGTGGGTTAAGATCAATGTTAGGAAAGATGTTTAAAGCATCCGCATTTGACAGCCTGCTCCGGTCATCCATCATTTCAATAGCGGTTTATTGTTAAACGCATTTGATCCAGTTTAATGTCCATTCACGTCGGTTCTTGAAACAGTTCACGCCAAAGTCTGAGACTGATTACTGCCAAACACTTGAGAGAATTAAATTTGTCCATGATAGTTCCTTTCTCCTAAATTTATATTATCATTTAAATTAGTGCTTTAAGATACCTAAAATTCTAGTCCTTTCCTCTTATTTTCTTAACGTTAAGTGGAAAATAAAAGTTTATAACAAGCCAAAGTAAATACGTACGAGACTGATTTCAATTTCAAAAAATCTCGCGCCTATAGTTACAAAGGTAATATTTTGAATCAACGCTTTCTCAGTTGAGGCGAGGTTTCCCTACCTACGTATATCGGCTACATTACGGTCACATTTTTAGCATCAATTTCACAGACATTTCAATAAGAGCAAAAAAAATACTTTATTCACTCAGTCGTTTCCTTTTCGAGAGCTCTGGCTGAACCTCCTTCGAACGTAGCATAGGCATAGCTAGTTTGATGAGGATCATTCTCTTTATTCTCTGTAGCTTGGTAGCATCCAACTGTGAAGGCGGCAAGTCTAAGTTCTGATGCGTCACGTCCGACGAAAACGTTTTCTCGAGCCAACGCTCGTAACGAAAGTTTGACATATTTCTTTGTTTGCTACCCTTAATTTACAGGACTGAAAATAAAGCAGCATTTCTGACTCTTCACTCAGTAGCATGAATGCTACCCAAGAGAGCGAAAGCGGCGCGTCCAGTTATTGGAAAGACGAGGTGGAGGCTCGCCGGACATCTTTTTATTCCAGATGGAAAGCATTTGCATCCAGGACAACTCTTCATGGGATAAGCTACATCTTTGATAGTAGTCTTCCCACACTTAGAAGGGTTATTTGGCTGATATTTCTCTGTGCCTCTTCTTCAGCCTTCCTGTATCTTGTGACCATAAGCATAGGCAAATTCATTTCTCTGCCAATGAAAACAGTGATTACGCAAGAGGAACCACCTAATGGCCTTAAATTCCCCGCTGTGACCATCTGCAACTTGAACAAGTTTATGAAATCCAAGATAGATATGGCTGACGATGAAAAAAGCTTTAAAAAGCTAGGTTTGAACATAAGTGGGTGTGATGAGATAAGAGAGGTTCGAGGAAATCTGACTTGTGGGCAAGCACTACTATGCGCTTACTTTTTGTATGCTCCCGCACTGGTGAAGGGCTGCGATGAAACAATACGCCAAAACGTAAACGACGTGCTCAACGGTTCCTCCAACCGTCTGTTTAGCGAAGAAAAATTTCTCACCAGTTATGGTCACGACATGGCTGGCATGTACATGGATTATTGCCGTTACACGTCGCAACTCTCGTGCTCCGATAAAGACTTTGTACCAACCATTACACCGGACGGTTTGTGCTTTACTTTCAACTCTGGTTACAATAACACTCCAGTGCTGAATTCTTTTTTTGAAGGTCCCGAACTAGGATTGAACATTCTATTAAATGTTCAAACGAATGAAAGCACCCTCACTGATTTTTCAAGCGGACTGAAAGTAATAGTTCACGACCAGGACACCTACGTTAACCGCCGCAGTGGATTTAACATCGCTCCTGGCACACATTCTTCGGTTGCAGTGAGATTAAGAAAGGTTAGTATCACTCAGCGCGTTCCCAAATACCAAAGCATTCAAGATTCACATACTGCTGTACTTTCTTTGAAATATCAGACTAGATGATTCACGACGTTTTGTTGTTTCAGTTTATTTTATCTTTTCTTCCGAGGTTGCTTTTCGTCCCAAAAGTCTTATATAACAATATCTAACACTCCTTGTGCGGTTGATGTTTTCTTTATTTCTTTTTATAACTTTATACAACTTACCACCTTGGTTTCTAGCTCTGTTCTGAAGGAGACTGTATGTCACCAGCTTATATGGGTGACACTTACTGAGCTGTCAATCTTTAAAACCCTCGTCGTTAATTCGCACTTGACTGGCGAACTACATGGAACGGATTCTGAATACTCAGCACTTTACTTCGAGAAGGTGACTCTACAAAGTAACTTTCTATCCTAAATTTCTTTCATTTCCAGCTTACTTCTGGTAAAACAAGAACAAGCCTTGACATGGCCACATGAAAATTGTAGTAAACTTATTGATACAATTAGAATTATACTTTAAAATTATCCAAAGAGAAAAAAACCTTTGAAGACTGTTACAGAACAACAGAATAAACAGAGAATTTGGAGAAGAAAGGGCGTACCCAAGGTACCACCCCTTAAAGAGTTACGTGCTTTTCACATAGGTTTCCTGATTATAATTTCAGTGCGGAGGATGAAAAGCATAACTTGTTCACACCTTTAAACAACTTAAAAGAAAGATGTGTTGAACGTGCTCTAAATAAAAATTTAAGAATTATTTTCCGAATCGAATTGACCTAAAAAATGAGCTTGAAGGGAATCGCAAGTATAAAAAAAGGGAATTTCTAGGAAATTCCTGTACGGGATTAACTTTTACCAGATCGATATACTTTGTTATTGATCAAACGGATTAATATAATTGAACTATAGCTTACCGAAAGATAATTAAAATATTCTATTACAAATTCCAATTACCGTAGAAACTGAATATCTGTTTTCATGTCAAATTCGAGATAGGAGAATATGGAACCTAACTAAAAATCAATGACAGCCTAAACCAAATATTTTTCAGAGTTAAATAGACTATTTACTCACAGTAAGAATAGATAACAATTGCTCTATTTGCACAGTAAGACCGCTAAAGAAATAGGAAATGGTCGACTAGCTCATTATATTTCTTTTACTGAATGGCTTGTGCTAATATATTATTTCCATTCATTTTCCCAACACCAAGATGTGGAAGCTCTCACAATACTTCTAGATAGGATAGGGGTCAATTTTGTCGTTTGACAAAATTTCTTTCCCAGAATTATCAGCTTGACCTGGACGTCAGTTAGTATACAATTTAAATTCATATGTCAATCCGAACAAAGCTAAAACATCTCACCAAAAGGCAGTAAATGCATAAAAATGGCCTTCACGTGTGGCACACTTGAGTGAACACTCTCTCGTAGAACTTGTACTTCTAAACTTGATAAGTTGACCAGAAGGCACGAGCTTCATTTGAGGAGAGCAGAGAAACAAAAGCAACGCAATCTTTGAGTATTTTAACCCTAAATTGAAAATTGCCCAAAATTACTGTGATAATTTTGTACGTATTCTAGATACGACCTTAGCCAAACCCAAGGCACTGATTTTTTTTTTGTGATTACTACACACGTTGCAGCCACTTAGTTATCATCTAAGTTCACGAATGAAAATAAGTAATCACGGAATAACATCGGAACCAATCAAAATCCAGTAAGTGCTCTTTCGGAACAATTCGTATGACCAACATTTGACGAATTTTTTGTTATTTTTCTTAAATTCTTTGAAGTACATTCGACTTCCAGCACCATACAAAACAAAATGCCGACAAGATAAACTCCCAGGTTTGGGTTCATACACGAAGGACGGCTGCATCTTTCAATGCCTCGCAAATTACACCCTGGCTCAATGTGGATGCCGCCGACTCGGATTGATAGGTTAGATATTATAATTAGAACTATGACAATAACTAATTGAATTAAATCTTTACCTGCTATTTTGGTAATAACTGAATACCAACATTGGTTACATGCCTTAAAAACTGCATTTGTGCTAAAATGATAAATCGATCGATAAAATAAAACAAAAAGTTCAAACAGGCCTTTGGTTTACCTATAAGATTGACTGAGCTTATTACATCTAGAACAATATCTCAGCTGAGTGTGGACGAATATATACTTCCTATAACACATACCCAATTCACACCAACAAGACACATTTGTTCAACTGGTTGTTACTGAATGAAAACTGAAAAACTGAATTTTCCATAGGATTCAGGTACTTGCTAACTTGTTTTTCCAATGTGTTACATTGTAAGTCAAATAATATTAGGTTACACAGCTTCTATGAAGAAAAAAAATTTACACTGTGTCTAACAAAACAAGTTAAAACATGTTTAAGCTTTAGTTTGAATGAGGTAATAGTATTTTCCACAAATAACAACAATGGTTATAACTGACAAGTTAGTAATCATAAGAGCAACTAATCGAGCTACTTTAACTTGAAATCCTTTTTTTTTTGGACTTAAAAGCTTGTATCTATAAAATTTTTACGGTAAACGACTTCACAGATTTTTATCTTCTGTTATATGTCTCTGTTAGAACCAAAGACGACACCCCTGTGTTCCCTCCAGGATGACCAATGTCTTAAAAAATCTAGAGGTAAGACATATGCGACGGCGGTAACTTAACGGTCCCTAATTTAATATTCTTTCTACCTGAGCTTGATCGAATGTAAAGCTACTTCACGATCATTAAATAAAACTGGATTTTCCTCGCTGGAGAGACACCACAGAGATAAGACCAAAGTCAAAAAGAACCACGAAAAGATCAAAAACGACTAGATTAACACGGAATGTATGTCATGAACTTATGAAAATGTGTCTAGTTTTTTCTGGATTGACAGACGATTGTTCTAGGATCCGAATTTACTTAGAGCACGATTATAGCAAGTCAGTTATCACAGTTCTCTAGGAAGTAGAATAACCATAGCTATGTTCCTATAATAATCCACATACCCTGTCTTATTGCAGCTCTATTAGTCAATGACATAACAACAAATTTTATTTCATTTTTAAGGGGATTGGAGTAGGTCAGAATGTCACTGCAGCAATGCATGCTCAGAGGTGGAATACGTACCTTTTGTTTCTTACTCCAACTTTCCTGATGTCTCAGCAATTGCAGTTTTACAACAATTCAAGGGAAAATCAGAGACTTCTAGTTACATGAGGTATGCTCATACTAAGGGGGGCGTTATTAAGATTTTTTATTACTATTTATTTCATTTTATAAGATTTATTTTAAACCAGAAGATTATAGACATCAAAACTTGTCGCTTAAGAAAACGAAACGTGCATTATTTGACGTTTTTGGACCTTTGTAACCTACAACAGTTGCTCGCCGAGAGGCCGGTCTCTCTCCTGCAGCTTACCACCGGCATTTTGGCCTGTAAATAGGTAAATTCTAGGAGTGATGTAATTTATCTTTTTTGTTTCTTTGATTCCATCTTTTTGTGTGCAGAGAAAACTATGTCCTTCTCCAAATCGGCTTCACGCGTTTAGCTTACGAGAGGCTTGAGGATATCTCTAGCTATGGAACAGAAAGTCTGTTTGGTGAGATGGCTTCATAGCAAAAATTTAAGATTTAAGTTGTAACATCCAACGCATTGCCGCTATCTTTTTTAGACCTACAACTAGTTGGGTGATAGATGCCTGAAAATTCGCTAGAAACCAATCACATTCTCAGATAGGGGATGTTGGGTCTCCCACTCAGGGAGGAGAACGTTTCAAGTGAAACGCTATTCGGTATGAGGGCATGAACCACTATCTCGTATTGAAGATGTTTCCAAGAGTAGTTTAGAGATGGAGATAGTTTTTTTTATTAAAAGTGGTCATTGAAAAATTTCATTCAGGGTTCTTCAATAACATATGCGTCTAAAAGCAATTTCAACTAATCTCTGATTAGTATAAGAACAAGAAGGTAAATTGAAAGGTTGCACTAACCATTGACTACTCAAAACAAAAACATTGAACGGCCATGAGGACGAAAACTGATCAATGTTTGAAATATGCGGTATAATGTAAGTGCAAGAAAGATTTCAATTTCAAAACCGTCTTTTTGTTTCAGGGGAGTTTGGAGGCAATATGGGCTTGTTCCTTGGTTGCAGCTTACTGACGTTGTGTGAGTTCCTGGACTTTTTTTGGGAAACATTCATGTTCCAGATGAGAAAGCGTTCTCCTCAAATAAATGCGGACATGAAAGACACAAGTGACCCTCAGTAAAACATAGCCTTGTGACCATCATAGCATTCATTTCCTTAAGTGAGAATCTCGTTTTGGCATCTAAGGACAAATAATCACAATTTGACTTATTTGCAAAGGATTTTTTTTTTAAATGGTGTATCCAGTTATTATTATCACTTTATCTAGTATTGTTAACGGTATCATTATCATCATAGTCATTCCTGACAGATTTTCTATAATCGAAATATAAATAATAATATCGTGTTTGGTAATCAACATTTGATTGATATGACCCAGTCTAAAATAACTTTTGTATATACCATTATTGTAAATTCCGCGGAAGATTATCTATAAAAATCCCTATTGTCAATAGTAGAATATCTTGTTAACGTTTCTTTCACCATTTTTACTCTATTTCCGTTGATGTAGAGGGTAGTGTTCAACTGCACTGCATGTAGCTGTTAGCCTTAAAAGGGAAGGACTGGATGAATTATAAATTTTCCATGAAGTTGTAAATATCGACATGTAAAGAATGCATTTGTAGCGGCGTAAGTTCTGAACCGGTTTGACGGATAGTGATATTAATCAGTAGTACAGACCCTTGCAGAAGATGAATTGAAATAAAGCCCTGAATTATCTTAATGATAACTCCTGCCTGTAGTTGAAGCTTTGAATTCTAGTCTGGACTGGACCCACCACATGCACTAAAACTCCTGGTAGCTAAGCAACCAAACTAAACCTGAACTAGGCGGTTATCCGCAGGAAATGGTGAGGTGACCGATTAATGCAGGTTCCACAGAATAGGGATAATATAAAAAACGCCATTTTATGCCATAATTGACCCTTTCATGTACAAACACTCGCCCAAAATACTACTAACATTGATTTTGGGAGAGAAACATGGATAAAATTTTACTTGAAAGATTAGTATTTGTTTGACTTAAGTGGCTCCGCTTGGAGCCATTAGGACTCAGTCAAAGGTGACCACCACCGCTTAATACTGGAAGTCGCTTAGTACAGTATCGCTTAAGAGAGGTTCGACTGTAAGATCATTTGACAGACATTCCGCATACAGCACAATTAGACTTGAATGTCTTTCACGTCATAATAGAAGTTATTATATGAATCCCGCGTGCCTCTTGGTATGTACATACATCCTGTATCCAGCTACTGATATTGACCCCGTCCCTATGCTCTTTTTTGTTTTTAGGCGTAAACAAAAACAAGCTCCTTATACCAATCAATTAGAATGTTTCATACTCCTTCGTTTCCCATCTGCTCCTGAGCAATATTTCTATTCTTGTTCGCTCGATATTCCAAGATGTTCCAAGCCAGGTCAAAAAATTCAAATATTGTTAATAGACTGCAGCCCAGGAAAAGACCCATATTTCCACCGATATCACCTGAAGAAAAACACACACGTTCATTATAAACCTAAGCTAACCCTATATTTGTTCCCCGAAGTTCTACCTCAAGTTAATTAATTCAAAGACAACATGCATGGTGTATGAAGGATTTTTTTCTCGTTAAAAAATCGTAATTGGCTATGATTATCAAAGATATCCAAAATCTATCTGCAATACAATTATTCCACCATCACTTTGCTTCTGAATCAATTTATAGTAACAATACCAACAACAATAACAACAAAAACAACAAGAAGGCAAATTTTTTAAATTCTTAAATACCCATCAAGCTCCCAATCTTGTAGCTTGGACTTTCTCTCATCAGAGTGTATCCATGACGCTGATATCCAACCTGGAGGAACACTAAATTTCCCCTTAAAATGAATTTGAAACAACGCTTTTACACGAAGTATTTTGCTAAATTAACACCCATCTTATTTGGGATAAGCACGGTAACTTCTATCTCTTACTGATGGAAAACTGTGGTTGAGAATCTATTTATGGATAAATTTCTAATCGAATTCTAAAATGGACCAACACCAAAACAGTTAAGTCACGATTAATCCACTCATTCGAATGTGCATCGAATGTACATCCTCTTAGGTACATTTTGACATGGTTACCTCTGATATTCTACGCTTTTGTTGTAAGCGTGCTTGTATTTTAGGATTTTAGATGCTCCATCATCAGGGAATTGAGAGTAAGACACCTGAGTCATGTACTCTGTCTCCTCGCAAGGAATATCGCATGAACAGTTGAAAGGATTGTACGACTCTGAAATGAAAAAGGAAAACTTTTTTTAGAGAGCGTTTAAGTCTAAAACTTTTCAGTTCGGCTCAGAGACCTTCTCTTGTAGCTTCACAATATCTTCGATCCTTTAAAGACGATGAATTTCTGCAGGAAATGAACTCAGATATATCTCCTAGTCGACCGACGTTTTTCGGAAAATGTTTTGTTATAGATGAGTAATGGGGGTGCGTCTCAAAAGAAACTATGATGCTGTTTAAATTAACCACCATAAAGAGTTTCTAAAGATGACTTTAGAACGTTAGCCCTTGATCAGAGCATCTCTCTTAAAGATGGTCATGAAAATGTTCAACATATGTATTACTAAAGTAAACCAGTATAACTGGAGTTTCTTGTTACCTGCTTTCTGTTTCTCGCAGAAGTGGTGTTGAAAAGAACAAACCGGCGAGTTTGATGGCACTGAGATGCAAACAGGAAATATCAAATTTATTTGAATAATTAATACAACATGACCGTGGACTGTGAGAGTTGTCACTCAGCTTGTCCCATGGAAGGTCAACGTACCCCAAGGAAGGCCACCGGAGTCTATTTTAACATGCCAAGTTTGCAGGCGAAGCGAGGATAAAATGTTTTGACTATTATGGTACCTGCTTACCTGGAGCACCGATTTCTCTACAGCCGCACCTTTTTAAGGTGACATTTGCTTTACATTGTATGAAGCAGCCATCTCTACTGTAACGGGTTATGTTAGGAAGGACTCTCCTCGTGCAGTCAGACTTATACGGATACGGTAGTCGCTCATGCTGAAATTTTTGTAGAAATAGAAAAATTGTCTTAGATATTGCTTTTGTACAAATTGGTTAGTTACTTTGATCCAATATTTGTTTTACATACGAAAAGAAACAGAGCTTAGAAATATAAAATTTACAAGTTACGATGACTTTTCGCTGTTCCAAGCACAGGACACTGCCTCTCACTAAGATGTTTCATCTTCCCTTACCTGAAATCGACCTCATACCAGGAGATACTTAATCTCCTAGTTTGAGCCATAATCATACCAAAACAAAATGAACCCATATCTTCGGTTGGGAAATGTATTAAACGAGTAAGTTATCCGGCTAGAATAACTAAATAAATAGATACTCTTTCGACGACAAGTGAAGAAGGTTAGATTAAATGTCCGGATGTTACAACGCAAAGGTTCTTCCAGAAGATGCAAGTGATCAAATCTCTTCTCCAAACTGATCATTGTATTCAGAATAACTGTCAAGGTCCAACCTATCTGAGCTCGACAAGTACGAAATGAGCGAGTTCCACAATGAGTTATTAGTTTAGTTTGGGTCCTGTCTCTGCGATTGAGTTTTTGCAATATCTAGCATGAGTAAATCTATTAAGTGAAGAGCTCATGATTTATGTATTATTTGGTTTTGTCCTGTTTGTTTTCTTTCTCGTTTTGTACAATGTTTTCTCGTGTTTTTGCTGTTGTTTCCAAAACAACTTTGTCAGCATATCTTGAAGCAGTTCCAAGCCCATCATTCGTCCTCTTTGGCAACAGTAAGTTTCGATGGCTTCGTCAAACATTTCCTATCAATGTTTAATGTGTCAGGAACGATCTTCACAGGCGTACAACCGTTCTGTTAGACATAAGCATGTTTATCTTCAAACTGATAGACGTAACCTGCTAGTGCATCGCGTATCGCACAGAAAAAGGCTCTTATCTGGTTCGCGAAAATAATTTAAAAAAAAAAAACTGAAACACATTTTAACGGTGCAGCAGCTGGGATATGACAAGACTTACCTTTATTGCAGCTATTCGTGCCAAAGCGTGTGATCCAGGAAAGACATTAAAGCCTTTATCCAAATTTACAATGGCTCCTGGATCATGTACAACAACTCGCAGCCCTCGCGAGAATTCGCTTACAGTGTTTTCGTAAGCCTGTACATCTAAAATAACACTTAGACCTCCTGATACTCCAGCCCGTCTTGTACTGCGCACTTTGGTTCCATTTTTCCCGGAGTTGAAAGTAAAGCAGCGACCATTTTTGGTAAGTGTTGGATGAAAATCGGCACTCGTGCAGTCCTGCGATACTGAAAAGCGACAGTAATATAGAAACATTTCGGCAAAGTCATGTCCGAAAGTTTCTATAAACTCTTCGGGGTTGAAAATTGGCTCCTTTGTCCTGTTAAGGGCACTGATTATTCGCTGTCTTATGGTCATGTTGCAATTCTCTGCAATTGCCCAGCCAAATGGTTCAAAGGCACACATTAGCGCTTGTCCACAACTCAAGGATTTGTTCACCTTACTTGTCACTTCACAAGCAGAGAGATTTAACCCCATTTTGTGAAAGTTCTCGTCATTTTCAAACATATTAATTTTCCTTTTGACGAATCGGTTTAGGTTACAAATTGTCACCGCAGGAAAAAAAATTTCTCCATTCTCAGGGACAACCTCTGTGAATTCTGTGTTAAATGGCTTTGAGGAGTATTTCTCAACACTTTCTATTAAGAAATAGATATCAATCGCGATTGCACCCAAGAGAAGCAACAGCCAAATCAACCGACGAAGTCTTGAAGGGCTTTCAAAGACATAGCGAAGACCGTGAACGGTTGTATCAGACACAAATTTTCGCCATTTGGTGGCAACCATGCTGTTAGAGCCGTGTTGAATCGAAGAATCGAAGCCAAATCGAAGCACCTTACACTTCAAATAAAATATCTCTCTGGTGCGTTTCTACTTTACATAAGACAGAAAAAACCGCTGATAAAATTTCTCTCTGATGCGTTTGCACTTTATATAAGACAGAAAAAAGCGCTAATGAAATCTCTCTCTGGTGCGTTTCCACTTTGCATAAGACACAAAAAAACGCAGCGGAAACCATAAATAATTTAAACACAATGAAATCCAAAACAATCCTTAATTCGCCTGTCTTTCCTAAATGTTTAAAAAAAAATAGAATAACACAATCCCGTTATTCCTTCCTTCCTTCCTAAAAGGTTCATGAGAAATATAACAACAGTAATACAAAATAAAATTTAAAATAAGGAAAAAGGGAAAATTGTAAATTATACCTTTCATCAAAATAATGACTTGACAGTTAAAAATTGAAATCATTCATTATTTTTATTTCCGGCAGTATTGAAAAAGGCAGATTGAGAAGACAAAAGGATGATGAAATGTGTGCGCAAGCCTTCTTTAATTTGTTACTTGAAACATTAGCGCAGAGAGAATTCGCACCTTTTTTTTCCCGAACGAAACACCTACACTTACCAATACGTTTTACAGTCAAGATGAAATTATAACGGCTTAATCACTACGGAGGAATGGACCCACACGAGGCTAAAAAATTAAAATATTATTCAGAGTCAAATTCAATTGCAACGAGCAATTACAGTGATAGAATGCGTTCTGCTTTACAACCTAAGTTGGAGTGATTGCTCTCAATGTCTGACTTAGTTGTAGGCATAAATGACATACATAGTTCATCAAAGCACAACTTTCGCGCATTTGATCATATGCACATGTAAAATGTGCTTTACAAAGAACAAATATTATTATTAAAATTTATTGCATGCAAGTAATGACCCTTTTTTCACTACAATACTGCTTGTGTGTTGTAATAATTAATTAAAACCCCGTTACAAATGCGCGTGGTTTAAATTGTAACCTTCACAGTTACTTAAAAGGCTATATGAGAAAGCCTTATGAAATAATTTGACAGTTTTCTGATGGTGTTTGCTCTTTATTTCCGATCTGCAAAACAAAACTGATTTCTAATTAAGACCTCATTCATCAAACTCTCGCATGGAATACGTTTCGTTGTTTACCAAGATGGCAGGGAATCTATTTTTAATCCAAGTGTTGAAGTCCAAATTACAGTTTTGACTGACGCACATTTCAACGAAACAGCTGCCAAACTTGGCTGATGAGTGTAGTCATATCCCAAAGGTGCTACCAAAGAACATGTGAATGCATGCAATTTACTTAAGGTGGCTTTGGAAGAGTTTCTTAATGACTTTTTTTGTGCTTATTTCGTTTTTTTTTTTTTTTTCAATAAATCTAAACATCATGCAGGTGCTTGAAGACTCTTTCACGATCAGCGCATGCTCAACCCCGTTGACATAGCTTATCACCAATACATTACACCGTTTATAACCTTGCAGCGCGTGCACGGGTCTGGACTGAAATAAGTAATCTGAGCCAAAAGGGAGATTCGCCGTATTCTCTTTGTGCTAATAGCCCGTGATATTTTGAATGTAAGTCCCTCGTGTCTGAGGCATAAGCCCGGCCTGCTACAAACACAAATTATGTTGTGAGACTTTTCGAATTCATTTGTGTGAATGATACTTTGGATAATCACCAGAAAATAACTTTAAGCATACAATAATCACTGAAACGGCCAAATGACAAAAATTTAATAGGGAAACCAATTTCAAAGTGTTGGTATAATGAAGAGTTTTAAAATAGTAACCAAGCTGTATGAAATTCTTGGTCAATGCATTCTCTATTCATTCTGTTTCAGATTTTTCCCTTCCTGCAGAGTCTATTTTTTGAACTCGGTTCTCCTTGAACTTCAAGATTTTCCACAACAAGTCTCCAAACTCAAACAATGTCAATATGCTACAGCCCAAAAATAGTCCCATATTGCCTCCAAGATCACCTGGTGTAGAAAGAGAACGAAAAGTAACATTAAACAACGAATTTCGCCAGATATTACATTCACATTACTTTTCCTGACTATCGTTTGTTGGTTGCGAGTTCTTTCTGCTCCTCTTGTCTTTTGGAGAAATTTGAGTTACTAACGACAAAATAATAATAATATTATTATTATAACAATAATTACAATAATGATGACCAGAATAGTGAAAATAATACTAGTGATATTAATAACAATAATAATAAAATTAAAATTATAAATACAATAAATAAAAGTAATAGACCAGCGAGTTGGAAAGTCAGTCTAATCTTTTCAGCATCAACAATTCAGAAAATGCAGGGTTATCAATTTATCACAATTTCGAGGTAATCTCTTCAAACAAAGTTTATCGTAATGTATTGTGATACGCAGACAGTGCTGCAGAAAAGCGAAAGAGAAAAAGATCGGAACTGAAAACTCTACACATCTCTAATTAAGCAGTTTTACTCTCATCTCCGAGGTCCATTTGTTAATCTTACTCTAGGAAAAAAATGATTAAAAAGGCTAGAATAGAAAAGAAGTCAAGACAGTCAAATCAATTATCTTTGGCACAGAATTTTCTAACCTAAGAGGCTCTCGATGCCATAACTTGCTCTTTCTTCCATGACTGTGTACCCTTGGTACTGGAAACCAATTTGAAGGAAAACCAGGTTTTTCCTGAAAATCAGAGGAAGACCACGTGGAAAAAGTGACAGCTAGATATTAATTCCTTTTAAACTTTCTTAAGAAAACCCTAAAAAACTAAATAATTTTTAGTTCTATTTATAGCATCTCAGGGAAATTTCTTTAAACAAAATGTGCAGGATTCACATTATAATATCTGATATGTAAGCTGTGCAATCGAGGATTTTCTAACAAAAAGCTCAGTAGGGTATTTCTCTAATTTTATGTACCCTGTAATCCACGTAACAACGAACATAGGTCCAAAACGTATCAGTATAATTGTCCACTTCAAACTCTCCATGATTAATTTCAGTTCTTTAATTTCGATTGGTTTACAAGGCACGGTATCTGAGCTAATATACCATGGACCCTTGGTGTAGGTGTACGTTATAAGCAGAGTAGTTTTTTATTGTTTTTAGCATATTCTGAGACATTTCTGTAAGTGCTTTTAACCGAAAAGACATTTCATTTACGATCGTTGTATAAAAGATGGTTTTAGCCAACTCGTTAGACGTACATCATCTCAAAAGCAGCAAGCACCGGGAGAATGAGTGTTACATTACTTTCAAGGGCCAAAGGATATTCCAAAATTTCTCACATCTCATAAAACTTTGAATGTGTCACTTTGTTCATTTTAAATATTGGCAAATATGCCCGAATTTCCAACTTTCATGCTTTTTACACTTAGTCACCTCTGATATTCCATGCTTTTATTGTAGCCATATCGTTCATGAAGTATTTTTGCAGCACCGTGGTCCGGGAATTCAGAGGTAGACACTTGGATCCTGTAATCAACTTCTTGGCAAGGCAACCCGCAGAAACAGTGATACGCATTGAATGACTCTGAGTGCAAGAAGAGTTCACATGTTATGAAAGAGAAGCATCATACACGCAAGTGGTCAAACCAACGAACAAACAAAAAAAATTGTTTTACATTATAATCTCAATCAATCAGCCTCCTTCAGTTCAATACTCTTCCTGGTCTAAGGAAGTATACATTTGCACATACAGCTGAACAATTTTTTCTAGTATTAAATTAAGATCAAACATGCACAACTACAACTACTCAAATTCTCTAGATATGAGTCTGGCACTTTTTTTCCTCTTTTCATCAAGTAGATGTTAATAAATCTATTAGTTTATTAATTACGACATGAGCACGTTTTCACATCTAATATCGTTACTTAACTAACAAGGAAAGCTCGGCTTATTGCACCAAACTAGGGACATTTACAACCCACAAACCCGTGGAAGGAGGACCAGTGAAAAGAGCTCAGACACTTTTTTGTTTTGTGTTTGTTGGACAGATAAGCATAGCCTTTGAACTTCAAAGAAAAAAAAAATTACACAAACCTCTAGTCTTAGTGAAGCAATATTGGTGTTGGAACGTGCAGACTGGAGCCTTTGAAGGAACTGCGGACGTTGAACAGAAATCAAAGGAGAGCAAATAATTAAACATAATAAAAAAAGTTATTTTTTTATCATCATTAGAGGTGGACTCACTAAGTTAAGAGCTTTATTTTGCATATCTGTATTTGGCAACGTGTTCCGTTTCACCTACGTGGTACTCCAACCAGCTTACATCCGCACATTTCCACGGTCTTGTTGGCAAGACATTGTATGATGCAGGCGTCCCTACTGTAGTGAGGTATTCCAGGAAGTACTCGCTCTGTGCAGTTTGTTTTGTATGGAGATTTGAGACGGTGTCCCTGCCAAATACAAGACAGAAATAGACGAGACTTGGTTCTAGCTTCATTCTGTTTTTGTGACAGTTGTACTTTTTGTTTGTCCAGTGTTTGTTGTTGCAGTTTTGTAGAAAGCTCACATGTCGTTTTGGTAGTACTACAAGCTACATAAAATTTGACAACTTTTGGACTTTTATTAATTCTCCCTTTGAATTTTTATTTCTTCTCCAAGCAATTTCCAGACCACTTTAAATCTCGCAACTAAACCCCACAAAATGCCTTGCTCAACGGAAAAACCTCCAATCATATCCCAGAATCACGCAAATGTTTGTGGATCAGAACTATTGTTGAATTGGAGGGAAGGGGAAAAAATACTTAAAATTAAAAAACTTACCTGTATGGCAGTTACACGGACCAAAGTATGTGAACCAGGAAAAACGTTAAATCCATGATGGTCCATGCTTAAGTACTCTCCTTGTTCATGAATGATCACTCTCAACCCACGAGAGAATTCACTGATGGTAACTTCATCCGTTCGAACGTCCAAAACGACAGCTAAGCCGCCAGAAGATCCCGCGACACTTGTGTTACGGACTATTGTTCCATTTTCTCCTGAGTTAAAGGTGAAGCAACGGCCACCTTGAATCAAATTAGGAAAGAAATCTGCAGATTTACACTCTTCCTTTGTTGCAAAAGTACAGTAATACGTAAACATTTCTTCAAATTCATGTCCGTAAGCACCCAAGAACTTTTCCGGGTTAAACACTGCTTCCTTGGTGCTGTTAAGAGCATCAACAATTCGCTTCTTGGTTTTGTTGCAGTTCTCTATAACTTCGACCCCATACCTTTCGTGGGAACATAACAAGGCTTGTCCGCAAGTCATGTTAGTGATGACCTTCCTGACGGCTGCGCAAGAAGAGAGATTTAGACCCAATTTGTGAAAGTCTTCCTCGTCGTAAGGCATATAGATTTTCCTTTTGACGAAACGGTTTAAATTGCAAATCGTTACAGCAGGGAAGGTAAGGTTTCCGCTCTCCGGAACAACCTCGGTGTATTCGATGTTTACCGGTCGGGAAAAGTAGAGAGCTACACTCTGTTGCGCGAAGAACAGATACCACGCTATAGATAGCAACAGAAGAATTAACCACACAAAGCGGAGAACTCTGGAAGGGCTTTCGTACACATAGCGGAGGCCATGTACTGTAGTATTTGATGCGAACTCTTGCCACTTTGTACTCATACTCCAGCCTTTTCGTGTCTCTTCCCAAGCATCACCAAAAGAGACTAAGCGGCACTAACGCAAGTTTTAATAGTTATGAGCTTCCGTGGGAAAACTGATGTGTATTTTCTGCTGACTTCTCATGAAATTTTTATAAAGGGTGTACAGATACGGTATGAACACACTGAAAATCAATTATTGTGAAGGACTCATGAATAAAACCAACCTTCCTTGGCAACCTGTATAACAAGTTTTCCTTTCAGCTGCGAATTCAGCGATCACTGCTCATCGCGTATCAAAGGCTGTCTAAGACATCTTTACAGAATTTGTTGGGATATGGTTGTGGGTGAACATGAATTAAAGGGGAAAGAATAAAGGTATTATCAAAATGAATGCGATTCATGGACGATAAAGGAGTTCTTTCAAACACATTTTTTAATCTCTACAGACTCTGTCTCGAACCTTGGAGAAAAAAAATTTTCTTGTTCTTTTCTAGCTCTTAATTACTTTTTCCCTTTGGAGGCCAGTTGTTTGAACTTTGTATGATGATCGTCAAATATCTGTATGATCACACACTGTACAAGTTGAGCTAATGATTGACAATGACAGCAGGTTTGAGAATTATTCTTTTTTCGCAAAAAATCGAACGACAAGACAAGTTCTAAACAATCCTGAAAGCAATCGCGTTTTGAATTTCCTTAAATCTTCAGATTCTCTCACAACAAAAGAAAATAATGTCCTATAATTTTTCTCTTGCACACCCATTATTTTCCCTTGTTCACAATCAATAAAACAAAGGAAAAAATCAAGCCCATCTCAGCTAACTCGTAAATAATGAAAACGGAAATATCCTACATATGTATGCTATTATTGTCTTTATACGCACGAAAGTCCAATACTCAGTGCTTGATTGTTTTTAGGTACAGGATATTACTGTTTTGTAGCCATCCGCCGTTATGAAATGTTTCGGGGCGTAAGGAGGGAGGAGTTTAAGATGAATGATGGTAAAGTGATGACTGTAGTGATGAGACAGGCCCACCATGGTGGAGCTATTACTTATGGGGCAAGACGATAAACAGGGGGACTAGAGTAACAAACAATGGCCTGATAAATTCACCAACAGGATCAACCACAAAGTATGAAAAAAGTCTTTTAAGATTTTAATGCTAAACCGATTATAAACAACGTTGCCTGACAAATTAACGTAGCGGAATCCATTGTCTTCAGTTTATCATTACAGCATACCATCCTAAAACAAATACATGTAGATGCTTTCCTATCTTACACTGATATCAATAATTATACATTTCATTATGATAAGTATTCCTAGTTTTTTACCACCAGCATTTTTCATCAGCGCTTCACGGGACGTGCTTTTCCCGCTGTTCTCGCTTCCACACTATCACAGTTCCCTTAGGAAGACAAAGAAAAAAAAATAATTACATTGAGAAAAGTTAATCAATTATTGATGGTTTACTAACTTGCTTAAAATCGACTTTTTCATAATGGAATTATACTGCACGTAAATATAGAGTTCCTTAACCAGGTCGTACAGTTAAAGCATTGTCATTTTAAGTTCTAGCAGAAATTTGTAACAAGGTATATAATGAAAAGAAACAAAAATTCTTGAAAAACTGCTTAAATCACCCTGCTACGAAAAAAAAAACAAATATTTCGATGCACCGGTCTCTAGGATAAAGTAAATTGCCACTTCACCACCCTCCCGTTTTCCTTCCCCCTACCCCTCCGGATACTCTCGTCAGTCCCTTACCTCAGTATCACAGGATGCCAGCAGACTCTCGTCATAGTTCCAACAAACGTCGAGGACTGGTGCCGAGTGGCCTAACAGTTTATTCACACAAGGCTTCTCGGCGCGCTCCACATCGAAGAAATAGACCGTCATGTCTTCACTAGCACTTACTATGTACAAAATAAAAAACTATGAAATTGTAGACACAAGTTTAAGTAACAAATAAGCACAGTTCTTTCTCCTTAAAATATCCTTCCGGTAACTAGGACTGATTTTTATGTGACAAAAAATTCTAAACACAAAAATTGAAGAAATGACTGACAGTCAGTTTGGAGAATTAAAACTTAGATCTCGATGGTGGATGGGTTAATGAACAAGCGAGAAGGCCATCAGAATAAAATTTTATCATAATTAGGTATGTTACAATAACGTAAACTTGTGGATTATTGTTTTGGAAACAAAATCCTGATTATAAGATTAATAAATTGCAGCCATTGAATGAGCAAATGTTTAAATCTTTTCTTTAAACTTTTCTTTTTAAAAAGGCCCAACTCAAAATGAACCATCTCTCTTACTCTACTGAACACAAAAAAAATTAAAAGCTGGTGGAATGATCCACGTTATACATACCGACACAAGCGCCTTGTCTAAACGACATCAGGGGACAAAATGAACTTCTTACATGACGAGACTTGTGTTCGACGGCAAATGACTTTTTTAATTTTAGCCCACCCATATCGTCTACAACTCTGACAAGAAAAAGAACAGAAATAACCTTTCAAATCCAAGAAATTATTAAGGCGTAAGATGTTCTCACAGAGACAGTAACCAGAAAACAGGTGATCGGAATACAGTAGGACCTCCACTGCGGACCACTTCTCTGTAACTGCAAACATTCATACATTCACTCTCTTTTAGCAACTGCTACGAAAAGTCCAAAATATTTGTCTCGTTTCTTTCATTTTTACCCAGAGGCTTAACGTTTATGTGAAGTGCATTTGAATAATGTGTTCACAAATCTCACCCATAGAGGCAAAGTAAATTTATGGCCACATTGACAAGTAGCACAGGGTCCCTAGCCTCGCGATTCATCCAGCTGCGATATGAGATTGAAGTCACAGGACTACCCTCTGCTATAGACATTCTGTAAGAAAAACAAAAAGACTTATTACACCGGGGTCATGTTTTGCTTTGTTTTGCTATGTATTTTTGCAAATTACTGCTCTTACACCTGGTATACAGACAGAAAATGGGGTAGACGTGGGTGAAAATCTCTTTTATAACTTACCGCTTGGCTTTATGAAGTCGCCCAGAGGCCACATCAAAACAGAATGCGTGTATGCTTCCCTAAAATACAAATATATATCAAATAACAAATTCAAATAAGTTGAGACTATTAAGATTAACGCGAATCCAAAGAGCATCTGATTTAAAACACCTCACGACATGCAATCACTTTCTTTATTTGGCAATTATTACATAAAATTTGACTGGGATTCCACTGATTTTTCTTACCCACAATCTGTAAACGGGTTGCAAAACTCGCCCCACCCTCTTTATCCATCAGATGCTACGCCAAAAAAACATGACCTTCTCTTGCATGTAATAAGCTCCCTCCCTCCACTGTACTCAAAGGCTATTGTAATAACTTTTTTTGTTGGCTTTACAACACTCTCCTAGTGGTCTACGCTTTCAACGCTTTCATGGAAGCAGGAGCATGAAAACGAGGCCACCCAGTCATCCAAAAGAAAAAATCAACAAAATGGCGTCTAAATAATGACAGAGTAGTTCATATACCTTTTCATCGCCCACCCACACAAGAATACCAGATGAGTCAAACTCGACAGACTTAACCCCAGCTGAAACTTTAGCACTGCCACCCTAGGAGAAGACATAAATACAACTAACTAGTGATATCACAAACTTTTCATGTTATAAGCAGGGAGCAGGGGAGCAGAGATGGCACAGTGAGCTGTCCTGTGCTGTTCTATGCCACAGTAAAATACTATTATGCTATAATTATAATGTTACTGCGTATGTTAAAATTTCACATAGCTTTATGTCATGATCACATATCAACTCAGAAGTCTTTTCATTTCTAAAGGAAACCATCAGGGTTAACAGATCAAAATCAGATATGTAGAAGCAGAGGAGCACCAAAAACACTTTTTTTTTTCTCTAGTAAAAAGACAGTTTTTGAAAGCATGATATGAATAACCATTGTAAACCGTACCTTAAAACCTTTGCCAGTGGACATGTTAAAAACACTGAGGTGACCTTTCTGATTTCCAGTCTTTGTTTAAGATTAAGGATTAACAGCATGATACAATTTTTTAGTTACCCTATGAATAAAGGGGATAAGTTTCTTAAGTGCAGTGTTGACTGTTGTGACATTGTAAGGAGAAATTAGATGCTGGTCACTCTCAAGTGTCACTGGTTAAGGCACCTCTAAATAAAACATTAAAGTCATGAGAGAAAAGAAAATGATCACCAACTAAAAATACTCTTTGGTTTTTCAACACTCTTCATGTTAGTACCATGGAAAATGTACAGATGGCAGTAAAGAAAATGAGCAACCTGATGTTAAGAAGAAGGATTTAAGCCCAATAAATACAATTATTAACAAATCAGTACCATCATGTAGTCAGTCTGTCATGCCCAAGTTGAGCCCTTGGCCATCAGCCAATTTTATTGTAAATTTGTATTACTTTACTCTTCCTTTAGATCAATCCATTTAAGAGGATACAAGCAACATGTTGTTATTCACAGGTTGAAATCTGCAAGCTGTCAAACCACAGGAATGACTGTCATTCACCACTCGCAGACACTGCCCAGATGCAGGATTCCACACCCTTGCTGTACCATCCAAAGATGCAGAGAGTATAAAGTCATTGGTAATTGACCAGTCAAAGTCTAATAAAAAAGCAAAATTCAATGTCAATGGCTGTTGCTGGAGTCAGAGGTAGTCAGAGGCTGTTACTGGAGTACAAATGTATCATGCAAAATGTGAATTCCGCTGATTCAATCATGTATTGGATCTTTGAAGAGAACCTTTGATTTTTGCAAGGGATCAAAATGGAAAGTTTATGAAACATTATGGGGAAATTTTATTTATTTTGTTCAAAACTTTTCCTTGACAGAATGCAGAGTATATAAAACATGCATACTCCTGAGGGGAGAGAGGCATAGTGATCATTTAATTATTTTACATAAGGGCAGAACACAAAGACCTGCCCAGGCCTTCAAACCCATCCTCTCAACCAGGCCCCAGCTGTTCAAAGGTCAGATATTCACTGGATAAATTTCTATCCAGTCAATAACCCTAAATGTTTTGCTATCTCTTATCCACTGGATAGCAACTTATCCATTGAATGGTGTTCATTGGCCCTTCTAACAACTGGGCCCAGAAGTCTAGTATGCTAAGATGAGGCAAATACATATGATCAATGCACTGACATGGTTTGAGTGACAGTTATTCACTGTGACTGTAAGTACAAACCAAAATACTTGAACTTTCCTCACAGTTCAAGCTACTTGTACTGCCAGGGTTGATTTCTCAATTTGTCAGCCATACAAGCTCATTGTCCAGTTAACAATTGGTTATTAGCTTTTCACTTAGCTTTTACTTACCTGTTACGGCTGCTGTGTGTCCTCTCAGTGTACAAGTAACTGATGGAGGGGATGGAACAAGAACACAGACAGACAGTGTCCCATCAGCAGAACTACACCCCAAGCGAAACTTGTCATCATTGGCAAATTTGATTGCTGTGACTAAAAATAAACAAATGTATTTTATTCAAAAATAACTTAAAAACAACTTTCTCAGTAAAGATTGAGATGTTGGTTGGTTTGCATTCCTAGAGATTGGAATTAATCAGTTGTCAGAGGTTTGGAAGCATCACTTTTTTTAAATTAAAGACACAAGCCTTGGTTGCACAGAAAAGTGCCTTATAGGAGACACAACATGGCAAAGGTATGATTCACAGCCACACATTGTTTGAATTTGAACCATGAAGTGGCTGTGACCCAAAACAAAACAAGACTTCAAACTGTCTGTCAGAATTAATTGCATTAATCTGAGGGAAAGGTTGAAAAGGTTGAAAAATAAAAACAACCACCAACTACAAAACTTACATTCATATTCATGTGAGCAAAATTATTTGTGCTCCTTAGATAAAGAAATTTCAGCAAAATATAAGCTCCTATTATAAAGAAATTCCAAGGCTGTAGAAATTTAAGAAAGCATTTTAGGGACATTCTTACCACTTTCTGCATGCTGATCAAAGATGTGATACATCCCAGCAAAGGCATAATTCTCACCCAAACTAGTGTTCCCTGCCATCCGCCTAGAAGATCAAAGTCAAAATACAAGTTTAAAGACTTATTTGAGGACATACATCTATTAGGGACAAAGAAAACTAACAAAATTGAAAAGCGGGTTTAGAAAAACGTACCTGCTGGCTTCTGCCTTACGAGTGGGTACCACACCCCTTGGAGGTGATTCTGGAATATCAGCTTGAGGTAAGAATTTAAAGGAGCCTGAACTGTGGTAACGACGATGTGAAGGCTTGCCAGGAGAATGTCCCCCTTCAGATGGATCAATGTGCAAGGAATCAAAACTTGTCTGGAAGAGTATCAATCAAAAGAAACACTTCATTTAAACTCATACACAATAATAATTTCACTTATTCAGTGACACCTGCATTACAAATGCACCAAAGGACAATTAATGCTTAAACACGGTACCCAATTAAAACAAAGCTTCTGACTAACACATCACAAAAAACTGTATTCACTGTTTAAAACCTTTCTACTTCTTTAATATAAACCTTTAGAAGGACAAGCTTATGAATAAATTTGCACAGACTGATTTGACAATCAAAGAACATCTATGGATTTGATCTGGGAATCTGTAATTTCTATTAACAGAATCAAGTTTTCGTGCACAGTTATAGAGTTACACAGAAATGAGCAGAATTCAGCACAAACTTGTCTTCAGTTGACAAGTCTGGTCATCAAACAAACCTCAAAGGAACTCAATTTGCTGTATGTGCTTGCACTTCTGCTCCTACAAAAAGAAAAAAAAGTGAGGTTACTTTAGGGCATAATGATGCAAAAGCTGATCAAAGAGTTTTAGAAAGTTATTCCCAAATAAACTAATATTCAATATTTAACTGTCAAATTAATATAAATTGATACTTTGGTAACCTTGGAGACTGTCAAGGAAAAGTTCTAACCTTGAAAGCGATGACTCAGATGGACCATATCTTTTAGACAACAGTTGTCTTCTCAGGGAAAGATACTGCCTGCGGCATGAATGATCCAATTTCTGCACAGCAACCATAACAATAACATTGCTTTACATTATTATCATATCAAAGAAATAAAGAAAACTGAAAATGTGCATTGAACATTCTCAAGTGCTTTAAAACAGTAGGGAGGGGAGGAAGTGGGCAGGAATTAGACCCTGGTGTATTGGTTGCACATCAGAGGACTGGGAAGGGAAAATATACTCTATATGGAGAGGGTGTGGGGGAGGTGGGGCAGGGACATTTTGTATGATAACAATAGTGGTCATAAGTTCAAATCCTGTACAGACCTGAATTTTTTTTCACTTTTGCTTTTTATTTCATTTTTGCTTTTTATTTCACTTCATACTGTCAAGATTGCTCTCATATTTATTTCTTGATACACAGTTCACATATATGGTTCTCATATATAGTCACAGTCATTTGTTAATCCCTTCACAAGTTTATTAAAAAACCAACAAAGTGACCAGCTCCCAGTTTGCTCTTTAGCTCAGTTGGTAGAACACTGCAGTAGTACTGTAGAGGTCATAGGTTCAAATCCTATACTCATCTTAAATTTTCTCAGGCCCTATTTTTTTTCTTAAATACACAGGTAGTGTTCATTACTGCGAACTGATTGCTTCCATATTCATGTTCATTAATGGTGAAATGCCTAGTCAAAGAAAAGGAATCTACGGCTGCTAACAAGACCTAACAGGCACCAGGTTAAGCGATTCCAGTCACGGGAATGACATTGGTACTCTCTCGAAAAGCATCAGCTCATTTGCCGTTGCCTCTTGCCAACAATAAGTTTAAAAAAACCTAAATAAACTTATATACTTTACCTCTCTTTTGGCGTTTTCCCGTAGTAGCTGATTTCTTCTTCTTATGTACAAAGTACCTACAACAAATGGGCATCAATCAGCTGTTTAGGACAACAGTTCTGATATCTAACGTCCAACTTCTCAGCAAACAATTACAACGGTCAAACAACACGTATACTTAATGCCTTGTTACACTAAATGATACTCACGGTATGAAGGGTTGTTTGGAACCCGATACGCATTGTATCGAGCATCCAATGCGAGAATTTGTTGAGATATGTTCATTTTGCGTTCTATGACAGTTCCGCCATAGCAGTTTTTTCCGCAACTACTATCTCATGTAAGGCTACACAAAACCTTTGTTCGTACCAGTCCCGCCAGGGCGCATTATGCATTTCAAGATGGCCGCCGCAGAGGAACTGTTCACGTCAGATGTGCATCTTTTTACACCATTTTTCCAAGAAGAGGAAAACAGTATAGGTAGGGCTTGAATATGTAAGCAGGAATTGACTCTTCCTTCGAGTTTTTTTCTAAATGATTAATCAATTGTATAAGCTGACAAGAAGGATAAAGTCTTGGGGGTATAAGGGATATGCTCATCATGGAAACAACCAACCACTAGCACTCCATTCAGTAATGATAATAGCTTCGTGGTAAAAGAAAAAATGCGATTGAGAAAACTTTTGATGCAGAGAAAGGGATGAAAGAGAGGATGGGAAATCTCACAATATTTGCTTTCGGGTCTTTGTCTGTTTCTACCCGTCCCGATGCACTATGATGAATTTGGGTGGAAAAAAATCGATCTATGGTCATTGAACCTAAATTTGGCCCTTGTGACTTTTTCCACAAATTGGAATTGGGAGAATGTACGGTAGAAGGGAGCAGTAAATGGGAATGGATAGGGTGGGAAAGCAGGAACTTTTTGGGACTAAAAATCTGCCAGGTGCTCACGATAAAGAGCCAAATACAGAAGACAAGGGTTTGGGAATCAGGGGATCCTACCCACATGAGCTCCTGTATCTGGTATTCAGGGGAAGGGAGTAATCAAGCACAGGTATTAAGATGCAAAATAATATTATTTGTGATACCAAGCTTAATTCTCAAACAACTCCTTTGATAGTATTTACCAGGTTTACAATATACAGATCCCCTGAGAATACCTCTGCCAATAAGATGGAAGGGAGAAGTCATCACATGGGATTTCATGAAACTGATGAAGATGGAGATTTGTCACCTCCAAGAAAGTTCTCTGCCAGAGATGACTGTGAAGTTATTACAATAGGTAGAAAGTTAATCTAAAATTGTACATGAAGTTATGTTTTGTTTAACTTTTTTAACCAGTTTTACTTTTTACATCATCAATATTATACAATTTTACATATACTATCCATAACTTATGTATATTATTTATATATTATTTATGTAATTGTACATCTTGTTGTACGTTATTTATTTATCCATATATTTATTTTAACCATTATATTATTTTATTATAGTGAATTGGTACAGAAGAGCCACCATGTGGAGTACTAATAAACCATTATTATTATTATTATTATTATTATTATTATTATTATTACTTTGTCTCAAATCATAATCTTTTATTATCCTAGTCAAGGGACAACAAAATTATTATAAATCTGGTAAGAAAATGATGAAAAATTAACCACAATACGTACAATGTCATTGTGTCAATTTTGAACTCAAAATTGCATTTTTCTCCGCACAAAAATATATGCATCTATCAGTTTGCTTTTTTCCAAATTCAGTTCCCACACAGGAGTAGCTATCACGCCACAATAAAAAAGTTTATTTTTACACTACACTACACTACCATTACATCCACATATAAAATTGAAATTATGATATTGTACTTCATTATAAGCATTAAAGTTTCCCTCTCTCTCTCTTCCCTATTTTACTTGAACACCAGAACATCATCTTTCCACTGGGATTGAAGATGTAGGGCTGCAGGTACTGTTCTTAGAATTTCTGTGATATACCCATAATGTAACACCCTAAGGCCAAACTCTACATATGTGTGAATACATTTACAGAAAAGCAAGAATGAATACTGATGTGTATCCCATTAAAAATCTCAAAGATTTGATTATGGAAGTTGAATCAGAGGATATAGAGATACACCCCAATTATTCTTAATTCTCTCAAATTTAACAATGAAAAAGACATTAAAAAGAGATGTTTTTCATCTTGTCACAAGCGTGGGACAAAGATAAAATTCTGAGTCCCCTTGAGGAATCAAACCTCAGACCCTTCAGATTTTGTGCTCCAATGCCCTACTACTGAGCCACAGAGACTCAATGGTGAGCGAGGTCTATTACGAGGTTCATATGACACGTGTCCTGCATACTGCTAGGAATTCAGCAATGTCGATAGGGTTATGTTTGTAGATAGAAATAAGAGAGAAGGTAAATTTTGAGCTCAGTAAAGAAATAAACATAAATAAAAGACATTGTTTTTATGTTGGTTGTCTTAAAATTGCTTGAAGATTTGTGTTGTTTTTTTTCTTTTTTTCTTTCCTTAATTTTGTATCATTATTATTTTGATTCATGTATTCTATTTTTTTTTTAATTATTTTTTTTTAGGAAAGTTTTAGCTAGCATGAATTATTTCTATTTTATTTTCATGGTTGCTGCTAGGTTTGGAGAGGGGCCCTCCTATTAAGTGATTTCTTGATTTGCAATGAAGAAAGGTGAGTTGTCTTCTTATAGTACTTGTATATTATATATTAAGTACTATTTTGTAGGGCCAAAACAGTAACAGAAAGAATCAAAAGAAAGTATTTGAGGAATGTTCAATAAATTTGTTTATTGCATCATAGTGTTTACTATAACATGTGTCTGATGTATTGCTTTTTCTGTCTTTTGATTTGTGTTGTGAATAGAAGCATAATTACCAAATATATATTGACTTATACACAGGATTGACTTAGAGTCTGGTAAATACAGTATATGTTCTTCCAATCAGATTTGATGGATGTTTTGGGTTGGAGCTTGGAGCAGGTCTTGGTTTATGTAGCATCATATTGGGAAGAGTGGCAAAGAGACTGTTCTGTACAGGTATAGAGTCGTTGATGTTGCATAATTGAAGTAGCAAGTAAAGTAAAAAAAAATAAGTATGTTTATATATTCAGGTGTACTTTCATCAAGGTATAAAGCATAGGCTGAATCTGTTTTAAGAGCAACTTAATTGTCTTCTTGTGGGTCCTTCAAACTTCCCTATTGCCTTGAAGACCAATGAACACAGCTGACACTACTTAAAACATTTTCAACACAAGTCTAATTTTTACGGAATTTTGTAATATTTAGATGTTGGAGACACCATTCTCAGCAACTGCAATGCCAACATAGCAGCTAACTCTCATCTTTTTAGATATGGTGAGTAAGAGAATGATGTAAAGTGATTGAACTCAAGATAGTCATACCTTATTGGATTTTTGCTTTGATGATTACAGTCTTTTTGCAGTGTCTATGAGATATGAAACTTCTGTTTGGGCCATGTTTTCCATATTTGAGAACATGATAATGAGGCATGCACGGGATGTCATATTTCCTAAATTTTTGACAGAGTTTTTTCAACTTGCCTTACACACCATTGTTGTTGAGATGATTGTAACTTTGGTTGGTATTAGAAGGAAACCTTATTCCTTAGCTATCAATTCCTCAAATTCTTCTCATTCACGCCAAGAAAGAAAGCTAAGTAGGCTGACATTTAAATTTTGAATTGTTTGATGCATCAGCCCATCAACAGACCTCTGTCAAAGAGCTCGTGCTCAAAACATCACCTATACAAACTCTTTATGGTGGTCAATTTACTTTATCAGCTTAGAGGATAAAACCAAAATTTTTTTTCATCTTTTTTTTCATCTTAGGCAGTGAAGCTGTTACAGTTCATGAATTGGACTGGCAGAAAAAAGGATTACCCTCTGGTAAGGAGATGAACTTAGTTATAATGTTAATTCTTAATAGAGTGGCAAAAATACAGTAAATTAATTAGGATTGCATTGGTTTTTTTTTTTTTTTTTTTTTTTTTTCCATCTATTTCTTATACAATTATATACATATTTTTGCTAAATCTCAGTTTGCCTAGGACCCAAACTGTTTTGCCAACAGGTTTTGGCTTTCTGTTTCCTTTGCACCAGAAATAAAACGTTATTTGTCATCTTGCTCTAGACATCGAGCAATTGGAAAATTGTTTCTCTGCCCAACTTTCCTATGTTAAAAAAACTCATTATCGTGACCACTCATCTTCTTCTTCTTCAAGGGGGAGACTGAAAACATGTGGTAGAATTGGGTGTGATTATTCAATAGTATTTTTTGCAATCCATCATTATTTTTGTTGTTATGTTACAGAGAATGGTTCTTTCTGTTGGACAATAGAAGATCAAGAGCTGTTTAAAGCTATCACAGTTGTATTGGCTGCAGATGGTTAGTGTCAGAAGTGATCTTTTGTTCCTCAGGGGTAGTAATTAATATTCATTCATTCTCCATCTGGGTCTCACTGGCAGGGAAAGAAGTTCATTTGATTTTCCAATTTCTTACTTTAAATTTCCTTTATTTATTCTTAGTGATTTATGATGATTCCTTAACTGATGCTTTCATTAAAACGGTCTTGCATCTTTTTGAGCAAAACACAGACATAGTCCTTTACTTGACAGTGGAGAAACGGTGAGTTGGACAAGCTGAATAAGAAATAGAAGATGAAATAAGCTTTGTTTCATCAGTTACCTCCCTGAGTTTGCATAATTTTTCACTTCCCCTGAGATCTATGGCACCTCAACTCTACCTATATTTTCAGATTGAATTTTACCCTGAAGGATCTTGCTGTAACCTGTCCAGCATACTCCCATTTTACTGAGAGAATAGATGAACTGGAAAGTAAACAAAAAAGACTAACAGCAAGGAAACTCTCCACTGATTTTCCTAAGTACCTACAGTATGACAGAGTAAAGGAGCTGGTAAGTGTTGAAGTGATTTTGTTTGTGTATTAGGTTGTTGTTTTTTATTTTGTTTTGTTTTGTTTTTTTGCTGTTATGTTGTTTGAGTGCCTTCTAAATAAAAAATGAGAATGAAAAAACCTTTTTCCTCTCTCTTTTATCCTTTATCTGAACCCCCTTCATTCTGTTTTCTTTCTTTAATTATTATTATTATTATTATTATTATTATCAGTTCTGTTAGTTTTACCTTTTTTTCTTTGAATTGATTTAATTGGATTTGGTTCTTTTTTTCTTTTCTGTCTCATTCCTTTTCTTTACCTCTTTACTTCTTAATTTGATACAATCTATGAGCTCTGCAATACCACATGAGGGCTGACTTGCAGTCTTGATCATTGAATGCTTTCCTGATATTAAATCTTTTTTCCTAGCAATTGATCATCTTTGAATTCTTATAGGAACTATGGGAAATTAAACCAACTTAACCTGATGTTGACATGGAAAACTTTAAACACCCGCCAACTGAATGAAGGTGTCAGAGCTTTGAACTGGTTAAATTTATCAGGTTCCATCAACCTTCTCACATGGTACTATTTACAATTATGGAAGTAAAGGGAAATCCTTAATTTTTCAATGACTCAAATTGAGTTCAATTCATGTTCTTAAGTCTTTTGTACATTTTGCTTTACTTTGACTCAAAATCATTAAACAAAAGGTTAAGATGCTGAAACTCAAACTCTGAGGCAGTCTAGTGTATTCAATTGTGTATGTAAGTTTTGGCATAAGCAAAACTGAGTAAAGATATTTACTTGTGTAGCTGTGTTTTCAATTCAAAGATGAAAATTTTCTTTTTCTTAATCTTTTAGGGTTCCAATGGCCTTGTGTCTTTGAGGAATTTTAAGAGGCAATGGACAAACACAAGTTGGAAACTTCCTCACTGTTCACGCAAGAGATGGTGTACGGCAGGTGTTACTGCTTTTTATGGATAAGCTTCCTTTATATAAACTGCCAGAGAACTGGTATCATTTAGAGTGGGACAAGGACAAGGAGATCTACAAACTTGTGTGACGCTCTGACCAGCAGGAACTGCACATTGATCGGCTTAAATGTCAAAGGTAATGGATCAGGAGATGGAGGAATAGAAGACTTGTCTGAGGCTTTAACCAACAATATCATTCTGTAAATTAACGAGCTTTAACTAAGTCCAACTGCAAGCTAAGGAGCTTAGACTTCTCCCAACTCTTTGACCCCTAAGAGTGACCAGCATCTAATTTCTCCTTACAGTATCACCCCTACATCAAACACTAAGGTCATGAGAATAATGGAAATGATCTACAAGCTAAGTACAGAAGCTCTTGATTGTTGAGCAAAATCTCCTTGTAAGTACCATAGAAAATGTACGAAAAATAGTATAGAGAATATGCACACTGATCTTAGGGTGTAAAAGGTTAAAATAAAATAACAGTTATGGCAAACAGTAATTTTCCTAAGTACTAAGTGGTACTGATTGTAAAGTTAAAGCAGACATAATATAGGCTTTCTTTATATATCCATTAATTCAATTTAGAAGGATAGTTAATTTTTTGATAAAGGATAGTACATTACATTTTTATCGCTGACTGTTTATATAATCAAATTTGCCATTCTTATTGAAAATGGATAGTTAATTTTTGATAAAGGATAGTTTATTTAAACACGATTTTTATAAATGACTGTTTAGTCGTCGTGCGTAAAATGGAATAAAATGAAATTATAGACTTAAAGTAGCCTATCAAAATTTGTTGATCAAAAATGGAAAATTATTAAAATACGTCTGACTGGAATTACAAATTTAGCGTGAGAGACAAACGTCGCCATCAACAACTGATGACCGACTCTGTATTGTTAGACAAACGATTATCAAACTTCCATTTTTATTTTGGCTCATGTAAAGCTTATTTCAGCTAATGGATTACAAATGCAACAGCAAAGTAAGTATTTCTGGAAGCTTACATGTGATTCCGTATAACGGATCTGTGGGCAATCCTTTTATAAGTTTTAATGAACGCTCGCACTTTAATCTTGCCTTTATTAACAAATGCTTTCAAACATTTGTTAGAAATGTCAGGAAAAAATCTGTAGGCAATCAGTTAGACTAGTTATACCACCAAATTAGCTGAGAGAGTGAATAATACCGTGAGGTGATATGCATGCCGGTATCGAAAAAGCACCCACCAGCTCATGATTTCGTGTTTTCTTATCACCCGCTGTAGACTGCAGGTTAACTCAGTGGCACTTAAAAGAGAGGAGAGAGAGAAAGAAAGAAGAAAAAACAGCAACGATCCTAGCAAATAAACTAATTCCATTTCTTCATGAACTTTAAAACTATAGCTGTATTGCCACGTAGCTTCTAGTCCATACAATCGGGAACAATTGGGGGTCGTCTTCTGAGGTCATCAAGCCCTCTCAACAGATTCACTCTGCTCACTGCCCCTGCTGCTTCTCTCTGTAATCCTGACTGCCTGGATATATCCAAGGCTTGCTCTGCAGCCCTTAAACCTATGGTCAAATATTTCGATTCCTGTTTAGAATTGCAATCGATCGTGATATACCATTAATCAGTCAATCGATGATAAGCCGAGCAATCAACAAGCAGCTAAACGTCGATTGAAGCAACTAAGTCATTTCTAACTCATAACCTATAGAATAGTCTTAATTGACATGACACAAAGGGTTCACACGAAAGTAGTAATTTTCTAGTAAGTTTTCTTTAATGAAGATAATCGCGGAGTCGTTCTTACCGTCGTTAATATCTCTTAACCTGATATAGTGATCCGCCTTGCCAAGGTAAAATGTACTCTTCATCCATTTGAAGCATTGAGGAAGGAGGACTTCAAATCTCCTGATTACCTCGCCAGCACGTCTCAGGTTGTCTTGGGATACGGTGACGTCAAGGTTTGGTGCTGTATTTGGAGAGGACTTGAGGTACAGGCCAATCAATCGATTGTACACTCGAGGAAGCATGCGAGCTGTTGTGTTTAGGTTTTGATGATTCCAGTGCGTGGCTGCCATCTGGAGGAAACTCTCTGCCTCTCTTTCCTCGTCATTGCTTACTCCCACGGTGGCAGATCTCTCCATGGCTATTGCACCAATATTGTAGAGTGTTATTGATGTGTAGGAAGATGGTTCCATTGGTTCAAATATCTGTGGGTGGTTTAAAAGTTTCAAGCCGCTTAGCTTACAGTAGTACATTGAGATGGTCAATGGAGGGGGAAGAAATCAATCAAAATAAGTGGTTGTCAACATTTAGGTCAGCCACTTCCCCTTGTGTAACCGAATGAGAAGAAACTTGAGCCGAACGAGTTTAAACTGAACTCTTTTTGCTACGTTTTCTTTATCTCACCTTGATAGCAATCAATACCAAAAGTAGGTTAAGCAGAGAGAAAGAGTGGAAGTTCATCTTTCCTTGTTTTAGGATAGCCAATTATCTCAAAGCTTTTTACCGAAATAGCCAAAAGTCAGGGAGAAAATCCACATACAAGTGTTCTCACCTCCAAAGCATCTTGGAGATATTGTTTGGCACCGTCTTGATCACCAGCAAATCGTTCCGCAGCGGCATACACAGCTGATGCATAACCGCGGATAGTGCGGTCGTTCACACAGTTGTGGAATGAGGACAAACGGCAGGCTTTTCTCGCGAGATTAACTCCCTCTTCGAGCCTATTTCGGATAAGGCACGCCACACCTTCCTAGCAAAAATGAGAAAGTACATTCCATGCAATTTTTTAGATGTAGTGAGTTTTCTGTTCCTTTAATCCTTCTCGCAGATTAAGATTGAGACTGTGAAATGATACCATTACTGAGGCTGCAAAGGCATTAATCATGAATTAAGCTTGTGCTGTGTGCAGATTTAGTCGTGGGATAATCACAGTTAACCCCTTCCCCCCTTCCGATGATTAGATTAATTTGAAAGTGGTTTAATTGGCGTAGTACCTCGTTCAGAACCATTGCAACCAGATCTTGATATTGGGGTGTTGTCTTGGCCCACCTTTCCAAGCTCTTTCTGTGTTGTCTGTACAATGAATATTTCCCTGAATATAAAATAAATGGATAGATAAATGCATGAATATATAATAGGTAAATAAGGAGTAAACGTTCTCAGTGCACTGGTATAATCCCCTCTTGTTTATGACCACACACAACATCCTTGAGCTAATCATCTTGATCTACTCCAGTAGACTGTGTAACATTGTATCGTAAAGACCCGTAAGAGTGTTTTTGCGTCTTTTACACTCGCTTAAATCATACTGGTTAATGGCAAATGACAACTAGCACTTTGCTTCATAGTTTTTGTCTTCTTCCTGTAAGACAGTTGTGGCTAATTACATTTCTTGTCGCGCCTGTCAAGACAGTTTCAAATGCTAGTAACAGGCAGTTAAAGGAGGGATGATCATGCTACCCTCCTTGGACGTTCATTTTTACTAGGAAAAGATATTTCTGAACAATTAATAATCAACGAAGGAGAACATTATGGAAAAAGTGAGAACAATTTAAAACAAAGCTGGGCTCAATAGGACATTCAATCAGGAACAGTTAATTTTGATTGTAGGACGATGCCCTACTTTAGAGAAAGCCCATTACAACTATCTAGCTTACCATTATCTGACAGTTTCTCAAAGTGCATTATGATATTCCATGCAAAAGGTCGCGTCAGTACTCCTATTGATTGAGTAAATCAATAAATACTGAAATAAATAGATGAATATAGGAGTAAATGGATATATGGATAAATCTTAGCTTCTTTAAATTTGTAACTTGTCTTGTTAACGTTCTTTCTAAAGAATATATTTGTTTATCAATCTAAGTATCCGTCTTTTTCTTTTGTTCAAACGTTGACTAGTAAATAATAATAATAATCATAATAATAAACAGGAAGAGAAATCACTTTCTTATATAGTTTCAGTGGAACACTGACCTGCAAGTTTAAGTTTTGGAAGCGGGTAATCAATGTAAAAAATATTCCCTTTTTCGTGAAAATGAACTTGGTTTCCATCAGGAAGATTTGTTGCTACAGTGAATATAATCTCGTCGCATACAACTTCTCTGCCTTCCAGCTCTTTGGTAAGCTGTAGGGTGGCATTGTAAATATTGGGACCACCAGCAGGAAGCAAGACAGTGAGTAGGCGAGCATGAGGGGGAAGCTGTCTCCCTTCACAGTCCACCGAGGAATTGCTTATAACAACACCTCTGTTCGGATATGCTTGCAATATCATCTTGTAAGCACCATTATTCTAGGAAGAAAAGCAGAGGAAACGTTTGAATCTAACACTTAAAGGAGAGTATCATAAATTCTTAAACTCAGCATTATCGTTATTTTCTGGTTTAAAGGGAAGAAAGTGAAGGAATGAAGGATACTCTCGAGGCGAAGTATTCTTGTCTCGGTGCAAAACTATTTCTTCAGAATTTAATTTAGAGGCGATTTGTTGTGCTAACTGATTAAAGAAAATGTGCTGCCAGGTCTTTGAAAAAAAAAGTACAATAGAGAGCGAAGCATACATGATAAAAAGACCTCTTTATTATAGACGAATTGAATTCGATCCTTTCTTAGAGAATTTATTTCTCCGTTTTAAATTTTACCATTTTGGAAATATTACACTCAGACACCAGCCGCAGGTACCAGCCTCACACCAGCTGGGAACGGTGGGTCGGTATTATGTTACTATAATGATTTCCAAGTTATGTGTAACTAATGTAAGCAAGATTGTAGCGATCGCCGATCACCGATCACCGATCACCGATCACCGATCACCCAGATACACCACTGAACTTAAGAAGTGCACGTATATTATGCGAGCACATAATTTTAGCGTGCTCAAGCTTGATATGTTTACAGCACCGGAAAATGGAATAAATGAACTCTGATCTTCCTCACTTATCATAATCTTTAACGCCATAGTTAAATTATTTAAACAGTAAATGACGGGTGGCAAGAAGTAATTTTTTTTTAATTTCCATCTGCCATAACCTCAGTAATCACTCACCACAACAAGCTCGTTTGGACGTGATGGTGCTAAATCACTGATCCATATTTCTTGACTTTCTTTTGACATCAGTGCAATTACAAAAGATAAATTAAGCAATGTCGACTGCTGGTCAACTCTGTAACGCTGCCATGGGGTAGCTCTGATTTGTTCATTGTCATGTGGATAAAAGCTGTGATGTATCACACACAAAGCAATGTCTTCTTGAGTAGTCATTCTGTCAGTTGTAGCTACGTTTCCTACGAGATATAAGTATAATTACCAAACGATATACCTGGAAAAAAAAAACAAACAAACAAACAAAAAACACCAGCAACAAAACGAAATAGAAATTAGGTACCCACCAAGACAGACAATTGATTTATCAACACAAGAGCCACGAACAAAGTAATAAATTAATTAATATTTTGATTAGAAATTCTCGAGCTTCTAGGAATATGAGTTTTTGCTGATTAGTTTCAAACCGAGGAATCGAAATCATGGTCAAAATAGTCATTCTACTGCTTCAAATTTGTTTTTTCCTAGTTAAATTTATAAATTTTACTTCATCAGTTATCATTTTCAGAAAAGGAAGTTAAATGTTAAATGTTTTCGATAGAAGTGAAAGTAGAGGGACACTTGCGAAAAGATTAGTCTACAAAACTATGGGAAAAGAAATATACTGCGAATTTTCAATCGTGTCGTGGAAAAAATATTTGTATAGGTAATCACATGATTTCGAGTGCAATTTGGAATAAATAAGCACGAGTAAATTTTTTCAAAGACTAACAAAATTGCACGAGCCCGTAGGGCGAGTGCAATTTGAGGTCTTTGAAAAAATTAACAAGTGCTTGTTTATTCCAAATTGCACGAGAAAAATCATGTGATTACGTGTCAATAATAAACATGGAAAAATACGAGATGGTCTATCATAATTAAACATAAGCAAAGCGCGCGTATCAAGTGCAAAAAATAATTTATTCAAACCGTGCGTACGATCAAAACAATAATATGCAATGATATCTTCACATCTTAAAGGTGCAAAAAAGTTCAAAGTGCGGCTTAACAGTTCAAGGAATTGTTCAGTCTGTGTCCGAATCACTTTCGATGAAATGGAATCGTCGTTTCCGAGGTTTAACCATGTTTGTTTTAAATTTCGGCGTTGGATCGCTCGAGCAAAGTGTTAAGCTAGGTCGGCTCGTAATTTTCGATTTCCTCGGCAATTCCCTTCTCTAAACACCACTTTTTCCAAACGGACAACCAAAAAGCAGCGCTTTTACAATGTTTTCGTTGTTTAAGCTGTTTTTCAGCTGCGGTGGCGAAAGAAAACCTACTTAAAACACCGGCCATTGTTTCGCTCGCAAATTTTCAAATTTTCAAATTTTGTTGCGATATCCAAGGCTCGCATTTGATTGGCTATCTGCGAGTTTCTTTGATTATTAACTAATCAGAATGTCTGACTTGTTTCTTTCTTTGCACTGAATTAACCTTCTGCACTAAATTAACTCTCTTCTGCACTGAATTACCTGAAAACTGCATTTATCTTAACCAATCAGAACTGAGTAATTTTTCCATGTATATTATTATGCAGTGAACAGAGCTTGAATCAGTAACTATTCCTTCATAGAAACAGGTGTTACTGCTGACATGATCCTGACCGAGGCATTAAAATTTTGGGCAGAAATTCTCGTGCATTTAAACTCCTTCCTGTTATGGCTATTAGTGTATGGCTCTAGCTTTTTTCTTCTTATTACTATCACTTTTCATTTTGACAGGAAGTTCCTATTGACGCCTGAACCGCCCGTAACCGCCCGTGCCGCGTGGGGGACTTAAGCGAGAGACGGAAATCAAGAACTGTTTTGAATAAAGCTTTCTTCCCGAAACGTTCCTTGGTCAGTTTCGTCTCTCTTCTAATTTAGAAATTCCATGTAACACGAGATCTCTCCACACACTGATAAATTTGCATATTCACTTGTGCGCACACGTGCGCAAAAAATTATTGATTTTTATCTTTTATCTTAATTTTAAATTAAAAACTTAAGATGCATCTATCGCTTTTTTCGTTGAAAGTAAGTTATTTAAATGGTCTTCTTTCACTTGAGCTTGTTTTTGGGAAAAGATGATTAATAAAACTTTACTGCGCATCGTGTTTACTTTTCCGGTTTCTCCAAAATTTTAACTTTTCGCGTTGCGTGGGTACGATTAGTTATACCATTTCTGAAATATCCACAGAGCAAAAGGTGTATTCAAAAATTTTTTGATATGATATTATTTTATAAAAGTTTACTCTGCAGTTGGTATCCTACCTACGTATACGCCGAGAAATACACATGTAAGCTAGACGCTGTATTATACTTTGCGTGGGAGCAGTTGTCGTCTTTGGGTAAGCGTGGAATCACAATCTTATGGCTACGTTCCTTTACACATACCTACAGCACAAATCATGCGTGGTAAAACTCGATTATCCCTCAAAGCCATGGTTTATCTGCGATGACAGGAAGGCCTCTACAGAAAAGCTGTTAAGCAAACAACGAAGTGAGAGAGTAATGGAAACTGAATACTGGTCCGTCTGTTTATGATATAAATTTAAAAAAATCAATTAATGCCCGTCCTTCTGATAGGTCTATGATGACTAATATATTCATTATGAGAGGATCACGAGTTAAATGTTTACTTTAAAATGTTTTTTTCAAACGTAATATAAGCACGTACCCTGAGGTTTGAAATCCAGCTAAAGAGCGACTAAATTGATCGGAAATAATGTGCTCAAAATTTTTTTGCGCTAGCATCGCCAACTATAGTGGCCACGCGCTCGCGAAGCGTAAACGGTTTTTTAGAAATGTAACTCTAAAAATAACGTCAAATTTTTACAAAGAAATGTAGGGAGAGATTTTTAATACTTCGAAAAGGTTGGTTAAAAAAAATTACAGATGGAACATTTGCCGGAGCGGGATGCCATTATAATGACTGCTATCTGTATACTGCTGTAAAAAAAAGACAAGGTAAATATTTTTTTCCTATTTGGATAAATACCTTAGATATTATAATATAATCTTTATTCTATTGGTTAGCACACCTTTGACCGAAGTCACGTGATTATGCTCATATATCATTGTGTGTGATGTCGGCTAAGCAAAGTTACTTCTCACCCTCGTAGTTTAGTCATACGAAAGAAAAAATCAGTTTTTCGGCTTCTGAAGATGGGAAGTAACCTTAAATAATATTAATTGTATGGCAGCGCTAGTTTGAACGAACAGTTGCACTATTATGCAACACGTTTTATATTTTAGTGTAACCTAATAATAAAGATATTTATAATAAAGTTCGGATATCACGCGTGCTGTCATTAGTTGAAAGAGCGTGCTCTATGAGAGTATAGAGCATAGAGCTGAGCTAAAGCTGTCACGCCATCTGTCAAATTGTGCTATGTTCGACCTTTTCCGGGACTACTTTTTAGCTTTTTTCCGATAACTGAAAGTAAAATTTCAGAACAAGCAAGCCGGCAAGTAGCAACAGAAGAACCAAACAAAGGTTTGTAAACATACCAGGCGCCGTAATTTACGTTATTAAAACGTGAGCAGATACGAAAATCCTCAAATGAAAAACAAAATAGACATTCCGAGTTTTAAAGATTTTCACGCTCAGTTAGATTGCAAGCCTACGCACGGTGATAAAAATCAAACACAGCTAACACTCGTATAGTATATAAAGTTCAGTGTTCAAAAACAAAACAGAACAAAACAGAAATGATGAAAAATATAACCAAACTGGCATAACTGTTAAAATTCATACTAATCATGACGATGTCTGAGCGAATATGATCATGCGGAAGTCCATCGCGGCTCGCTCATTATGGCGATCTCCGGTCATCACCGTAAAGCAAGCCTCAGAAACTACATCGGCCGCCCTTCGAGTGAAAAAATAAGAGCTTGCTCTGATATCCTTACCGATGCGTTGAATAGAAAGTCAAATCAGTCACTGCAGCCGAGTTTTGCGGCGCTGTCATCCCGAGCGATCTTCATGTTCCGGTGAATTCGGCTGTCGTTCATTCAAAAAACACTCGCCTTGAACAGTTTGTTTTCTACCTTGTCATGTGAAAAAAACTCACGTGTTTTTATGAGCCATAATTCGGCTGAAGTTCACTGAACATTTCACTTCAAGATTTTGTATTACAGACTCAAAAACTTCAAGCAAAAGTGTTAAATTCGACTTGCCGAACTATTTTAGTTGGTAAACTATCGTAGAATGTGAACTTTGATGGTTTTTTAACTTTGATGGTTTGACACTTTTGACAGCTTTAGTCTTGTACAGCCAATCAGATTATTTGAACCATTCTAACAGGGATTCTGATTGGCTTATTGTAGCGTGCTTTATGAGAGTATAGAGCATGCTGACGACACTGTTGTTCGCTTTGGAAATAAAGTTGTTTTGAAAATTGAAAGTAATGCTTGGGTAATTTAACGGATTCTTTATTATAAAACAAATAGAGAAGCCTCGACTGTGCTCTGTTCTGTTATAAAGCACTTAGGAAGCGGCTAGAGCACTCAAGAAGTGGGAAGAAACACTCGACTACGTCTCGTGTTTCTCCCTACACTTATTTCGTGCTCTAGCCGCTTCCTGCGTGATTTATAACAGAACAGAGCACAGTCAAGGCTTCTCTATTTGTTAAACAGCGGGAATCTGACCCGACCAATAATCCTCCGGAATATTTCTGGTGAATGCTGTTTGACTTTCAACGCCTGGTCTTGAACTGTCACTTCGAAAGAAGTTTTTAAGTCAACCGAATCCCGCAAGTATTGCATCCGAATGCCTTTTGTTTACATACATAGTAAAGTAAAGCTCAGCTGTCAAAACACTCACCGGCAAGCAAATCAACTCGTTGGGAAATTAACTCGAAACTGAAAATGGAAATCTATTTTTTGTCATTATGTCACTCGCTTCCTAGTTTTTCTTACAACTTAACCTTGTGAACTAAAATTACGAGGATCTAGAGATTGAGTTTAGAAACTGCGTCTGTAGTATTACAGCAAATGAAAAGTAAAAGGCAAATATTAAACGCGTCTTTCAAGCACAAACAACTTCGACAGGCGCTGCGCTTATTGTCTACATTATTTCGGCCATCTGCTCGTATAGTGTATAGTTATAACAATTATTTTGATAACTAAGCTTGACTCAGTGATGTAGTATTAATGTAGTATATTTGCTCTCCAGTACTCGTCATCACTTATTTTTTTACTTGGCAACGTGATTTTACAAAACGGACGAGTCCTTTCACGCCCATCAGGTGGTGACAATGTATAACTACGCCGTGTCTAAGATACCCATGATCTAATTTTACTTTGCCGCTCCTTTAACCTCCAAGTATTCCCGCCAAAAATCTCTTTCGTCTAAAATTATAGCTTTCCTCTCTCGTGCTTACTTTGTTTTCTCCTAGTGCAGTTTTAATTAGTGATAGGAGAGAAGTCACAGTTATAAATATCTTCGATTGTAAGTTTCGATTAGTCTTAAATTGTGAAAAAGAGTGCCAGTGTTAATTGATAGATTGAGCGGCAATCAGCTAGATGTTTATTCACAGCGCAGGCGAGTCTCGTGTTTACTTCAAATCTTCTTCCTTATGTCACTCACTTACACTCACCTTGCCAAGATATTTTGAACTGGAAAAATCAATGCAACCTTCTGCAAACACTATCGAGCGAAAGTAAATCTACAAACCTCTTTTTATAGTTTTGACTTTATTCTTCCTTGGGGAAAGGAAATTGAATTGCAAGATTTATTGGAAGTTCAAAAAATTGGGGGTGACTTCAAATTGTTTGGCTAAGGAAGGGAAGACAGCTTGGAGTTGAATAAGCGGGATTTCCGAGTATTAATGACGCTTCAGATTTTGTTAGAGAAATATAGAGCCATTGCACATAAGTTCTTCACAAAAGAAGGGGATAGTAGCTTTTGATTTGAGAGTGCACTATGTTTTAACCTACAGGTAACATTCTCAAGTACATGTAAAATTTTACGACAATGATCCAAACATCTAATTGCATTTTAATAAATATCAAATGACATGTAATCGTACAAAGAGATAAAGGCTAAAATTGTGATATTTTGTTACTCCCTTCCTTGTACTGTAACCCTTGCAATTTAAACACATGGTCACGAGAATATATTGCTTTTTATTGTAATCATTCACTGAGCATCTTCAAATAACACTTGTTTACATTTAAATAAGTAAATGATCAAGGGCACTGAAGTGTGACTCACAAAGAATAACAATTTATCAAAACAACTTTCCTATTTTTGAATCATTTTTGTTCATTTTCTTTTGTTGGAAACCAGAACACATTACCTTGTAGCAAAACCTAGTTTTAAAAAAAGCTGAACCTGCAACAGCACTGCACAACATATTTATCTACTGCATTTCTTAATGCACCTAATCATTATCACACTGTTAATAATGACTTAAAAAATATTTTTGGTTTAAAGCTTCAATGAACAAAGCATGCAAAAGCAATTGAAAAAGTTTCTTTCTTTTTTTCAAGAAATAGCTTACTTCTTTATGCCCATCTCTCCATGAAAACCCAAAGAAAAACTAAGTAAAGTAAAATTATAATGTACAATGAAAGTTTTTCAAATATTTCAGCAAATAAGACAAAAAAAAAGTATTAAATTTAGAAACCTTTCACCCTCTAATACATTGCAGCAAACTAATTCTCAAAACTTCATCTTCTGCTTGAACCAACTGGTTCCTTGCAGTGATACTGTATTTCATGGTTTATTCAATGCCATGAAACTCACAAATGAAATGACCATTTTAAAAATACCTTACACAATACCACAGCTCATAACTCATGTTTCTAACCCTTAATTCATTTCACAACTGAGAACAAAGAAAAACAACAACAACAACAATAGAGGTGCAAAGAAGCTTATATATTGAACAAGTGGTTTGGCCAGTTTTCAGAAATGCAAAAAACAAACAACTTGAATACCCATTTCTCCTATCGGAGTCTTTGAGAGTGAACAATCTCACAGATTTATAGAGATCTTACAACATTTCTTGGTTTCATTTGGGCCAATCACTGAACATTTTGTTTGTTACACAGTGACCTACAATATAAAATGGTTTGACATTTCCACTAGCTTGTTATCATATGTTAAAACTACTATAAAGATGAAAAACTATTGATTTCTTTCAATTAGTTTGAAGATGGTTACTGACCCTTGTCAATAGAATTTAATCTCTCTTGACTCAAGTTCACAGTCTCACATTCAGGAAGTTTTGGGTATTATTTACATTAACTGGTGCAAAAATAGTTTTATTTATTTCAAAGCATCATAACTCTAATCTATCAAAGTTCAGTGGCGCCTGCGCCAAGATTCTACTGAGCCAGGATCCCACATCAACTTGCTTTTCCTCATACCTTAGGATAAAAGGATGCTTGAGCAATTCTCTGTACTTTGGTCTTCTTGTAACATCTTTGGTAAGGCTAGGAAAACAAACGACACACAGAAACAATCATTACATTAGAACTAAGATCAGTTATGGTCATGCCTCTGAAATTATTATAGACCTTGCCCTACAATTTTTCACAAACTGTCTTAGTTTCCTATTGCTTGTTTACAGCCAAGATGATAGGAATTCAAATTGAAAATTAAAAACAGAAAAACTTGTTAAGGAGCCACAGTAACTTATCTATGCCCAATAATAATTAATAATAAGTCACCAAGCTTTCAAGACATCTTTAGAGGTTGCTACTAATTTCATGAAAGTTAGGCTTCATGTACATTCATTTAGCAAAAATTTGTTGTTTGAAGATGGCCCAAACTCTACGTTGATTGCCTGCATAATATTTGATGCAAACAATTTCAATTTACTAACCACACATTTGTAAAGGCAAGCATTTCATCTGAAAAGTTTCCTCCATCTTTGTTGGTCAAGCGTGGTGGGTCTCCCTTCACAACCTGAGTCAGCTGATCAAATACACTCTTCCATTTGGGATAAGGAAATTTTCCAGTGGCAAGTTCAATCTGTCATTTGATGTTAAAAAACAATTATTCTCATTAAAAATGAATCATAAGCACCTCTTTGGAGGTCACTCCCTCTAGTCTTGTCACCCATTACAAGATTGTTATCAAGTGGTAATTTTCCTAAGGGAAATCACACAGTACATTCCTTGAGGCTTCTGATGAAGAATTAATCTTTAAGTATGGAATGAAATACAGACAGTCTGATTATCATCTAGACAGCTATTAAATTAAATAATTATTCCTTTTTTCAAGCTCAATGATTTAAAGTGTTGGAGAATACACTAAAGTTCATTTTTAGCCCTTTCACTCTCAAGATCTCACAAGTAATTCTCCTAGATGTCTGCCATACAATTCCTTTGATGTTAGTTGGGAGAATTTGGTATGGGATCAACTGATAATCTCCTAATTTATATTTTTCTTTATTCCAAACACTCATCTGCTTGATAGTGTATTGATACTGTAACAAGAAATTCTGTCTTGGACACTCATGGGAGTTTAAAAATGCTTGCTGATCATCATAGGTGAATATAACTTTGCTTCAAACAATCCCCAGGATGATGCTGAAGTGATTATTCAAAACTATTTATCAGCTAGTAATGACCATGGATTAGTAAAGTGCATTTGACCTAGCCTAGGAATGGGTGTTTTTGGCACTGCATAATAAAATCTTGATCAGCAGGGATTTGCTAAAGCAAAGGCATAGAAAAAACCAGGAAAGATTTATTACTCGACGTTTCGGGGTCATCGTGACTCCATTATCAAGAGACTAGTTTAAAAACATGCAAATAAGGAAAGGTACAAGAATAGCATAAATTAGAATGAACGGCTTAAACAAACACCTTGGCGTTTGTTTAAGCCGTTCATTCTAATTTATGCTATTCTTGTACCTTTCCTTATTTGCATGTTTTTAAACTAGTCTCTTGATAATGGAGTCACGATGACCCCGAAACGTCGAGTAATAAATCTTTCCTGGTTTTTTTCTATAATAAAATCCAGGGCATAAATAAACCTGTGACCATCAAATGGTGTTACAGCTCACAGTTCTGATTTCGAGTAACTAAAGGTGTTAATCAGTTGGGTACAATTTATCTACATATCTTCCCAAGGCATTCAGATTGAAGTGAACCACACATCAAACACAATACAGCAGAACCCCACTAACTCAAACCCCCTGATAACTCGCACAAGATCTGATTTCTCTTGATCCCATTTTCAGTTATTTACAATCAGCTAACTCGAACCCTGAACCTCAATTTATCTACATATCTTCCCAACGCATTCAGATTGAAGTGAACCACACATCATTTTTATAGTTAACTGGTATCTAAGCTTTTTGGAAGACAGGCAGCAGAGAGTCATTAGAAATGGGTTTATTGGAAAATGGAAAAGTGTCAACAAAGGTACCACCCAAGGAAGTGTCAGCGGGCCGCACTTGTTCAATGTCTTTCTCAGTGATTTAGAGATACACTTGGACAATAAGAGCGTGCTGGTAAAATATGCAGATGATACAACCATTATCTCGCCTGTGATAGGTGATAATGACAATTCTATCGCACTGATTAATCAGTTTTCCCAGTGGTCTAGAAGTAATGGTATGTGTAGCAATCCATCTAAGTGCAAGGAAATCATTTTCCGCAAGAAAGGTTGTACAATAGAGTTTCCGATGGTGTCTGGAATACCACAGACAAAAGAGCTTACTATTTTAGGGGTAACATTTCAGGAAGACAGTAGGTTCATAACACATATTCGGGAAAAACTAATTAAAGCAAACAAGTGCCTGTTCATTTTAAGATCTTTAAGGAAAGAAGGGTACAATCAGGCGAAATAGACCATCTGTTTCTAAATCTGGTTCTACCAAATATATTATACGGGTTGTCCGTATTTGGCGCTGTAAATTCGAATTAACAACAATCCAATGTTTCTTAGATCGATGTTATAAGCGCAAGTATACATCCGATCACATTAATGTTTATGAATTGTTAGTTCAACAGGACACGCGTATCTTCAAGAATGTTTTTAATAATATAATACACCCTTTAAGAGCTATAATGCCAAAAAAGAAATTAACCAAGTACAATCTGAGGAAAGAGACAAGTCACCATCCTAAAATAAACACTGATAGGTTCAAAAACACGTTTGTTAATCGCTTAATTTTTAAACATAATCTAGTCTTATAATTTTTATCTTGATTTTCTCTGTAATTTATATATATACCTTCTTTTAATGTTGTAACATAGGATATGTGATTATTTATCTTATGACTTAATAAAGATTCAAGAAGATCAAACACAATACAGCAGAACCCCACTAACTCAAACCCCCTGATAACTCGCACAAGATCTGATTTCTCTTGATCCCATTTTCAGTTATTTACTATCAGCTAACTCGAACCCCGCTAACTCTAACCATTTTTTGTTTCCCTTGCAAGTTTGATTTATCAGGGTTCTAATTTAAATAACCAACAGTTCTTTTAACTTACTAAGGTAATTCCAAAGCTCCACACATCTGATCTGATGTCATAACTTCCTTGTCTTGAAGACATGGGATCTATCCTCTCAGGCTATGAGGAATTAAAAATTATATTCAGCTGATTCAGTTTGATGAGGAACAACAAACAACCTTTGTTTGACTCCCTTTTCCAGGAACAAAGTAAATCTGTAACACCTAGACTTGTCCTATACAAGTGTAATGCACATATTTTGCTCCCTTATAAAAAACATGAAGAAATTATGTGCTTCTGATCCACTAGAAAGGAGTGCATTCTCATGTAACACAAGTGCAAAGTTGTAACACAAGAGCAGAGTACAAGTAGTGTGCACACACTTTCAAGGTTTCATCTGTCTTTACTTTCTGCAATGTTTTTTCATGTACATTACAAACAAGAAATGACATCCGTTCTCTTGCTATTTGGTGTAATAAGCACACCACACCATCTTTGAAAAAAATTACTGGTGCCTATTTACAACAAATTGCACTCAAAATCACATTATTAGCTATACTTATCTTTGAGCTGCACTACATAGTACAAGTCTTTCTTCAAACTACTCTAATTTAAGAAGAGATTTACCAACAATATCCTGATATCATTTTGCTCCTGGGAGAGAAACCTACTTTCTTTCCCTACATGTAATTGCTTTAAAGAACTAAGATTGGCAAGTCATCCAAAAATTAATTCAAGCTTCATTACAGCACAGTACATGCATCACACAAATCTGTACAGTCAGTTAAAGTAAGGGAAGTGTAAGATGTGAGCCAGAGAGATGTGACAATATGTTTCATGAGTATGTTGCTGCCATCCCTTCAGTATTGCACATGAGTTGTACAAGGGAAGGAGGCAAGTGCCACAGAGATGGCAAATGAGTAAGTTCTTGAACATGAATTTCAATCTTTTTGGCTGGAATACACTTCTCAGCAAGCTAGCTGATAAATAAAGGTGGTAAGTTTCTAAGGAAACTATGGCGCTGTGTCAGTGGGAATGATCAACTGAGTTGATAATGTAAACTGGCCAACATAAAGAGTTACAAAGCTGACGTTTCGTGCATTAGTCCTTCATCAGGCTAGTGGATAGTTGATGTTGATCCTGACATTAGGTGAATAATTGTTAAAATTTGATCACCTTCGAGGTCCACTTGATCATTTTCCCATCATAAATAATTATAATAAGTGTCTACACAAGCCTAAAAGTGGACTAACAAATAAAAAAAAAAAAAGGTATAAAATATTTATTTCATAAAAGACATGACCTACCGCCATGTAGGGCTTGCATCCTGCATCTCTTGTCTTAGCAATGGAGTCAACAAGTTGGCCACTGATACCAAAGTCACAAAGCTTGATATGTCCATGAAGATCGAGCAAGATGTTGGAAGGCTTCACATCTGGAAGAGTAAAGACATATTAATTGATATGTACACCCCACTGACAACATAAATTGAAAAGATGAAGAGTTGACTGCAGGTGAAATATTGATACAGAAAAACACTGTTGTTATATCCATGATGACACAATATCAATTTAGACAATTAGGAACAAACCTCTATGAATGATGTTGAGCATTGTTTTAAGATAGTCCAGTGCTTTCACAACCTGTGTAAAAAAAAAAGGGTTGTTCCTTTCAACAAACAAGTTCATGCCCTGGCCCTGTTTTGAGGCACTTTGCAAAAAAAAAAAGTTACATTCTATGTGTACAAAGATTGTAAAATAACAATATTAGTATCAGTAATGGTAATAATGACAAAAGAATAAAAACTCTAGTGAGACTGGAAAAAAAACAACAACAATCAGTGGATCCATATTGAAATGTTGGCATAAACATTTGATAAACATCAAAAAGATGTAGGACAATAAAAATGATTATGAGAACAGTTATAAGAAAGAGTTTCCATGCTACATTTGTGTTAATTCTATAATCTATATCAAAAACAAATTGAAAATTTTCAATTTTAAAAGTTCTCAGTATATTGCTGGAATGAGGTTCTTTTGGAAAGTAATTTCATTCCTTTTGCTAGAGCAGCATATTGAAATGTGGATTGGTCCATAGAAGTTTTGTTTCTCAGGAGATGAAGTTCTCTACCTTTTCTTGTGGCCCTACTACCAAGGAGTTTGCATGTTAATACAGAAAAAACCAACACCACTGCTAAAAACAGAAACTTACTGCCAATGAGGTCATTCCTAGAATGTCTTCTGGTATAGTTTCCATTACAACCCCATAAATATGCCGGTAACACTGGTCAAATGAGGTGTGCATCAATTCCATGCAGATCCATGCATCACCCTAAGATAGAGGCCAAGATATGTTCAGTAATTTGGTATACAGGCTGCTTTACTGTAGATTAATTCAGAGAATTAAGCATTTTATATCAGAGGAACCTCCTCCAGATGGTATGAGTACAATGCAATTTCAAACCCATGGTGTTTTAAAACATTTCCCTTAAAGGGCCATTGAACCATGATACAGTGAATATAGAGTTTAGGTGACTGTCTCAAGTCAGTTCTTGTTTAGGTTTACAAATTTTTCCTATAATAGCCACTCCTTGGCAGACAAGGTGTCTGCAGTGGAAGGGTGACACTTCCCATTTGAAGGTTTCAATAAGACTTAAAAGAATGAGTTTACAATGCTTGAGAGTAATGGAGAGGCGGCTCTCACTTTGACTGTCCTTCACAGAACTAGTCCATAACAGCACTTAGTGCAATAACTCAAGCTCAAATTCGCCCTTAATCTACACTTTGCTCTTGAAAAGAAGAGCAAGACTGTAAACACTAAGAATATCCAAAGAGAGAATATTTCTCATGGCATGTACCTCAGTAAAAAGAGCTCCGTAAAACTTGACAATGTATTTACAATCACTGCTTCGCATGACAACATCCAAATCCATTAAAAGCTGTTTTTGCTCTTTTTCATCTACTGTTGAACGAATTCTCTGAAAGGGAAAAACAGGTGCTTTAAAAAGAAACCTTAAATTACAGATTAATTCTTATAAAATGGCACAGTTGATTCCCTCAAGAAGATGTCATGACATAGGAAATTAAAGCACTATAAAGCCTCAGTGATTTGTGCATTTATTGGAGGGTTGGAAAGAGGGGGTGGCTGATTCTGTTTCACGCACAAATTTTTCAAAAAAATCACTCTTCATATGTACTTTAAACAGTATTTCATGTATGACAATTTCAAGATGGAAAACTTCAAATCTCACGTTACCTTAACTTTCTATAAAATACATGCATTATTTACTAATTTTGAACTTAATCTTATGTCAAGTTTAAAAAACTTTGCCACCCTCTTACTGGTATTGCTAGACATGTTACTAACATTGGGTGATGGCACTGAACAAGGAAAAGAGGTCATTAAGCCATTGAAGATGTTTTTACCAAAAGACAAACCACACCATAATAGTTTGCTATACTAGGACCCTATTCTATGGCTAACAGCAAAACTTTTCAAACAAGTATAGGGTAGATAGAAACATGAATATCAGGGTTAATTTACCTTAACTGCCATGTAGGTGTTGCTTTCCTTATGTAACATCTTATTGACAGTGCCATATGCACCTCTACCAATCTCACCACAATCATCCAGGTCTTCCGATGAATATTCATAATTCTATTATGGAAATTTTACACAAACAAAACATACATATTAGAAGGTGCAAAAACAACAGCAAACATGACAGGTACCAACCATAATCTATAAAAAGTATTTCATGAAATCATAAATTTCATTGATTTAAACTCTGGAGTTCAAAGCTCACATGATAAGCCATAAATTTTCATTTCTGTTCATTCCCTTTCCCCACCTCCCTTGTGCAGCTAGATGTACAAGAAAATAAGTAAGGTGCCTGCCTGTTCCTCTTATCAGACTCCTAGCCTAACACTATATCAAAGTCACCATACATTTAAGCCAATAGAGGTCCATCCTGACTAAGAAATTATATCACAAATAAAATGAAATAAAGCCATGATCCATGATGATTTTACCAAGTGCAGAAGAGAAGCCAGAATAAAAACTTAAGGTTTTAGTGGGATTCGAGCCCGAGCCTCATAGATAGTGCTAGTAGTTGAGCCTTACTACCAACTGGGCAACAAAGTTTAGAGAGAGGAAAATTTTAGAGGTTTATTCTTCCCCACGGAAGAATCTGATATACATTACAAATTGTATCAAATTACACTACATTAATTGAAGTGAAAATGTTTATTCAATATAAATAGCTTACCTGATCCGGGCCAAATGACAGTTTTCCAACAGCTTTGTGAGTTCGGAGTCTTTCACTTAAAAAAAAAAAAGGAAATAAAATCTTTTTGTGCCAAAAGTTGATGGTACTATCTAAAGGATAAATGACTTTCCAACATATTGATATTAGAAAAACCTGATAAACACGATAAAAATGATGCTCTGTCTCTTACATAGCTTTAAATTGTGGTTCAAATGTTTCCTTTCTTTGACATTTTCAAACCAGTTTTGGCAAGTTTCTAAATAAACTGTGGTGTTGCATTAGAGGGGAATACTATAGGATAGTTTGGTTTAATCAGCTGAGTTGGTAATGAAATTAAAGAGTTAAATAAAAGGTGACGTGCTAAGTATCATGGCATCACAGCTTAAGAGACAAAAATCACACAAGTTGAAAAATTTTGAACTAAGTGATAAAATTGAATCACAAATTAAAATCTACATTCATGGCATTATCAAAACAAAAAACAAATGAGGCCTTTTGAGTAGGATTGTTTCCACGTTTCACAAAAGAAATCATAAAATGAATCTGAAAGTTGAAACTGTGAGTCGCTAATGTTGCACAATGACAGCTGCAATTAAATTTAATTCACGGTTAATTGCTACTTCATAAATTGTTAGAATCGCGCTCTTTAATGACACAGACACCGACTAATGTCTTGCTGATCTACAATAAAATTGTTTGTCTTCTTGAAAGAGGAAGCTGTAAACAGGAATTCGATAGCTTATGTTATGCGTTAAATATTTATCTTACATATTGGATTGAAGCGGTGTTGGTTGTCGTGTCGCGAGTCCTGCGAGGTTTAACTTTTTTTTCTCTATTCCACCTTGGAAGTTCAGTTTGAGCTTCTCTCTTGACAATCTGCTACCTATGAGAGGCAAAAAAATTCCGTATTTGAGAAGGGACAAGTCCGAATAAACACACGCCTCAATTGAAACGCTGGATAATGGAACATTTCATACCAAACCAAACTTATACATTAACGTAATATATTGCAAACAATATCACCCACAATTAAAGAAGCTTTCTAACGTTTTAAGACTAGATATAAGACCAGCTCTTGTAAATCATCAAACCTGTTGATCTATGTGCGCCGTTTATAGTTAAGAACAAGCGTAAATTTCTAAGCTTACCTGGTGAATTCGACGCCATACTCGCCAAACAGCGAATAAAAGAAGAAACACAGCAGAAGTTTAGTCCTATTTTGACGACTTTCAGGCAGCTTTAGGACTATTTGATACTTCTACTTGTCTCAAAAGGCAATCATTGTGGAAAAAGTCTCTAAAATTAGACTAAAAGAAAGGTGAAATTTGAAGTTATTGGCTGAATTTCCGACGCTAAAGGAAATTAATACTGCGCATGGGTAGATCGCGACTTAGTCTCCAGTCTCTCCGCATCTTTCAATATGGCAGACTTGTTAAAAACAAGGATGGCGTTAAATATTATTCATGAGTCCTGCTGATCTGTTTTAGGCGCTTTTTTCTTTCACTTGCGATTTAAGTGAAGCAGGAATATTTCGATTTTCGTATTTCACCGGAAATGTCAGGAAAAAATTTGTGAAAGGGTCGATATGACCTGATTAATGGTTCGCGAATTGAAAAGTTTCTTTTGAAAAGAACTTGCCATTTTCGAAATGCCTGCCTTGGTGGCTTTTAATCGCCGATGGCGTATTGGCAGCGATGACTTGTTTTTCCCAGCAGCGGTAGGAGTTATAGTTAGACTAGTTTGGTGAGTAATTATGTTGGTGTATGTAGTAAAAATGATGTGCACAATTTGGACTCAAACTATCTCTAATCATGGCCAGTCACAGAACATACCTCCTAAGAGATTTCTTTAATGAAATTTGCAGAATTTAGGAGCTCATTATCTGTTCCAATACCATGAGGTCATTATGAAAGACATTTGATGTTTGTTTCAAGGTGTATTTTCCTTTAGTAGGTGTGTGTGGGTGAGGGAGAAAGAACTGGGAATAATGGTTGATCTGAGAATTGAAGAGTGTCATACATGTAACTTAAGTTCCAAAAGGTTAAACATCCATAGCTGGGGAATTTTGAAGAGCTACTCCCACAAAAAACCTGTTGATGGACTGTTGGCTGACATATAACCAACAAGCCTCTAAGTGACAATATACATGTACCTGAGAAGTAAAGTCCAAAACAAACCTTTGACTGGCATCAACAGGTTTTTCAGGAACTTGTTCTTCACAACTACCCCAGAGATGTGGCTGGAGAATATCAAACTTTGAAAAATAACTGTTTAATTATCATTGTACACTGGCATGTATGAATTTTTTTTCTTATTTCATTGGCCAGCATACATATATCTCACTATTCGTCCATTCTACCACCATTGTATTGATAGTGGGTGCTTTTCTCCCTTTAACAGACTATCTTAAGGCTAAAGAATTAATTTCACTGATTTTGATCACAGATGTATACTATTTAGTTTGTTGAATATAGAAATAATCAAGGATTTGCCAACCCTTTAACTCCCAAAAGTGATCAACATGTTGCCTCTCTCTATGATATCCATTCATTATCTAGAAAACAGGTAATGAGAATATTCAAACTTATCAGGTAGAAGTTATCTTGATCTAACATCAAACTCTCATAACTAATTTACAAGGAAATGTGGAGCAGTTAGAGGGGAGAATTTACAATCAAATCTCGGGAGTTAAAGGGTTAAGAAACGCAAAGTATTGCTTAATATCACACAAATTGCTCTTTAAGACTTCTTGTTTTTTTAAGGATACTGCATTATGCACTGATAACTGACTCATTTTATCCACAACATTTAGGTTGGCTGTAATATCTATGACGTACAGCTTTGAGAATGATGAGATTAAAAAGTGTGATGCTCGGCTTGAACTGCGGTTATTTTTTATTGGAGTAATTGTTCTAACCAGCCTGGTGATTATCAATGAAATTGCCATCATATACATCAGTATACAGGGAACTGTGATGAACTCCAGACCACGGCAGTTAATGCCAGTATTACTTTATATCCAACTTGGACTTTATCTGCCAGAGCTGCTGTGGACAATTCTTGGGACCTACTGGGCAGTAAAGAATGGCTCTAGTTGTCAGCCAAGCTTGGTTATTGCTGTGTGTGTTTCAGTGACTCTAGAATGGCTGATCTTACTTGTTGTTTTTATTGGTGTTTTGGTGTTGTTTGATCCACTGGGAACAATTCACAAGGATCCATTTGGAAGGGAGTTTTCACCTGTCATGCAAGAATCAACAAAAGAGGTTTGAAATCAATATCTGTTAAAAATTCAGTTTTTCCTACATCTAAGAAGTTTGGAAAGACACAAAACTCTTGAACAAACATTTATCTCTCAAATAGGCTCTATAAATCCCTATGGTATCAACTAAAGCTTTTCATTCAGCTAATTTATTACTGACTGTTTTTCATGTTACCATGTTCCCATTAATAGTGTAGTGTCATCTTTCTGTTTATAAACCACACAAAACCCACAATTCTTTCGCTCTCTCTAACATACAGCTGCACCAGAAAGTCAGTTTTAGAAACTCCCTATGTTGACAAATTTACTCTATCAACTCTGTTGTTGTGCAAGGCCATGGGTTCAGGTCCTAGACTGGAATAATGGTTCTTAATTACTAAATGGAAAGAATTTGTTGCCCTCACAATGAAATGTGAAGCTGCTTTAGATGTCATGGTCTGATATAATAGGGAAAATATGCTGGGGTCTGTATCTTAACTATTACAGTTTGCAGGAGACATTAATTAAAATAACACAAACACAAAGCTCTTGGTACCGGTGGTATGGTGGAGTCTTTTTCTATGACTCAGCAAATTTATATCTTGTGCATCTAACAAATAAACAAATGAACAAAAAAGATAAATGAATAAAGGAAGTGAGTTTCCAGAGAAACTGTGGTGCTGCATTGGTGGAAGAGTATAGCAGTGTACATGTAATTTAGTATTATCAACTCAGTCGATAACATAAAGCCCTTTGTCATTTGCTTGAAACATCAGCTTTAAACTCTATACAGTGGCCAATTTACATTATCAACCCAGTTGATAAGTTAGACTAAATTAAGCTGAAAAAAAAGATGATACATTTATCTTTAGACAACACTTTTCTCTCTAATTTTTTGATTTTCAAATCCCCAATATCAGCTTTGGGAGAAGAGATGTCGTTGGTTGTGTTGCTTCTTTACTGGCAGAGATGATCAGTACCTCAGTGCAGTGTCAGACATTGCAGATATTTTAGCCTCTGGATTGCATGGGGTGGACATTGTTGCTTCTGATGTTGCTGTTGGGCTCATTCTTCTTCAAGAAGAACAAGATCGTGAGCAGATGGAAAGAAAGATGAAGGGAGAAGTAAGAGATCTATAGAATAAATTCTAGCTTCTGTAGCTGCAACTAGGCCTTTTACAAACAACTGCTTACATACAGGATACATTGTAAAGAATTAATCGTGGACATACTGAACCGTTACTGTTGAAATTGCAGATGTTTGTTTGTTTCAGTGACTTAATTAGAAGCCGTTTGGAAACATTTGGGATTTTTGTATACCTGACTTGATGTACAATGAGCCCATCACCATCCCACATCTGAAAATGCATCTAATCAAAGCACAGTGTTTGTAATTTGATTGGTTACTTCCAAACAGTGTTGTTTCATCAGTTTTAAGTAGGAAACTTTGAGATAGCATCAGTTTTTGCAAAATTTTGTAATACACTAATGTTTACAATCTAGATGTCAAAAAAAAAGTGTAAACTGACAACCTATTTCTAATTGCACTTGTATTTCATCATTTTTAGAATCTTCAGAAAGGGACTCCTGTAAATCTTAGTGATCCTGTGAGTAATAATTATTAAAGACTACATTAGAGCATAATGTAGAAATACTGTAATTGACATGGGCTACAATGTGATACTGTTTGGCTAAGGATCTAGAGATCTTGAATTCAAACAAATAGGATCAATTTGGGGTAATTCTTTTTGAACAGATACCAGTACTGTATTGAAATCATTTTGAAAGGTTTGTTATGTTATTTTGTAATGTGTTGTATGTTTAAATGATTTTAAAGAAAATGTGGTGACAGATAGGTCTGTAATGATGCCACGTGAAGGCTTTGTTCAATCTGATTGTAGTTGGAAATATTTGAGAAAGAAGGAAAAGGGTATTGCTTGAACAAAAATTCACCATGTGAATAGCTGGGGGAAAAGATTTTCACCTTAAGGGGCATAGCCAGCTTATCGTCCTGTAGGCCCTGGGCATATAATCTTTTCCGTCACTTGACTTTTATAAATAATTACTGCAAAATTTACAAAAAAAATTGAACTTTCTAAGAGTACAGGCCTACAACAAGACATGAGGCTGGCTATGCCCCTGACCTCCATCTATGAATGAGGATAACAACAATACCAACCTAAGCCTTAGCTTTCCATCTCTGTCACTACATTCTCTAAAAATGCCTACGTAATTTTGTACAACCATTATAAGTGTAAAAACGTTGAAGGTTGGATATTTCCATCACATTTTCTTTTAGAAAGAGAAATCCCTGGTACAGGATGCCACTCATTTCATGCAGTTTGCCCTTGGTTCCTATGGTTGGCCTCTGTACGTGTTTATGAATCCCTGTGTTGGGCCTGGTAACCTTTGTAGTGGAATAAGGTAATTGAAATAAACTACAGCTGTGGCCATTAAGAGACGATACCCATTAACAGACAACCCTTTAAAAACGCCCCGTCTCGACTCCCCTGGAAACTCTATTGACCTTAAGCCTTTATCCCCTAAAAGTGACTAGCATCTAATTTCTCCTTACAGTATCAACCCTAAATCAAACATTAAGGTCATGAGAATAACGGAAATGATCAACAAGTACACGAGTTCTTGATTGTTAAGCAAAATCTCTTTGTCAACACCTCAAGAAATGTATAGAAAACAGTATGGAGAATATGCATACTGATCTTGGTGTGTAAAGGGTTAAATTAGGCATTATATCGAGAAGTGAGTCAGAGCGTAAAGTATAAACCTTTTTGACACTGCCGAGAAAATCATTTGAAAGGGTTTTTCGTTATGATGCTATTGAGGAGCGTCAATTGGAACATTTTTTTTTTAATTTTTTGGACACCTTTATTCTACTGGTTTACCTTGGTTTATAGTTCAGGCCCCGGTTGTTCAAAGGATGGATAACTTCTTATTTATCCAGCGGATAAATTTTACCCATGGCGTCATATCGGTTGTTCAAAGTATGGATAGCGCTATCTACTTGCTATCCAGTGGATAAATTCATCCACCCTTTGAACAATCGGGGCTAGATGATTTAAATTGTCTCTTAAATACAAAGTTTTATCCTTTTCGGACAGTTCTCCATTCTTTCCACTTTCCATGTAATGTACTCAATTTTTCAGCTCAGAGTTCAAAGGAGAGAGAGCTTGTTTGGAAGCAGTGCGCTAATCTCGTTGTTTCTAAATTTAGCCCCAACCCCTGACATTGTCGAACGACGTCATATTAATATGATACCATTTCCTTTCAGTTTTTCGATTTTTAGTTGTCACTATTGAAAAAAATTTTCTATTACGATTTTACCACAAGAAAATTAAATTTTCGCTGGCGTAGTCTTCCTTCCCTAACCCCAGTGCACGAGCTTGTAGTGTTAGCAGTACCGAATATTGATGCATTGATGAAGTGTGATTGTAGACTACGAGAAGTCCTTTCTTTACGGCGAAGTGCTTCGCGCGAGTGAAAAAAAAACATTTTTGTGAAAAAAAAAAAAACATTGTTTGTAGCGCCCCATGCGGAACTCTGTGAGTGAGGCCTAATTCACTCTGAGTGTTCCACGAGGCGCAATTTCGACTTATACGACGTACGTTAACGGAAAGGGGGGAATGCACATAATCTTGGTTGACAGATGACAGCGAAAATTTAACTTTTCAAAAAAGAATAGCTCTGAACGAGAAATCTTTCCAAAAATGTCTTCATCTGTTTTATTGCACAGGTGTTTTGGGGGTTGCCGTCCAGAGGGAGAGCACATTTTTGAAGACAACTGCTGTTATTGTAACTCTGCTGGGCTAAAACTTCAAGCTCATTTAGAGGATGTCGATTTGGTATATTGTTCTTACCACAACAAGGTGAAATATTGGTGTTACTTTGACGGATAAAGCCGTTGTTTTGGTTTTCATTCAGTTTACCGTATTTCTGACCCGTTTATGTCCTTCGACTGAATGTCGTTAAAACAAAACCCAAACCAAAGTGATGATAAAATGACAGCACTCAATCAGAGGAAGGGTAAATATTACACGGAGCCATGAGAACTCACAGTGCTCAGGGCGCGGGAAAACGCGGGTGACTAAGGCGCGGGAAAACACGAGTGACCAAGGTCTAGTTTTGAGTCTGATTGATTAAGAAAGTGGGAGTTTTCTCCTTTTGGTGACTGAACACCACGTACAATTTATAATAAAGACGAGGCAATAGGGAATCAAAAATTTACCCGCTATCGTGGACGGGTTGAGAAACTTGTAAAGAGATGTTTTAGGTCACAAGCTTGCTTGTGGAATTCTGTGAGCATGCCAACAAGGCGAATAATAATATCATTTTGCCGAAGTAACGTGACCTTAGTGTTATTAGGCCCGTAAAGATTAGCTTCAATTTTGTTTTAAACGAGTAACGCAAGGTGATTACAATACTCCTTTGGTATTCCTTGGCATTCACCTTGAAAACACCGGCGTTTCTGTACAATTTTTCACAAGTTAACTGTAAAAGAAACATGAAGACTACTATTTTTTGTTACCTATTTGTTTGTAAAGGTTTAAAACAAACATACAAACAAGACAAGGGGAGAGAGAAAATCCTTTTTTTTTAATTTTTTCTTGAAAGTGCATAGTGTTTACTGAGTCCTTTTACGTTTCCTGCCTCTAGTTTTTGTTGTTTGTTTGACTCTGGTGTGCAAATTGAAACTATGGCGATGCCGAGTTCTTTTCCAACAGTAATACATCAAACTCATGCCATATGCTATTATATTTGAGGTGACTCCGCTGTTAGGTTTAGTGGAAATAGTTTTAGAATAAGTCCACTCTTCACAGGATTGCGTCCAGTTTTAGAGTTTTAGCCTGTTTTTGTTTGAACAGTTTCTTTTCCTTCAAATGCATACATGCACAAACGTGCAGTTACTTTGGCTCTCTTTGAGGTTCTTGCGATTCCTCGTCGACTATGCCGACGTTGTTTGTTTCTGGTCGCTCGGAGTCGTTACAACTTTTTTTGTTGCCTTCAGAGTTCTTCAAGTTACTTCGGACACGTCCTTGTTTGCTGGAATTAGCAGCCTTCGCTTTGTCAAGCGCTAGCTCCCCGACCGTCATAGAAGTTTTCCTAAAATAAGCATTTTTTACAAGTACACGACGCTGTTCCCTGGAGAATTTCTCCTCGGTTCCTTTTGGTTTTGAACGCCTTTTGGTGCACACGGCATTTATGAAAGGATCTCTGTCGCGAAAAACCAATATCTTGTGTAAATCGACGAGAATCTCGTCTGCCTTTGGGACGATGTAGTCATTAGTTCCTTTATCTGCCGATTTGAAAACTGCACTTTGTTTGTGATTATGACCTCCTTGCTTCGCTTGTCTCGCCACTGAAATGTTCAAACTTTGCACTATCGTTGTAGCGTCATAATACCGATTTCCCTGCAGTTCTAAAGTTTCTCGATGATCTTTTGCTTGTTCAGTGTTTAATTTCTGCGGTCTTCCGCGACGAAGCTTGCCTTCATGGCGTTTCTCGCGCTCGTCATTCCATGTTCTCTTGGTTAACTTTATGTGTGCGCATATATTTTTGTTCTGACTCATCACTGTCCCTTCTATTCTTGTGATCCGATAGATTTTACGGAAATCTTTATGAAAATTAGTTTTAAGATCCGATTCTTGCTTTTACCTCTTGACTAAAATGCTTCATCCCCTTTCCAATCAACGTTGTCAACATTCCCACCAAGATTTATCCTTGTATGTCAAAGTATTGTCTTTCAGTTGTACTTTTTGTAGCGTTTGACAATTGCTGGTAATTGTGTGCCAAAAATTCATGCACTTATTAAGTACGGTGGTAATTAACTTGACAGTGGGCCAAAAAGCTTTTCAAAAGACTCGTTAATAAGCGATTTTTGAGCCAACGAGAGAGTTGATTAGCAGTTGAGTGAGCGCAATCGATGATATTACTTTGCTTTTGTTTCAGAACACACTATGCAAATTTCCAGTGTTTCCCTCTTATCCACAAGTTAGAAAGGCATTAGCAAAAATAAATAGAAGTAGTCATTTCAGTCGGTATATTGATCTAATTGACGTCGTAGGGAGAAGAAAGAATATCAATACTGACTGTGAGGGAGAAGTGAAAAGCAGCCGCTTATGCGAGTGGAACAAAATAAAAACAACAGCAACTACATTAAGGTCTTTGTACTGGAAAAAAAAACTTTCTGAAAGTTAATTTAAGTAGTATTATGTTCGTGCTTATCCTTGTTTCGAGTGAAAAGCAGCCGCTTATGCGAGTGGAACAAAATAAAAACAACAGCAACTGCATTAAGGTCTTTGTACTGGAGAAAAAACTTTCTGAAAGTTAATTTAAGTAGTATTATATTCGTGCTTATCCTTGTTTCGAGAGAAAAGCAGCCGCTTATGCGAGTGGAACAAAATAAAAACAACAGCAACTACATTAAGGTCTTTGTACTGGAGAAAAAAACTTTCTGAAAGTTAATTTAAGTAGTATTATGTTCGTGCTTATCCTTGTTTCGAGTTTACGGGCGTTTTTTTTTTCGGATTTTGAAACTTTTTGGCGTTTATCACAGGCAAATGTACATAGAACGCTATTAAATGCCAAAGGTTATCCCACAATGGACTTTTGTCTCAGCTAGGGGTTGTTGGGAAGGAGGAGGGAATATTAGTGATACCTCTAAGAGATAGGTCACTATTATTTGTCACTTGTGGAGTATCGGAGCATTCCGGTCGTGTCATAATAAGACTTACCCGATTCCCCTAAGGTTCTGTAGTATCGTAATTCCCTCCACCCCACCCCCTCATTGGCGGTCTATTTTCTATAGTGCGCCTCCCCCCCTTATTTCTATAATACTTGTTTAGAGATGAGCTTTAAATAATCCTTGAAGAAAATAGTGGATAATCTCCTGTTCACAGAAATTGCAAATATTTTCTCCTAAGTGCGCAAAAGGCTAAAAATAATTTTGCCGTTTGTCATAAAAGTTGAGCGTGGACCCTGTAATAACTTGCTGATTAAAGTTTTTTTTTTCTGCAGATTTACGAACCTCCTTTTTATGTGGCAGTGGATCACGATTGTCAGGCAGTGGTGGTCTCTATTCGTGGATCTCTCTCTATGCAGGCTAGTTATTTATTCAACTTAATTATTTATTACAAATGATTAATGTGATAGATGGTGGAGGTTGTTGTGGCGGTTTATCCGATGACCAATAAATTAAGGCCGGTTATTTCGAAACTTTAAATCACTTTCCTACATTTCGAGAAAACGCGTCACGTTATGTTGACTTTGTATTGCCCGTGGGCTTAGACAGCTGGCGTTGCTAAGCAACCCATAGCCTGCCAGTGTCACATCTCTTTCTACCGTAAATCAATCCCTGTTCCTTCCTCAACCCTTTACCCGCCTAACATCAATATCCATATTCTCCGTACTGTTCTCTCTGCATTCCCTATAGTACTGATAAGGAGAATTTGTATAAAATCAAGAGCTTCTTTAGTTGGTGATCATTTCCTTTATTCTCATGACCTCAATGTTTGTTTTAGGGGGATACTAATAGGGGAAAATAGTAACCAATCACTCTTAAGTGTTAAAGGGGTTAAAATCGCCCCAGTACAAAACGTGCGGTGCACGGGGGTGCGATGTCGTGTAAATATGTTTATACGCATTTTACTCCTGAGCAACTCGCGCTGGCTAACAGCGTAATGACTACGACTGGGAACGGCTCAAGGGGTCGTTTCTCGAAGATTTCGGTAACTTAACAGGCTCGTAAAGCTGTTTTGTTTTTCTTTAAGGTGGGAGTTTCAAAAGTTTTTAAAAATTCTTTAATAAAACTATCAGTTGAAGTAACAAAATAGATTCTCTAAAGTGTCGGAACCCGCATCTCTTAAAATTTTGATTTTAAATCATTTCTTCGGGCCGGTTAAGTTATTGGGACTTTCGAGAAACGGGATCAAGGTTCCTTTCCTCGCTAACTCTTTAAATGCAGTGGGAGGCAATATGGCGGAGTACTGTGGACGCTGACTGCGTTCATGAGCAAGCCCTTTGTGTTGTGTTCAACTCTGAATCTGCCTTTCACAAACAACCAAATGGTCTGCCTCCTCCTCCATCCTGACCACAGTCAAGAGGTTATCCTCCGTCCCTACGTGGGCAACACTAGGCAGCTTTTTAGGTCAGGCTGTGCCATTTTTTATGGTCGTTGGAGGTGATTCTAATCTTAACCTCATAGCTACTTATTATATGTAACACTTGTTGTTTCTCATCAGGATGCTTTGACTGACCTGACTGGGCAGCAAGAAGAACTTAGCATTGAAGGAACTGAAATTACTTGTTATGCGCATAAGGTATACAATCGCACTCTTTTCGAATGTTCATGCGTGATTTTGCTTTGGGAAGTTTCTGAACGCGTAGCTCTTGTGACTTAGGTGTTACAAAAAAAGTGGGACTCAAGGAGGGGAAATCGAGATTCAGTCGTGTTATTGTGAGCTGTAGCTGATAGAGTAAAATAATTTGGAATTAATTCGACAGCCAGCGCATGCATTTTTTGCCAAAATAAGTTTATTAGCCCTTTTAACTCCCAAGATCTGACTTTTTTTTCTCCCCTTTAGCTGTTACTCGTTTCCTGGTAAATTAGTTAAGAGAATTTGGCATTAGATCTGGATAACAACCTCTACATGATAAGTTTGAGTATTCTTATTACTTTTTTGCTGGATGACTTATGGATGTTATAGGGAGAAGTTACATGTTAATCACTTTTGAGCGTTAAAGGGTTAAGGGAATGGATATTAGAGAATAAGAAAACGGCGAGGTTTAACACCATTGATTTTTCTTCAAATGTTCAGAAAGGGGGCGAAAAGCTATTCGGGCGTTCAGAAAATTGCGCAGTTTTAGACCATAGCGCATTCTATCCAATAATACTCCAGAGGCTCGTTAAGCCGGTGACACACCTGGCGAGTTTATTCGCCGATTGCGGCGACCTTGATCGACCTATGAAAATCTTTGATATCTGGCATGTCACGGGGATCAGCGAAAATCGCAATCGCCGCAATGGGCACACCTCGCCGATCGCCGCTATCCGCACATAAATTCGCCTGGTGTGTCGCCGGCTTCAAACGCATGAAGTTTTTATGTTATAGAATGGTGAAAGAAAGTTAACTAATGCTGATTTGCTTTATTTACTTTTTCATAGCATGAATCTTTCTCTTCGTGGTGTTATTTGCCCCTTAAGTTTTCTTCGTTTGTTTTGACACACTCTTCAATTTACTTCTCAGGGTATTTTGCTTTGTGCACGCTATGTCAAGTCAAAGCTAGAAAAGGAGGAACTACTTGAGCGTGCTTTCTCGAGAGCTGGCCAGGTAGTGTACACAAAGTAGGAGTGAACTCTTGTTAAAATGAAACGATTCTGCGCAATGTAGCTGTTCTGTGAGATTTAGTATTCTATAATTTCAGAATTTTAAACTGCTCTAGCTGACTTATCAAACGCCATCACCGTTTTTAGCGTAGGATTTAGAAGTCTTGAAATGCTCGCGAAAAGCTCTGTGTGTGATTGTAATTATCAATTGTACGCGTGTCATTTAGCTTATTTTACCTTGCCGCAAGAATGCTGCTGCTAATTTAAAGGGTTTGCATTCAGATTGATTTCAATATTTTGAGCAATATTCAAACAAGTGTCGAAAGTAATTAGGATTGCCCAGGTTTTGCCTACATCGCTCTTTGATTGGTCCAGTAAACTCGTGTCACTTCCCTCACCAATCAGATACAAAACTTACACCAATCGCGACTTGGTCACCCGCGTTTTCCCGCGCTTCAGGCAGTTGGCTTATAACGACTTTGATTTCTCATTGGCTCCTTTAGAAATTTTCTTTGCTCCTATTGGCTGTTGTGATAACCTTTTTCGGTTTTCACAACACTCGATAGAAATGCACCTAAAGATAGAATTTCTTCTCATAGAATTATCGTCTCGTAATCGTTGGTCATTCTCTCGGTGCTGGAACTGCCTCGTTGTTGTCTGTTCTTCTCAAACCAACTTACCCAGAATTGATTTGTTTCGCTTACTCCAATCCCAGCGTGCTCAGGTACGTAATTCATCTTGTATTCTTGTTTGCGTTTGAATTTGAGTTAAAAGCAGTGAATGTGAGCTGGTTTTTAAAATGGCGTTATTCATAGATAATTGCTCCCGTATTTAATTTTTGTTCATAGTGCTCCAGCCACTCCATTTTGTGAAGATTTTATCATTTCCGTTGTTCTTGGAAAGGACGTCGTTCCTAGGTAAGCGCCTGTTTTCCTTCAGAGCTAAACAAATTTTCAAAAGTTTTCTTGAAGTAAAGTGGTTTTGCTCAGTGGTAGAATTTTTGCCTTGTTTTTGTTACAAAATTTGCTCTTTTTTGCTCGCATGATAACGTCACCTTATGTGCCAATGCCGTAACTGAGCAAGATTTTCGCTGCTTTCTTCAAAATAAACGTACTCTCGCGTTTTCTATTTTACAGTTTCTTCGCTCTCTCGCTTCTGTACCTCTACAGTATGTATTTATCAGCTAAACTCTTCCCGCGCTTGCAAGTAATTAGATTTTTTTCCCCGCTTATTTCAGTCATTGGTAAGATTATTGATTTATGTTGCACATTTCTTACGTATTTTGGATTGTTGTTAGTATTGGGGTTAGGGGAGGGGTAGGAACGCAGTTGCCCAGATACTGACATTGTTCGCATATTTTTCACTCAAGTTATGTTGGTTACGTAAATTTTTTCTGGTTGATGCTGTGAAAATATTAATTGACGAAAAGTAAGTATACTCACCTTCATCTACTTTTATCACGTAGAATGGGAGTTAAAAGCGGGGATGAGCTCCGTCAAGATCTAGTGGCTGTTATTTGTAAATGCTCCCTCCCTAAGGTATGCGGTAGAATAAGGCACGTTCGATATAATCAGTAGACGCGAGCCAGGAAAATGGGTCGTTTACATGAAGTTGAGTAACCTGGCAGTTGTAAACGGGGGCATTATGATACACAGCCATTAACGTGACTCAAATGAACCAATCATATGTCTGGGTTGTCGTCTACTACTTCTGGTTACTTGAAACGGGACTTTTGTTTTTTCCAAGTTCCATCGCATTTGAAAAACATGTCTGGTAGGATTGGGAACTTATATAAAGATAGGAAGAGGCAAACGAAAGAAGATAAAACAAAATAGAAATCTTTAAGGTTTAATTTTTTTTACTAATTTTTCCCGGAAAGTTTTCCAGTAAGCCTCCAATTTATGTTTTTGGTTCAATTTTCATGGTTCGGGCCCAAACATTTTTGATTATCCTTCTTGTACATAGTTTTTCATCTCATTTTATTTATTTATACCTCTTCGCAGTACCGTGTTCTTATGAACGGCTGTTGGCAGGCGCTGTGTTTCTTTCTGGGTCCCAGTCTCAGAGGTGGACAAGGTGAAGATCGGCATTTTTTTTCTCGCACTCGCCAGTACAGATCAACTTCTAACCATCATTCGTGGGAATCTAACTTGACCCAACCTCTTCTAGAAGGCTTGCAAGGTATAATAACAGCTCAAGCTATTTCACCATTTTTGACCTATTTAATGCACTTTGTCTAGCATCTGCTAATAAGTCAAAAGTCCATAAACAAAATGATTCAACTTCACGACTTCGTCACCCATTTTCCATCGTCTTAACTGCCATTTAACCACCAAGGGTCTTAAGTTTTTTCTTGATCAAGTATCAGCCCTACTTATATCCAACCAGTAAATCTTTGCTCTTCGTTTGCTTACCAGACGATACTTTAGTTCTGACCCCCGGAGAGCCGTCCACTGGATGCTTTACTGAAGGCGAACTGGAATCGGCCCCGACATCATCCTTGACACCAGTCTCCGCTGAACAGTTATTCCCAGCCGGAAAGATCTTACAGATCGACGAGAGGCCGTCTGTCAGGTGAAAATTGCAATTTCCCAATTTGACCGGGTTGTTTCTGTTTATTGTTTTGCAACCCAGCTAAAAAGTGCACCTCCCCTCCCAACCTCATTGATATCCTTAGACTTGTCCGCAGGTAACCCGAGATTTTGATTTCCGTCATCTTTTCCTATCCACTGAAATCGGAGAAAAGACGCTTAGAAAGGGTTTTACTGGTTAAGTTTCCGGAAACAAATTTGCAGATAGGTAGATCTCGTCTTGTTGAGCCCCAACTTTATGAATCGAACGAGGGCTCCTAGTTGAGCTTTAGACTGAGTCTTGAACAAGCTATATAACATTATATATAAATCAGGAAATTTAATCGTTTTACTGGTTCTCTTTTTGAAAGGTTGGAAAGCCCGCAGTTTGACGTCATGTGGGCAGACAAAGAGAACTACGTCAAGCTTGTCATCCATCCCAGCATGCTGAGCGATCACATGCCTGATCGTGTTATGAAGGCACTAGGCGGGATATTGACACAAGATACCATCGTTCAAGAAGTTTAATGGAATGAGTGTTCATTACTACTTTTATGGGGAATTACTGACATCACAACTGTGTTTGGTGTTGTAAAAGATTAGCATAATTGCTGAATGTTCAAGTTTGTATCGCGCTGTAAAGTTAATATCAATTGAGGAGATACTATCAAGTGCTTGGCTTTGTAATTTGTAAAGTTAGCTGGGATGAGAAACAAAGCGAGTTATCTTATGAATGTAAAAGGCAGAATGAAGATTCTCCTACTCGTGTCACTACCATATCTTACAAGAGGAGATGTAGGCTATGAGATGCCACTCCTTTTTTGTGAAGTCCGTCGCGCAATAAGACCTCTCTGAAAAGGAGGGACAGTTCTTGGTCTCGTTGTAGCGTTTTTTTTTATTTATGAAAATAGACCTCTTCAGGAAAGCAAATGTATATTAAGAAAGAGAGACTTCGTCTCAATACAGGCTTTCTGCCGAGTAATATATATTTTATAAGGTAAAAATAATTTCTAGAGTGGAACGGCCTCGCAAATTATATGTCAAAAACAAGAAAGCTTACTTCTTTAACAAGAAGTGACGATATTTGACCCAGTCGTAGTAAAATGAACTTTAGTCTTTCAATAGTATTAAGGTTCTGCGAATTTGAAGAAAATGTGTTACTATTATGGTGATCAATTTTGCGTCATTTAATGCAATGAGGAAACTGGGTTACAAAAACTGATAAGGGTGTCATTGTCACTTCAACCAATCACGAGCTAGGCTGCAACTCAACGCACGCGCGTTTCTCGCGCTTTTCATTCGAAGAATTGTTTCCCGCCCTGCCGTGTTCTACTCACGTTGATGTGACTTGAGTCTTTTACAGTGGGTTTTGATTGCGTTTTTTTTTTTGTTAGTAAAAATAAACTGCTTGAATTTCATAGGTTACTATGAGTTGATAGTTGCCAGCTCAATGTGTTGTTATTGAAACTCGTTAAATGACATTCATTCAATGTTTCCGTTGTCAATCAAAAAAGTTACATAATAAGACTCTCCCTAGCTTTTTTTTCCCGCTCGAACCGGGCGGAGAAAACACCTAATCCGCCTTAATATTGAAGTCGTTCCTAATTAAGGTCAGACGCCAGACTTTTCTTACTCATGATTTAAGATATTTGGTTCGGCTCATGAAGAGTTCAAATTTTAAACCTGGCGTTATTGGTTTGATGGATTAAACAGGAAATGTTGCCTAAAATGTCACAGTCAAGTGAAAAATATCTAAGGAACTAGATTTAGACTAGGGCTGAAAGCTCATCGAGGCTTCCGTGATTGTTTCCATCCCTTCTGAAGTGTTTGCTCTTGTGATGTGTTTTTCCCTCTGATGCTTTCAGGAATTGTGTCAAGTTTGGCACTTTTGCAATCCACAGTAATCAACTTCGTTGCCCCAATTAAGTCTATCGAGTCAAAATTTCTAACCCTCATGGCTGCGGGCCGTTCTTTGCGCTCATAAATCTCGGAAGAAAAACATCACTGATAATTCTAACCGTCATGTCTGTTCTTTGGTGAAATTGTGTTCAATTTTTGTTGGTGATTAATAGAATTTTCCTCGAGGATTCAAACTGTCGAGAGAAAATTAATGACTGTGAGAAATTTGTCGAAAGTGTAGCCAATATTTAATGAGGAAATTTCTTGCGGATAGTGTTCAAGAACTCAAGCACATTGGCAAATTGTCTTTCATAAAACCAGAGATTCTGGTGAATGATTAACCCCGGGAAAGCAAAAGTTTTTGCAGGAACTTATTCCCGTTGCTTTCCTTATATCGTTTGTCTGTTTTCACGTTGATTTTTTGATTATGGACTCTAAATTAAGAGAAGTACCCCTTTAAAAGTGCGTCAATTTCCTGCGACTTTTCAAGAAATTAAATGAAAAAATGATGTTTGAAAGAAAGATAAAAAAGAAATGGATTTGATTGTTATAATTTTTGGTCCGGTTCAGGTTAATCCGTGAGCTGTATAGTTTAAAGCTTTATGATGAGGAGTCTTTTGAAGCCTTGTGAAGCTTGCATGAAAACTAAGATCGAAGTCTGTCACTATATTCTTATCGGTTCCGTTTACGAACACTAACTGTAGAGTTATTGTGATGAAACAAAAAAAAAAAACGGTTTGTTATCAGCTTGTTTTGAAACGCTTGTCTTTTTTAATTTAATCCCGTGTATAAGCCGCCTCCTCAGAGACAGAACCGCCGAGAATTCCTACGGCATTTTATTGGCCCCGGGGTTCTTATCGGGATATATACCGTGGTAAATTAGCACACTTTATGCGGGAAAGACTTATCTTTTATTCAAAAATATACTTTTCTTTCACCACAGTTTTTAAGTGGAGACCAAAGTTTAGCTAATGGTTCTTCAGTAATATTACTGTGACCTTTAGCTCTCGATTCTTATGCATACAAAGAAAGATGTTATTTAGGTTAGGTTTCTAAATATTAGTCCTTGTTTTTATGGAGATAAGATTCCATCTTTGTGTTTCAGCTGCTCTTGATGCTAAAAAATGAAATATAAGAATCGAGTTCGTGTATTTGACTTTGTGTTCGATAAATTTTCTGCGCGAATGGTGAATTTCCTTCTTCTAACTAAGGAATCATTTTCCATAGAAAATTTCCTCAGACATTAAAATTCCTTTTTTGCGTGATGAACTAAGCCGAAATGGTCTCCTGCGACGATAATTTTTAGCAAGCTTGCAGGTGCAAAGCGAAATTATTCTTAGTCTAATAGGAATTGAGTCGAAAGAAAAGTTCGGATATTATGCAACAAAGCTGTTCTAAATTTGTCACTACCCAGTACGAATAAAGTGTTGTTCAGTTTTTGTGTCTCAGAATTCATTCCAAGCTGGTTATTTGTCACTGGAGCCCCTTGGGTTTTAACAGTTACGCTTATTTGCTTGCCTTTTTTTCGTTGCTCAAAATGAGCTGGCAGACGGGATGAAGCTTGAGCTTGATAAAATCTTCGTTGAAAAGAAGAGATATTTAAAACCATTTTAACACCCAGCGCACAGAAATGAAAAGATGAATGATGATGAAATAAATATGAGATTCAGACCTAACACCTTTTCTTCAGCCAAACGCAATTATTAGTGTAGCAAGAGATTCCCACGAGTCTGATAAAAATTCATTTCTAAACAAAATAAAAACAGCATTTCGCCAGCGAAAAACTAACATCTAACTCCAAGCTCTAGCTCAATAATAAATTTTCACCATGGGGTGTATACATGTCTATTGTATGTCTTTGAAAGCGGTTTAAATAGTTATTTTCAAACTAAACGACAGTTAATTTTCTCGCGGCTTTGTGTACTTATCTAATGTCAATTTTTAATTTTTTTTTTTTTACGTCTCCGTCATGTGACGTCACCCTGTGTTACCATAGTTACATGAACACCCCTGCAAACTTCAGGATTAATTGTTGGTAATGAAGTAGGTTAGGGGTTAAGCTGAATTTTCGCAGGATTGTTTTATTTTTCCATTTCATCCTTACTCGTTCGATTGAATAGGAATTCAGTTTTTCGAGTGGGTTATAATCGCTGATTATTGTTGTGATTTTCAACTAGATTATGAAGCTAAAAAAAGGGAGATTCTGTAGTCAGTACAATAGCTTGTAGATTGTATTGAAACGAAGGGGCGAGTTTTCTTTGCGCGCTAGACTAGCAATTAACAGTTGTGATAAAAGGCGTTTGTAATAAAAAACAGAATATTTTCAATCAAAAAGTGGAAAAGACGGAGAAAATAATGATCTTCGAAAAAAATATTCAAAATACGTGACAAGAATTCGTAAATTTTGCATGACCACGAGATCAAATTCAACATTTGCGACGAAATGAAAGCATTTGAAGTCGCGCTTGCCTTTTGTTCTGACTAACTTTCCACATTAAGTACTAATATAAAATGTCTCTCTTTCGTCCTGGTTCGGATTATTTGAGAGACGTTATTTTTTTTTAAGATTTCTGACACAGTTGATATCGTTAGTTTCGGAAAACACTGTGGTTTGTATTTCCCTTTTTCGACTGTGTAAACACAGGGGATCGAAGGTTAAACTGGAGAACAAGTGCCACCGGTTTCTAGGCAAAATGCATCACTTATTCCCGCACTCTGGACGAAACGGTTGTTAGTAAAGTCAAGCTTTCGGAAAATTTTGTTTACGTTTCTTGGTGGCATGAAAGAAAAAAATTGAATTGAGAATCGAGGTGTCGTACGCACGGAATCACAAAAGAAGTATCCAATGGGATCAGTAGATTTTGACGGTTAACACATATATCAGGCTAGATAGCCGGCTCATTTTATGCAAATTCATTAAATCTATATTGTTTTCCTTTTATTACAAATGCTGAAACGTCAATATGTCAGTATGACAGCTGGTGCTGTAGATTGTGTTTTATGCTGTTAGGGACGGGAAACACTCAGATCTTCGCCATAATATATGTCAGTACATTTCACCATCTCACATACGCGAGAAAATGAAGTGGTTTTCTAACAGAATCTACAGTTTCTAAAATCAGACTGACATGGTTAAACCTCTGTTCTCAAAGCGGACGATGGATGGGCTGCTTTTGTTAACGGTAAGTTCAATTTAAGTCAATCCGTACTAACCTGAACATGGAGTACCTTAAATGTACACTTAACCCTTAAAAAAAAGGTCTTCTCGCGTTATGCTTGCCTCCAAATCTAAAAATTTTCTACTTTTTTTCCTTTAATTTTACAATTAGCTTACCCTTCTGCAACTTGAAACGCGACAAGTTATGGCCGGTAAGTTATATCGTTATTAATTTTTACCTAGCTAGCGTTAGAAATTGTCACTACCAGCCCATTTTATCTTCACGTTCATTACGCTGAATTCTCTAATTTTGTCGCGTCATGATTATTCGATTCTTCCTCAATTATAATTCTGAGCTGGTCTAACCCCGCGAAATATTAACTCTAAAACCATCCGGTTATATCAGATGCAGCATAGTGGAAATTTTCAATCTTTGGTTCAGTTTGTTGACACAGCCGGCCTACGAGCGGATGGTTTCTGCTTCCAAAAAAAAGTACGACACTTCATGTCTTCATTGCGAAATTGGTGCCACACGTAAATAAACTCTTTATTTCGCAACCACAAGGACTCTATTAAACCACAGAATTTCCTAAAGTTGGATAGGTTCTCAGGAAAATCTTCATTTGAGAATTTCGCGCCACGAGTATTCAGTATTTATGAATTTCTCAGGTACAGGCGACAACTTTTCATTTCCTCCGGTAAATGGAATTTTTTTTAAAAGCTTTAATCCATCATTAGTGAGTGGGACTCACTTCTCTTTTACTCGAGGATTAATCTATACTAACCAGAATTCAAACGGCTTTCCTTAACGGTGTCTAATTTTAATTACAAGACTGAACAATACTGAACGTTACCATCGGCCGATTTACAACCAATTTCTAGAAATGTCCGTTGTTTTAAATTTTCAGCATTGTAACCTACATTCGCCTCTTTGTTCACCTGAAGCATCGCCGTTGTATGTTTTATGTCGCGTAATGGGTTTTGGAGCGAATTTCGGTGAATTTCTTCGAACTGGGCAAATTTCAAAACAAACGCCACCAGTGGTAGAATTACGCATTGTCTCACAGTTAGAGCATTTCTGCCAACCTTGTTTTGGCCGTCGGAGAGAGGCGCCTATTCATTCCTTCATTCATTCATCAACGCTTCAACTAAAAATTATATTATCTTTTTCTTTTATTCGTCTTATTCTTAGATCTCTTTGTATCTCTGTCATGTACTCCCACTTGACGCCTTTTTGCGTAAACTAATTGCCACAACTGGCTCAACAGTGCATACACTGTTAAGAATTAATGCTCGAGGTTCTGTTAGTCGCATGAAAAATCCTGATCGCTGCTTCCAAAGGGCATAAGGGAAAGAGATCGATATTTTTAATATAAATCTTTTAATGTAAAGGTGGACGACAGCTTGGCAGAAAAGTTTGGATTACCAATAACGTGACATGACCAAGAAATTAGTTTTCAATATGTTAATTTGCATTCAGAATATGTTTTCGTCTCTCTTTAGCGATCCAACTGTGTCTTGTTTCTCTTTTAAGGATATTAAAGTCTAAAAAAAATTGATCTGTTTTATCACAACCTATCATTTTAAAAAAAACGCATGGCAGATTGTCCAGTGATTTAACAATACGAATTGAGAGGAAGCGGAAAGCGTTATCTAAAGATTTTCCGAGGGTAGTGAGTCAGGAATAACAAGATTGTAACAAATTTTAAAAGCATCTTTCGAAGTCAGTATCTTTGACCGAACCAAAGATGGAAGAAAAGGTGTTCATTTTCTCAGATCTTCTGCCGACATCAGTGTTTGCGCCAAACGCGTATTTATTCAAGTGGACTGACGTAATACCTGTCACTTTTCTGTCAGGTCCTAGTCATTTTAACGTTTATTAAAGGTTTCACGACACGAATTTTGAATGAGCTCATCAGACCAAAATAAATATGGATCTGTTTTCCAAACCCTGGCCTCGACTAAAGCGAATCTTATGCTTGAATTTTGTTTGTTTTCTAATGGTTTGGTACTGTTTCCTAACACTAACAACGATGACAAAAAGATTAGGTTGATAACTGGTGCCATGTAGACATCACCTCAGGGTCTGCTTTAAAAGAAAAAAAAAGACAAGAAAAGAAAGAAAGAAGCAGCTGATTTTTGAGAAAGATCTTTCTCGAAATGAGAACCAATTTTTATGTCATCCAGCCATTTCCGTCGAAAATTTCGATTTTAATTTGCATGTATCTGTGAAGGATCAAAGAGGTTTTGTTTAACAGTAACAAATACTGAAATCTTGCTCAGCCAACAACTTCGCGGGAAGTTTTTTAAAATTTAGAAATGCCTTCTAAACCCTGTGAAGGCAGCTTGATGGAAACATCTCAAAAGTAGCAAAACCTACGGAACAAAACTACTTATTTGTAATTATAACCAAAAGAAACCAGTGTAAACATCGTTTGTATAGCTGATATCTAAATCGCTTTTTGTTTTTGCGGGCAAATCATTTAATCGCTCTCTTCGCTAAGAAAGTTTTGATAATGTAGAATAAACCGGAATGAAATCTACTGCGACAAACCACCCTCAGGGTACAACTCAGGTCTTCCGTCTGATTGTCACCACCATAAAAACCTGAGTCCGAACTTTAGTCAGAATCGAAAAAAAAATTTATCACACCTTTAATGTTAACAACGGATGTCATATCTTCTGACATGAAAGTTTGAAAACTTTAGCTGAAGGCATTTATATCGATTATACTGGATTACACACATAGTTCCTCGCAGGGGTAGGTAAGTCGTCAAAAACAGGATCATGTATAATTGTTGTTAAGAGTCACAAGGCAAAGTGTTTGGTTATTAGATTAACCCCTTTGTTTATTAAAATTGCATTTTAAACCCCAGCAAAACATCTATGGGTTAATCAACCGCTCAATACGCTTGGAAACTTGTAACTGGCACACCTTTCTCAAGTCGAAATTAATTCATCAGCATAATTTTTATCATGATAATTACCAATATCCGCAGGATATGTTATTGTCCTTAACCAATTTCCAGAATATTTCTGAAGGTCTCTTCGACATCACTTCCTGAGAAAACGATGTCAGCGGGCAGGTGTTTTTCAAAAAAAAATTTTACAATCTAGAGTTATCGCACTAAATGCCTTATAAGCCAAGATGTGTAAATGAATTATACATACGTACCCCTTATAGCTTCTCGTTAAGGTCGCGTGCACGGAGTAAAAACTTAATCACGAGACGTAATTTTGTTTTTCTTTTTCCTTTCAAAGGAGAGAGGCAAAAAGCAAATTAAAAAAAATTGTTCGCAGTTTACTTGCCTTGTAAATTTGGCAAAAAAATCACGTCACATTGCTTTCATCAATTTATTATTTTCCCTTTACACCGCAATAGTTCAAAAACAGGAAGTTTTAAGCGGTTTATTTGTGTCAGAAAGCTTTAATCTTTGTCTGAGCTTCTAAACGATGTTTTTGTTTGAGCCTATCTGATCTTATGTATCCACGTGTATTCCAAGTTGTGGATAATGTAGAGGGTTTTTTTCATGGATTATATTTTGAGTATGGGTAATCACTTGATTTCGAGTGAAATTTGGAAAAAATAAGTACGAATAAATTTTTTCAAGGACTAAAAAAAAAAAAAGCAATTGGAAGCTACTATTGGCTGAAATTGGCTGAAAGCAATTTGAAGCTATTTAGAATGGGGCACAATTACAATTAAAATTCGTGATGTCTGCCTGAAAAATAAAACCACCACCTGTTAGAAGACAAATAAGAGATGGAAAATATAACTAATAACGAAACTTTATTCATGACTCGAAAACAGCCTCCGTCAGAATGAATCCTCGTTGGTCGTAATAACAGTTTCAGCTGTTGCTTTGTCGATTCGAGTGTGATAAGTGTCTATAGACGAAGAAACACTGTTCCAAAGCCCATTTCAACATCCGAAAGCTCTCTTAGAATAATAAAATATCGCGAGTGTGATAAGTGTCTATAGACGAAGAAACACTGTTCCAAAGCCCATTTCAACATCCGAAAGCTCTCTTAGAATAATAAAATTTGACTGAATGTACGAGAAAAGCGTTCGGTTCGGTTTTTGCATCGGCCTTGTCTTTTTTCGTGTGGCCTAAGGAACACTTGGCACCCTCTCAACCAATCAAATAAAAACACAACCCAACTAGGACCCAGGTGTTTTTCTGCGATTTAAACAGCTGATTGTCTTGAATTTGAGTTTTCACTGGCTTCTGTATTTCCCAGTTAACCCTTTTAACTCCCATAATCAGTAGTGATTAACATGTAACTTCTCCCTATAATATCCATACATTATCCAGCAAACTCGTAATGAGAATACTCAAACTTATCAGATTGAAGCTATCTTTATCTAACACCAAATTCTTGTAACTAATGTACAAAGAAATGTTTGGCAGCTAGTGGAGAGAATTAACAATCAGATCTTGGGAGTGAAAGAGTTAATGATATCTTTTTCATCGTTTTAGGCTGGTACTTGGGATGTTACAAAGAAAATATTGCAAACCGCGCAATCAACATTTCGGCCGGAAACTACATCGTGTCGGACACTTCCGCTCAAGAGTGTACCTCCTCTTGCGCATTTTTAAACCAGTCATATGCGGCCACTGAAGGGAACCTGTGTTTTTGTAGCAACGGTAATTATGATGTGTATGGCAAAGCCACTAATGACAGCCAGTGTGACGTCACATGTTCGGCCCAATCATGCGATAGTACGTCATACGTGCGAGTGTATTCAACCCAAGGCGCAATTGGTGAACTCAAACTTCACGGTCCAAAGGTTGGATGGATGTTTCGTGAAGTCAGTTTTTCGACCGTTCTTGGAAAAGGTAATGGAAAAGAACGAGCTCTCTCTCACTTTATCGCAGGTTTTCAATCTCACTGATTTCATTTGACATAGCTGTCGATACAGTCAAACCTGTATTAGGAAGTCACCCACGAGGAATGGCGGGGTGAGACCGCTCAATACAGCTTCTACAGAATAGGGGTATTTTAAAACCGATAAAAATCGCCACTTTACGCCTTAATGGACCACTTAGTATCCAAAAACTCGCTCAAAATATTGCTAAGATTTCGGGAGATAGAAATGGATTAATCTTTACTTGAAAGATTATTCCTAGTTTTATGAGTGGTTCGCTTTACGTGACCGTTTAAAACAGCTGGAGGACAATACAAACCGCCTTCTAGAGGTGATCGCTAAATAAAGGTAAAAATTACAGTTATTAAGTCGTCACAATTTCGGGACTTTGAAAACCGACCGCTTAATACGGTGCCGCTCTATACAGGTTCGAATGTAGTTACTTTTGCTGCTCCTTTTTGTAACTTTTGTTTAGGGTTGACACGAACTTCCCCTCTACTACCTGGGAAGAGATAGTGATCTGTGGCGAAATTAAATAACAGATGCAAAGAACATGATTTACAAATTTCTTGTGGGGTTGTATCACACTTAGTTACAGCGTTCTTTTCGAATACTGTAACATCACAAGCATGCCGGACTCGATACAGTTTCTAAGTATACCCACTCGTGATCTTTCCTTCTCAAAAGTAACGTAGTCTATACACGTTCCTTGAAAGTTTCCAGGTTTTAGATTGAAAGTTTTTTTTGTACGTAATTTTAGGTGATCTCAACAATCTGTCCTACACTTTCGATTTTGGTGACGGCTCCTACGTGTTGACCACGTGTCCTACTGCCACACACGTGTACACGCGCGTGGGTGAGTTCCACGTGAAGGCGTCTGCGAGGTCAAACGAGTCAGGCCCGATACTGGCGTCCACGTGGGTGTTAATTCAAAATCCAACGGGTAAACTAACTTTAGACTACCCCAAAGAGATTCTTGAGGTGGGAAACGAGACTGAGATTGTCTTGAGTGTCAGCCAAGGCACGTGGATGACAGCTCTATTGCATACAACACACCAGGAAGATGGGAAGAATAGAAAGTCATTTAACGTATCGGGTGAGTGAGAGGACGTGTTGTTTGTCGGGGGGGGGAGAGGTGAGGGGGCTAGAGTCAGTTTACAAGGTATGAGGCCGCTAATGTCGCAGATTTTCGTTTCAGGAGCTTGAGGCGAATAGAAAAATTGACAACCTCCCCCCTACCCCCTACCCCTACCCTTGTGGTTAGGCCATCGCGCAGGGGGAGGATGAGGGGGTTAATGTCAGCTTACAAGGTATGAGGCCGTTAATGGCGCAGATTTTCGTTTCAGGAGTTTGTGGAGAATAGGAAAATTGCCAACCTCCCCTTACCCCTACCCCTACCCCTACCCCAACCCTTGTGGTTGGTATGTTAGGCCATCGCGCGGGGGGAGGGTAAGGGGGGGCTTTCGTCAGTTTACAAGGTATGAGGCCAAACACCCCTACCCTTGTGGTTAGTATGCTAGGCCATTGTGCAGTGATCCTTTAGACAGGGGCTCTTGGTTATTTCTTGTTTATTCATCATTGAATAGGATATTTTCTTTTACCTCAGACCCCATAATCCACGACATAGGTTCGTCTGCAACATTTGGAAATTCCAGCAACTCCCCCGAAACGGACGGCGCATACGTAATCCCATCTGCTATGCTGAAGAAAGACGGTTTTGTACTAGCCTGGGAATTCTTCGCCTCTAAACTTGGATCCATTCAGTTACAGGTCAGTGATTCTTACACTGCACAGTGTAATACATTCGAAAACCGCTGACCACTGAGATTAAAAATTCGCCACTTATTTTTCTTAGAATGGAGAATTTAAAATTGCCGTCTTATGGGCAAGGAAAACGCCAAAGAAGCAGTTATAAAACCAAAGAGAAATCAGAATGGTTCAAGATGGAAAAGATGAAAACGGATTGTAGACGTCAAATCTGAAAGAATTTGTCAATATTTTTCAGGATAAACCAAATGAGACTTTGCCCCTTTAGAGTGATAGGCGAAACGGCCTTGTCGCAAGCTCAGGGGAAGACGGGATAGGGAGGAATATTTAATAAAGCCCTCTCAGAGAGTATTATTTGCTTGTGTTTCGACTCCTGGGGGCATAACATGTTGAAATTTGTAGTCCTCGAAAGCGACTTGTGCGAGTTAAGCGACTTATCAGACTCTGAATGCATTCCGTAGCTTTTAAACAATTATTTTTCTAATGTGACACTTGTTTTTAGGTTTACCGTCCCAACTGTTCCTCGCTCGACAGCTATTTCTGCCCGAGAAATTATTCCTGTATACCCAAGGCAGACTCCTGTGTCGACTCCAGTCTGTTCAGTTGTCCTGGGGACAAGAGCATCTGCGTAGGAACTGGTCACTGTTTGTCTACTTGTCAAGGACCGAACAACTCATTTCTGGCCATTTCGTCTCCTGTGACCGACTACGTCGTCGTAGCAGGTAGACTTTTGAGTGTGTTACCTTGCGTGACTGTATTAAAGCGCTTGCTTCGAGCTTTGCGTGACAGTAAAAAATGGCGTAGGGATTCAGGATTGAGCGTGACGGGTTAAATAAATATTGGACATTACGTGAATAATATGAAAGAGGAGTTTTTTAATACCCTATTTATACCTTTTACCTATAGATTAAACAGTATTAAAGCGCAACGTCTTTCGTATAATACTGACCAACCAAGAGGACAAACAAAATCTGACGAGCGTTTTCGTCTGTTCTTTCTTTTTCTCAATTGCAGAAACTGTGGTGAACATCACAAAACTCGGCAACAATCTTTTCCCTCTTGCTTCCCAGAAAGCCATCGAAGTGAAAGCTGGTGACGTCATAGGATGGGTTGGAAACGGTTCTTCTGGCACGCTGGCCTTTGAGAAAACTATTAATGACCCATCGTTCTATTTTTCTAGTTCATCGTCCAGTTTTGCAGTAGGAAGCGATTTGACAAAAGGTAGCGCCACTCGGCACGAAATCAAACATGTTCTGCGGGCTCATGTTTCTCAGCCCTCACAAGCAGCGGTTGTTGTGGAATATACCCAAGCAGGAGTTTACAATGTGTCGGTTTCTGTGGGAAATGTGGCTGAAAGTGAACTGAGGAGTTGCAAAATTACCGTGCAGGTGCTGTGTTATATGTTATGATTGACATGATTGCAGTGACTACTGATTTTAACTGAAGGGTCAAAACTCACAATGACCTCAGAAAAGGCTCAAGGCACTGAATTTTCAGCAAGGGTGTCACGCGCGGCATCAGGTGTTGGGGGAGTTTCTCTTTTATCGCACATGGGGCGTCACGCCACTAGTCGCGAGCGGAAGTCTGTCACCTAGGAATTTTGCGCCATTAATTCTACGTCTTCTAAATCTCATTGGGCGTTGAAATGTTGATAAAAGGTTTTAACAGATAGTTATGATGCTTTTCTAGGAGCGCATCGAAAGTCTCCGCATTGTAGAGCCCTTGACGAACATAAGTTATCCCAAAGGAGAACAAATTATCCTGACGAGCGCTGTGGACAAAGGAAGTGACATAAACTATACGTGGACCACAGACGGGGCAACGTACGACGTAAAAAACCCTAAAGTATTTTACAACAATACTGGTAAGGCTACAAATGCATTCGACTTCTTTACGGAGGCCAATTTACATTATCAACTCAGTTTATCAAACTAAATTACCTCGTAATTCCTCCCCCCCACCTCCCGCACCAACGCAGTACCACAGTTTCCTTTGAAACTTACCCCCTCATTCATTTACAGGAACCCACCCAGATGATTGACAATGTGACTTTTACAGTACAGACTCAGTCCTTTCTGCAATAATGGAGAATTTCTGTAAAATCTACTTTACCCAGTCACTGATTTTCGTGCTATTTCTACTTTGCAGGTTTTTACCCAGTCTTGCTCTACGTCCACAACGCAATCAGTTCTGCAAACGCTTCTTCAGTTGTTAGGATACTCGAACCAGCGTCAGTAGCTTGGAGGGAGAAACCGCCGACCAAGATTGACGTTGGCGCACCATTCAACTTTTCTGTGGTCCTGAATGGAACAAACGTCACTTTGACTGTAGAATTTGGAGACGGCTCTAATTATGAAAAGTTTTATACTTCTGCCCTGAACACTGTTGTGAACATTACGCACAAGTAAGTCCAAACTTGGAAGGTAACGTTGCAGGTAGTTTCTGTTAATCATCTAAAACTGAAGGAAGCCAGCTCGTTGTGAGTACGTGCTGGATGGACTCTTACGCGCGTTGTTAATACTAGAAGGATTGAAAATTGTTTTGAGCCATCACTGCCATTATTCAGTACTCAAAAATCCCGCGCATTTCTGGTTGGCCTTTTTAAGGGATAGGACTAGTTTATTTAGAACCAATTTTTTTGTTATTCTTGAACAGGACAGTACGAAGTGCCAGTTCTAAAAAATGTAAAGCTTTTTCGTAGACTTTCTAAAATATGTTTTGTTTGAAAAAAAGGATTTTGACCAATCACGAGTAAGTGACTTGGATCCCATTCCAAGCGTCTGGCAGCAAAGTCTGATTTTTTGTCCCAAATGAGGTAAACTTGAGGAAAAGACTGGAATTTCGAAAAATGATTGGAACGCAGGAAAAGGCAACCTTCGGAATAAGTCAAGCCGTAGTTTGCTGTGCAAATAGTGGCGGAAATTCTAATTTTTGAATCAGCGCATTAGCCTGTCTGAAATGTAAGCCGTCTTCTCATGATCAGCATACGTAAAGGGAGGGAAACCCAACTGGAGAATTTCTCACGTAAAAGGGTTGGAAGGCCAAAATCACTTTTGTCTGCAGGAAAAATGTCAATCACTTGAGTTTAGACGGCTTGGAATTGATCTTCAAGCAATCTCGTGTACAAACTATGGGTTAAGATTCTTGTATTTATAATAAATTTACGTACATATTTGGTAATAAATCTTAGCAAGTGCAAAATAAAATAGACGCACAATATTTTTGTTGCGTGGATGATCTTGCCCTCTATCTGCAGACTTTTGCAGTTACTGACTACTACTTTTCATTGTTCCACTTTTTCTCCTTCAGTTATACCAGAGATGGAGAATACGAAATTTCAATCAAAGCCCGGAATAACATATCGTCTTCCGCAGCGCTTTTAAAGTTCTCACTGAAGGTTGTAAGCGATCTTGGAGACATCTCAATACGGCTGTACCCGGCAGCAAATGCCGACAAAGTTCTTCATGTTTCTACCGAACAAGTTTTTGAAATTGAGGTCTCCGTACCAAATGAGCAAGAGGTGAACTACACATTTACATATGGCGAGTCGGCTTCTAAATCTGTTCGTACCGAGAAGGGTTACACAAAATGGTCCCACAAATACGACACCCCGACTGACTTTAACATCTCCATAAAAGCAAGTGTCAGAGGATATTCTCAGTGGGAATTTGTGCATGTCATAGCCAAGCTCTGTGGTGCACCAGCCATATATTTTCCCAACGAGTATAAAGAACAAGATCCACAAATTATTACCCGAGGCACTACCATCGACTTTTTTAAAGTTGATGTGGAAACGAAGAAGGAATGTTCGAAGGGTGAGCCTGTTTATTCATGGGACATTACTCCATCACAAGCCATTTCTGAGGCTGAAAAGAAGAAAGAATCTTTCGTGTTTGAAGCCAGAAGCCTAAACACTGGAGATTATACTATCACATTGAACGTAAGCTACAATGGTAAAAAATATCCGTTCAAAACATTCATTCGGGTGGTGAGCTCACCGCTTGTAGCATATCTATCCGGCGGCAGCTTTCGACAAGTAGATTCGAATTCAACTCAGCTGACATTGAATGCCTCTCAGTCTTTCGACCCGGATGATAAAGATACCAAGTTAAATTTCAAATGGCAGTGTAAAGTCGAAAATAACTCTTCACCAGCAGTTCCAGATGAACTTTGCAATTCAACAGAGTTCATGGACATAATTGACCAAGAAAGTAACGAAACCATAAAATTACGTACAAACAAGTTTCGGACGAATGTGAAATACACTTTCCAGGTGAACGTAACCGAGAAAGCAAGTTCACGTTCATCCTCTGCACAACAAATAGTGATGCTGGAGCCCAATATCCCACAACTGGAAATAAGGTTAGTTGGTTCTTTCCAGTTGAATTCGATCCTAATATCCGTTAAATCCCGTTAATACTGGCGCTAAGATCGTACGAAAATCGCCCGCATGTAAGAGGGGGATTTAAACCTGTATTTCTCAGTCGCGATGATGAATCTGCTACCCAAGGAAATGAAAGCATTTTGAGGCACCAAAGAGCTCGAGAGATTGATGGCGAATAGCGCGCACTTGTAACTCAAGAGAAATGACTGTGTATCATCTGGCGAGGTTCTAATAGAACATCGTATTAAGGGGGTAAGTTTCTAAAGAAACTATGGTGCTGCGTCGGTGGGAGAGTATAGCAGGTAATTTAGTGTTAACAACTGTGCTGAAAACGTAAATTGGCCACCGGAAAGAGTAAAAAAGCTGACGTTTCGAGCGTTAGCCCTTCGTCAGAGCGATAGACGAAGGGCTAACGCTCGAAACGTCAGCTTTTTTACTCTTTACGATAGCCAATTTACGTTTTCAACTCAGTTGTTAACACTAAATTACTTGTGAACATCATATTACACTGCTCCTTTTCAGCTGCCGCGATTGTCAAGAAAAGCTAAACCCTTTCGAACGTATCACCCTTGTGGGAAAATGCACAAACTGCAAGAGCTACGAGCGACTTGATAAAACAACTTGGAAATTACTGTACAAAAATCGTAGTGAACATGAACTATCAGGAAACAACAATGTAACAGACTCTGGTCTGGGATGGAATAACATTAACCTGGTTTTGAAGGAAGGTTCTTTGGAAGAAAACACAGAATACATTGCACAGCTTAACGGCAGCCGCGCTGGAAAAAGCGCTCTCGCAGAGTATACCTTTCAGACAACTTCCCAACCCGGCGGAGGATCTGCGACGTGCAGAGTTTTGTGAGTACTTGACAAGATTACAAGTGTTAAAAATTAAAGCTATTGTTGTAATTATTGCTGTATTTTTGGTACAACGCTTTTCAGTACCACTACCGTTATAGTTACCGTGAGCGCTCCCGTTATCGTTGTCGTTATGGTTTTCGTTGTCGTTATGGTTTTCGTTCTCGTCGTCGTCGTCTTCGTCGTTGTCGTTATAATTGTCGTTGTCGTTATCTTTATCGTTATCATTGTCGTCGTTGTCGTTGTCTTCGTGGTCGCTGTCGTTGCCGTCTTCGTCGTCGTCGTTATCTTCGTCATCGTCTTCGTGGTCGCTATCGTTGCCGTCTTCGTCGTAGTCGTTATTGCCGTCGTTGTCTTTGCGGTTATCGTTGTCGTTGTCGTTATCCTTATCCTTATCCTTATCGTTACTGTCGTCGTCTTTGTCTTTAATGTTTCCATTTTCGTAGTCAGTATCGTTTTGTTTATCGTAATGATTATAGTTATTGTCATCATTAAAGCTATCGTCGTCGTTATAGTTGTCGTAATCGCCGCCGCTGCCACTTCTACTGCTTTATTATCATTATTCCAATATTATGCCATTTTCTCAGATTAGATCAAGAGGTTGCTTTTAATACGAGGGCAGAATGCACAAATGTTGTAAAGGATGTGTTTAGAAAACTTCGGGGAAAAAAAGTAGAATTAACGTGTGTATTTGAAATTCTCACTTCAGTCCACAAGAGGGTTTTGCGGCGGAAACCCTGTTCAAGATCAACTGTGAAAACTGGGTAACCATAGACAACCCAATCTCGTACGAGTTTCGTTACAAAACCAAGATAGACAACTTAGCTCAGATTAATTCATTATCGTCGGAGTCACAGGCAAATCAAGTTTGGTACTTTGGGGAGAGATCTACTCCATCGAGAGTGTTACCTATCGGAGATCCAAAGAATGGTTTCCAACTCCAGCTATCTGCACGTATCTGCAACAAGTATCAATGTTGTGCTAGTTTTTTACTAAACGCCACGGTGAGTTGAAATTCAAATTAAAATCTTTAGTGATAACATTTAAGGGTTACTCAAAGACTACAATGAAGCGTGCCCGTGGATCAGTATATCCTTTAGGCACCACGTCACGGTTTTGGGGTTTTCTAAACCTCAGACTAATTTTTTGAAGTTCGCCATTTGCACCTCATATTCTCCATAATTTTCCATCCTCGTTCTTTTCCAGTTTATCACTATCTGTTTCCCTATTTTGGTGCCCCAGCGGCGATATCGATTATTCGTAATCTCTTTCAGGTTGAAAGTGGAATAACCCAAAAAATGACCTGAAATGTCAAAACGTAGATCCCGTAGAATTGTCAGAGGAGGAACAAATTTGCACTTCAAATCAAGCCTGAAAAGTAGATCTTCAATAGGAGTGAACCTATGACCTCGCGAACATGCAAATTAAATCGCCTAAAAACTTTTTAGTTGAACTGATTTTTCTTGTAGGTGAAAGAACCGAAGACGGGACAAATAGATAAAGTTATTCAACAACTGGAGGAAGTGGATGCCAAGAAAGACCCCAAAAAGGTCGTCCAGGTGGTGGACTCTCTGATATCCATCATAGATCAAGGCAACAAGTCGGAAACTGCAAATAAAGGACAGCAAACTAAGGTATTTAACGCGTTATGAGGGTATCTCAATTTAGTTTTTTTCCCAATACCAAAGTTATCACAACAGCAAATCAGAAATGACTGTGAATATATTAAAATCGTATATGTGTACTGCGGATTAAGAAATTGATATTAAATCGATCTTCGCAGTAATGGACACTACTTGGGCAGTGGTGAAAATGAGGCTTGAAAAAAATTTCAGGCCTGTACGGGATTTGAACCCACGACCTCTGCGATATCGGTGTAACGCTCTACCAACTAAGCTAACAAGCCAACTGGGAGCTACTTCTTTATGTAGGTTCGTAATAAACTCGTGATGTAATGAAGAAATGACTGTGAATACATGAAAACATAGTCATGTGAAACGACTGCAGTTTCCACAGTGATGCCTTGAATATTCAGTTGTTCCTTCCTTTCAGGAAAAATCGAAGCTGGTCACTAAACTTTCGGAAGTCGACATAACGGATACATCACTGGCTCAACAGACCATCGGTGCTTTGATAAAAGTCACCAAAGACAAAACGGAAGTAACGTCAAATACTCAAGTAAGTACAATCGTCTAGCACCAGTCTAATAAATAAACTAATTCGTTTATTTATTCAATCATTCAATCGTTCATCCACTTTTTAATTCATTCTTTCAGTCATTCTCTCAATCATTCTTTAATTTATTCACTCATATGTGCGTTCGTTTACTTTATTAACCCACTCATGCGCACAATATACTGCTATTACATATTTTGCTTTTAAAGTTATAACACTTAAGAGGAAGAACTGAAAGATTGAAAGATAAGAATATATGTGCCGTTTGTTCTTTTTTCGGTTAAAAAAAATAAGAAAACCACCATTTCATTCCCTTCACTGGGTCTTGGATAACAGACCATTTCGTTTCGTCAGTGAGAAGGCAATGCAATGCCAGAGAAATAGCTATAAGACCCCCTTCTCACTGCGATATTGTCCTGGTTGTGCTTGTGTTTATGATTGTGATGTGCTCACCCTCACAAGGATTTACGTGCTTTTGCCTACGCTAAGATGAAAATGCAGACCCAACATTTTACCAGTTGTATTCTTGTCATTTTTTTTTTTAATTAGAACCAAGCAGCAGGAATTGCAAAAGGAGCAGCCTCTGTCTTAAAGGAATCTGCCAAAAATCTGGGCGCAGTGAAGGTTGAAGAAATAGCACGAGAGATTTACACGGCGTCCTCAAACACGTTAGAAGCCAGCAAAGAAACTACAGCTGATTACACTGCTCAGCGTAAGGAATATCGTTTGTGATAATAACTGAAAAAAGTACTCAAAAACCAAAGCAAACTGAAGAAGACAAAAACAGCTATTGAACCTCTGCGTGCGAGAGAAATTCCTTCTACCATTAATATGATCTTTGTATCTTTCCATAAGGTAACTGGATCAATGTTAGTATCTGAGCAACTACGCACCTACCCCTCCCCTAGACCAAATTTAACCCTAACTTGTTATCAGTTGAGTGTTGTTTGAGGAGGTGTGCAGTTCATCAGAAATTTATATTGATCCGGTTCATTGATTGACCCTTTTATGCTTTTTCGCTTTACGTGAGGCAGACCGGTTCATGAGAACTGAAAAAAAATCCATGAATAAAACTAACCAAGGAGTATCATTTAAATGAGAAAAGCGCTCTCTCATAGCTTGATAGGTGTGTTTGGGTGAGGGTTAGTGTAAACACAGTTCTGGCGTTTTGCATTCGCAGTTATATAAAGCACTGTAGGACTTTTTCCTTTATGTTATGTCAGTTAGAGACTAATCATTATCTCTCGCCTGAGGGGAGGGGGGAGGGCAGGATTTTGGTTATCTCATCTCAGGCTTGTATAAGTACAGTAATTCTCTCAACTAACCCTCACTTGTCTTTTGGTGAGGCTTTGAAAACACAGAAGAAATCTTCTATTGGTCAATTAGTCATCAGTTGGGCGAACAAGCTCACAGACCTTTGGTTAAAGGGTTTATCGTGTTAATGAGCACACTTTAAAACACAAAAAAACGCCCTCAGAGTGTAATTGCCAAGCAACTAAATCACTGAAATCTCTCGTTGCTCAGTTCTCAAGGATATCTTCCCAACTACTGCTCCTCCATCACGTGACTGGTCGGTTAGAATTAGTTCTCTCAGAAATCAAGAGGTATGTTCATCTTTAATTTTATCTTTAGTTTATTAAATCGAATAAAAAAGATCGATAAGAGTTTGAACCCATAGTAAATCGATGAACGTGATATAAAAAAGGGTTTTTGGGCTTCGTGTGGTACCAAACTTATATTCAGGTCTGTTTGGTTTCGGCGCTTTGTATCCAACTGGTTCAGCATGGAAATTACATACCAAATAGTGGTAACAAAAAAAACTAAAGGATTTTTCCATCCTAAAAGTTAGTGCCAACGCACTTTACGATTGTTATTTGGGGATTGTCGATTCATTTATTTTCATTCATTAATGAAGTCGGCTTTTCTTGCCAGTAAAGGGCTATTGTGTTTATATGATAAACAAAGTAATACATGGTTGCGTATAGACATGGAATTCCTCTTCGAGTGTTCAACTCGATAGCTCACGAGTAAGCGCGCTCGCTCGTGAGCTATCGAGTTGAACACTCGAAGAGAAATTCCATCTCTACACGCGCCCATTTATCATTCTCTATTTATTTTCCGCTCCTCCCATTTGCTGACTTTCGCCTTGCAAAGTAGCATGGAAAAAGAAAACGAGGTCGCTAGTTAGGCAAGCATTGCCCTCCAATCTCGTTAAAGCCTCTGCCTTAGATGACCAATGGTGCAATTCAAAGAAAGTCATGACAATAATTTGCAGCGGCAAATCCATCTGACAAAGAAGCGCCTGCATAGTCTCAACTGCCATTTCGACCCGTTGTCTTGAGAGAGAGCTGGTGCGCCGGAAATCAAATAGTGTCCCAGTAACTCCACGTACGCGCTGTTGCTTCCCCTTTAAATTAATCATTTCACGTTGCATTTTTTCAGGAAGCCGATAAATCGAAGGAAGTGGTGGATACGATCTTGTCGGCAATGGACCTAGTCAGTGGTGCAATTCTTAGAAAGAGAGTTCCCGAAGAGGGAGAAACAGAAATTAAAACACAGGCGTTCGATATTCGATTGAGGCGTTTGCGTAAACAATCATTTAACAATTCTGCATACAAGGTCGAGACGTCTGAGCAGCTACTAGTTAGCCTTCCGAATCCCGATGTCGTCCTTAAAGATGCAAATGAAAAAGACCCTGTTGACTTAGAGGTAGGTGAAATTTAAGCGATAAATGTCTGTTTTACTCTTTCATGGTACGTTTATACAAAAGGAGACAGATGATGAGAATTGAGAAAGTGACCAAATATAAAATGAAGATAAAAATTCCTGGAGTTTAAAGGATTATTTCAAGCTTCTTTCATCGTAAATTAAACTGATCGCTTTCGCCGTGAGAGGAGGAGTATGTGATAAATCACTCCATTTTGGCATTTACAATAAACCGCGTTCTCGAGTATTGAGTCTAATCACTTGTTAGAAAATCGCTCTGATACTGCGAAGGTCTGTTTCGCTTCTTTTAGACTGGGAAGGTGGTTCTATACAGTTATATACACTTAAATGAATTTGACTTCACCTTCGATCGTGTTGCGCCGAAAACTTTGATGATTGTGCGAGGCAATCTGAGGAGAACGAAAACGCAGGGCATCGTGTCAACTACCCACTATAACCTCCCTTCCCTTGTCAAGCTCTTTTTCTCTATGTTTATAACACTTCATAATGGTGTATTGAATGTGAAGAGGATGGATACGTTGCTCACAAAGTCCTCTCCTTTAACCTATTTTTTTAAAGATTATTGAAGTGTTTCCTTTCGTTTCAGTATACCTCAATGGAAAACATTTTCCGATCCGACGAAACGAGCTCACCGTATATTACTAAGATACAAGGTTTCGCCCTAAAGCAAGGAAAGCGAGAGATCAAAATACAAAATCTCACCGATGATCTTAAAGTCAACATACTCACCGATTTGAAAAGCGTGTCTAGCCGCTTCAGCGAACAGTTCTCAGCCAACACGGAAAAAAGTCATCGTTTCCAGTCTCCACCCGGTCAACCGTACACGCCACTGCTAGTTTACGTTAAATCGGACGACAACACAACCTTAACTGGCCTGCTTCATATCACTTTTGAAGGAAGAGCGTCTAGCAAGTACAGGCTTCGATTCTCTCCCACGTTCCCTGATGAGGACGTCTCTGCAACTTTTCAGAAAGTCGACAACTTTACTTACATGGCCTGGGGACTACCTCAAAGACCTGTCTATTTCAACTTGACTGTCAAGGTACCTGGGCTGCTTGCAGAGGAAAAACCACGTGTTGTGAATTACACAGTGGCCATTTATCCTGTGCGATGTATGTATTGGGGTATGGAGGAAAAGAAATGGCTTGATGAGGGATGCAAGGTGAGGACAAATTTATCAAAGATTATTATATTCTACTTCTTAAGAATAGAGTACTTCGAGAAGCTAGGTTAAGTAGAGGGTGTGAACGGAGAGCACTGTGATAATCAATTAGAATCTATATTGGTGTGCTTCACTTCAGTTAAAGTCACATGGTTTCCAAATGTGGCAAGAACAAAAAAGTGGCAAACAAGGCGAAGCTAAGTTTGTCCCTGGTGTTCTTAGTTCATTTTGAGGTCATCCGTGATCTGTCACTGAACAGGCACGCGGTAACATGGAATCTATTTGTTTTATATGATAAAAAAACGCTAAGTTTTGATAATGGTGAAATCATCTATGCTTCTGCATTCTAATAGATCGTAGGTAGGTAAAAATGCAGGTGTAATTCAGCTTAGCATATATAATTGAGCAATAAATCCCACTTTTTATCAGATCGTTTTCTCGGCGTAAAAACTTGCACTGGATGTTGGGGAGAACACGAGAAAAGTTTCTTTATCCCAAGTCGAAGATTAGTGCAGTCGATTCCGTTTTTAGCTAACGTAAGTACTGTTAAGTGATAATTTGTGACCTATTTTGGTCAGGTTGGTAAGGAGACTTCAATCGCTGCCACAAACTGCCTGTGTAACCACGCGACTTTTTTTGGTTCCCTGAACGTAAAACCTAACCCTATTGGTCCTCTGTCATACGCCAAACTTAAAGATGGGTATGCCATGCTGGTGTTTGTCAGCATCATCTTCGCGCTGTATTTCCTAGCCCTTATTTGGGCAAGACGGAAAGACAGAGCTGACGTCGTTAGGGTAAGTGTTCATTTCTTTGAATATTTTCCAGGGGGGGACAAGCGATTAAAGAATGCAACAGTTTGTAGGGTGGGAAGGGGGTTGGCTTTAGTTAACAGTGATTTATTTGGAAAGAAAGGTCGTAAAAGGTCAGAAAGAGAGAATAAAGACCAAGTGAATTTGCATGATGATGATTTCTTTTGGTTCAAGTTCTGCTGAATGTTCAATTTTATATTGATTAGACGTTAATAGGACATATCGACGTTATCATATCGACGGGTTGGTTTTATGGTGAGGGTCTACTTTTCTTGGGTCTAGGCTTATGAAGGAAAGAATGGGCCGACCAAAAACATAGAAAGCTTGCCTTTTAATTCGGCCCAAAAATTGAATATACGTATCCTTTTTTCATTTAGGTTGGTGTCTGTCCACTACGGGATAATGAGCCCTCAGACCCGTACCGTTACGAGGTGACTCTATGGACGGGCATGCGCCGTAATGCTGGCACTAAATCCAAAGTTAGCATTATACTGTACGGTGACGAACAGGACGGTGAGGCGCGCGCTTTGCATGATCCTGAGAGAAACCCTTTTCAACGTGGTAGCCAGGACTCGTTTCTTCTGACCACGCCCTTTGACTTAGGCTCCATTCATTACATCCGGGTGTGGCACGATAACGCAGGTGGCTCGTGGTTTCTGAGTCGAATTATGGTGATTGATCTACAAACAGAGGAGAGATTTTACTTCATCTGTAACAGGTGGCTGGCTGTGGATGAGGAAGATGGCCAGGTATGGTGTGGTGGGGTGTATCTAAGAAGTAAGGTTGTAAGGTGCATACGACACCCTCTTTCTTGAGGAGAGAGACAATTTAGGATGCTTCTAAATTCCACTGGATCCGGCTTCTCATAGCGCTCTGCAACTCTAGAACCTGCGCAAACCACTTGCTGTTGAACACCCCAAGAAGTTGATCTGATATCAGGGAAACTTAGAACATTTTACGATGGAGGAAGAAACCAATTTGAAGAATACCGTTTGTGATCATATTTAAAGCGCATACCGATTGATTGTCCCTCAGCAATGTAGTTACAAGGAACCAAACAGCCTGTAGCCTGGTGCATGGAAAAGCGAGTGACCAAGTCCACTTGGTTTTAGTCTTGGATCTTATTTGAGAGATTTTTATTTTTATTCTCTGGTTAGGTTGAACGTCTCGTTATGTTGGCCAGCAAAGCGGAGCTTACAGAGTTTGGTCATCTATTTGTTGCCAGAACGCGCCGTAACCTTAGCGACAGTCATCTGTGGTTCTCAGTCCTCGCCCGTCCAGCCGGCAGTCGATTCACGCGAGTACAGCGGTTGTCCTGTTGTCTGTGTCTTCTACTCATGTCAATGATGACCAGTGGTATGTACTACGGCCCACGAGGCGACCCCTCCAACACGCAGCAAATTGGCTCCATTGTTTTCACCTGGAATCAGGTGAGTTCCACATTCAAATCGTAACGTATTGTTTACTGTCCACAGGTACGCAATACGTGCAGAATATTAAAATAAATGAGGACTCGTTTGTTAACCAGTTTTTAATTTAATCCGTACAGGTGCTGGTCGGGATCATTTCGAGTCTCATAGTCTTCCCAATTAACCTGATAGTGGTGCAGATCTTTCGCAATGTCCGACCTAAACCAAAAGTCAAGCCGAAAAAGCCACCTCCCACCCCTTGTCTGCCGACTCTTTCCTTTGATAAGGACAGCCTGGACAATTACAATAACCTGAAAGAATCGTCGGACGACTCTGCTAAGGGATCGAGCAACAGTCTAGATTTCTCACGAGAAAAGAACAATAAGACTCGGTTGTCAATTAATGATGTGCATACTGACGTGGACCGCACAAGTTTTACCGACAGCCCACTGCTGATTGATCGTAGGCTCAGTACCACATACGACATCGGTAAGGAAACACGTTGGCGTCTCACTAAAAATTTTCTCTTTTTTTATTTATAAAGGAGTTGAGGCAATCTTGACTGCAACAGTGCTTCGCGCTGCTTTTAGAAAATTTGGAGAGGAAAACAACTGTGATTTCTATTGTTGAGTGTGAACTACTACTATTACAGGATACTTATACAAATTGATACCATTCGTCACAAGGCTGAATTTTTATCTAGTCTCCTTCGCACCTGTATTCTGGGATGTCATGCGACGACATCCAAGGGGGAGCATAACGTGACATCCACATAAACGGCGGCGAGCCTAACACTCACATGAATTACAACGGTCCCATTCGTCTCCGGTTTTTTTCTTTTTTTCTTGCTATCTATCCTATTTTTTCACTTTTTAGAGAGCAGTCATTATTTATCACCTGGGGGCTTGGAGGATTTTCTTTTCTTTTCTTTGGGGGGAGGAAAGGGGATCGTATTGTTTTCAGGGGGAACAAAGAGGAGAGTAGTCGTCACCAACAGAGTGTAAAAGTGATCTGTTCCTTATATAATTTCATTGATTTCTTCCACTATCTTACGCCACCGTTGTGAATCATTTTATAACCGGCGTCGACACTGCGTAAATTCAAAGGCATCGAGGGAATACTCAATGACATTTCCCTCTTTTTTTAGCTCCTACGTCCCGTGCACGCCGCTTGCTGTTGTGGTTCAAGAAGAAAAACACGTTGCCTTTTTACTTCGTGTACGTGGCATGGTTTTTCGTCTTCATCTTCTCAGCTGGGTCAGCCGCTGTAATTGTATTTTACGGCATGGAGTTTAAAAACGAAAAGTCCTTGCAGTGGTTATTTTCGTCCTGTGTGTCTTTTGTTCAAGATGTGTTCATCACTCAACCCTTCAAGGTAAGCCTTTGACGCCTAGTTCATTTTCTCTCAGGGACCGGTAATTTATTTAATACGGGGGGGGGAGGGGTCGGATGATTTTGGTTGTGTCACATTAACATTTGCCTTGATTTTCCTACAAGGTCTGTAAATGTTCTTATGATACACCCCATTGGCAGTTAACTGGCAGTCAAATGTTCCACAGTCCCCCCTTTTATACTCTGCTAGTGACGACTGATCCCCCATCGTTCTCCCTGAAAACCATGTGATCCACCCCAGAAGTCCTCCACTCCCCCCCATCCCTCAGGTGACAAATAGTGACTGGTCCGTTATGGAGATGCAGCATAGCATTGTACGTCCATTAATGACTTTGCTGGTTCATTGTGGTTGTGAGAGGAGGGCCCCAATGAAAAGATAGAACACTCATCGAGCAAGTTACTGAACGAAATGGGAAGAACTGATGATATTAAACATATATGGGGCTAATAAAATAGAGTAGTACCATATCAGTAGGTTAAATTATGGAGGAAATTGGGGAACATGAAGAAAATGAGATTGAGATTGGATTCAAAACGTGAAAGGAGGGGTAGGTAAATGTCGATGGAAAAGCACATAAGGGTATCATAATCATAACGTATATTTCTTCGTGGAGAAAAAGGCTGCTCTTTCCTCCTCAGGTATAGCTGCCTCCGGGAAGTTTCTCAACTCACAATTCTTACGCTCTGTTCCGACTTTCGTTCTCGCTTACTCTTGCCTTCTAGTAAAGTGAGAACTATGAATGCTAAATTACTGTGTTCTCCTTAGAGGAAAGTGTTTTCTGCAGCATTTCCTTGACAGATTGGGCACCATAAGACAAATCTTCAAACATAAAAGGAACTCATTGATAGGAACTCAAATTAGGTTAAAGAAAATTGTCTTGAGGCGCGGGAAAACTGGTTTTTAGTTTTGCATCTGATTCGTTGAGAGAGTGGCGTGACTTTTCTGGTTTTATCACAGAGCGTTGTAAAGATTTGAAAAAACCGATGCAATGCAGTATTACTTGTGAAGTTTACTTATAAAGTGCTCCCTTTTTTAATTTTTTTGTTGACACAGGTGCTCGGTTTGGCGGTATTCTTTGCTCTGGTCGTTAAAAAGCCAGACAAAGGTGAATTTCAGGTAACTGAAGAGGTGCTCAAACTCGCCGAGGATGAAGAATTTCTCGGCCAACAATCGGACCTCAACTCAGGAGGATCAAAGACAAAGAAAGCGAAGCTTTTCCCTCCAGACCAAGCAAGACTGATTGCTATGAGAGCAGCGAGAATGAAGGAACGAAAGATGTATTCTGTCATTCGCGAGGTCGCCACTTACTACATATTTCTCGCCCTGTTGCTAACGATCGCTTACACGCACAGAGACAAATCAGCTTACTTCCAGACGAAACACCTTTTCGATATTATGGGAGATAACTTTTCCAAAGTGAGTACCAAATGAAATCTCTGAATAATGTAATGTCGTTATTTATCATCGAGGGGTCAGAGGATCTTGGTAGTGTCACAATAAAATTCACCTGATTCCCCCTCCCTAGACTCTGTAGTATTCTAATGATCCATCCTAATTGGCAGTCAAGTTTATTCTGTCCTACTTTTATACTCTGTCAGCAACGATAAGCCTCCCCCCCCCACATTCTCCCTGAAAACCACGTAACCTCCTTCCCAAATCCTCCGACCTTAGTGATAAATAATAACTTTTTCCCCTGGTGTTATATATATATATATATATATATGTACATCCACCCTATTGAGTTATGCCTTTTATCCTTGCATCGCAGTCTGGCTGCTAAAATTTTACAAGATAATACTTTCTCTTCGACCTCGGGTTCGTCATCGCCAGTTGAAGAGAGGAAGCCTTTTTCTTTGTTAGCTTGTGGGCCTCGACTCCGAGTGACCCAGAAACCTCGCTAGTTTCACAGAGTATTTTAACTTTAAAAGATTCCTTTTTTGAAGGCCATTTTGTATCTATGAATGTTCCTGCTATCGTGTTCTACTAGTATATGTTTTAAATAACGTCATTCGAATTCTTGTTCACATCCACAGATAACAAATGAAAAAGAGTTTTGGAATTGGACTCAAAGTGAGCTCTTGACGAGCTTGTTCCCCAAGAAATGGTACAACGGCGAAGAACGAAAATCCGATGGGTTCATGGTGGATGGCTACAGTCAGATGGTGGGCGGGGCAAGGATGAGACTCCTCAGAGTAAAAAGAGGTTTGTTTGCTTGTTTGTTTATTTGTCTTTTTTATATGTCGGCAATTTTTCATTTTCTGTTGCAAGGATCGTCTGCGGGTATTACCGCTCCTGCAGGATGCACGTCAGGCCTCCAAGCATTTCGTCAGCTTTCCGTGGCATTTCGCTTGTATTTGTTATCTCTCCTCGAAAGAGAGAGGCACTGTGGTGGTACCTTATCTTGGCTAATGACATATTACCATATTCTGGCCAGTGTCGGGGCCCAGACCTCGGGATCAGGAATCCAGCGCGCTTACCAAAGATTTACTTGCTAACAGGCCCTTTCTTAGCGTCTCACAACAGGCCAAGTGACTTTCCCTTCCCCTACCCCACCCCTATACTAAGTCCATGCTGACCATGGAACTCATAACAACATATTTGATTCCCAGAATCCTGCCGGGTTCCAACCGAGTTGTATGGCATCACAAAAGAATGCTACGGAGAATATTTTGTGACCAAGAACGACAAGAATGATTACACAGAGGGATGGGAGAACATCACTACATACGACACTCCAGTGTCTTGGGATGACATGCCGTGGAGATATCAAAACAGCAGTCAGCTTGATGGGTACCCCTTCTTGGGCACTCTGACCACTTACAGTGGAGGAGGGTACGTTCAAAGTTGTTCTAAAGCTAACTATCGTAAAATGTCGATCGCGAGAGATAAGCACGCGCTCGTATTGCCTAGCTGAAAAAAAAAATATTAAGGCAGACTCTTCAAGACTTACGCTTAGATTTTGATTCATTTTGGCGCGAGAATCGTAATTTAAAAAAGAACTTTTAAACAAATAATCTGCAAGTGTAGACTTACGTCAAGGAAAGGATACTTAATCCTTTCAGCACAGAGATCTGATCGTTAATTCTCCCCTCTTGCAGCAACACATTTTACGAATTTTTATGGATTAAGATCACAAATTGTACCTTATAAGTTTGAGTATTCTTATTACCTCTGAGCTGGGTAATTTACGTATATAATAGGGTTGGAAGTTAATGTTTGAAAATCACTTCTATGATTTAAATGGTTAAATATGGTTAAGATAAATACTGTAAAATCATATGATGAACTTGAAAAATATCAGCTCTTTTTTGAGCCATGTGTGTTCCCACAGTGAAAAGAAGAACTCTCGTGGATTTCTTGTCTGGACACAGTTGTTTAGTTCTGTTTCTGCTCAAAGCCACATAATGTCTAAAGAAGATCCCGTCTACTCCCAAAGAGAATAAATACTGCTTTTCACAATTTTGTTTTCTAACGGGTTAAAGACTTGCATGTGCATTCATGGACATACTAGTTAAAATGCTTTCCGTTCTTAATCGCACAGTCATTGTCTGGAGTTAAACCAAAGGCGAGTTTCTCTTTCTTCCAAATTTGACCATATTGTTGCACCATTGTGTTTTTTTAGTGTAATACATTCGTGTAAATTTTCTTTCCACAGGTACGTAATTGTTCTTGAACCTGGGTTGGAGAACTTCAAACGTGTCAGAGTCCTTGAGAAAAATATGTGGATCGAGCGGCGCACACGGGCTGTGCTGACTGAATTCACAATATACAATGCACAGAGTAACCTGTTTTCTATTGTTACTCTGGCGGCAGAATATCCCGCCACTGGCGCGGCTATTCCTTACGTTAGCATCCAGACTGCGCGCCTGTACGACTTCACCAAGACCATCATGTTCTTTGTATTAACGATCGAGGTCGTGTTTGTGTTGTTCACGTTGTTTTTCTTTTATCGTGAAGTGAAACATATTTACAAACTTGGAATCCAGGCTTACCTGAAAGAGTTTTGGAACTGTGTGGAGATGGGGATCAGTTTGTTTACCTTCGCTGCCATAGCGATGTATGTTTATCGCACGCTCACCATTAGAAATGTGTTGGATTTAGTGCGACACGACCCTTTCAACTTCAAGAGCTTTCAGTTCGCAGGGTATTGGAACGAGACGTACACGTTTGTCCTGGCTATGATCGTTCTCCTAGCAAACATTAAACTGAACAAGCTCCTCCGGTTTAACAAGCGGTTCTCGCTCCTGTCCTCCACACTTAAGTACGCGTACTACCCATTGCTGATGTTCAGCATTGTCTGGGGCATCGTCTTTCTCGCTTACACGATGTTCGCGTCGTTAGTGTTCGGACCCGTTCTGTACAACTACCGCAGCATCATGGCCTCGCTGACGTCTCTGTTAAGCCTTATGCTGGGAAGGACTGCCTACTTTGAGATGCGTGACACCAATCGCGTCCTCGGTCCTCTTTTTTTCTTCGGTTTTATGTTCATGATGTCGTTTGTGCTCATCAACATGTTCCTTTCCATCGTGGTGGACTCGTTCATCGTCGTCAAGCACGACAATGACAAGCAATCGAACGAGTATGAAATCGTCGACTTCATCATCGAGCGCTTTAAGCTGTGGTCGGGAATCGGAAAGACTCGGAGACCACAGAGTCGAGGCAAGGTCCTTTGGGAGACGGCTACGTCTCGTGTCAAAGCCGTCAACGTGCTTACCAAGAGCCACCTAACCTCAGATGTCGCAGGTCTGCACGAAGATTCAGTTTCAAAGCTGGAGAACCGACTTGAAAAACTTATTGATCGAACTGAAGAGTTGTATGGGGAGATTTTCCCTGAGAAGAAATACAAAAACTCAGGGAAGACACGGGGAAGGGTTGAAAAAGGAGAAGTGCCTGTTTCTAAGGGGGATATACTTGAGGGGCAAACTGGCTGACAGAGGAAACACAAAGTGGTCTCCAAGGGTGGTGTTTGTAAAATATCTCTTTAAGATGAAGCGTAGTTTGATCGTTACTAAAAATGGACAAAGATTTTAAATTCCTCTACAAAGTCTTTTAATACCGACGTACTTGAATAATCAGATGAAATCATCTATAAAAATCGTGGTCTTATGATGACTTCTTATGAGATTCAAGGTCTTTTTTAACGCATTAAATCAGCCCACATGTTCTCAAACCTTTGCTTTTAAATCAAAAGATCGACCAGTTTGAAATAAAGTACAGTACTCAAACAGATTGCATAATCTCGGCAGTAAAGATAGTTAAGAACGGATGAAACAACTTAAGATCTCACTGCAGGAAGATTTAAGATATTTAAATTCTAAGAATAGCGTTTCAAAGTACTTCAAATAAATCCTCGGCTAAAAAATAGTTTAGATCAATGCCGAGGACTTTTTGATTATCGAAGGTAATCTAGGATTGCACTAGTTTTCCTTCTTTTCCATCTGCTGAGGCCTGCTAACCATGCGTTTTGAATGCCTCGATTGGCCAATCGATTTAGCTATAGCATGGTTTATACTTTCGGAAAACCAATGACCCTTAAATTGTATACAAATTGTATACAAATTGCCGTACGTGTAGAGTGGTCAGTTGCTAGTGCTCTTTGTATATAATTGAGAGGTTTTCATCAGTGTTTTGATTTAGAATATACTGTCGCGAAAAGTGCAACGCGAAGTTAAGATTAGATACCAGAATATAAAGAAACCATTTTCGTGGAATTTCCAACCACTTTACTTAATTAAATACCAGTCACTGCAGCCCACAACGACACAGCGCTTTACGCATCTCAAAATTCAAAACGATTCTACACCTTATTTAATTGTTTTCCATTTTCAATTTCCAATTTCAACCTTCTGTTTTTACAAGTTATTTGTAATAATTAATTTTATTCTACATGTTAAAATGTGATTTTCCATTAAAAACAGTTGATTGACAACGTTCGTATTTCGACCAATTTTTGCTGAAAGTCATCTCCAAGCGCTTTTTTTTTCTTCCCCATTCTGTGACTCTTCCCTCCCAGTTCTACGCCCATCCTAACCCCAAATTATGTTGTATAAGTCCAGAGCCTCATAAGTGGTGGTTTTGCAGCTTAGCTTTAAAGCTAGATTACAATCATCAAGTAAAATTCCATTCTTTACCGATGTGATAGTGTAACAACAGACCGGTTTGAAAGATGTAGACTTAGCCTACGCTAAAAATGGAATTCTAGCTATTTATCGCTATGTCTGATCGCTCACTGGTTGATTTTTTGTCAGCCTCTAAGTCTTTCATACTGAAGAAAATCTCGTAGATGTTCCTCCATTCGTAAGTTGTATTCGTTTCAGCGGTTTTCCCAAAAAGCGGCAAATACAAAGATGGCGGCAGACTCTCAGGTAAGGCCTCTTAATGGAAATTTGATGTTTTTTTGATAATAACAAAGACTAAGGAAGCAGATTAAGACGAGGAGGATGTTAACTCTGATTTATTTTAGAGTCAGATCTATCAGAAGCGTCTGGAACTTCACACTATTGTGTTTGCAGTGGCCTTTTCACCATGTGGCAATTTCTTGGCGGCGTGCAACAACTTTGGACAAATTGCGGTTTTTAGGTGAAGGTCGTTTTGGTGTATTCGTCTGTCTGTTTGTTGGTTTTTTTTAATAGATTAACATGAAATCAAGATGTGTCGATGAAGCCACATTACTGTTTGGATTTAATCACAAATCAAGGTTGCATGTTTATATTACTCTAACTTCTTAAACAACTCTATGTCCGTAAATATTTTAGCATTACTTCTGCTCTGGCACCCGATGCTTCATCCGACAAGAAGAGACCAGTAATATTTTTCCAAGGTGAGTCTATACGTATACATGTAGCTCTACCACTTACTTTTCATGTTTACCAGTCTTATAATGTCCAGAAGGGCATGGTATCTGTAACACAAACAAGATCAATTTCTGTTGTTTGAATATACCTGGTAATGTAAATATGTAGTGCAATTCTAGAAGATGTCATGCATAGTCTGACCTGCCTTGGCGAAGTTTGTTCAGATGATGCATCCAAAAACAAATGTCTTGATATTCTTTGTAGAGTTATGTACAGTGTAGTGCAAGCACCCATTTCTACTCCTTTTTTTTTTTGGTTTTGTTTTCGATCATTGCTGGAGGATCAGGTCCCAGTTGTCCACTGCATGAATGTCTTTCTGGTGGATAGCACAGTAAGCTTTGTTGACACCCATGCGCTGGATAGCATTTTATTTATTTGATGATATTATCCACCTTTGAACAACTGGGCTCAGCTGGGAAGAAAACAACAGCATATATTTTGGATTACACTGGATTTATACTGGAATATAATTGATCTTACCACAGAAATTACACTTCTTAAAAACAAGGCCACTTAAAGGAGATTAATAATTCTTTCATAAACCATTGTCTATAGCCACAGTAAAGTTTACTCAGCAATATGAGGTCATTCAGTGCTAGAGACCAGTTCTGAAAAACAATGTTACTTTGTGGTTAATGGGTGCATAGTTGATGTAAAAGCTGTGTTGAGTTCTCTTTAAAAAAAAAAAAACATTGAAATTTCTTTCAGGTCACAGCAACCCAATTTACAGTCTAATATCTACAGATAAATTTCTAATCAGGTATTTGATTGTGACTCTTTCCTGATTGGTGATCAATTTTTTAGGCAATAATTTTAAGTAGGGAGATGATGTGTCTTTTAAGAGTGAGCAAGCATTTGTTATGAATTTATTTGGCTGTTTATTTTGCATTGCTGTTCAGTTATAACTTATTTTGTAACCTATATTTAGTGGTGGCTCATCTGAAATACATGGATGGCGATGGGATGAAATTCTTGATAAAACAGAGGTGAATATCTGTCTAGATAATTTAAGATTTGTTAATGGATTTAAAATTAGTTTTCAGTATTAGGGAGAGATGGTGGATATATGGTTGATAGTGTGAACTCTCTATGGAAAGGTTAGGTTTGAAATCCTGAAGGAGTCATTGTGTTCTTGGGCAAGATGCTGTAGCCTCACAGTGCCTTTCTCCACCCCAGTGAACTGCCATGGTGGCCTGACAAAACTTTCTTGAGGGGAGGAGGGTGGGGGAATAGTTCCATATTCACAGAAAGCAGTGTTACTCTCAGTAGTTTCCTGGTATGAAAACCGAGCTAAGCTCTGGCAGGGAAAGAGGTACTTGGCTTATGTACAATCAATATGATTATATACCTTGAATACTAGGGATTCCTTTGACCATGTGTACAACCTCTCAGCTGTCAAAAAAGGTGTAAGTTTCTAAAGAAACTGTGGTGCTGCTCTGGTGGAAGAGTATAGCAGAGTCATTTGGTATTATCAACTGAGTTAAAGAAAATTGGCCACCATTAAGAGTTTCAAAGTACATATGATACCATACACAAGCTTAGTTCAAAAGTGAAAAAGGAAGAGAAAAAACATAAAACTTAAATTATTCAGTATATAAACTTGAGTGCCCCCCAAAATGTGAAGTGAGACCAAATTTTCATGACTCTGCTCATATTCTTAAGGATGTTTACACTGTATTTAAAAGGTGTGATATTCCACCAGACTTCTTTGTGCTAAGTATTTCCATTCAGTATTACAGCCTTTTTCTAATTTGTACTCCAAAACTTTTAGGCTCCTTCACCTGCCTGGACACTGCAACCTCCAGCTGCCAGGTGGGGTTCTTTATTATAATTAAGAGACATAAAATGATAATTACCATAAACGTCCATGTATAAGCCACACTTTTTTTCACAAAATTGAAGCCAAAAATCAAGGGTGCGGCTTATCCATGGATACATCTGTGTTTGGAGCTCTCAAAAACCTAATTAATATTCATAAAACTTCTTAAGATGCCAAGAAACAAACATAAAAGAAACTGAGAGCGTGTTGCTGTAGTTCATTGACTTTTTCATTGAGTGGTGGCTCCTAAAGGAGCCATTTGTGTCTTCGAGTGTTTATCGGCGAATCTTGCTATCCATGAGTTCTTTCAAGCGATTAGTTTTCACTTACGCGAACAACTAAACACCGACATACAAGGAATCTCTCGTTGTTTTTTACTACCTTCATGGCAAATTTGTCAACTGCATTATGAGGCCTTGTTCTGCATGAAGTTTTTTGCCTATTGCAGGTTTCCAAACATCTTTATACAAGTGGTATCCCCGAACAGCTGAGTTGAAAGGCCCAGACTCCTCCCAAAATTTAAAGCTTGGCTACTAACCACTTGTTTGTTTGTTTTTTTCAATGCCGAAGGAATTTCAACTTTATGGCATGTTTCTAAGTGATAATCTTGAAAAATCGGATCAAAAGAGCATTTTAAGTTAAAGATTGTGTAAATTCCAATGAAAAAGGTACGACAAATGAAATTTCGCTTTCTTTAGACTTGATAAATGTGAAAGATAGCCACAACTTCTATGTCGGTGTTTCGAAACCTTGATTGTTTGTAGCAATACAACTCTATTGAAACTTCAAACTGTATTGTTTTATTTTTTCCGAATTCTGCGCTTTCAAATCGGGGGTGCAGCTTATCTATGGATGCGGCTTATACATGGACGGTTACAGTATCTTGTTGCTAATCATGGTAGTTTACTTACACATAGTCTACCAATACATGCTTATTCCCCATCCCTACATCACATATTGTACACCGATGTATCAGGTAAACTTACACTAACCTGGGAATCCCTTCATTGTCTTTGTTTATTTGCTTACAAATGCATTTAACCCTCTGACCCCAAAGAGTGACATGCATCCAATTTCTCAGTACAATATCACCCCTGAATCAAACATGAAGGTCGTTAGAATGAAGGAAATAATCGACTACTAAAGAAGCTCTTGATTGTCAAACAGATACTCAATACTCAGCTCCTTAGGAAATGTATAGAGAACAGTATGGAGAATATGCATACTGATGTTAGGGTGTAAATGGTATGATACTGTGATCTTTGTGTTCTTCATTCACTCTATGTATAGTGTATATCACTCAATTAACATTTCCCTGAACACATAACAGGTACTCTCACAGTGAGCTATGGGTTTAATGGGTTTTTCCTCGTAAATCTGGAAAATCATTGGATTTGAGAATGAGTTCTGAAAAGGCCCTTTGAAAATGATTTTTTTTGACATAATAATCCATTTTTCCATGATTATTTTAAGGATTATTTTTTAGACCTGTGAATGTTGATCCTCTTTTAGAACCTCACTGGATATACCTGAAACCAATGCTTTGGTATTTTCTGAGCAGGTATGTATTATATACCATAGATTGAAAGGCCACAATGTTTGTTTGATCTACAGTAATTCTTAACCAATCCCACATTGTGTCTACAATACTCAGATCTGAACACCCCCTCAATTTCTCTGTCACTTTTTGAAACGTAAATCTGACACAAGTTTGGAATGTTTAGCAACTTGATCTAGTACATTTTATTTTGGCAATTTTTTTGGCTACATGTGTTAACTTTGGACAAATTTCTGCATGCAAATAGTAGTTGTTTGTTTTTGATGGCTGAACATGAGATCAACATGCATTGAAGGAGCTACAGTTTGTTACCAAAGTTCATGTTTCTCTTGCACCCTACAAAACTGTTGTCTGATTATAGAAGATATAAAGGTGCAAAGATGATAAAGTGTTATTCACGTTTTTACTCCCAGAAGTAATTGTGATAGACCATGTCCCCATAATAGTTATGTCCATACATTATCCAGCAAACAGGAAATGAGAATAAAGGGGGTAATTTTCTAAAGAAACTGTGGTGCTGTGTTGGTGAGAGAGGATAACAGGTAATTTAGTGTTAACAACTGAGTTGAAAACAAAAATTGGCCACCTCTTGAAACGGTAACCTTTAAACTCTTTACAGTGGCCAGTTTACCTTTTCAACTCAGTTGTTAACACTAAATTACCCGGAAATGAGAATACTCAAACTTATCAGGTACAAGTTGTTATCATGATCTGACACCAAATTCTCGTAACCAATTTAAAAGGAAACATGTCTCAGCTAGAGGGGAGAATTTACAAGAAGATCTTCAGAGTGCAAGGGTTGTAAAAAACTATAGTAAACAGATTATTGTTCCTGATTGTCCATTATTGGCTGTTAAAAAACTTGAAGGCACTTTATAGATTCAATATTACTGTAGTTTTATACATGTACACTTTGTTTTTATAGGAAGACACACTTTTCTCAGGCTGTGGGGACAATAATATTTATATGTGGGACCTTGAGTCTGGAACATGTAAGGTAACCTTTAAAGAAAGTTACATTTCATGTTTTAATTTAGTCAAAGAATGGTGTTTTGTCAAAGAATACTTCATCAAGTGATCTTACCTTAGTATCAAATATTTATTCATTTTTTTATTAACCTTTATTACTTGACTGTGTCTTTTAGAACACATTGTCTGGTCACTCAGATTATATTCAGTGCCTTACTCTCAGAACAAAACACAGTCAATGTGTGAGTGGAGCTGAAGATGGAACTGTAAGATTATGGGGTATGAAGTTACACTGAAGTTCAATACCTTACACTAGCCTTGTGTTCTTGATTCAAACTGTAAATTACACACCAAGTTTTTTCTGCTTGGATTTATGGCCCAAGTGCGAAGCACACAGGCTATGAATCTAAGGGGGAAAAATGAGGTTCCATGACAAACAGTGCAGACTTAGAAAACTAGGTTCATAAGATATACTGTATCCCTGTGTTCAAGTAGAGAGGGAAGACTTTTTAACCCTCTGAACCCCAAAAGTTACTTGCATCTAATTTCTCCTTACAATATCCCCTCTGAAACACACATCAATGTCACAAGAATAAAGGAAATGATCACCAACTAAAGAATCTCTTGACTGTTGAACAATTCTCCTTGTCAGCACCTTAGGAAATGTATAGAGAACAGTATGGAGAATATGCATACTGATGTTAGGGTATAAAGGATTTAATCAGGTGATACAGTGAATTAAAGCCTGGCACATTGACCAATTTTCTTTTACTGGCCAAAATGGTTGAAACGTGAAGCACTGTTATGTTCTCATTTTAAGAATTTTGTTTTTGTTTTGCCCAATTTTTAGATTACAGAACAAAAGGATCCATGACTGACATGATTGAACCCTGTAAAAATGAGGTAAAAAAGGAGATGTTTGCTATACAGTTGGTGGATTTTCTTTCTTTAGTACTTAATTGACTAAAAAGTCAATTTTATTGCTTTTTAAGACTTATGTACGTTTTTTTTTTTTTTTTTTTACTAGGTTTTTTTAGCATTTTTACTTTACATCTTGAGCTCCAATAATTCTAGCTGCACTAACTTTAATTTGCTACCAGGCTCTCACTTGTTCAATTTTTATCTCTTTTCCAAATCATACTTAGATTAACTGCATGGCAGACTTTGTTGAGTAGTCTTTATCAAGCCAAATCATGAAATAATACAGTTCACTTTATGACTTGTACATGGTTTTGTAAGTTTTGCAAGATAAATGTTAATTTTTTATGCCTTCACACCAGGATATACACAGACCTCATTTGGGGTCTTGGATAGGTTGTGTTGCTGTTGATGAGGGTGAGGACTGGCTGGTGAGCAAATGAGTATTTTTTTTTTTTTTTTTTTTTTTGGGGGGGTTGGGTTTGTTCTAAATGTTTTCTTTTTGTAAGTTCCCTCAATAACAGTTTTCTAGCTGTGTGATTAGACTTCTTTGAAACAGCAGTTGAAAAATACAAATATTTTGCTTCACAATAGTTATTCTAAGAAATTTGCCTATAGTCTTTGACCTTGTGTACTTCACCCAATTTCCTAGGCTCATGTCTTAATGTTTGTTTATAAGCCAATACCTGCATAAGAGGGTAATTTAGCATTATCAAATGAGTTGGCCAATGTAAAGAGTTTCAAAACTTAAGGTCCAGAGTGTTAACCACCTCACAGTAATAATAATAATAATAATTATAATAATAATAGGGATTTCTATAGCACCATATCCGCAGGCTCATGGTGCTCGTCAGAGCAAATGGAGGAGTTGTGGGTTGTGGGTGGGTTTATATACAGAAAATGGAGCAATGCCACTGGTGGGAATATGGTTATAAGAAAACAAGAATAGTTGAATGAAAAGCACTTGCTTACTGATATGGTAGGGATTAAGAGTGCAGATTTGAAAGATGAATTTTTTACCTAGAGTTTTGTGGCTTTCTAAACTGCCTAGATATAGGGAGAGGCCACAAACTGCCATATGCTGCTTAGACTCACCTGCATGTTGTGTTTGTTCTTCACACACTCATATATTTATTTACAGGTCTGTGGTGGTGGCCCATCCCTGTCAGTGTGGCATTTGAGGTCCATGAATTGTACAAGTGTTCTGAAAACAGCTTCTAGTCAACAGTCTGCCCTTTTCCATGATGACCTTGTAAGCGACAATACTGTTATTAACCCATTAACACCCTAACCCCAGAATGCATATTATCCATACTGTTTTCTATACATTTTCCTACAGCGCTGACATGGAGAATTTGTTTTAAAAAATCAAGAGCTTCTTCAGTTATTGATCACCTCCAGCCTTTATTTTCATCACCTTAATGGGTAAATCAGACTGATAGTGTAAGGAGAAATTTGATGCCAATCACTCTTCTGAGTCAAAGGGCCAACAATCATGTATAACAGCCTGATCCATCGGTTACACTACAAAATGAATGCACAGGTTTATGGATTCTGGTAATTTTATATCCTTTGTTAAATTAAAGACAGTGCAACATAAATGAAGAGTTGCTTTTATGGGGACATTTAAAGACATCCTTGTGAAAAGCAACCAGATTTAAGAATAAGATCACATGTGACAAGATTTTGCATTGGTTGTGTCCAAAACGTGGTGTTACTGGAAACGTTTTTAACCAAATGAAGTTTCTTATAGCTCTGTTGAAACTTGGCTCCGTTGAAAGGATGGAAGATATATGTTTAAAAAATTTTTTCACACTACATTTTCATTTTGATGTGAAAGTTAATTTTTTTCTTCTTAAGATATTGTCTGCAGGGTCAGAACCAACAGTGTTCCATTGGCAGATAAATGGGGATCCAAAAACACATGTTCCTTGCACACCAAACTCAGTTTTTACCATGCAAATTAATGACCAGTCTCCAAAGAATAAGGTAGCTAAAAATAGTTCATCTGTCTGGCCCCAGTTCTTCAAAAGGTTGGATAATGCTATCTACTGGATATATCGGTACATTTGCAATCACTTATGCATTAGATAGCATTATCCACCCTTTATACAACTGGGCCCTAGCAGTTTGCAGAGTATGTTTTGCTTTTACTTATCTGATGGATACCAATCTGTTCTTTTGCTAATTATAATTGTTTTGATTTAATGACTTTACACCAAGGGGGTGTACAAGTCATAAAGGGATTTCCTTTTCAGGCTTCCAGTTGGAGGCAGCCTTGAGGAAAATCACAATTTGATAATAAATACACAGGGAATAATGGGAATCAAAAACAGAGTTGATGCTTCTAGTTAAAACTTCTTTGTTATTAAGTTCAAACAGTCAAGCATAGAAATATGTAACTTTTAATATTGGGGGTCTGTTCAATGTTTGGATTGGTGTCGTAGTTATCTTTAGATGCTGCTTAACAGACATTAGCTGAATGCTGAATTTGGTCATAATTTTCTCATTCCTTTTTTACAGAGGATGTTAAGAAAACCTACCCACAGGATATTCATTCAGTCCTTTTTTTTTAATTGCCTAAAAAGCAAGATAAGCTTATAAAAGTTCACTTAATTGCATGATAATATTGAAACCTGAATAAGTTTGTCCTTGAATTCTTAATTTTGCCTTGTTTGATACAATTAACCCTTACTTTTTTTTCAGGTTCTTGCAGTGGGTGGTTGTTCAGCTGACATTGATGTTTTTACAAACTTCAGCTATAAAGCACTATCATTTAAATTTTCTCAATAAACTAGTCCTTTGTCAATTGTGGATAGAAATAGTGTTGTGTAGAATAGGAATGAATATTTTTCCAGGTACTTGCACAATAGGTTATACTAACCATCAGACAGTAATAACTCCCATGGAAGAACACTAAAATATTGTAATAACTATTGGCCACAAGAAGCAGAAAACTCAACATGGAGTTTTAAAAAGCATGCAACATCTAATTTTTGTTTAAAACTGGTCAGTCATTACATTTATCCCCCTTTACACTCTGTTGACAAAAACTGATTTTCCCCCCTCCCCTCTTTATTCCTCCCAAAAACCGTGTACTTTCCCCCCATGGTAAAAAATGATTGGTTCACAAAGTCACCTACCTATGTAAAAAGAGGTGAATGAAGGGCATAAAAGTGTGTAACAGATATGTTAAATATTCCCCATTGTAATTCATTTGATTAGCTTCAGTAAAACAAAGGGGGAGAGGTGACAGGTTTCAACATACAAGTATTCCTGCAAAGCTAGAAGGGGATAGTAATTGTGTGAACAACTTTTTGGCCAACAGGCAGCATGAAATTGCCATCTACTTATGCACTTCAAGAGAAATGCATTTCAATAAGATTGAAAATGAACTTAAATTAACAAACTGAGAAAAATCTTATTTTCTGATTAAAATTTTTCTTAACCTTTGTAAAAGCTAGTTTTTAATTGATATTTTCCACAATTATATTGAACTTTAATTAATACAATGCATTACAGAAAAACATTCTTATGTGAAATTTGTCTTTGTACACAATCTCCTCCATAAGTTAAGTTGATACAAAATAATCACTAATATTAATAGTAATGTTTGAATTTTACAGTAGGTACATACAAATGACATTTTTACAGCTATTGTAAAATATTATGGCTAAAGGAAATTGCAACTTAATAATTTGTCATTAAATAATATTTCACTAAAAACAGCTACAACTTTCTCATTTTTCAGTTCTTAACCTCATTCTGCCTTCATAAATTGTAATAAATCTTGCTCAGTTTGATTTTCCCTAGCTACTTCTTGTAAAGTGCAATCTGACATTACGTTCATCAAACAATATAATTTCCTCAAGGCACTCTTAATATCCATACAATTTGCATTTGTAAACATCTTTGTCAGTGCATTCTCTGGTCTTATCGAAGTAAATGAAGCAGCCATCTTTGCGCTGAAGTTTCTTTACATAGCCATTATGAGGCCAGCGATCCTAAGTCAAGAAACACAAGGATCATAATCATTATCAGAGAACTTAAGTTTATCATTTGAATTTATAATCTGTTTGTTACAAAGAAGATTATGGGTCTGAGTAAACTATCGATAGCCTTAGAAAAACAGCATGAACCTAACTTGTCCACAGTACCTTTCTTTTAAAGACGAATATCGTTAGAAATCGCTTTTTTGGAATTTCATAGGAGAGATTAAACGCACTCTGGAGCACCAGTTGTACGTGTCTCAATAACCCCAAAATAACTAGTGGGCATGGGGAAGCTCACGAAGGGTCACAGCCTGACAAAATTCATCAAGCAATTACGATTATCTTAACGATAAGCTTTATTTTGTAGATAAAAAAAGATTAGGGTTGAGCAGAACTTCAACCTGATGGGGCCGGAAAGAGGGTCTGAAGCTCGTTGCTTAGAGGTGAAAACGGATTTTGGTCGCCTAACCCGAATTATACCTACATGTATTCACGTAGGAAACACCACAGTAATTTCATTTACGAAGGTTCTTCTGTCTCCTTTTGTGCGCATAAATTGTTTCAAACCTCGCAAAAAAGAAGTCTTAAGGGTCATGACTAGGAAGTAAAACAATACACACTCCTGAAGTAAATAAAATCTCGAGGAACTTACAGGTTCTTTTTGTTTGACATCGCGGTATTCGTGGACATCTCTATAGCCAGCGATCTGAAATCTGTAAGCTAGTAAAAAGCAAATTTCACAAAGAAAGTTAGTGAATGCTTCAGAAGTCATAGTGGAAAACAATTTTATGATAGTTAGCCATTTTATGATAAATATTGTGAGGTTCATAGAAGAAAAGGAAGTATCTGATACCTTCTTCCACTTCCTCGCTCCAGCGCTTGGGTCGAGAAACTGATTTTGGTCCTGATGGTTGTGCGATAGGAGACACAATAGACGCCATATTGTTCGATCCTACAAGGAGACAAGAATGTTTTAATAATTTGGTTGAAAAAGGTTTGTGTCCACAAGAAAAAAAGGCTTCTCTTTGATATTTGATGGCAAGTTGCCTTGAGCACGAGATGAAATCTTGTGCCAAAGAGAAAATTGAGTTTCGTAGCCGTTCTGTGGTTTTAAATCAGCCGCAGTCTTAGTGAGGAACACAGAGAGCTAATAATGGAATGAAACGATGTTCATATTCGCTTAAATGTGATTTTAGTGCAACAGAAAAGCAAAAAAAAAAGCTTGAAACAAAATTTGCAACGTGTACAATATCTCCGTCACGATAGGGGAAATTGGAGATCATGCAATCTGATTGCACTCTGTTGGAGGACGTTAATTCGCCGAGAAACGAATATTTCTCGGAAAAATCGAGGACACCAAAGCGAAAGAACTTACCTTAACAGTCCTTGTCTTCAAAAATGATAGTCAAACGTAAAACTCTCTGATATAAACAGTCTGAAACTGTTTTGTCCGCGCTATGCAACAGATGTCTGATTGCCTTCTGATTGGCTCATTGTTAGTTGCTATAACAACGTGAAAAACAATCAATAATGTTTGAGCCCACACGATAGTCAGTGGTCGTTTTCGGGACCGTACATGTACCCATACATCAAATATTTTCCAACGATAAACAAAGATGGCGAATGCGGACTGATGTGCAATCGTCTGCTTTGTCAAAGTCGAAAAGGATGGATTTTCTCTTCATGGCGTTTATATATACTTTAATTTTTGTTACCCTATCATATTTAGTTTTTTTTGGAAGTACTGACTTTCATCGAACTGGTTTAGTAGGTTTTCTACGAAGAAAATTGTTTTCAGTGAGTGTCTTGTCTTTTTGTGTAGCTCTTCTGCGCCTACATATAGCTGAAGTTAAGTCTTTTTTTAACGCTAAGCAAAACTAATCAATTATCATTGAAATAAGCAATTGCGGAATTGTGTCAGATATGCCTTTGTTGGTTGAGTAAGCACGTAGATGTCTTTGTCCATGAAATTAAAGCAATGTTATTTATCTTTAATTTAGGTTGCCCATTTAACGAAGTCTACTTTTGAAAAGTGCGTTCCAGCAGCTTTAACTGGCATCATAAGAAGTGCTACAACTTATCTCTTGTTTAAAAGGTATGCTAAGTTATTTTAAAGGCTTTGATTTAGGAGCAAGGTATTGTTTGATTTTTAAAAGTCGCGTGACAAGTCAGTCGCCTGACATGAGGGTAACAGCTTCCTTGTTCTTAACACCTGTCTGCAGAGTATGGCAGATGCGTGCTCAATTTTCTTCCTGTCTTACTTAAACGTACATTCCACGTGGCAGAATCCCTTTTGCATGCATGAGATCTCGACGAGTTCTGCCGTACTGTCTGCAGACTGCAGTCTCATTCTAATATCAATCCGTCCTCTCTCCACTTCCCTTTGACGCCACACACGTTATAACACTTACATTTGAAAAATTACAAGCCTATTACCATCTGGTAGGAAACTTGAACTGTTTTTTGTAGTGGATGTTGCTGTATTTTTTCTCCAGACTTTTTACCCGTTAGATAATGAATTTTATCAAATGAGTCAACAGTGGGAATTGGTAGAGAAGTTCTAAAGCTGACATTTAGAGTGTTTTGAATTGATAACTTTGTAAACTTTCATTTCAGATAATTTAATTTTGTCTCTTTCTAGAAATCCTTGTATTCAGCTTCTTTATGGCTTCCTTATGAGTGGAGGGACTGCTATCTACAGCTTCAAAGTCATTCCTTACTTTGACAAAATGAATACATTTAGCATTGTTACATATATTCTTATAGCCATCAATGTGGTGCTGTTTTGGGTTTGTTGTACACATGATCCTGGTGTGATAAAAGTGACAAATCACACTGAGTACATGAATGACTATAACCCTGATGGTGTATATTACACAACACAAGAGTGTTCTACATGCAAGTTTATTAAGCCAGCAAGATCAAAACATTGCTGTAAGTACATTAATTGTTGATATGTACTTAACTATTACCTCCCAGTAGTCTCTTTAAAACATCAAATTCAAGCCAGGTTGTTATTAATTATTTGACACTATCTGAAACTACATACAGGTGCCAAAAGAGTGTGTGGGAGATGTGGTGGCCTGGATGCTAGCATGCTGGACTCTGGGTTAAGAGGTTCAGCCATGCATGTTGATTGGCTGTAAAACTTAATACCAACCAATATCTGTGAAAAAAAAAAGAGTTCAAGTCTGCTTTTGAACCAAAAGGTCTAAGAACAAAGGAATTGATCACCATTATCTAGGGTGGGGGGCATTGGGATTTTCACTTTTGCAGTTTTGACTATTTTTAAGATTGGTTTTTCAATTGTTGTGTCAAAAAACTTCAGTTTTTCAGTTTTGGTGTTCATGCAGTTTGCATATTTTCCATTTTTTAGTATTTGGTTTTCGGTTTTTGTGAAAAATTCTAATAGGTTTTCAGATTTAATATCTATGTGGTTTTTGGTTTTTCCTATTTGGGTTCCATTTTCATCTGAGTGGCAATTATGGGCCTCTAGTGATCTGGAATAGTTGCAAAACCTCTGTATGCTCCACTTGTCACCACTGTTGTGGATTGATTAGGATTTTGACAACTGGGATGTGAAAATTTATCGGTTTTGATGGTTTTGCATAGGGTTTTTGGCTTTTGATCAAATTTTTTTTTGGTTTTGCAATTTTGGATGAATTTTTTCTATGGTTTTGCATTTTCTAATGACCCCAGTGCCCTCACCCCCTCTTTTTAAGAGGCTCTTGACTGTTTGAAACAAATTCTCCCCATGTATGACAAGAAATGTAGAGAGGAAAGTTTGGAGAATAACCATATTGATGTCAAGGTGTAGGGAGTTGAGTGTCTTACCTAAGATCACAACAACATGACAGGGTAAGGGTTTGAATCAACACCTCTTCACCTGGAGTCCAGCTTGCTCAGCATTAGGCCATCTATGATGGCAACAGCAGCCTGTTTGTGTAGATAACAATGAGATTTTGAGTACAATTTTGTGTTAATAAGTGCAAGTAAATTTTTCAAAGACAACTAAACTTACTTATGCTTATTGACACCACATTGCACTCAAAATCATGTTGTCACTTTATAATGATTTATGTGAAAAAAAGCATTACAGAATATCTACATGGACAAAATTTTTACATAAAATTTTTATTGTTTGCACTCCTGTTAAGACTTTGCACTCAAGTTACATGAAAAATGCACTCATTTTCAGCTTATCAGACATGTGCAATTTTTTCTTGTATATTATTACAAATTGAAAGAAAACCCTGTTTAACCCTTTAACTCCCATGGGAGACCAAGACAGAGTTTCTCCTTACAATATCAATACAATACCAGGCAGACAAGTGATGAGAATAAAGAAAAATATCAATTAGGGGATCATAAGTTGATCAAATGCCAAATTCTCAAAATCAACATAACAAGAATTGTATAGCAGACTGTAAGGAGGATTTCTAATGAGATCTTGGGAGTTAAAGGGTTAATACAGCCTGACATCACCCCAGTTATGCTTTTACTCATTGACATGTTCTGGTGACTCTATTATTTTATTTCAACAGCTCTATGTGATGTGTGTGTGAGTCGTTTTGACCATCACTGCTCCTGGGTGAACAACTGCATTGGAAAGAAAAACTACAAGTTCTTCTTGTGTTTCATCATAAGTACTGCAATACTTTGCGTGTATGGGACACTTGTGATGGCAGTTGTGTTTGGTTATATTGTACTCTCAAAAGGCCTGATCACCATGAATTATGAGGCCTCTGATGGAAAGCGTTATCCTGTAGGAATCAGATTTTTAACCCAGGTAATTCATATTAAAATTGGATAATTTACATTGTCATACAAGATCCACTGCATACCCCTCTAAATTATATCATGAACAGAACTTCATGATGAAGAGTAGATGATAAATAAATCTTGTGCCTGAGGCCAACTTGCATAGCTGTTGGAACTTATTCTGGCCTCTATAGCATGAAACAACTGGGAGTAATATTTCATCTGAGGGATTGGCCCCTAACAGGGTATTCCCCTGCATTTTGTCAGCCTTTCCCTACAGTTCAACCCTACTCATTTATACCCTTGGGGACACCTTTAGGTAGAATGCATCCCATCACCATCAGCCACTAGAAATTCATCAAATTTCCCTGCATACCAATTTTCTGCTACCATTAATAATCTTGGGTGGAGAGAGGCACTGTGGGAGAAGAACAGTTTCTTGCCTGAAAACACAACACAATGACTCAGCCAGGGCTCTAACCCAGACCTCTCAAATCGCCGTCCAGCATATCTACCAGTAGGACACTTGAGTATGCATTTCGAGTGACATAAAACCAAAACCAATCATAACAGCCAATCAGAACATAGGAAAATAACACGAGCAGAAAATGAGACCTCGGGGTAAAAACAAGGAAACTACCCGAAGCGCCAAGCCACGAAATGACCTTAGTGCCAGATCTGATTGGCTGAGAAAGTGGCGCGTGTTTTCTAGACCAATTACAAAGCGAATTAAAGCAAAACCAGAGCAACCCTGAATAACTTTCGTCAATCTCTTGGAAATTTTTGCAACGACAGAAATTGCTGCAGCAGTAACTCCTTTTATCTTTTCCTTGCAGTATTTGCTGGTTCGGCAACCCTTGCTGGCAATACTATTCCTTGTTGTTTTGTTCTTTGGTGTGGCCATGACAGGATTCTTCTTATTTCATTTCTACCTTGTTCTTACAAATCAGACCACGAATGAATTTTACAAACGTCATTATTATGGTAAATCCCACCCAAAGTTATCTCGGCAGTCAAAAATCGTCTCGTCTCAGACTGAGAAAACAATGATACGAACGACGAGACGAAGGACTTTAACCCGTAACAAAGAAACCTCGTCAAGAACTTCGACTAATGATGTAGTAGCTACAGAAAAATTGCCATCTCCGAGGACTAGTACACCATATTACATTGGAATTTGGAGAAATATTACAGAAGTAATGCGCGTGTGATTGAGGAAAAAAAGAAAGATTTGGGAGAGATTGTGAGATGGATGTTTTAGCGCTGCCAGGAGAGGGCGCATTAATGCAACTTGCATGTGTTCATTGTAGATTTCTGCAGCGTTTACTTTCATTTTGTTCGATGAAAAATATCTTTTTGGACACTAATATTTTGAAGGAAAAGAAGTTTGATCGAGGAAGTTTGGTATTCTTAATTGCATTTCAACCCATTAAAAAAAGTTACAATATTTCAAAGATATGCAAGATTCTTAAGATAACACTCGAGATTTCTCAGGATATTTCAACTTATCCCTGTCAATCTTTGAGAACCCACGAATATTTCAGGGTTTGGTTTTACTGTATTCAAAGGCGATGCTCTGATGCCAAAATTGACTGTAAAATGGTTCTGTAGCTTTTTTAATAATCCCACCATGACTGGTCCTGTTGCTATTCAACTCACGATTCAGTAGCTGAAGGTTGCGGAAACTACATTTCTATTCACTTAAAGTCCAGAAAAGGCCAGTACATTCCGGCCGAATTTTAACTCATTCCTGACCCATCCTTTCGAATTTCTTTATTTTAATGGGTTATGAGATGACTCGAATTTTCACTCTTTTTCTAGTACGATGTCAAACTATTGGGTTTTTATTGGACGCAGTCTACTGTATCGACTCGTTACATTTACTCGACCGAGAAAGTCAAACATAGTTGTCTAATTCACTTGAGTTGAATGTTGTCTAAAACCTTAGTTACTTTTGTTAACGTAGTGCTTCCTCACATATCCAAATTCAACTCGAAAGAATTGATAAGAGAGTATTTACATTTTATAATATACTGCAGGGAACTTCTGCTCTCTCTACCACGCTGAGCCAATGAAAGGTGTTCTATGTTTTGTTTTAAAACTTTATTTTTCTTTTTCATGCATCCCTTAGCTTCTTTCTGTTCTAACCATATATGGATTAAACAACAGACCGCATCTTCTATCGTTTTACGCGCGTAATAACTCACGCAGGCAGGAGCAATGGGCTCCCGACGTAGGATGTCAGTGGGAGGACTAGAAAAATTTGAAAAATTAACGTCGGGTACAGTCAACAAGCTTTTCATGAGTCTTCCGATTTCCTAAGAGGGTCATCAGTACGCTGGTGGCGAAGAGTGTGGTCTTATTTTGTGATGAAACAACCGTGAAAAGTTTGTGAACAGTTATTTCCAGTCTGGACAGTTATTTCCTGTTGCAAAGGACTGAAGCAGCAACATAATTAAAAGAATGCTGCAACATTCATACCCCTTGTTTTACCTTTCTGCTGACACCATTTTTGTGAGGTTTAATCGAAGATTCTGTCTCCGAATGCGGAAAATTCGGAGACAACGTTCCCACGTATTTTCTATTTTTGAAGTGTCCCGCCCTCGCTTTTGCAAATAGAAGAGAAAAGCGACGTTGGAAACTTTTTTTAATTAGAGTAAGGCCGATCAAGAAATCCTATAAACTCTTTCTGTATAACGGACACTGAATTGATGCATTATAAAATTGAACACAGAGAAGAATAAAAATCCATGAATGTGGTGATATACTCCTTGAAAACTGTCAAGTAATCTTGTGAAAGCAGCGTACCTATTCACACATACATAGAAAATCCATGAGCAAAGATTGCAATGCCTCTAAGTCTTATTGTCGCACAAACAGGAATGCCAGTCACAGTACCACAAGTCAAACTGCGCAGCATCAAACCTACGTACGTCGATAAGTGAGGAGCAAAGTTCCGAACATTTTTAGCAGAAGTAACGTAGGGAAAAACTTAGTGATGAAAGTTATTGGCTTTTCGAATCCACTTGATGAAAGAGTTAGTACAAGAAATCGCGGAGACCTTTGAGATTCCCTCGTGATACAGCAATCAATCAATCAAATCATTATTGCACCACGTGGGATCAGGTTGTTTTGTGCATCTCCCAGCTGGCTAAATTTACGTCCTTTTTACGAACGGAAAAACGTGCATGGCACTGAAAATCCATCTTTACGGAGTGTAATTAGCGCGTGGGAGGATCCCGTGCACAAGGAGAAAATGGCAGCGTGTACTATGGCCGACAGGCTCGTTAGGAATGTGAATCGTGATTTTCCTTCTTTTTAACCCCCCTGTTTATTTAATTTATTGCTCTAGCAGATATCAATCGCAAGGTCTTGAGACAAATGAAATAAAACAGCCGAAAAAAGAGCTTATTTTCTGTTTAGTTCGAAAGGGCTGTTGAACTGAATTAATTACTGCGATAAATCATGCTCGTAACTCATCTTCTACGTATTAATGAAAAGTGTCACTGCGTTTCGCTAGCGTGCCGACCGAAGAATTCACCACCACGCAAACAATACTTCTTTTGGTATCACATTCTTGGCTAAGGACGATAAACCGTGAGCTTCTCTGTACTGATTAGTAGTGGACGATAAAGAACCCACGCACTTCTCGCAAAGAGCTGGGAACGCAGTTCCCAGTGTTGTGGTCAGGCTTTGTTAATGTTCACAATTTTTTAAGATCCCCAATAAATATTTTCTGTATAGAAAGAGTGGTGCAATAAAAGAAGTAGGAGGGACGTTGTTTTTATGATGCGGTGGAGGAAAAGTTGACAAAATTGAAACGCTTTTAAAACGATGTGTAAAATTTATTTTAGACGGAGTGAATCGGCTTAAAATGAGTTTCTCATTATGGGAGTTAAAATACTTATTCAAGAACAGATAGGGTCGTCGATGCATCAGGTGAGAAAGATTTTTAGTTGCCTTTTGTCATACTTGAAGGATTATGATAAAAAAAAAAAGTTAGTCTATGAAACAGTTCACGTTGCCTAGACATTGGTTGCGCACCAAAACTGTTATTTTCAAGAACTCCCGCAATATACCGATATAGGTTGAGAGCCCCGTTTAAAGGGTGATAAACCATAGTATTTGATATACACCCTAAATAAAACGTGAGAACTTTTGCTGGGGTCTTTTGAAACCGTTTCACTTTATTGTGGGTAAAAATATATGGAAACCAAAAATAAACAAGAACGGTTTAAAACGTTATGCGCGGTGATGTTTGTGAAGATTTGCCGCTATAATAACTGGGCGACCTTCTGAGGTCGGTGGTAAACGTGATACTATTTATGGTTGAATTAGTCTTTATTCTTATCTTAAAAACCACAGATAAGAGCAGCCTTTCACTTAATTCAGTCAAATATAATTAAAGCCCTAAATATTTGGCATGCGTTCACAGATACCATTTTCACCTAAGGTGCGGTCGCGAGCACGATTTGTACTTTATAATTGCTTCGGTGGGTTTATCATGATAATATTTCTCTGGTTCATCTCAATCGTAAGGTTGAATTTAAGGAAGTCAAAGTGTTTTAAAAGCTTTTAATCGTAACCTACTTAAGCCTCAATCGGCTTTTAAATCGATCAGATTTTATCAGATAAACATCACTTAACGTAAATTTGAGATGGTGTTTTTTCTTGTTTTTGTTTTTATTTTTTCAGTCACTCTCCGTTTCTGGTCCGATCTTTTGAATTTTTTTATCCACTCTACCAGTGGAATTTATAAATCAATATAACTAGCAAGAAGGCTGCAAACCATTTCCTATTTAGTTTTCAAAATCGTAACACTGTTTCAACGATAAACGTACAGTTTTCAGCTGAAATATTTCCTGAATGTTCCAGTCTTCGAAGCGATTTCAAAGAAATGAAATCTTGAAAAAAAGAGAAAGTTGAAGAATTAAGTGTTTTTTGTTTACTTGACTGTCCATTAACCCCGTTATTTGAGACTCAATTTAATTTAAAAAAAAAACAATATGAAAAATATGTTGTACCGCACGTGCAAGTTGAGTTGGCTTGACACAATAATACCATTCCTTTTAAGGCACCGAGCAGTGCGCGGTGAAATCTTGCTGTGGCTTTGAAACTTCTTACGCTAGATTTGATTGCAAATTCGTTTTATGGCCGAGTTATTCTAAAGTATTCTCGATTGTTCGTCGTCTTACAGTGATAGTGTTTAAGGTTTTTTTTTTTTTTGTCAGAATAAGAAATCCCATTACACTGAAACAAGAAACAATTTTTGCTCGCGCAACTCACAAACAGTTCAGAGTCCATTTATGACGTCATAAACGAAACAAACAAAAAAAAAGGTGAAGTTTTACAAGTTGTTTCATGCAATTAGCGACCGCACATTCTTTCAACTCATAGAAGCTTTTTCACCCCAAAGACTGTTATCACTCCACCCTGCCTTGATTTTCACTTAGGTAAGTTCTAACTACGGGGCTGATGTTCATTCTTTTAGTTTTTGCAGTAACCGAGAAGCTCTGTTGACCATAAAAAGCTAATTGAGGTCAAACTTACTCGATCAATCAAAAACTCAGGGTTAATATCATTAAAACTCTGTGAAATATTTGACGGAATAAAGCGTTATTTTGATCAGTACAACCATGATTTTCACAAATACGTCCACAACAACGTACAAACGGTACACAAAATGAAAAAGCTACCGTTTATTTTTTTCTAGTTTTCCTAGCAACTAAGAGAACCTAAGCTGTCGCAAATTTGCATACTCATTGCGATGAAAAAGCTAATTTTGAGTATAACAAACGTTTGTTTAACAAACGCTTGTTTAACAAACGCGTAGTCACTGTCGTAAATAATCCGTAATTATTTGAAGGAATAAAACACGACAATAGTCAGCCACTGATTGACCCTTAATTCGGCGAGGTGCCTCAGTGTTGGCCCTTCCTCGAGAGCGGTTAAGTTTAAGTAGCATTTTATTCTGAAGGACATTAAAAGCTTAAAAATCCTCGAACAAAAATACATCTCATTGAGAATTCTAGTCACATACACTTGTTTATTACCTTTGTGGGAGGTGTTTTTTCCTTTTGAGAACAACGTTTCCGGAGATTTAAACATTAATTATTTGTGTAAAGTCAATTTAAATTAAATGTAGCGTTGACAAAGGAATTCTCGTTGAAGATTGTGGTTTTCGTATTCAGAGTGAGGGGCGATTTCTGGCTTTAGTGGCCTCAAACTTTCGCACATGCTGACAATTCCTTGAGGTCTTATTTACCATAAAATTTTGGCGCTGTAATACGTTTTAAGGCGATTTTGCGCATAGTTAGTAACGTAAAAAGAGCGAAGTTAGTGAAGTCCAAAGAGCACTCTTTAAATCACCCTGTTGACAGAGATGAAGTAAGAACTGACGCTCATATGGAATTTCCTGTCAGCCTTTAACTTAGAAAACAAGTTGATTAATAGACAATTACGTTTAGTCATAATGCGAGGTCAAAATACATCTCGTTTTTGTTTTGAAAAATATACTTAATTTACATTTCGTTTTGTAACATTTGCTGCATTTTTCTCGGTTTCACTTTAAACAGCATTGTTCACGTTGCGATTGTGATATTTAAGCTTTTTTCAGTGGTTTCGATAAGTTAAAATCTTGAAAATTTAATTCATAATTAAAGCAAAACCTAAAAGAAAAGTGTTTTAACCCTTCAACTCCCATGAGTGACCAAGACAGAATTTCTCCTAACAATATCAATACAATACTAAGAAGACAAGTGATGAGAATAATCACAAATATCAATTAGGGGACAATTAGTTAATTCAAGACCAAATTCTTCAAAAAAACATGAAGATTGTATGGCAGAAAGTAAGGAGAATTACTATCGAGATCTTGGGAGTAAAAGGGTTAACCACACACACATTCTGATGATTAAAATTATCTCTGCAATGTTCCTCATCGTCAATAACTGACGCTGAACGCCATCAAAGAATGATTTCAAGCGATCAGTGGAAAAAAGTCAGCTAGTGCTATCTTTCGGACGGGCCATCGACTACGTAATGAAAAAAAAAATCTGTGTGCGATGTATGGGGTTAAACTTCACCACCTGACTCGTCATCGATATAAAAAAATAAATTTCCTGTTTAAGACAATCGGCTTCATTAAACGGACCTAAGTTCAATACTGCTAAAAGGTTTTAAACTAATCTCTTGTTTCTTAGAAACAATTTTTGGTATAAAATATGGAGATCCTTTTATTAACAGTGGGACAAGTTTACAACAACTGTTTTATTCCTAGAAAACACCACTGGGATAAATTATTTTGGTTGATTTATTTCAACTTTCAGTCATCCCTGAATCATATCGCTTATGACAGCCGCAATAGAAGGGGCCCGGCGAGCTTTTCCTATGGGAGGAGAATGAAAATCCCATCTCCCCATGGTTATTACTATTAGGAATAAGAAGGAAAATGGCATGACATCTTTATGAAATAAAACCGGCTCTCCATTTCAGCTCCATCCATTTTTACTCTATCTGCGCTGAAGAAGTCTTTCGCGCACTCACTTTTTCGCTAGTTTACCTCCAAGCGAGCGTTTGGCGCAGGCAGGGGAACATACAAATGCAAAATTTCTTAGCTTGGTCTCGAATCCTATCGAACATCAATATATTTTTACCTTGCCGTGCTCTTGATAAACCCTTGACATCTTGTGTCACAATCAAAACAGTTTCTATAACCAAATCCATTTATGTGAAAAAAAAACAAACTATAATAAGGAATTTAGTGGTGTCCGGATAGATTGTGTATTAATTTCTTCTGTGTTTAATTATTACCCTCCTCCGTCCTTTTAATGAAACCTTTCATCAGGTTGTCCGTATGTGCATGGACACGTGTAGCTATGTCGTGGTCCAGCCCTATTAATGACCTAGAATGTTATCTCCTTGGGCAGATATCTTCTTTGAAAACATCAGTATTTCCCGAGTCATGAAAAGTAGCTCCATGTACCTCTTTAAAGCGCCAACACACCCTATTGAAATAAATAAATAGTTGTAGCCTGACATCACCAACCTTTTCCATATTTATTATAGTTTCTGCTTAAAAAAAAGTCAGTACCCACCCATTTTTGCCCACGGAGAGATTGTTTAGAAGGGAATTTTACCGGATGTCGATTATGAGTTATTGACTAATTCGAAGTTTCTAATGTGGTTTTGCAAGACTGCAATAGGTGCGTCTACCATCATGAACTCGAACAACAGCTGAAAATCCAGCAAATTCTCAAAACAAATATTCGTGATTCAAGATGAGTCGTTATAAGTCAACAAAATGTATCCTGTTTACGACAAATTTAAATACTCCTTAATTCTAGTAGGTTCAATTTCACCTGGATGTTTTCCATTTGATTTGTGGAAGGGTGAAGTTACGCATTGAAATTATGACTCGACAAAAACATGTTTTTTAAAAGAGTATTTTTCAGCTCTAATTGTTTCATTGCATCATTGTGACGTTTTACAATTACACAGCCCGCAACTTTAATATTTAGGCGAGAATATACGAGATAAACGTTACATCGGCATTGCCGAGAAAACGATTAGCGGTGTAGTAATCAATGAATTTTCCGCAAGATCTCTGGATTTAAAGAATCTTGCAAGCTTTCTATTCCCATTTGCTTCTAAAATTGATTATTTTGCCATGAAGAACGCTTTGTCACTTGCTTCTATTTTACAGTGTTGTAGGTTGGACAGTTTGTTATCACAGAAGGAGATGGTTATTGAACCAAATGGGTGAATAAAATTGTTTATAATGTGTTTACCGGTGGCCCTAAATTTTCAAATTGATCGATTTTTCCGTTGATACCAGCTGGGAGCCCATCCGGTTCAAATTCTAGGCACGAACGATCAGAGATGTCCAAGCGGACGTATATTCCATCTGAAAACCTTCCTTGATCGACTCCAAACACGTAATTGCGTGGGTTGAATATAAAAGTTGGTGGAGTGTCGAGTATAGAATTTTCTTTCGCGATTACTCAATTCAATGGCTTTTATGATGCCAGTTGTCCTTTTTTTCAGAAACTTTATTTTACAAAGTACGTGATGACGCGTAACTGTTTGTCAGATCTGGAGCGTGAAACTAACTATTTGCAGTGTTGTCTTCAATCAGACACTTTCTCCTTGCGAATGTCAGCATTTGTTAATTATATACCCACGGATACAGTACGTGTTCGTGATGAAGAAGTTAGGGCGAAACAGAGAAGCGTCACACAAACATTTCTCCAGCTTTTTTTCTCCAAGAACGATCTTGACGATGAGCTGTAACGTTATCTCAATGTCAAGTTTTTTTTATTGGAAAATCTAGAATGAAGAACGCCCGAGACATAAAAAGATTCTTCCTTCATTTGAACTCGATGAGGTAGAGAATTTTAATCGAGGTTTATGTAACAGTTTTGACAATGAATTGTGACGTTATCTCAATGTCAAGTTTTATTATTGGAAATTTAGGATGAAAAACGCCTGAGACTTAAAGAGGTTTTTCGTTCAGTTAAACTCGATAAGATAAAGAATCCTACTTAAGTTTTATATTAAAAAAAACGCTGCTTCTCTCGACATTCATTCATCGTGCAGTTTTTTGTTTCCGTGCGATTTTCGTTTGCACAAAATGCAAAATTTCTATACCAATTCAAAGTGCACTTTTGCGCCAAGCTTTTGTCGTTTAACACGTACTATTTTAATAGAAGTGCTTTTTATCAGTGTTTATCAAAGCAGTTGTCTTATTCTGGCCAACAACTACCTAAGTGGAGAGAATTGAATATTTCATGACATGACTGATTTCGAAATCGCACCTCGAAAACAAGAACTATTTTTTTACGTTCAGCCTGCGTGGCAAGTATTCACATCGAAGCGGCCTATTTTAAGAATATTATTTTCAGTTAATTATTTCTGTAAAATTAACATCCTCGAAGGCTAGACTTACGCACGCATCACGGCGATATTCAACCTACACAGGAGTCCTTGACAATTTGTAATAAAAGCAAGCTTGATTTATTATTTCGAATAATTGCAAATACTCAACGTGTGCATGTAAACATTGTTATCTTTTACTCGAGTTGCCCGAGTGAAGTTGTAACATCCATGAGCTAGCCAAATGGAAATTTCGTAAATTAACTCTGAAATACCGTCGCCACTTTTCCTTTTATCCGGTGGATGAAGTGAAAAGTTAATTCGTATTTATTGTTAGCAAGAAGCTTCGTAAATTGCTGTCGTTTCTTCAAACGAAAATATTTTACGTCGATACTAGGAAAACCACGTCGGCACCAATAAATGCACAGGCTTTTACGATGGGTTTCCAAAACCCATCGTAGAAGCCTGTGCATTTACAATTACGGCGATGATAGAGCAAAAAGATCCACAATGAAAGTAGCATTTAATGTTAACTTTTATTTCGGTTAATACACATCTTCTGTACACAACTTTAACTCAACGGCCGCTTTGGACCTACACATAGCGCCCACACATGTAGGCAGTTTTATTTAATCTCCCCGACTGAAATATTCAACAAGACACGTATCGAATAATTCTGTATGGCTTATCAAAAAATTCGTAAGATTTCAAATCGAGGATTAAGTGCATTCTGGAAATATCTAACAATCTTCAATTTACTTGTTTTCATTACAAAGTATGGCGTTTTTAATAACGCTGTCAATGACGATTTCAAGTCTTCATTCGCGAAGCTAAGATCATATACGCTACTTTAATTTTTCGCCGTTTTTCTTTGCTGGTTTATCCTATGTTTTTAATAAAAAAAACTCATAATGCCAGCTTCGTGGCTTAACAAACAATGTTCACTCCAAACACGTATGTGTGAACTGTAGTGGACTAAGGATAAAACTTTGCTTTATGGAAAAGATCTCAACATTTTCTCCCCATATTTCTGCTGGTTGATGTAAATGAGAACAACTTAGTTTGCTCACAGTTCGGATCCTTTGTGAGCATCGACGACAGAGAGCTCGTGCCAGCGGGAGAACAGTTTTATTTACAGCGTTCTAGAATTTGCAACTAAACTTTCAGTTTACCTGTAGTTTGATCTAACACAATTTGTTTTTTTGTGGGGTCTCGAGAAGACGTGGTTGTTGATTTCCCGATGTTTCAATAAGCTGGCAGACATCGCATATGTGTTTAATCGTGGCCCCTATGTTTTGATTTAAGCATTGATGCTTGCTTTATAAGTTAGATTTAATCAAAACGACAACCACAAATCCAACAGAAAAACCCAACAATGAACTCGTACAACTTCAAAGCTACCGTGGGAATGAATCTAGTCAATTTCGGAACAGTTACGACACGCGACGTCAAAGATGTTGCAAAGGTTTCGTTGTTTTTACTCTTCTAGCCTATTGTAAGGTAACGAACTGAATGTAAGAACGCTCAATCCATGCTCAAATGATCCATTAGCATGGCGCAAAGGTCATCAAGCGACCGTAAAATTGTTGACAACTGTATACACATCCACGTCTGTGAACAGATGCACTGGGAAATGAAACTCTCGCTGGCTGGTAGTAGTTTTAGCTGACAAGCGGATTCATGATATCTGCGTTTCACCTTTGCCGAAAGAACCCTTTATCAGTTAAACACTCTTTCACCGTAACTGTAACAAAGTTTGATGTTACATCAGTAATGAAGATCTGGTCAATCAAAGGCTTCCTCCAGCTTTCAATTGGCGTAGATTTTGTGGAGTGTTCATTCTCGCTTGGTAGGCAAGCGCGAGAAGCATATGTATTTTCCGTCATCTCCGAGACAAGCAACTCTCCGTTTCGGCGCTGTTTATTTTGCGATGGAAAACTTCTATAAAATCCATCGGAGCCACTGATGGCTGTAGCAGTCTGATTCTGGCCGCCTTCACCGCGAAAAATTTTGCCTGACTTGCTAGATTTTGCGTGGTTGCCTTTGTCAAAGTCCGCCGTAACGGAGCATGCATTGACAAAGTTCTCGCCGTTCATTTTCATTGTCATTTGTTTCAATTCCCCGTTGCTGCCAGTTTCAGCATCGCTTATGCCATCTCGACGTATCTGTGAAGCTGTTTTCGTGATTTCACGTTCTGCTGAGTCGAGATAAATCTTATCGGGAACTTTCACGGCTTCACGCCATGGTTTACCGGATGTACTACCCCAGAGAGAGCCTTTTTCATCATTACCGTTTAATCCTTCCGAATTGATCTTTAATTTCGTCTCCTGAGGGATAGCAGCTTTGCTCAGGGAGAAATCCTCCTTTACTTCTCCAGAAATCGGCCCATTCGGAAGCTCAGAGTTGGAATCATTGGTGTATTTTTCCCGAGAACTTCCCGCGTCATTAACGTTGAGTGTTGTCATTTTGTGGTTTCCCAGAGGTTTTCCTGTTTGGGTGCTCTGTAAGCGCGGTGCTGCATCCGAGCTTGATAAACTTAAATCCGGGCCAAGAACTTGATGTGGAGAATGCAAACACGCTGGCGGATTAACTTCAGTGCCATTGAATTCAAATTCGTTGCTTGCAGCATCATCACCAACAAAACTAGAATCACTGCTGTCGCTTTCATGCAAGCTTCCTCTGCAGTCTTCGTCTTCAATGCCATCCCAATCCAGTGAATTCGCATCGCCTCTCATGAGGAAATTTGGACCCTGAAATTACAAACAAGTATCGTAAATAATATTTCTACATTGGACAATGACAACTTAAAACATGCTTGATCTGGCCACAACGTTTATTTTACGATGTTTTTTGGCGCGCGAGTTGTCGCAATCGACGTTTAACGTATTTAAATTGCAATATTCTTCCATACAAAGAGACGTCAACACTAACCGTTTCGATTCTCGGCTTTTTGTTAGAAGTTGTTGCAATCCCTCGCTGCCACCTTGAGCGTTTTCCTCTTCGTCTTCGGCTAAAATTTTAAAAGATGCAAATAAAAACCAAACGCGTCATCCAGATGCGAAACTCTAAGCGCTGCATAATCAGATGGAAAGCTCTGAAATTACGACATTCTCGTTCACGCTCTGACTCTACCTGTTTTCATACGCCAAAAGCAGTCGAGCGTCAAGGATATTATCGGCCGGCTCCCAGGTGTTGTGTCTGTAAAATTCAACAAAATATTCTTATCATTCTGTAGCTGTAAAATAATTTTACTGTCGATGCAAAATTGTTCTTACTTTGCAGACCATCCCTTCCACTTCACCAAGTACTCGATTTTACCCTGTCAAAAAAACACAGGCAGAAAATTCACATTTAGGGAAGCACTTCTGGCGAAAATCAACACAAATATGATACGGTTTCGACAGCAGATTTCTTACCTTTCGGGTTCGTTTTTTCAAGATACATTCGGCAGCGAAAATGCCATCAACTGGCGGTGAATTGTCGCTGTTTTCCACCGTGGACAGTGCTTCAGCCATCTCTCCATTTACGTCCATTGCCGTCTCGGCTGGAAATTCAATATTTACTCGGCCCGAGGGAATTCGAATTTCATTCATTGTCCATCCCGTAATATTAACCAAAACAATCACGAATTACGTCATAGCACCTAGATCCTATGGGCTGCGAAATCGCTTTTTATCGCTTCCCGAAGGTGTAATTGGCCTTTCTCACTTCTCTCAAAGGCGTTAAATTAAAACATATACAGAAAACCCGCGTAGTATTGTCGTTGAGAGAGAATGGTTGAGTCTGACCACCGACTCTGTTTTAAATTGCACACTAACGCTATTTCAACGTGTTATCAAAGTTAATCTGTCCACCTGACGTCACGAAACACTTCCAAATGAGATGAAATCGGCTGACTTGGCTGAAAGCGCTGTATGAGAAAAAGAACACGTATGAAACCAAAATAGCAACATTGTGAAATCAGCTACGGGCTATTCTACTAGTTTTGAACCGGTTCTTATTATGCTGATGTACCAGTATTTGTTTCACACGTGGAGAACGTTTTAGTTTCGAACTATTGTCTTGATCATTTCCAGTTTTTCAAGGAACTTCATGCCATAGTCACCTCAAAGCTACCAGCAATGAAAATCTAAAATCTGAGAAACCCTTTCGTGTATTGTCGTCGTTTAGCGTTTCAAATTTAATCAAATCTCTTTGAAACGACGTGCGCTGTTCGTTGCATCCGTTTTCAGCCATCAAAGAATTAAGAACAGAGAGAATGCTTTCAGTAAAATCACACGATGCCTTAAAATGTCGGCAGAAATGTCTCATGTTCAACCACGTGCACAAGGTGTGAGAAGCACATGATGTGAATTTTGCAAGCTAGAGAAGCATGTTCGGTCAAATTTATTGTAAGATAAAATAGACAGCTTAGGCTTCTGGCTACGATTTCAAGGCACAGATTATATCAACTTAACTCAAGTCAATCTTTAAAGGCAAACATTCAAATTAATTCTAAAGAGAATTGACAATAAAACGTAACAGAGTTACAATTATATTTTTGATATCTTTTACCTGAGAGTTGTTTTACTTTTTTGGAAGGAAGAAGCGAAATTGTTCTTCCTTTCACACACCGAAAATTGATTGTTTAGTCATTGCGTTAATAGCGAATTGGAAACGGGAAGCGGTTGTTCATGTGAGGAAGCTTTATGAAATGTAGATACCCATTGCAAGATAAATGAAGGTGTTTAAGCTATTTTGAACTTCAAGAGAGACTAAAATAGACACTTTAAATATTGCCTGTAATTTACGCTTGTTCGCTTGCCCCGACAAGGCGTTAAAGAAATGAACCACTATACAAATATTAAACCTTAAACTTTATTATCAGACTACGAGTAAACCTTTGGTTTAGCACCAACTCTTCTCTTACTTTTCCCATGACTTTCAGAAGTTTTGTACTGTGTAAACATTTTTGTCTGAACTCCCAGCTGCTCCGGTAATTTCCGCGAAAATATTAGTCACTGATGAAATTAACTCTGGCAAAGTATGAAAAAAATACGAAAATACAATTTCGTCATACGGCGAAAGCGCTGACTTTAGTTGATGCGCGCGGAGCGTGGGCAAAAAATACAATTTCCATAAAAACAAATAATTCTTGTCACTTTTCTTAATCTGACCACTTCAATCGAAACAAGAAATTGTTCAGTTCTTATTTGCAAAAAAAATACGTGGGTTTCTTTGAGAACATCTTCGTCACAGAAGTACTGATGCCATCGTAATTGCGTAAAGAAAACTAACTGGCCCACGCTTCTTTTACAGAAATTCAAACACAGATAAAAGTGAAGTCGAAGCACATCATGAACATAACTTATTTCTAGTCGATAAATTTTTAATCTTTTTTCAGGGGAGTTAATTGAGCTACCAAGTGTCACAGAAATAGCTCCACTTCTTTGAGGGTTTAATCAGAACTAATGCCTTCGGCATTACTGTGGCATAAATAAACAGTTACTTCATTAAATTTCCTCCTTCGTTTTCATTTTTGGTCGGCTCAGTTGCCTTAGTTCAGTGAAGGTAACGACTGGACCTTAACTTCTGAACGCTCCTTAAAATTTACGATTATCATCATTTTAGCGAGGCTAAAATAAATCAGTCAAGCTCAAACTAAAAGATGTGAGTGCCATGTTACAAATTAATGGTGTACTTTTGATATCTGAGGGGGAAATTTTGAAAAGCTTTCGATCTTTCGACGTCATGCCTTCATCGGTGATTCCCGAACGCACGACAGATTTAAAAACAAAACGAAAGAAAACAAAAGTGATATTCTTACAGAATCATGTAACCTCGAGACTTCAGGGTGGAAATCACTAATGACAGAAAATGCTACCTTAGATGGCAGCCTACGGAAACTCTTAAAGATCGCGTAGACATGAAGTTTTGTAGACTCATAATCCGTTTACGAAACGTCAATGTTATGAAATCAGACCGAGTACATTCGGGCCAACTTGAGAGGATATTACATGTTTCTCTTTCCAAGCCGTCATTATTTTCTATAGGAGTCTATTTTTCATCACATTCTTGAAACAGTCACGTTTCGAGACTTTTGGCTGAAAAGGTTGAAAAAAGACCATGTTGCTTTTTTTATTTTTAAAAATTAAAATATATTTATTGGCGTTGGATACATCGGGGTAATTATGGCGAGGGAAGAAAATAATTATTTTGCACAAATGACAGTCACAAGTGGTTGACGTGAAAGAATGATATGAATTGAAGGTCCTTGGGAAAAAATCAACGAAAGCAGAATAGGAAAGCGTAGGAGATGGCCGGAGAATCCTGGTGGGGGAGAAATTGGCAATGATCAAAACTTAGCTCAAGATGCCTAAAGCGCTTCTGGAAATGATCGCGAATTTTTCCCTCTTCCCCATGATTCTTTCGATTTGTGAGGAACACAGAGCGGTCATTCAGCGGTGTTATTGGTGAACAGGGGAATATGTCTTACGTACTATTATTAGCAGCCGAAACACGAGCATTTCCAGATTGTGTATCCTTTAAGGGAAGAGAAGGTTTTCAAAATTTATGCCATCTTTATGACTCTCTGACGAAGAAGGAAGAGCTAAGTGTACAAATATAGAAACGCCTGCATCATATCTGACAGCTCTTGACATGTCATGAATAAGCTCGCATGAGAAGATTTCTAATATTGGATAATGCAACAAATGCTGCATGTGACTCGAAATTAAAAGTAGAGAATTCTGACGTACGCAAACGGGAAGAAAGTGTGTCTTTTGGCTTTTTGTTTGATTAATTTTTGTTACTTAACTACTTTTGTGTGGGTTTCAAAACACCTGTTTTGATCATCTTAAACTTCCTCAGAGGAAAAAAGGAGGAAAGGAGATAGAACAAACAAGCTTATGTCCAAAAATTAGCAGCAATAATTGTTTTCTTGCAATTTCCTGCGCACGTTTAGAGCCTTATCGCATCTGGTGGTAGTACGGAGTCTGATGGGTTCGACTTCCGCAGGAAACAGGACGTTGTGTATGGACACCGGGCATATTTTCTCGAACATTCTGAATTCATGGATTTTGCCTTTTGCATGTAAAATAGTTTTTCAAAATTACTCGAGAAAAAAAATATTTTACGCCATTTGGATGGTAAGGGACTCGGCGAATTTTTATAAAAGCGACTTAGCAAGCGTCAACTAGCCAGCTACAGTGGGAGAGATTCAGTTTGGCAATCATCGCCAAATCTTTGAAGGAGCTCTCTTGACCAAGAAATAATTTCTCCTTACAGGATCAATTCACTGTCTAACAGACAGGTGATAATGAGATGAAAGGAAAAACATAATATGGAAGAAATTGAATCACCACTGAGTTCGTCAGTAAAAGAAACATACATGAGAAGCGTATAGAAGATAGTAAAGAAAACTTGGAAGTTTAATTGTTTTCTTCCTCGAAACCTCCTTCAAATTGATTGAGGCTAAATTGTTTTGAGCGTAGATGATCTAAACGGGAGGCAATGATTAATCATAAAGAAACAATGATGGAGAAAATTACAGAGGACTCAACAAGACGAACTTTAATAGAATTGGCGAAATTTTTTTTTCGAGATCAGCACTGATCAAAATTGTGATCCGACAGCACTCTGATAATATGAACAGAAATAAGAGAAGAGAAAAATTATACATCAATTATACATTTTTTTTTTTTTTTTTTTTAGATATGAAAGCATAAAAATTCAGTACATTCAGTTCCATAAATTCGTATTGCATAATTAACCGAAAATGTCTTTGTCTCTTCATGCTGAATGGTAGATTTGACGCAGACACAATGAAGCTGAATCATATCGCTGTATAATACGATTAACTGCCATTCTGACACAAATAAGCAAAAAGGATGCATTAGTTATATTTTACGAAGACAAATTTTTCACCGGCTTCTCGAAAAATTGCAATTTGAAAGACTATCAAGTGTTAACGAAGAAATTGTGTTTCGGTACTCGAGCTATGAAAATGCACTTTTAAATATGAACAAAATACGATGCACTGTAGTGTAACATTGGGACAAAATATCAAAAAGCTGTATTCAAGTTGAATAAAAACAAGTCGCAGAATGATTATCGCTGATGGAAAAGTTGATTAACATAAAAGTATACTTTGAATTTATTAATAAGGAATTTAATACTGTCTGAGATGATGTTAGAAAGAATCAAAATTAGCAGCATCAGACATCTGTTCTCTTTGAGCAGCAGGAATTTATAACAATCTCTCTTTTTTTTTTGACTGATGTTAGTAATTATTTTGAAGAACGAAAAATAAAGCTTTTACTTAAATTTTATACAAAAATATCAAGAAATCTAGGTGGTAACTTTTAAAATTAAGGTGCCACACTTTTGGATTTTTAGCAACGTTTTGGCATTCCAATAAGCAACTTTGCAGCGTTTTATGAAGACAATCGGGACAGGCCTAGTGGTGTGAGTTTGAATGACAAAGCACTGTAACCCCGCATTGCTCACGAGACTCCGTTAAAAATTGCCTTACCCTTATTACATTCAAGCGAGCATACTTTTTCTTGACATCTTGTTCCAAGTCAAGAGCCAAGAGATTATTTATAAACCAGTTTATAGTCTTTTGCAAGAACTGATACGCTAAGTTGAAGTATGTAGAGACACCTGCTTGGGGAACGTGCTTCCCTTATGAAATTCGAACAACTCACTAATGCGGGCATTGCAACATGGAAAACTTCTCACTATATGTACGAAATGTTTTGCCAAAAACCAACACCTACCAGCAGGAAAGGTTAACGACCTGGATCTTTGTTTGTCAGTCCACTCAAGCGAAAACGTTTTGTTAAACGTTGCGTCTACATATGAGATTAGACTACCATTCCCTTCCTAGGTTCTATCAGCAAGGAGCGAAATAAAACGCGTGTTTAACATATGAATGAGAAAGAGTGATATAACCTGCCCTGCCTTCATCTCTTTTCTCGCTCTCCTGTTATTCATTAAAAAGAGCTTCCATCGAGGAAAAGGGCATTGTGAGAGTTAATAGCCTCTCCGAAAAAAAAACAAAAATAACTAAGAGAGCATAAAGATTTGAACACAGCTCGACCTGGAGATTTGACAGCAAAGAGAGATCGATAAGAATGCTACTATTACACAAAACCTTGTCAACTTATCAACTGAGTTTTGTGCAAATGTGAATTTGATGCTATCTGTTATATTTCAATAACTATCACTTTCTCAATTCGTTCAGTGATTAAATATGATATTTACTGCTTAAAAATCTTATCGTCTCTCACTTGAAACCACATAGAGATAGTCTAAACATACGGGAGTTATACATCGAGCTATAAAATGATTGTTGCACACGCCAAGAACTGTTATTTCTCATACACAACTATTGTTTTTTAAATCAACCGTGATACTCGTTCTAGATGTAATCAGTGTTCCCTATGTAATGACGGCCAAGTTTAGGTCGGATTCATGCTGGTTTAAGCTACCAACTGTTCTTCTCATAGACAAGCATTGTGGGCAGCATTTGCATCACTCAATATTTTGCTCTCAATAAAGTCAGTACTCTCTATGCGGGTCCGCTCATCCTAAAAAGCCCCACAAACTGTATGATAAAAGGTGGGAATAATGAAAAAGCTAATACTGCTGATCAAGAGGTTGTCGTGTCGGCCCATATTCTGCATCCAATCAGTGCAATAGAAAGAGCTCAGAAAAGTGCTTCAGATATCTGTGTCTTGTGAATGATAATGATAAATTTCATTTCATTTCATTTGTAAGAAGGTGAACTGTTTGTGTGTTGAAGCACCAGTTCACTGTCTGTGTAAAACTTTATGTTCCACCTCTAGAGAAATCAGACACATTTGTGCGGTGTTTTTTTTTTCGTGTACAGTCGTGAAAAAAAAAAAAAAAAAAAAAAGTTGACGCCTTGTAAAGAAGTCTTGAGCGTTTTAGATTGAACCTGGAATTTGTCAATTTAAAAAAATATATATAAAGCCCAGAGTCCTCAGGCGGACCTTTTGATGTTAATTTTTGAATCGCTAATAGACGTCAGATATTTGGCGCACACTTAATAATGTCACTTGAAAGAACATCTTGCCGGCGTGATCAAGCACGAACCTTTTGAAATTTTTGTTTTTTCTGCTTGTTGTTTTCCTTGCAAACATGAAATATAAACAAGTGCACATTTATGTGTTATTTACATTTTTTCGTGCGCTGTCTGAAGGACTGAAACATGTGCGTGATCAATTGAAGAAATGACAAGGTGAAAATGCTCAGGAAATGTTTTGACGCATACAAATCAGTGCCCTGAAATGAGTGTAAATATTTATGAAAGGGATTTGTTGATTTATGGTGTGCCATCTTAATACATAAGAGGATAACATTACAGTTCAAATATTAGTCGCCAAACAAACCTACAATGATGTCGAAAAAACCTGAAATTCTGAGTTGCTCGAGATCATGTCGAGGTCCTACCATCAGGTGTGCATTAGACTGTGATAAGTGAAAATAATGTCCCATTGTTTTCTCTTACTCTAAGTATTAAGAATATTTCTGAAAAAATAAATCAATAGGATACAAGTTAAAAAAGAAACGGTGTGTGTGTGTGTGTGTGTGTGGGGGGGGGGGGGGTGGGTGGAAGGGAAGAGAAAGGAAGAGAGAAAAAGGTTCTTGTACTTCCCCCTCCCCCTCCCCTCCCTTTCTGGATCACCCTCCATGAAGCTTATGAAAGTCCACCACTCTAAAACGGTCCCAACCTTATTCGAAGCTGTTCTCTGCGATATCGCGAAACGCTTATAATTAATATGTCCCTTGGTTGCTAGTTCATGCGCCAGAACAACAGTGTAAGTCTCAACTGGATGGTTAAAACAATATTAACAGCGACAACAACAAAAAAGTGAATCAAACATAAATTTGGAAAGACGTTACCATTTAAAAAACTCTCAGAAAACTTGCACGATTTTGTTTTTACTTGAACCTTCTGAAAAGAAATTGCGACTCTCGTGATCTAGTCATCATGATGGATTACGTCTTAAATCTAATCTAATGATTTCCGCCCGCCAAAACTACCGGAGGGCATTTGTTCTCTTATTGTATATATGTGTTATTAGAGATTATTATCTATTTTGCCAGCACATACGTTCTTACTCAAAATGAGGGGCAAAGTAGCCTTAGGAAGTTAACAGGACTTATTGTAGACAAAAGTTACACAATGTGATATTCCATACATCTTCATCATCGAAGAAATAGTGTTTTGGGAAAAGAGTCCCGATATTAAAAGAGGGCCTCGATGAGGTGAGAGCTAGTATGACTAACGGTGGGATTTTGGCCCTTTTACTACGGCTAAAGGTTAATTTCTTTCTATTGTTTTGAAAAGGAAAATTTTTACAGTTAATTTTTTTGCAGTCTTACGGCTGACGGGTAGCCCCATTGGGAACCTCCTGAAATTGTTGAAGCCGGATTGTCGCGAGCGTGATCGTCCGGTGAAATCACTCTAAAAAAGGGACTGTTATCAGGCGATAACTGGGACTGACGAATCGTCACCTGTGCGGAAGTCATTATCTTAGTCAAGTGGAGCTTACGAACTCAAAGTAAGCAGTTCCTTAATTACCGCCTGAGTGTTCAGCGCTCCACTTCAGTAAGTCCAGTAAGATTAAAGCTTTAGCCCTTCGTCAGAGCGATTGGAAGTTGACGATTGACGCTCAGACTAACGCTCGAAACTCCAGCTTTTAAACTTTCTACGGAGGTCAATTTACTTTATCAACTCAGTCGATAATATTAAATTACCCTGTTATACTCTCCCACCGACGCAGCACCACAGTTTTTTAGAAAATTACCCCCTTTATTCATGTTATAGATGTATTAAAGCTAATATGAGATCATTAATGCACTTGTACTTTAAGGATAAGTTTAATCCTTACGGCGCCATTAACTAAAATAAATTTTAATCTTTGGCTTATCCACATATCCCATAAGCTTCTTTTACGCAGAAAAGAATAGTTAATCTGCTTATGTTTTCAGATAGGTCGAGACAAGAACATTATTCTTCACGTAGACCTTACAATGTGGGTCAGCTTACGCTTACTTGGAAGATGGGAAGAAAATTGTACGAGGTGCAGGATACGAAAAAAAGTGGACTGTAGTCCTTCTTTTTAAACGTACCTTTGGCCAGAATTAAAAAGGAGAGGGCGTCATAACTGCTACACACTATGTTACTATTATTGCTCTATTGCCATATCAAAATTAACGAGTAGTGAAGGAAATCAAATTCTATTTCAAATTTACATTTTGTCACTTGAAATGTTGAAGTTGTGATATTTTTTTTAAGAATAAAAACATCCTATTTTAGTTAAAAACACTCGCACAAACTTTTCCATTTTCTTTTCCTTTCAGTGATATTTAAACACGCTTTGGATTTCCTGTACATCGCCTTTTCCTCGTTTTCACCTGTAACCACTTTTATCACCTCATATATTCAACCTAATCTGTCTTTTGAACACAGGAAGCATTCGTATTCGGTCGACGTTTTGCGGCGGCAACCAGACTGTCCTTCGCTAGCTAATCACCATCTTTATCAACTGTCCATTTGATTCACGTAATCTGAGTTTCACTCAGCTAACATGTAGTGGACCATTATCCAGAATAGTACGGACTTCTTATAGAGAAAAACTGAGAAAAAATTTAGTTGAAAGAAACACACGCGGTGGTCATCGACGAATGCGTGGGAAGCAAATTCAAACTTGTTATCACGCGATCGAAACCGCCAGCTAAGAAAGGGATATCGATCAATTTAATAGGATTACACAAAGACGCTTTTTTCCTTTTTTCAACAAAAGTTCGCAGGGGCTAGTTTCCGTACGTCGGAATATCTCAAATGATTAGGAACTCAACGTTTCCCGACCGTATTGTAGAAATTTTAGAAGTCATAGACATCTTGATCTTTTGAGCTGGTCGAGGTCCAATCGGAAGCATTCAGGATTATGCGATGGTCAAGATAACCGACGATGACTTCGATGACACGTCGGCGATCGTTTGCACCGGCTCGACTGCCTAGCTACAGTCCCGCGAGATTAAGAACCTGGTGCATGGGGCTGCTATCCCTTCCCCCCTAGCCTACCCCAGGATCTCATATCACCAGTCACTGTGTGCTATCAATATTATCCTCAGCTTTACTGCACCTTTCATTGACAGGCAAACTCATGATCAAACCGTGGGATATCGATCATTGAAACTACGCTTTAATCGTCGTCTACACAAGCAATCGTAAGGACATTTTGCTTGCGTCACGATAAAATTGACTTGATTCCCCCTCTCCCCCCCCCCATGAAGCTCTGTAACATCCTGATGATCAAAAGGATCAAAACCATTTGTTCCCAACCGCCCCACCCCCTCGATGATAACTAAATACTGGTCCTTTATAAGACTAAGACAGTATTAAGTTAGTACAACGATCCAAGATTTTGATGTCTCTTTTTTAATGTATGAATCAGAGATTTCATTTATTTACAATCCTAACTATTTTCAATAGTTACGCTATCCTTGGTCAAGAAATAAGCCTTGAAACTCAAGTTACATCCATCAAAACTAGGGTATAAATTAGTTTATATAAAAATAAAAAGCTCTAGCCTGGTCTTGAAAAAAGTAGTTTCCTTCCAAGCAGATGATTCTAATTTAAACAATACGACATGAGCCAAACCTTTCTCCGCGCATGCTTTAAATGTTGTTAAAAATATATATCAAAAGTACATCTCCTTATTAAATATGAAAATATGTTACCAGTATTTTTAATACCTACAATGAACTCTACAGTTATCCCTAACTGGCGGTAAAAAGTTGTTATATACCTTAGCAGACTCACGTGCTGCTCATGAAATAACAGCACTTACTTCATTTTTTTTTCTAACTTATGTAAAAAACATGTGAAAAGGTGCTCATATAATTCAATATCACATAGCGTTTTTCGTAATTATCCTGGTTCCATTCTTTAGACACTTTATGTTTAATTGTTTAGATTGCTAAAAATGTTGTTCTATATAGATGAAAATGAAAACTTCCAAAAACAGTCACAGACCTCTTAGCAAGTCTAAGCTCTGCCAGACAATGAAACGATCAAAACAGCAAACATATCTGACATGAACTTGGGCCTAGACCGTGAGTTCAATGTTATTTATCCCACTAGATATTATTTCCATTTTTCATCTGCTATCTAACAACATTCACATTGCCGCCTGTTTCTTTGTTTCGCGCATAAACCTTTTAATTGTCCCAACACTCGGGACGAAATCGTACATTGGATGTAAAAAAATCTTCCAAACATACTTCGCGTAAGATTAAGACTAAAGTGAGTTATACTTCTCTGTTTCACAGAGAGGCCTATTTTAAAGACTCTGTTTCTCCGTGGAGCATTTTGCCGAGATCTCAGCTTCATAAAATTTTCTGCTCCATAGAGACGACTTCGGTACTACTATACAATATAACCCTCTTAAGGATTAAGGGTCGATTGACTATAGAATTCATTAAGTAATCAGCTCAACAGAATCTGTGTAATCAAACCAACACTATGAGCCAATCAAAAAGGGAACACATGCTGCCTGCGCCAAAAGCGAAGAAAACGAATTATTCAATCGAAACGCATGGCTTTTGCGGGCTGCTGTGAATGGAGACGAGCCGGCGAAAGTCAGCAGAGTTCCAAATAAGATTCTACGTACAGTTTTACCTTAACTTGCCCCGAGTTTTTCCTCGGATTCCTTTGAACAAACTGTAAAGATATTCTGATACCTACAAAATTTTGTTCCTGTTTTCGAGCCGAAATAAGATGCTGAAAATCCCTACTGTACTAAGTGGCAAGTGTACTACAATATCAAATAATTTAGCAGCATGAGTCCTTTAAAAAACTGTTTTACTCTTCCTCTGTAGAATCGAGCGTCTGCAGAAACTCCCGCAGTTGCTCAAAGGCGGAACGTTTCTTCTCTGGGAAAACTTCGTCCTCGCAATCTTTTCCATTCGTTTTCTCATAATCTGCTTCGTTGTCTCCCTCTTCCATCTTTGCTTCTTCCAACAGTCGTTTTATCTCTTCGATGGCGAGCGACTCATCCGTCAGGGGAGGCAGTGGCGGGGGTACATCATCGACGGGCGACTGAGAATCAAGCTCGTCCCCAGAATCTGGGCTTTCTGAAATGATGGAAAGACCACGTATTGATGATGGCTTTTGTTTTCTGTTAATTTTCGGGAGGCTGTAAAGGTCAGTTACGTCAGAATTAGAACTCTCTTCTCCTTCTTTGCACTCTTTACTCGAAGGCTTGTCATCCGTCACCTTTGGGGCTGATCGTCCAACATCCCCCGTATCTCGAACCACGTCATAAAGCTCGCTACCGTCCTGTTCTCCCGGCGTAGAACCGCGCAATTCTGTATTTTCGGTCTGTTTTTGATGAGCGCTTTCAGTAACAGTTTTCGAAGGCGACGATCTCCCTGCGGCTTGGACCATTTCGTAAGTGGGAGGGGCGGACTTTGACGGTGGCCTCGATCCAACTAACTCATACGTTGCACCATCGCTTGAATCTTTCTTAGCTTTGGGAAGTGTCGATGCACCAACTAAGCTGTACGCGTCTTCCCCCTGACTTGGATTGACCTCAGTGGGAACTCCAACACTAGAGTACAAGGCATCAGTAGCATCATCTTCGTCAAAACTCAAGTTACTGCTACCGCTGCTTAAAGCGCTGAAGCTTCTATTTGGCCGGCTTTTGACTTCTTCATACTGTGAGTCTACGGAACTTTGACTGCTGCAATAGCAGAGTGGGACAATTCTCAGTTAACCGTTTACACCCTAACATCAGTATCTATATTCTCCAAACTCTAATCTATAAATTTCTTCTGGTAATAACAAAGAGAATTGGTTTAATAATCAAAGCTTCTAAAGATGGCGATCATTTCCTTTATTCTTATAATCAGGATGACTAACTTAGCAGTATTACTGTAAGGAGAAATTAGATGCTGGTCACTCTTACGGTTTAAAGGGTTAATAATCAAGGATTTATCGTTCAATTAGCCCAGACACGAGCCACCCGTCAGAAGAAAACTGTCAGCAATTGGTATTCCTTTACAAGTGGTTTCTCGAATGAAATAAATAGCATAAATTCCAGCTTGAAAAAAAAAAATTCACTTTAACGGGGCTTGAGCTTATGCCAGCAAAATTCCGCTTTGCTTCCAAGATTAAACTTAAGAGGCGCACGTTGAAAGCGACTTAAATAACGTTTCATGTAATCGATTTCATGCACAATTCGCGATCACCAACTTTAAAGCTGCGCCTTGAGATAAACCCGACGGACATAATCCTGTTTGTTTGAGAGGATGAGATGAGGTTTCTGAACCAATTAAAGAACAAAGACGAGACAAACTAATGTCATCCCAGATTACTTTCAAAACTCGACTTTGAACTCACAGTTCAAAATCTAACTCTCTTACCTGATAGTGTTCCTGCGCATATCAAAGGATTTCAGCTGCATGGCTTGCCTCAGTACACTTACCCAGTCGTTGAACAACTCAGGTGTTGGAGCGGACTGAAAGAGCAAGAAACCTTAAATCGAAAAATAACTCTCAGCAGATCATGGCTTCTGGCTGGCTTAACACTTAACCTCTCCTTAAACGTTTACTCTTATCATAATTTACAATGTTAAAAAAAAAGGAGTTTTAAGTGGTTATTACTTGCATTTACGACCTTTCACATGATGAAGTAGGCGGGTTTACGCGACATTTATCCGGAAATGTGATTGTGGTTTATCGAGTAAAGGGTTGTTGTCTGATAAATGTACACCTTGCGGTTACAAATACGCCTGCAGTTGTACCTAAACTTGACCGCCATATGGAGAAGCAAATTCAAGGGACAACAAAACACTTCATTTGCGCATAACGAGTAAGGTAACACAAGCATTGTGCGTTAGTTTATTGCTTTCTTGCGCACATGGCACTATTTGACTGCCTTACAGCAGAGTTCAAATGGGGGCAGACAAGACGGCTTCAACCCTTTCACACCCTGACATCAGTATGCATATTCTCCATACTGTTCTCTATACATTTCCTAAGGTGCTGACAAGGAGAATTTGTTTAACAATCAAGAGCTTCTTTAGGTGATGATCATTTCCATTATACTTTGGACCTTAATGTTTGACTCAAGGGTGATATTGTAAGGAGAAATTAGATGCTGGTCACACTTAAGGTTCAAAGGAACATTGGCATTTGCTACATCTGTACAGTAAAAGTAAAGGCACAAGATATGAAGGCATACGGCCACTCCACGAAATTTCCATCGTGCAGTTGAAGGCGATCAGACAGACGATACAAGCACACCTGAGGGCATGATACTCTAGAGGGGTGACATCGTCAATTGACAAAATAGTTGCTGCTGCAGCAAGCTCTGGGGGAGGGAGGGGTGGATAAGGAGGCCTGGGAGCAGTAGCTTACATGTAGCTGTACCCTCCCCCCCTGCCAAGGTGAAACAGAGGCAAGTTTTACCTTAGAGGGGGGGTAAGGCTACACGTAGACTATGGGCAGAGGAGGAGAGCTTTTCACTTAAGTATGTTATTGAGGTGAATGGCATGACATTTCAGCAGTACTTACAAATGTGTACGTCCTGCTCTTGGTGATAATCTGAAAGCCATTGTGGACTATCTTTACTGGGTTAACTGCCTTGACCTAATGATAACAGATGTAAGATAAATTAATTATACTTGTATTTAGATAACTCTTAATTTGGCCAAAAACTGTCATTAAGTATGTCATGTGATATAGCACTTTCCTTATTAACCTATTACAATGGTTATCCCAGAAATGGAGGTGAATTGTGAAGGAATGATTTTTTTGCACAGTAATACATCAAATCAAAATGAAATTTTAGTGTTATGAATAAATCAAGGAATTGATTGATTGAAGATGTAGAAATGGAGTTTTAGTTATATTGAAGTATCTGTCTTCTGTTATATCACATGTGTACTTCCAACATGATCTTCCCCAGTTGATAAAAAAACATTACCTGGCCAAAATCAATGGTTCCAAGGTAATTTTCTTCCTGTAAAAAGAAAAGGATTCATAAATTCTAAATATCCATATTCATCACTGACTGTTTAATGAACATGACTGACAAGTAGCTCAAAAGAAAGTCTTGATCTATGGTATTTTATAAAAGGCATACATGTCTATCTAGTAAACAGAATTCTGTTGCAAAATTCAATCTTGCTCCCTTTATCTTACTGTTTTCTCAGCAGCTTTGTAATATTTCAACTCCTGTCCATCTAGTGTGAACCATCTCTTTCTAAAGCCCTAAAAATATTGTGGCACAAAATATAATAATTACTAGACCAAATCATCATTCATTTAATTTCACCAACATAAAACTTGCATGTGACATATCAATGCACATGTAGAACAAGAATAACAATAAATTTACCATGTTTTTAATATATTTGAACTCATAAAACTTTACCCTTTTAACCCTAAAAGTGACTAGCATTTAATTTCTTCTTACAGTATCAACCCCAAATCACTGCATTGAGGTCTGGAGAATAGAGGAAATGATCATCAACTAAAAAAAGCTCTTGATTGTTCAACAAATTCTCCTTGTCAGTACTTTGGGAAATGTATAGAAAACACTATTAAGAATATATACTGATGTTATGATGTAAAGCTTAAAACAATGCTGATCCTACGCATATGCAAACTTTAAAGCCACATGAGTCAACTTATATTTCAAGTTTTTTTTTTTTTTGATGAAGAGAAAAACCCATGAGGTTTGCAGGTTAGAACCACCAAAAAACTCACATAGGGCATCTGTTTTACTGAGGCCCAGTTTCAGGGGTGGGAGCCAAGCTCTCTGCTCCACTAGAAAGCAATCCCCTGCCCCCTAATGCATAACAAACCTCAGAATGAGGCTGTTTAACCCCTTAACTCCCAAGAGCTAATTATTGATTCACCCCTCTGGCTGCTTCATTTCCAAGTAAATAAGTTGCAAGAATTTTGTTTTTAGATCAAGATGACACCTTCTATCTGATACATGTAAGCTTGAGTTTTCTCATTACCTGTTTGCTAGATCATGTGGAGATATTATGGGGAGAAGTAACATGTTAAATTCAATTCTGGGAATTAAAAGGGTTGAGATACATTTATGAACAATACAAGACTGAAACATTTTGCATACTGCACAAGTAACTTATGATTTAGAAGGTTCCACAGTGATCACAGCACAGAACTAATTGTGGGGTACACTGTACTTCTGGCCAAAATTCAATGAAACAAAGGCACCTACAAGGATCCTATTATTTAAGTGAAACATACCTGTGGGGTGCAAAATCAACTATTTACCTTTGAGTTATAGTTGCAACACATAGGAAAAATAAAATATGCATTTCCCCCACATAGGAATGGCCAATACTGAAAACTTAAAGAGGGTTAACTCATCTCTACAAACCACAAGGCTATCATTAGCACACGCACTCCTGGAAACAAGACAAATTTCCCACTCACCCAATCTAGAAAGGATGTTACTCAGGAAAATATGACACATTCAAAGTACAAGCAGTATAATCCACTTTCCTTCCCTTCTTTATCACCTATTTCACAGCAACATCTCCCCACAAAGTGACAGTTGCATAAATGATGAGGATAACATTTACTTTCTATCTACTTATTCCTGAAAAGATCAAAATTTGCCTTTATTTCTCAGCCAGAAAATTTGCCTTCTGCACAGGAGCCCAACAGGAGATTAAATTTTCTGTATCCAGGAGACTCTCCAAGATAATCCACCAGGAGAGTTACAGTAGAATGTATCCATGGTTACTCAGCTAGCAGTGAATACTTAGCTGGTGGCAAGTCTGGTTTTACAAACCCTCTTCATCCTAACATCAGCATGCAAATTCTCCATACAATTCTCTTCACATTACATGAGATACTCATATATAGATATAGGAGAATTTGTTTAACAAACTTCCAAGAGCTTCTTTAGTCAATGTTCATTTTGTTTATTCTTTCAACCCTTATGTTTGATTCAGGGGTGAAACTGTAATGAGAAATTAGATGCTAGTCACTCCTAAGGGTTAAAGCATCTTAACTATACCTGAGCTCGATTGTTGCCATTTTAGCATTATCCTATTTTGATATCATTACTCTCAAGAGAAGAAAGGATTAATCGGTGGTTATCACACTTGCTTTCATGGTAACCAATTACAAACGGAGGTGTTATTTTACAGAAATGTTCGCTTTAGCATTCCTGGTTGTAATAATTCTCACACATACGACTCGAGTCTATTTTACCAAAAGTTGCACAGAAACATCAAAGATCGATATCACTTAGGGGGCCAGATTGATTATGAAACTGAGCGGAAGTCAACACCACGCTTATGTTAGTGTGATTCAAATAGCTCTCTTTAATCAGTAGTTTTTATTTTCTTTTTTGACGAAGAAATCTCAAGAAGGATAAGCAAATGAACCAGAAACTTAGTCAATGTCCTTTTCAGCAAAGCGCTGAATTCAAAACTGCTTCAACCAACTTTCGTTTTCGACGGAAATCTAAAACTAATGGGTACTATTCAATCCTTTTGGAAGTCAAGTGAGTGTGATAATTGTGAATAAATGAGAATTATTACTGGTGAAAGATATAAAAAAGTTTTAGATGCGTGATGAACAGATAAACAACAGCGACCTCCCGCTGAAATTTCACAATTTCCTTGTTGGCTGAGCTTTCCTACATCAGAGTAAGCTTACATGTAAATCAAGCTAATCTAACCAAGATCTCGAACACTGTTTTCGTTAGGAAAATCGCCTTCCTCTTTTCTTTTATATCGTAATCATGTTTCATAACGCTTAAAATCATAGTGCAGGCTTCATAAGATCGCAAATCGAGCTATTTAAAAATCTGCAAGCTTAAAATTCCGACACATACCTCAAAGAATCTTCTACCAGCTTTGTCGAGAACTCCCTCGAAGTGAAGTCGTGTTTCAGTCGCCTCACCAGACATATTTGACCCAACTTCCTTAATCCACGGCTAAGTCATGAAGTCTTTGAGTCTCAGTCTCGAAACTATCCCGATGACATTACGCTTAGCTCGCAGAACTTCCCGAAATTTATTGACCCGGAACTACTAAATTTGAATATTAATGTTTTCCACTACGGTATTCGGTTGCGCATTTCACTTACCGAGGGTTCACGAAGATTGGGCGACAGTTTCCGAACCCACGTGGCGGAGGCAGTTGACAGAGGCTGCGCACCGTCACCTTTCTGAAGAGTTTACAAAGAGGAGGGAAAATTTAGTTGTTAGAATGGGAGGTTCGGACAGTAAACTAAATTTCAGGAAAGCCGTCGTTCAGCTGACAACAAAAAAGACGGTGAGCAAAGTGATGAAGATGTATTCTCAGCTGTCTTTTTCGAGATCTTTGGCGGAGGGTTTTGTGGGACTGAACCGGTTGTTAGTCAATGTTCACCTGATAAACTCACCAAAGTCAATTTTGTCGATCGTTTCAGGCTGTCGAAGCGACAGATGACACCTTTTGGGATCAGTTTTGGTCTGAGTCGTCGGCGACTATCAGTGACGTTTTTACTTTGATTCCTGCCTCGGAAATCAGAGCTTTACGAGACGAGAATCCCTCAAATTTGGCGACGCTTTGCTACAAGGTGAGTGTATGTCTTGACACTCATCAAACTCTTCGTGTTATGAGTGAATTTCAAGTTGTCCAAGAAATCGATATGGCCAGTTTTCGTCTTGATTTCCTTGCTTTCTAATTATTTTGATGGCCTTTGTCTTAATTTACAATACAACAGTAAGCGAAGCCATGAGTTTTGTTGGAGCATGACAGACTAGTTTGCAATTACCAATGTTTTATAATTTCATTAACAACAAACACGAATATTTTTGTTCTCTATAGTTTAGACATGATCGCGAAGAGGTCTGTGTTTTCAGTCGACTAAAATTCAACCATGTTTAATTTCTTACCAAGCAAGGAAGATTCTTCATAAATCGAGTAAATTATCGAAAGGCCCTAGAAGTGTTTACAAGATATCGAAGGTGACCTTGAGTGTCTAAATCTTCATCTATGATCTTCTGACGTTCATGCTCGCAATTTTTGGTTTCAAAATAAACGTTCGAAGCACTTGTCACTAGTGCTATTACTTTAAGCGATAAATTTCTTTCTTCTCGCCTATCGCAGAGGGGAGCAGATATATTTTTTAAGTGATCTTTTGAAGTATATCTATGAATTATTTACGCCAACGATTTCGTCTGTTTTATAAAATCTTATTATCTTTATTTTCCATTTGATTGTATACAATCAAATGCCAAAAGACCCAGGGTACCCATAGAATCATTTCTCTCACATTCCAGTATTTTGCTGCTGTAAAAAATGAAAAACAAAATGATCAGGCAGCATTCATGGTGTAACTTTGTGAGATAAATTAAATTTTTTCCAACTATGTCAAAAAATTGAATAAATTTAGTTATCACTTATTTTGCGGCAAAACTTATGCATAAATTGCGCCTAGAGTCCTTTATGGTTAACCAAACCTCAGGCATAACTTATCATGTCTTTTAAGGACAAAATCTGTCCTTAGTAATCCTCATGCTATTTTCAGGAAGTATTGACAAATATTGTTTACATATTGATGTCATTTTTAATTTGTATAAACAATTTCAAATTACTGTGGCCTAGACTTCCCAATGGTGCTAATAAACAGATGTTGCATGTACATGTAGGAAAAAAGGCATATTTTTAATTTAACATACAAACAACAAGTCTTAAAAGGATTTGTCATGGTGATAATTTGCTAATCAACTAGAGATATATGTCTGTGCTCCAATTTGAAGCAATATATTCATTATGCAGTTAGCTGAGTGAAAAATGTTATTATTGGTTTTTGCATTGGTTGCAAGACAACTTTTTTTTAATGTTACCCTGCACTTGTTTATTTCTATGTATAGTGTGTCGAGAAGCTTCATAATGCCACTTTGACTGGTTGTTCCAACCCTTCTGAACAACTTTCTAGTAAGTTTTTATTTTTATTGATTTGTTTCAAATTTCTTGAAAGATAAAGTCATAATTACAGCTGTAGTTTAATCCCTTGGCCTCTTAGAGGGACTTGATCTAATTTCTTCCTACAATACCAACATCAAATCAAACATGTCATGAGAATAAAGGAAATGATCACCAACTACAGAATTTCTTTGTGGTGAAACTAATTCTCCTTGTCAGCACCTTAGGAAATGTATAGAGAACAGTATGGAGAATATGCATACTGATGTTAGGGTGTAAATTGAGGGTTAACAAGGAGTTTTGCTTCTGTTTGGGTGAGTAGGAGATGTAGAGGTCTCTGAACCCATCTCAAAGGGTATAACTCAAATCTAAAGCATTATGATAACCATGGACATTTGATCAAAAACTGCTTAATAATCAAAAAACATTTTGAAATGGGCCAATGGTTGGAACTCTTTTCTCTAAAATTCAAAAGCCTTTTTACTCTGAGTATTTCTGTTGGAAATTATTTTGACACCACCAATTTGAGAGTTGAATGCATTATCATATATTCTACATTTTTATTGTTCACTCTTCTGTTTTGTTTCAGTCCTGAACTGTTTGCGTCTGTTGACACGGTTTGTGCCGTACATTTTTGAGGATCCAGATTGGAGAGGGTTCTTCTGGTCCACTGTTCCAGGACAGGAAGTATGCCTTTTTTTTTTCCTTGATACTTTGATTTTGTAAGTAACCCTTAAAGTCCCAGAGGTGATTAACATTAACTTCTCTAAAAATCCATATATTATCCAGCAAACAGGTAATGAGAATAGTGAAACTTATCAGGTAAAAGTTGTTATCTTGATCAAATTCTAGTAACTAATTTACAAGGAAATAATATGTGGTGGCCAGAAAGGAGAGTTAACAATCAGATCTTGGGAGTGAAGGGGAGCAAATAAGGTGTTTCATCATATGACTGGCTCTGCTTGTGCAATCCTTTAGAAAACCATAGTGAAAGCTGACATGTGTAGGGCGGACAGGTTGACATGAGCTGGTCTGCAACAAGCCGTCCAGCCATAATGCATTTGTTTGTATGGCTTTGTTGCGAAAAAAGAGAAACATTGTTCACTTTTGTTTCAGAAAATGAGTGATAGCAGTGCACAAAAATGAGAAACTAAGACATGTTTTTCAATAAATTGTGAGTTTCTTGTTCTGACTGGACAAAATAAAGGAAAGTTTTTACTGTAAAATTTTTTTTTTGGTTTTCCCGTACTTGCCAGTCTATCATGTCCTGTTTAAGTTAAAACAAACTTTTTGAACTTTTCAAAAGTCAGTCATATGATAAAATGCCTATTGACTGAGTTAGTCAGGCCAGGTGGGAAAATATGTGGGTCTCATTCATGGCACAAAGACCTCACTGTGCCCTCTCTGTACATTATGTCTTCGAGTCAAATATTTTCCTGTCTTGCCCTCTCACTCAGTTTAGAAATACATAATATGCAGAAAATTGTAACCAAGTTTAAAGTAAGGGGCTTTTGATCCAACACCAAAAAAAGTGCTGTATGAATATCCAATAATTATTATAATAAAGTGTATCCTGATATATTTCTCACACCAGCATCCACAAGAATTAAGAGTCATCAAATGGATGTTATTTGATTTTTGATGACTCTAACAAAACAGTGCTGTCCTTTTTGTAAATTAAAATTTTGCAATTTAAGCAAACCACAGTCCACTGCAAGGGTAAAGGGCCTCAAAAGAGGTTCATATTCAAAGAGTAACTCTTTGACCATGCCCATGATTACTTACAATCATAGATTATTACTTCTGACTGTGATTATATGAAAATCATGTATGTGAACTGCAGATAAAGATGTGAATATGAAAGCGATCTTCGCAATAATAAATATTACTTGAGTAGTAGTGAAAATAAGGTCTCAAAAGAATTCAGGCCTGTATGGGATTTGAACCCATGACCTCTGTGATACTGGTTACAGAGGTCATGGGTTCAAATCCCATACAAGCCTTATTTTCACTAATGCTCAAGTAGTGTTCATTATTGCGAAGATTGCTTTTACATTCACATTATTACTTCTCAGTGAAAACTTCATGAAAATGATTGTTAAACAAATTTTTGTTTTGTTTCAGGAGGAAAGTTTTCATGGGGGCGAAGAGGTACAATTACATTTGTGACCTTAAAAAATTAAATAGAAAACAAAAGTACCTTGAACCTCTTGACACCTGCAATACAAGAGTGACTATCATCTAATTTATCTTAACAGTATCACTCCTGTATCAAACACAAAGGTCACAAGAATAAATGAAATGATTGTTAAACAAATTCTCCTTACCTAGCAAAATGTATGGAGAGCAGTATGGGGAATATGCATATTGATGTTAGGGTGTAATAGATTTAGCTGTTTGATATGTAAATGGGTTTTAAATGGCTGTGAACAAGGTAACTCAGGTACCCATCATACCCATCATATTGGATTGGTATGGTTGGGTAATTAAGTATTATCAACTGAGTTGATAATTTTAATTGGCCACCGTAAAAAGTTTAAAAGCTGACGTTTTGAGTGCTAGCCCTTTGTCCAGTCACTCTCACCAAGGGCTAATGCTTGAAACGTCAACTTTTTAACTCTTTACAGTGCCCATTATACCTTATCAACTCAGTTTATAATACTAAATTACCCTGTTATACTCTCCCACCGATGCAGCACCACAGTTTTTGTAGAAAGTTACCCCCTTTATTCATTTGATATGGTTGGGATTTGCCAAGTGAGCAAGTGAGCAAGTTGTTTTACACTGTAGTGGCAAAGTAGGGTTTTAGTCCTGTGATTAATTTGCAGTGCCTTCAAATAGCTGTCAGAAATACCTCTGAGATTTAACTGTTTACACCCTCACATTAGTATACATATTCTTAATACTGTTCTCTATACATTCCCTAAGGTGCTGACAAGGAGAATTTGTTTAACAATCCATAGCCTCTTCAGTTGGTGATTACTTCCTTAATTCTTATGACCTTCAGGGCTCGAACTTAACTTTTTTGTCTACTAGCAAAGTTTTGCTGGTAAGATTTTTTTTACTAGCAAAAGAAGGAACCTAGTTTGCTAGAGGATATTTTTTAGACTCGCAACTTCGAAAAACCACTCGCATTTCACGAGTTTGCGAGTGCTAATTTCGAGCCCTGACCTTTATGTTTGCTTCAGGGGTGATATTGTAAGGAGAAATTAGATGCTAGTTACTCTTATGAGTCAAAGGAATAACTTTCTTGAATGATTTTAATCAATGAATCAAATTTAGAAGGAGGATTATTTTAGAATGATGCTGGTTAAATCAATTAAAGACTCATCAATTTATTCTACTTTACAGGCTGCAGAGGCAAGACCCCCACTTGCTCAAACACTTCTCAGTGCAGTTGCAGTAAGTGGTGTAACAGTGTTGTTTATCCTTGAAATTGTTCATCTAAAGGTGAAATGCTAAGAATACTCACTAAGTATTGATCATGCTTTTTTTTTATTTTTTTATTTATAGGATCTGTGTTTCTGTCCAGAGTTTACTGTTCATCCTCCAAAAAAAACTGGTCCAGTAAGTTAATCTACCTTGTCTTCCAACATAAGATATAAGACATGTTTGAAAAATAATTCACAGCGCTAGCACTGTGTAAAATAGTATATTACAGTGTAAGTGCATGTGCCATCATTGTACATTGGTTCAGTCAAGATCATCATTAAATGTGCAAAAATTGTCTGATTTGAACTGAGTAGGCAGCTTAATTGAATTACGCTGGGGTAGAAAGCATGTTTTGATGTAAAGCAACATGCCCTTCTGAGGGGGTTAGTGGGCATGCTTCCTCAGAGAAGCTGAAATTTGAAATCCTCTGAAACTTTATTTCTAGCATTCTGGGACATTTTTGAGTGGTAAAGTTCTTTTAGCCTGGCATTTATGTTAGACTCAGTTCAGAAATACTTATTTCCTGTCTTTGATGGCAATTTACTAAGTAAATGGCGCAAAGTGGTCAGATAGCCAGCAGGTTTCTGCTGCCTAGTGGTTTTTTTAGACAACCCTGTTCAGTTGCCTTTGATCTTTTGATTGAACTTTGGATAGTTACATGTGCAGGCAAAACAGCTGGAAATGGTGATTTATGTAAGTGTATTGTAATGTATGATAATATGCCTATAACCAGAATGTGTTTTAAAAGTACATTTTAATCTCTTTCTTGATTTATTCTCCCTTTCAGGATCAGCCTGAGGATCTGTCTTCAATTGATAGCTGTGAATATATATGGTGAGACATATGTGCTATAATCTCCATGAATTGTTTAGAGCTTGTTAAGTACACATGTATACACAGAACATGAAATTTTTGAGCTTCTGTTAAGGAATTCATATTCCTCTGGTATCAGCATACATTGTCCAAAAGTGGAAATTCTATTTAAGAGCGCTGAAACTTTTTTAACTTCACTTATTCTAATCTTCTGTGACCATATGTGAAATTCATATACCTGGGGACATAAATGGATGATAGTTAAATGGGAAATGTGGTAGTCACTTCCTCCAAAATTAAAATCTGAAATGTGTGTCTAAATGGTGTATATGTCTTCAGTTATGCAAAACATTGCACTCTTATATAGCCTGACATGTATTGAATTGTCTTGTCATGTCATCGCCATGCACAAACAGTGAGAGAAATTTTTAAGTGCTTGAGCCAGTGATACACCCAGTGATTGTACAAGTCTACCTGTGGGCAGAGAAAAGTGTGTCCTGCAACACTAGTTTTATGGTTTTTAAGTGGTAACCAGTCAATTCGCCGACGGACCAACTCGCCGACGCCAACTCGCCAACGCATAAAATCGAGTAGAGACGTCGGCGAGTTGGTCGTCAATCCAATACAACTTATTAGAAGTTAAACATACAGAAAAGTAAACGATATTTAGTAAAAAAACACTGGTGAACATTGGTGAACATCTCACAGAAGCTTAAACATTGGTGAACATTGGTGAACATCACCAATGACTATAACAGCTTAAGACGCGAACGAGTTATTGTGCGACAACAACACCGTAAAGACTCATCATGTCAATCGCTCAGATTTTTTAACGAAAACTTGGCTTTCTAGACAAGATCTTAGTAAAAAGCATTTCTTTTTATTTGCAACAAAGTTTATAAGGATCTCAAGGCGAAAAAAGGGAAGTAAACATCGCCAATGACTCAAACAGCTTCAAACGCGAACGAGTTATTGTGTGACAACAACACTGTAAAGACTCATCATGACAATCGGTCAGATTTTTTAAGAAAACTTGGCTTTCTAGATAAGATCTTAAGTAAAAAGCAATTCTTTTTATTTGCAACAAAGTTTATAAGGATCTCAAGGCGAATAAAGTAAAGTAAACATCACAATGACTCTAACAGCTTCAAACGCGAACAAGTTATTGTGTGACAACAACACTGTAAAGACTCATCATGACAATCGGTCAGATTTTTTAAGAAAACTTGGCTTTCTAGATAAAATCTTTAGTAAAAAGCAATTCTTTTTATTTGCAACAAAGTTTATAAGAATCTCAAGGCGAGTAAAGTAAAGTAAACATCGCCAATGACTACATCCGCTTCAGACGCGAACGAGTTATTGTGTGACAACAACACCGTAAAGACTCATCATGTTAATCGCTCAGATTTTTTAACGAAAACTTGGCTTTCTAGACAAGATCTTTAGTAAAAAGCAATTCTTTTAATTTGTAACAAAGTTTATAAGGATCTCCAGGCGAATAAAGTAAAGTAACCATCGCCAATGACTACATCCGCTTCAGACGCGAACGAGTTATTGTGTGACAACAACACCGTAAAGACTCATCATGTTAATCGCTCAGATTTTTTATGTTAACGTCGCTTTATTCGCCTTGAGATCCTTATAAACTTTGTTGCAAATAAAAAGAAATGCTTTTTACTAAAGATCTCGTCTAGAAAGCCAAGTTTTCGTTAAAAAATCTGAGCGATTGACATGATGAGTCTTTACGGTGTTGTTGTCGCACAATAACTCGTTCGCGTCTTAAGCTGTTATAGTCGTTGGTGATGTTCACCAATGTTTAAGCTTCTGTTAGATGTTCACCAATGTTCACCAGTGTATTTTTACTAAATATCGTTTACTTTTCTGTATGTTTAACTTCTAATAAGTTGTATTGGATTGACGACCAACTCGCCGACGTCTCTACTCGATTTTATACGTCGGCGAGTTGGCGTCGGCGAGTTGGTCCGTCGGCGAGTTGACCGTAATTCTTTTAAGTTACAGCCTTATTTTATAATCTGGCCAAATAAGTGAGTTTGCATCACACAATTTCCCATAAATAGCAAGGAAAAACCTATTAAATTGTTGGGGATTCAATTTTTACTTAAAACAAATTGCTTCCTTGTGATAGGCACCTGTTTACTGGCCAGAGTGTGGAGACTGATTGATTTTTAAAGATTGTTGCTGTAGTTTTAGGCTAATGGATTGTACTTTAACACAGGGAAGCTGGTGTTGGATTTGCATCTTCCCCTCCCAGCAATCCACAGTTTGATTGCAGCAGATCTGAACTTCTAAAATTACTGCTGACTTGTTTTTCTGAAGCAATGTACCTTCCTCCCACAGGTAAGCTCCCAGGGAAAGGTTAATTTTTATTAACCCTTAAAGTCCCATGATCTGATTGTTAATTCTCCCCTCTAGCTACTACACAGTTCCTTTTGAGAAGTTATGAGAATTTGGTGTTAGATCAAGATAACAATTTCCATCTGATGAGTTTGAGTAGTCTGAAAAATAGTATTCTGTTTGCTGAAAAACATTAATCACTTCTCAGTGTTAGAGGGGTAAAAGTGTCAAATTGTGCCCAGTACAATAACGAGTATTTTTTTTTAGTTATATCTGGCCCTGATCATTCAAGGGCTGAATTACTTAATGGTTAAACATGAATCCAGCGGGTAGCAAGCAACTTTTTTTTTCATGTAATTTATAACCATTGGATAGGGCAACACACCTTAGAACAAACTTGGCATATAGTACTCATCATTCTGACAACATGTGCATTTTATAATTCAGATAAGTCTGTTAATGCAAGGGTAACTTGGAGGGAATATAATTTAAATTCCCCTTTCTCAAAAGATCTTCAATGAACAGGACTTAGATTTGTACAACGTATTTGTGGTGGCTGAGAGGTTGATTGTAGTCATTTTTTTACTATTATTCTATGAATAATAATAGTAATTTTAATTTTGTTTTGTAGCTGAAAATCACTGTAGACCAAATAAATGGCTGTCATTTTTCTCATCAGCTGGGAATAGGTAATGGTGTTTGCATTTGTTTATTACTTTCCTCAGTGATAATAAATACTTATTGAAGAAGTGAGGTTACTATGAAATGAATGCAAAACTGAATGGGATACAATTTGAAGGTAAATAATTAAGATGTTATAATCTTTTTCCTTGGCTTTGTTTTATCAGACATGCTCTTCCAATATTCACCTCTCTGTTAAATCTTGTGTGCTCGTACGACCCCCTTGGATACGGAGTGCCGTAAGTACAGAAATAGAGTAGTTGTAAAAGTAAACTGTAACCATGCACCCAGGGATTGACATCCTGAACAGGCGAGAACTTTAAAATGTGAGGTTTATTTGTTGCACAAAATTTTTTTACTATTACATTAATGTATCATGTAAAAATTTATGTTTCTGTGCTTGTGTATGATGTGGTAGCTTAGTGCTTAAAGCAGCAGTTCACAAGTTATATCAATGAACGTTATTCTCGATATGATGATTGTTTATATTCTCATCACCTTTCTTCTTGAAAGTGTGTTGAAATTGTTGGGAGATTGTATGAAATGATCACTTGTAAGGTTGAGCTCTCTCACAGGTGATCATTTCATAGAGAAACTGTGACAAACTCTGGTGCAATGGGCTACTTGGTTTTTGTGAAGACTTAACCATGCATATTTGTTTATGTGAGAATGTGTGCTTGAATTACTGGATCCAATGGAATTCTTGGGAAATTTAAACTGTTGGTGTTACTTTGTCTGTCCAATTTTCTTTGAAAATGAAAAGGGATTTTGACTAGAAGAGTATGGTAACATTTTTCTTGTATTTTCTAGATATAACCACCTTATGTTTGCTGATTACCGTGAACCTCTGGTGGAGGTTGCTGCTCAATTGCTTGTTGTCCTTTTGGATCATGATTCAATGCAGCCCACCCCAACTACAATGAATGGAACTGATACAGAACACTCTTTTGAGGTAAACTACATAATTATATTTTAAAACAGTTCCCAGCATTTTTCTCTACAATCTACATGTGCATCTATAAATTGTGGCCTGGAGGTTGTTTCAGCTTGAATAATTTATTACAACTTTCATAGGATTTTACAAATAGTAATTATAAAATGGTAAACAATAAAATGAAATATGAAATAGTAAATAGAAAATAAGTTATAAATTAGACGTTTGGATGATAATGAGTCACAAAATGATCCTCACTAAGAGTTACAATACATTGCATTTTGTTGCATGTGTTATCCACAGGTCAGAATGAGACTTATTTTATTTTCACCCTTTGTGAATAGATTTTCCTTAACAAAGATGCCAGTATTAAGTTTTCTTCCCTCCCAACAGATGGCTTGTAGTTCAGTTGGTAGTAGTGACCAACTAGTACCTGAGAGGATCTGGTTGAGATCCACTCCAAGAGTTAATTTTTTAAGGATTCTCTTTTTGTAACATCGTAAGGTGCAGCTCATACTTAAGGTTTATCTTCAATGTGATACCGAAAAACTATAGTCAAACAAGTCCATGTTGAAGTGGATTCATAGATTCTGTTCATGTAAATATTTGTCCAAGTGAACAAATTTTATCTTATTATGTTTGCATTAATTTTTTTTGTTTGTTTTTTTTGTTTTTAGGAACCTCCAGTTGATAACCTTTTCTGTAATTATTTGTCACGAATACACAGAGAAGAGGTAAAAATATTCATATGGTATTACTGCAGTTTATTGGTGCAATAACTTGCAAGTGAAATGTTGGATTTCAAAGTATAAATATCTGTAAAGTAATTTTACCCAGGTTCTGAACAGAAGCCAATTTGTTTGAAGCCATTTAACCTTTTCACTCCCAAGGTCTCATTAGTATTTCTCCTTACTGTCTACTTGACAATTCTTATGATGTGAGTTTGGAGAATTTGATATTGGATCAACCAATAATCTCCTAATTGATATTTTTCTTAATTCTCATCACTTTTTTGCTTGATATTGCACTGATATTATAGGGAGAAACTCTGTCTTGGTCACTCATGGGAGTTACATGTAAGGGGTTAACCTGGTTATAACCACTTTAATTGGTGACACATACATTCATATACTTATGTTGAATTATTTCATTGCAGGACTTTTACTTTATTCTCCATGGTGTTGCAAATCTACTCAATAACCCTCTTATTCAAGTATGTAATTCAAGAAATATAAGTATATTGAATCATTTCCTAAACACTTAAGAACCTAAGATATCCTGCGAAGTAGAATGGCCAGAATTTAAGGATAATATACCTTTATTTGCAAGGTTTTTTTTGTCACAGATAAAGGGGACATAGTGGTAAATACTGTCTTTTCTGTTTTCAGACATATCTTCCAAATTCTTGCAAGAAAGTTAGTTTCCATCAAGAACTTTTAGTTCTATTTTGGAAGATGTGTGACCAAAACAAGGTAACCAGAGACTGATTTTGTTTTTATTGTCATCAGTTTGTTGGCTACTTTTTAAAGTGATCACAAGTTAACAGCTCCTTCTCTTATAAACAAAAATCTCCAACAGAAATTTCTGTTCTACGTGCTGAAGAGCAGTGATGTGCTGGATATCTTGGTCCCAATTCTTTATCACTTGAATGATGCAAGGTCTGACCAATGTAAGTTGCCCAGCTCAGGGTTTGATCTTTAATACCATAGAAAAAGTTTTTTTGCTTTTACATGCAGGAAGCTATTAGTAGTAAATATATCATTCTTCTTTTTCCTTTTTCTCCAGCTCGACTAGGTTTGATGCATATAGGAGTGTTCATATTACTGCTTTTAAGTGGAGAAAGAAATTTTGGTAGGTTCAGAGCATGAACAAATTATTTATTCAATCATTCATTATGATACTTCCGTAACTTTGTGACAACAACAGAGTCAATGAAAATAAATTTAAAATTCACAATAAAGCAGAAAATTTTGCTAATACCTAGGACAAGTGCTAACATAACTGTCATGATTTCAATTATTTTGTGTCATTATCTCATTGATAGGAGTCCGTCTTAATAAGCCATACTCTGTTAGAGTGCCAATGGACATTCCTGTGTTTACAGGGACCCATGCTGATTTTCTTGTTATTGTAAGTATATTTTGTGTCAACCAGAAATCTTAGATATGTCTATTTTTATGTCATGCCCACATGAGAGTTATTCGTCAGAGCCAGGATGTTTGAAGCTGGGTTAATCCTTTAACTCACAGAGTGACCAAGACAGAATTTCTCCTTACAATATCAACACAATATGAATCAGACAAGGGGTGAGAATAAAGAAAAATATCAACTAAGGGACTCTATGTTGATCCATTAGCAAATTCTCCAAAGTAACATCATAAGTATTATACAGCTGACAATAAGGAGAATTTATAATGAAATCATGGGAGTGATAGGATTAAGATAACCCAGGATTAGTGTGACATTTGATTTCAGATCTGGAAGCTTTAAAAAAGGTGACAACATGCTCTAAAGAGAATAGAGAAAATTATCTCAAACAAGCTCTTGAAAAAAGGAATTAAAGAAACCTGGATAAATATTTAACCTTAGGTTAGGACTAATCAGTCGTTGAACTACTGGGCTCAGTTGTGTGGATATACAGCTTATTAGAGTCTCCTTTTTTTTACAGGTGTTCTATAAGATCATTACAAATGGACATCAAAGACTTCAACCACTGTTTGACTGTCTTTTGACAATTATTGTCAATGGTAAGAGTACAGTGATTACTGTTGTTAATAACTGTGGTGTTAAGTCATGGGACTCATTGGGGTAAGGCAGAGATACAATATGCTTCAAGTGAAATGTTACAGAATTCTTTTTAAGTCCATATCTTTGTAACAGATTTTTTGGTGAAAACAAAGCCTAAAAATTCAAAATGGTTTAATTATTGCATGTGATCAGGGCAAGAAAATGGGTCGATTGCAATTATGCTTTAGCAACTTGTTCAGGAGCAATGCACTTGGGGTTTGATACAGATATCTATCCAAGTAACTTATTCCCTAGTGTCTTGAACTACAGTCAATCATTTTCTCACATGTGTTTTTACACAAAAAAAAAAAAAAAAAAAAACACTGCATTTACATCATACATTTTGCATGCCTGCTTGGGTGACCTAAAGGTTTGATTTTGCCAACCACACGTTTTCATGCATTCAAAATTAATTTTATTTCCAGGTCACATTTAAGTCACCCAAGGGTAGTGTCATTCTCAGCTGACCCTGTGTATTCTTTTTTCTTTACAGTTTCCCCTATTTGAAATCCTTATCAATGGTGGCAGCCAATAAATTGCTTCATCTTTTGGAGGTAAGAACATGCTAATTTTACTTTTCTTTGCAAAGGTTGTTTGGGCTTGGGAACTGAAGTTGAATTTCCAAAGACACTTTGTTGTTTCTTTTTTGTGTTATGTAAATGAAAATGCTACAGGTAATTCCACTTTTTTTGTGTTCCTTCATTAACAGATTACCCTCTTTTTCAAACTTATAGGCTGAATATTTTTTCCATTTTGTTTTTTCAGGCATTTTCCACTCCCTGGTTCCTGTTCTCCAATGCCACCAATCACCATTTAGTGTTTTTCTTGCTGGAGATCTTTAATAACATAATTCAGTATCAATTTGATGGTAAGACACTTTTTATAATAAGTTGAATTAGGTGCAAATTTTGATTGATTCTTATGTATGAGCTCTTGGAGGACAGACACATTGATGATGTTTGTAGTTTGCAGTAGTGATCTCTCTTTTCTCCCTCTCCGTTTCGGAGGAATGCAGGTTAATGACCTGAACAATAGCTGGTTATCAAGACAAACTTACATTTTGTCACAAATGTCTGAAGAAATAGTGCCCTTTTTTCCAGGGAAATGTGATTTGAAAAGCTGGGAATCTTTGCACAAACTTTGCTTGAGCCTTTACAGAAACTTTGCAAGAACAAAGAACAAAATTTGCCCATTTCACCTTCGTTATTTTTGCACAATACTTCCCCATCAATTTTGGTAGAAATATATGAAAAAAGTCATAACAAAAACAAACAAATGATTTCTACATACTGAATATGTTTCCTGTAACTTTTTTTAACTGGGTTTCTTTTACTTTAGGAAACTCTCATCTCGTGTATGCAATTATAAGAAAGAGAAATATCTTCCACCAAGTAAGTTCCTTATGAGTTATGGCATTGAAGTTGTTATTCATCTGTTTAAATAATTGTTTAGCTGTTCAGTGCTTTCATACAGTAAAGTTTTTAGTTGCTCATCGTAAACCTATAGTGCACTAATTGTTTACAGTGTGAACTAACCAATATCAAATGTTGAAAAAATGAGTGTTAGAACTTGAGAAAATAGGAGACTAGTGTTGTTGTTGTTTTATTGATTTACAGCATTAGGGTAGAAGTGACTAATATTAAGAGAGAGTCTGAGCAAAGGCAGTGAGTCCATGCTGTTCGAGTTTATCTTTTCACTTGCAATTATTTTTTGACCATTTTCTCTCCTGAAGTTGGCAAATCTTCCAACCGATCCTGCTACTGTTCAGAAGCCAAGAAGGAGACTTACATCCCAAGGTTCAGACAAGTAAGATTTCTGTGCACAATGTTTTCATTTGTGGAACTGTTCGTGGCTAGAGTAGCCGCTAATTCCCCCTACTGATGTATGATACGTGAACAGCAGTAACCCTTTAACTCCCATGAGTGACCTAAACAGAATTTTTTCTGACAATATCAATACAATATCAAGCAGACAAGTGATGAGAATAAAGAGAAATGTCAATTGGGAGATCAGTAGTTGATCCAATACCAAATTCTCCATACTAGAATCATAGTAATTGTGCAGTAGACAGTAATGAAATGTGGGAGTGAAAGGGTTAACCCATTTTCTCAATGAGTGCATGAACATTTATGCGGCAGTTGGTCACGAAAATGTTGAATTTTCTATCAGGGATGCCCAGACCTCAGGCAGTGAGGGAGAAGAAAAGAAGCCTGGAACGAGTGCTTCAGCGGCCGAGGGTTTACCGGAGATGTCCGCAGACAGTAAGCGAATAAATGTTGCAATAATTTTTGGATCAAAAAATAAAATGATTGTCAAATGTAGAGAGCGACAACATATTAACATGGAAAGAGAAGGAATACATAGAAGTAACGATCCAAAGGAAGGAATTAAAATAATGCTGGAATGGAAAACAAAAAATACAAAGTGTAAACAAGTAAGGTCCTTAAGCAATCAATAGTTAGCACCTGATTTATTTATGTTTAATTTTTGGTGTTGTAAAGCGGACATGATTATTTAGCAGTGCCACAAACTGGACATGCTAACAACAGCTCTTTCTTTTTCTCCTAGTGTCTGTGAAAGAAGTTCGCAATCCTGCTAGTGAATCAGAAACTAGTGATGTAGAAGCACGGTCCCCTGGGGAAGCAACCCCACCCAGTACCCCTGGAACATCCCGCACAGAGAGAAAATCTATTGGACGATCTGTTTCTGTCACAAGCTCAGGGCCATTTGTAGCAACGCCTGAATGGGTGAGTGAATCTTCCACTTTGAAGTTTTATCAAAACATGAACTCTCTCCAATGGTGATTGCAAAGTTCTTCAAATGTCCGTTCTCAGAATTTGATCTTACATCATCCTCAAAAAGGCCCATCGTGGCACGTACCCACAGTTGTTTAAGTCGTGAGTGCCCTTCTTTAGTCTTAAAATCAATTATATACTTTTAAAGAAAATCGTGTGTGGATTTAGTTCCGGTTTTCCTTCATTCTGTAGGTCCAGTCTTGGAAACAGAAGCTTCCATTGCAGACGATAATGAGAATGCTTCAAGTTTTAGTTCCTCAAGTGGAAAAGATTTGCATAGACAAGTAAGTTAATCATCAATGATGAATGATCATGATGTTACTTTCAGTTTTGTATTTTTTTTGTTGTTTTTTTCGGCTCTGTTTGATGTATTTTTGTTGTTTTGATAGGGGTTTGACGGATGAGTCTGAAATAATCAAGTTTCTTCAGCATGGCACATTGGTCGGTCTTCTACCTGTGCCACACCCAATCTTAATCAGAAAATACCAGGTATGTAAACTTCTGTAATCACTGATGAGTCACGCTTTCAGTTACATTTGGTATCTCGAAGAGTTTGTAAACATTTAGTGTATGCGCGTGGAAGTTTAACTCTTTGACCCTCAAGAGTGATAAGCAACTAATTTTTCCTTACAATTTCTCCATTAAATCAAACATTAAGGTCACGAGAATAAAGGAAATGATCACAAACCAAAGAAGCTCTTGATTGTTAAACACTGAATTCTCCTTGTCACAACCATAGGAAATGTATAGAGAACAGTGTGGAGAATATGCATACTGATGTTAGGGTGCTAAGGGTTAACAAGAGGATGCGTATTCAGCTACAGGGTTGTTGAAAAGTTACGGAAATTTGGGAATTTTTCGCTCGAAAGCTTTTTGGTTCGGAAGTAAGTTTTGTGTGAGATCCTTTTAAGGTAGCTGGATCTCACGAAATCCCCCCTGCCAAACGGTGCTGTTAGTTCTTCAGAGATAATTGCTGTGGTGTTATCCGTCAGGCAGAATTTGATGACACTCTTAAATGTCTATCATTCCGTTACAGGCCAACAGTGGTACTCAGATGTGGTTCCGAACTTATATGTGGGGAATTATTTACCTCAGGTAAACAAAAAAAATAAGTAATCAGCTCTCTAAGGAAAATGTAGAGGTTTAAAACCAAGTGGCAAAGTTTATCCTCGCGTTAAAGCTACATTCACATCTACATTCGCGTTAAGTGGTGTACACTCGCGTTAAGTGGTGTACATTCGCGTTAAGTGGTGTACACTCGCGTTAAGTGGTGTACACTCGCGTTCCGCACGCTGTAAACCCTGTAAGGGGGAAAGGAAAGCAGAAACCTATTAACTACTTTTATTTAAAAATGAGTTTGGGCGGGAAAATTGACGCGCGCTCGGCAACCTTTGGCGGGAAAATCGAGGCGTGCGAGCCCTCAGTTTTTAAAAAAAAATAAACAGTTATGAAATATTAAAACGGAAAAAAGGTAAAAAATGGAAAAAAAGTTTAGTTCAACAGCCATGCCATTCACCTCACTTGCATTCTGTTTTTCAGGAACATTGATCCCCCAATCTGGTATGATACGGATGTCAAACTGTTTGAAATCCAAAGAGTATAAAATTTTGGTCCATCTGAGAGGAGTGCGGGGAATGAAGAGTAAGAATTCTCACAGTCGACGTAAAGCAAAAAGGATCAGTTACATTTATAATAATGATTCTGTTATCTTTCATCGATAAAAGGGAGGAATATTTTAAGTCGGCGGCAGTCAAACCTAAGCTAATTCTAGTTATAATAATGGACAATTTTGTTCGCGGTTGAATTCCCATTAGATGCAAATTTGGACTTACTGAGTCCATAATGATAATTGAGTACTTAAATTTACTTTCTGATAACGAGTCAGTAATATTTATGAGGTCATCTACCGTCTACCAAGGTTCTCTTGACCAAAGCAAGAGCTTAATTTGCAGATATGCAGGTATAAATATTCTTAGTCAGGTTTAAGATGCTACTTTGGGTAACGGAGAATACCCTATCTGGGCGGAGCTGTTGGTCGTCGAAGTAGGTCTCTCGGATTTGTGTGCAGTTTCGCTCTAGTATCGGTCCCAGTTGTTCAAAGGGCTGATACTAAAATAATGACCGCTATCCAACAGATGAATCGCAGTCAGCGAGGGTCCAGTCGTATATAGGGCAGATAATGCTATCCAACGGATTAGTGATGGCAAAACGTATAGCGTTATTCAGCAGATAGAGATTTATCCAGTGGATAGCGTTATCCGACCTTCGAACAACTGGGGCCAGATATTGACAAAGTGTACTTCGCATCCATTGAAGAGAGATTTATCCAGTGGAAATAAGGTCTGTGCAATAGGACAGATAATTTTAGAATTTTGTGTGTCCTCCTTTAGTTACATTAGCAGTACTACGCACTATATAATCAGTTCATGACTTGAACTGTGTAGTCCACCCCACCCCCACCCCCTAGGTGGTCACGCCTTCAACAATTGATCCGTTTGCCTCTTTTGAAACCTTTTCGTTTCCAACATTATTCTCATTGTTAGCCATTTCTGTTTGTGGTGGTTCTGATAAAATTTTTTTCCTATATATATATTTAGACTGTATCTGCTCAATGAAAAATTTCATTCACGTCCCTTGTCCCTGTTTATCACAACATTTATTTTCGCATTCAAGGGTCCATAAGGTATATATAATAATCTGTACATAATGGATTTTAAATAGTGGGTTTTCGTGTAAGGAATCGCTATCATAGTGGTAGACATCTGCAGTAGGATATTATTTGTAGGTTGTATTTGTTAGCCCATAAGTTATTTAAGAGGAGAAAAGGTTATATACTTTAAGAAAATTGAAATTGTACGAAATTATGGTTAGAGTCCAATCTTGAGCATTTCCTGGTTCTTTCAACCCTTTAGAGTACATACTAGTGGCAGAGAGAACGAACTTGCTTCAATAAATACGTGGAAATGTCTATGTGGGGCTCCTACTTGTATGTATGTTTTGTGTTTCTACGAATTCCCTTGCGTGCCTTTTGTGTTCTACGAAATCCTTTGCGTTTAACGTGTATCCTCGAATTTCTATGCGTTCCGTGTGCGTTTTTGAATCGCCTATCGTACTGTCCACTTTCCGTGTGTTTCTACACCATCTGTGTTCTTCCGAACTCAATGCGCAAACACGTTTACTTTCTGCGTTCCTACCCGTCTCCTTACGTTGACTGTATTCCCGCGCATTTCTAACGCAAACTTTTCCTCTACCCGTTGCTGCGTAATTGTGCACATTAGTAAGTATTTCCCTGCTTTGATCTGCGTTTTCATACGTTCTTACCTTTGACCACCCATTCTAGGCGCTTTTTTCGTTACCATTTATTCCTGTACAGTTCCAAATCACCCCCTTGTCCTGTCATCCCTTCCTAAAAATTCTTTGAAAAAGAATTTGTCGATGAGTGAGCATTCTCTTGAGGTTACTTTTCTTTCTTTTAAATTAATTCAACAACGTCTACACGGTTGCATTACAGACACCAAAAAAAGTTCTAATGTAAAAAAAGAAAACAGAGCGTATGTAGTTTAGGTATGAACCTTTGCATCCTACTTCGTTTTAAAATTGAACGGATCAGACCGAGGAACTCGATGTCGCTTGTTCTGAACCCGCCTTTCAAGTCGAAAACTTATTTGAATTACAAATAATTTTCAAAATTAATATTCACGTCATTTTGCGCTCAGTCTTGCACGTGGAAAGAATTTATGAGCTTCAAGAATATTTGAACGCCTTTTTTAGCTTCTATGGATTCATGAAACATTTGGACCTTATTGCCTTGGATCTATATATATATATATATGTATCTAATCTGTCCAGGCCGGCGAATGTTTCTTATGCCGGATCAAGTGGTTCCGATAACTTGTCGAGGATTCATGCTTTTCTCTAAGCCACTTTTCTACAGGTAAATAACCTCTATATGGAACGATACATTTGTATAATGATACAGTGTTCATCTTTCTCGTTATGGCTCTTGTAAATTCAATTTACAGAGTCAAATGTAAGAAGAAAGAGAGTAATACCCATAGCAAAATGGAAAACAAATCCTCGGAGGCAGCCGCCATGACAGTTCTTCTTGGACGTGACTTTATTGGCGACGCGAGAAATTTGTCCCTTATCGTTAGGGTACTTATCGCTTATTTGCTTACTTTTCTTTTCTTTCCTGTAAATTTTGTTTAACGAGCTATTATGATTGTTGAGTGTTGACCTAAAGCGTGTTTTGAATGCACTTGTTCTTTCCATTAGCTTTCAACCCAGCTAAAGAAAGAGTAAATTGAAACGGCAATCCAAAAACGTTATAACAAAATGTCATAATAAATCTGGTGGATTTAAGACCAACTTAAGTTTTAAATGAAGCCGTATCGCTTCGTATCTCTTGGTGGCAAACATTGGTATTAAATTACCATGGCGACACTAGGCTTGTCAAATACACATGTAGTTCTCAGGTAAAGGAGCAATACTCAAAGTTAGCTTCGTTATTCCCGAATAATTACACATTTTGTTTTTGAATGCTTGGTAAGTTAGTTCAGTAAAATTTCGTAATGCCTTTGTTCGATGAGAAAATGTCAGCAGAAAATGGGTTTTTTTTTAATCCAGATGTTGCAATTGACCTTTGCTATTTTGAACGAAAACCACTGAGGTATGTAGTAAGTATTCATAATTTATTAGTCTCTTTTTTTTTTTCTCCCCAGGACAGTATCAAGACAGAAATTAGAACATCTCGTCGGAAACAGTCACGAAAGGAAAGAAGTACCTGATAATTTCTCACAAGGTGAGATAATTGGCTTTTTCAAACAAATAAACTATCTAGGCCTATCAAAAATTTGATGATGTTTGAGCTCTTCAGCTAAGCTACAACCAAAATGAAGAGTACACTCAAGTTATTTTTGTCCCTTCAATTTCTTCTAGAGTGTTTTCCATTAACTGCACGACATAGCCCTCTTTTCTGACGTGATTCAATAAAAATATTGGAGCTTAATTATCAACAATATCCGAGCTCAAACCAGATTAAAATAGTATGTTCCAAAACTTTACGTTTTTATCTCACTGACTTTATAGTTTATCATTTGCGGAAAAAGAACTTTTTTGACGTGATTCCAGAATCATGCATCACAGAGCCTAATTATCAAATGTCTGACTTCTTTGAGACTGGAAGCAAACTGGAATAACATGCTCCAAAAAATGATTTTTCTCGATGTGTTTGCGGAATTCTTTCTTACTGATCCCAAAGTGGTTTTATGATTTTTTAATAGGGAACATCGAAAACTACGTGCAGAGCTCACTGAAACACTTCTACCCACTCAGAGGACACGTGATCACTATCCTTAATGCTTCAAACAAGAAAGACTATGATCCAAGTGAAAGACAATATTTATATTCAGAGGTAAAATACAGAAGTAACGCATTTCTTACGACAATTAATATTTCAAATAAGAACTAAGATTCAAACTCCATAATCGAAGACTGGAAAGTTGTTATTTCAGTCGTTATTTTTAATCGGTTCAATTCAATTAAAGTGCCGTGTGAAACCACTTGGAACCCCCATCTTGAAGGAAAACAGAACAGCTTTACGGGCCCGTTAAGCAACCTTCGAGAAACGCCCCCCTCCTGCTAACGTCAACCCGTTCGGTCCTACTTACATGTACGACAGCTATTATTATAGTTTTCTATAGAAGTGGATGCGCGAGGCTGTACGGGTCATATGATAATGTACGTTAGTATCTTGCGCACTGCTGGGATTCTCCCTATATGGATTTCATTTTACGTTAGTATGTCGCACACTTTTAGGTTGTTGTCTTATTGTTCATAAATATTCAGTTTTTAGTCATTTTTATTTGAATTTCGTTAGTGTTATTGTTAATTTTTTTCTCATTTCAGTTGAAAGTGGAGGTACAAATGAGAGTCTGAAAACTGGTAGCGCCTCACAAAGAATCGTTATGTTGACATGCAAGTTATTTGGATGTTTTCTACCAACAACAGAGACAAACTTGATAAGTTTGGTTGTTTATGTTAATCGATAACCTCCCGGATAACTCACTGAATCAAATCTTATGTGACTTTGAATTCGTGGACACTGCTTTTCTTTTGTTTTCATAATGAATCGACAAGAATTAAGCTTCAAACAAAGGAGTTTACCGAAATTTTCCAGTCATATGTCTTTGTGAAAAGAAAGTGAATAATTTGTGAGTACTGCTAATTTGTGGAAAGATTTTCATCTTGCTGTTTAGATGTTCTAATCTATTTGTGGTAAATTCTATCCAATCGTCATTTTGTAGGTCGATAAATGTGTGAAAACATCAGTTTGCGATAGATAAACAGCTGCCATGCAAGATAATTAGGCATATTGTCTCAACATGCGTCGTTATAATTTTTTATAGATGTTCAGAGAAATGTGCGCGCCGTGATTGGTCAGAACGAGTTCATTATATTTCCATAAAGCACGCGCTTTACGTCACACGAGTGTACTGTTGAGATATAATGCACGCAGCCTACGTCATCGTTACGAGCTCGCACAATTCACGACACATTTTATGAAAGAAATAAAAAACACTTGTTCCTTGAGCATTGTTGAGTTATGTAAGCACCTGTGAATTTTTAAGAACACTGGAGAAGTGCGAGAAGCACTCGCCTTCGGCTCGTGTTTCTCCGCACTTCCTCGTGTTCTTAAAAATTCCCAAGTGCTGATATAACTCAACTATGCACTCGGCGCGTTTTTCATTTCTTTAGTAAATGTTGTTTATTTCTTTAACGTGATCTTTAAATTCTGTCGGTAAATATATTGATCGGTTGTGTGCTCATCTGCAAAATTCGTCTGTCTGGATTGTAAGTTATCTTTCCAACTTAAATCAAAAATGTGAAATTTTTTTCTAAATGGTTTTGTGTATTTTCCTCTTTCAGTTCCTGAGATGATTTGTAACGTTTGAAATTAGGTTAAAGGACAATTTGAACGACGGCACTTTTCAACTGGTGAACAGGGAAAAAAAACAATTTTTATAGGCGTGTTGTTGAATTAGACAGATAATCACTCGTACTGCTTGTGGTCTGTAGTAAAAAATGGCCATGAATTCTCGTCTTCACGGGGCTCGGTTTTGAACGCATGCATATTGATGTCATATTGTGAACCGTAACCTTACACTTTCCCTCGCTGGAACTTTATTCTCCTTCTCTGCGCAGGTTTCTTAAAAAAATAACCACCTCAAGAACTAAGATCTAAATGAGGCATAAATGAGGGTCTGACAGCCCTCCACCCTCCCTCTCACCGGTTGTATTAAACAGTTACCTTAAGTATTAACAATCTTCGTAATACGCATGTGTATTTGGACAAATGTTCGGTTACACAAAACGCATGCGTTTGACATAAAAATTTTTTACCACAAAGTAAACAACTTTTGCAAATAGATAAGAAAACTTTTATCAGAGGTGGGTGCGGTGGGGGAGGTCGGATGGATGAAAATAACACCGTAATAAGACAATTGTAATAACTGTGTGTTTGCTTATAGAAGGAATGTAGTACAGTAGAAGAAGAAATTATTATTAGGGAATTATTAAGGAATGTAATATATAAGAAGTATATTAGAAAATAAGACTGTAATAAACAACTGTATGTTTATTTATAATAACACCGTAATAAGACAATTGTAATTACTGTAGGTTAAAGGACAATTCGTACTACTACTTCTGCAATAAAACAATTGTAACAACTGTGTGTTTGCTTATAACAGGAATGTAATATATTAGAGGAAGAAATTATTATTAATAAATTATTAAGGAATGTAATACATAAGTATATTAGTACTATATTAGAAAATAACACTGTAATAAACAACTGTATGTTTATTAATGAAAGGAGTGTAATATATATTGGAAGGGGTGAAAATGAAAATGAAAATGACTAAAGGTATTTTTCAACTTGGTTTGAACATTGCTTATAATACGTTCAAGGTCGGACTCGTTCTTTGTTCCATGGCTGTTATCTTTGACTGTAGGAAGGCGGATTTAAAGAGCATGTTCCTATTTCACGAGTGTACCTATACCAGTGCCCACATTCTATACCGCGATGCTATCCAGATATGACCAAGGCGCATTTTATTTAAAAGCTGACCTATGACTTTACACGAATAAGCTGTACATTAGAAGAAGAAAGGGAGGTTTTCTCGAAGGCTTGTAGCGGGAAATCAGGTCAGATATACAGAAAGGTACCAGGTTGTAGATGTCGGAAAAGTGTCGGAAGTAATTAGTGCGTGACTTGTAAACAAATCAATTCGCTTAGGATTTCACTCATCATGAAGTAGTGACGTCAAACTTGTAACCTTAGCGACCGTAGACAAAGGTGTTTAAGGATATTGTGAATTTTATGATCAGAAGTTAGGATCGACGCGAGACGAAGGGAGCGACTACTGTGAATAAAGAAAGTGAATCAAAATTACACGAGTAACTAGTGTTGCAGTACCGGGCTTTCCAACACTAGAGAGCTTCACTACAGTTTTTAAAATCATACGAACTCTGACCTTGGTTATTCGCTTCCGCCTACTTTAGTACCAAGACTGAATTTAAAATTTACCTTAAAGTTTTTTCTTGTTTTTTTTTGTTTTGTTTTTAGTATTTGTCATTCGGAACCTCCTATACCTTCATAAGTGTAACGCAGAACTGCATTACATTCTGGGTGAATTTTTAGCACAATGTTTTGAGCAGCGAATGAGACTTGACTATTACTACGAAAAGTTGCAGCAGTGAAAACTCGTCTGCAGCTCAAAACAGTAAAAAGTTGCTGAAATTATGCTAAATTATAATTCGACTCGGAAGAGTTGAAGCATTCGTATCATTGACTTTCGAGTATTTGGTGAGCTCCTAAAGGAGCCGTTTTAAAACTGACTTTACGAATCTGCTCCAAGATGAAATCGACGACTTTCCACATTGCTGGTGGGTTTAGATACCACGAAGATTAAAAGCGCTTTTGTCTACGTGGTATCTAAACGCACCAGCGGGAAAAAAGGTTTTTTCCGCAGCATTTAACGGTTGCTGGCCATTTCGTCTTGTCAACTATGTGTTGTCTAAATCTAAACGGTATCTAAACGCACCAGCGGGAAAAAAGGTTTTTCCGCAGCATTTAACGGTTCCTGGCCATTTCGTCTTGTCAACTATGTGTTGTCTCCGCCCCTATTCATTTTTCGTCTCTGTCCCAATGACATGTCTCTTTCTTTCCGAGGGCTTGAGCAATCTTTCGACAGTTCTTAAGAACTGGTCTTTCCGCTCTTCAATGTCTGTCTGTCTGCCCTCTGACGTTCTTTACCGCATCCTCTGCCATCGCTCCAACTTCTCCCCCACTACCCTCCGTTAGGATTGCCTCATTAGCATCTTCCTTGCATGGCATGGTCAATTTAGCACGTTTTGCAACGCTCTCCAACTCTATTTCGTCAAATGCCATTTTGAGATTCTGCTTGAGTCCGGCGAGTTCTGGTTTTCCGTGAGGACTGACTCTAAGTTGTTCCCTCGGCGGTTTGCTATAATAACTCTGCTGAGCTTTTGAGAAATAAAGTAGAATAAATTTAGCCGCAACAGCCAAGAATTCTTGATTAGTGTACAATTTCTAGAAATTTGAGAAAACGGTGTCAATGAAGAAAAATTGGGGTGGACTCTCTCAATTTGATTTTAGCCTTTATTAGCTAAGAACTGCGACAATTTGGCAAAAAGTTTCGTAAACTAGACCCGAGCGGAATTTTGAGAGAGATGAAGTGGTTGGAGAAATTCTTTTAATTTGATTTTAGCCTTTAATTTAAGTTATTAACGCTGAATTATTGGGGCGAATTTGCCTCAAATTTCGTCGTCAAACGCGTTCATTTCCAAACTGAATTTGAAGATCAAAATTTTAAACTTTTGCGCATCGCCCCTTTTTTTCTTTTTTTTTTTGCATTCTTATGTTACACCAAGTAAGTGACTGCACAAAAGATCTTCCCTACCAAAACAATAAGGAGTAAATAAACTAATTACGATACATTTCAAAACCAAATGCCTGGTCCAAAGGGTAACAAGTGATCCTTTTTCCGTATGCGACTTAGTTCACAAGTATCAAAGAAGTAATTTCATGTAAACCAGCAAAAAGACAACCATCACTGTAAAAGAATCAAAATTACTAGGCTTTTCAGAGCGAGGACACAAACTCAAATGTTTTCGATAAGCTTTAGGTTGAATGTAACTAATTTGCATTTTTTTGGATCGCGCTTTGCCGGTTTTTATAAAATCCACGACCTTTCTGTGTAAATTTCAATTTTAAAACAACGAACATGTTTCGAATTTTTAAATTTCATGAAACTCGTCACCAATATATGGAAAAGTATTCAACAACAAAACATAACTTTTTTTATTTGGATAACTATCAAATTCTCTGATTTTGTGCCATATTTCTGTTTCCAATGTTGGTCTGGAATTAACGTGTTCTAACCGGCAAAATTGAAAATTGTGTTGAGCAAATAAGAATGTGGTTTTCTTGCTCGTGTAAGACAGTTATATTGATTCATAACAAAGAATCTTCACCAGCAACTTGTTATTTTTTACCGGTCAAAAGATTGGCTCTGTCCCGCAGTCTGTAAATTGCTTTTCAGCTATTTGCGAATTCACCATCTTAATTTTCATCGAATAAACTATTCTCAAAACACGAAAATCTATATTTCTTCTTTGTGAAAAGAGGTCAATTTAAACTGGTTTATGAAGCGGTAAACTTCGGAGTCTCGACATAGCTCGTGATCAGGCATTTGAGTTTTAAAACATATATTACTTTAAACAGAAACCGAACCCAGTTGATGGCACAAAGTAACAGATCTGATCTAAGATGGCACTCTACTGAAGTCTTGCTCCGTGTTTGAAAAACAACTAATTTCTTTTGAATGAAAAACTCCTAAATTTACAGTTTAATACAGACAATGCAGTTGATGTCGGCAATGCTGATTTTCGATTGAATCGATTTGTTTTCGGCAAATTTTTCCTTTTGATGCAATTCGGTTTTCAATCGTAAATTACGATCGTTCGGTTGAGAGTAGTCGTGAAGGTGACTAGCGTTAGTACAAGGCATCAGAGTCGAGTGAACAAATGTTTATGAGTTAAACGGTAAAAATTTGGTTTAAAAAAACTGATTAATCAGTTTTGTGGTAGTGTCTGTCAGGCTCAAATTGCATTCGTCCGTAGATTAATAGATTTAGATTAGTAGGTAAAGTTACTTTGTTTTGTTTGATACGTTGGTCACTGCGTTGGTTTTTTAAGTCGCTTGTACGGTGAGGATAGCTGGTGTCGTCTGTAGTCAACATTCTTCTACAAGTTAGTACACTAGCTTGTCAGAGTTATTCCTTGAAGATAGCGTACGTTTATAGTGTTCAGCAGAGTGATTTTGGCGTGAAGAAAATGCGCAGAATCAACTAAACTTATCAAAATATTTCAATTTGAGCTGCACTTGGCATTTTTTCAGCCGAATTATTTTCTTACAGAACCTCCTAATATCACCTTTGTGCGACATCAACTGGGAGAAAACTGTGATACTAACTGGTAAGCATACCAAAAACAATGAGCAATCAGAGCTTCGAAATTAATGATTTAAGTGTCAGCATTTCGTAGCCAGGATTATATCAGTTTCCAGTTGGTTTCTGTCTTTAAATCGATGAAACAAGAATATCCGAGATAGATTTCACCAAATTATAGCTAGTAGTTCAAATAAATTAAAAGATCGCTCGAGGTCTGGGTAAAGTTTCCGCACAGCCCCATACTATTGTAAAACAAATCTGTTTTCCCAATGGAAATGCATTGTTTTTGTCATTGTTTTCTCTGTTCAAGAACTGAATGCATAATGTAGGATGGGGTTGTGCGGAAATTTTACCGAGGTCTGCGTAACAATCCGTAACACAACACGCTATTCAAAAAATGGTGGCTAATTGCGAGCTATTCACTCGCAGGTAATCAGTTTAACCCATTCAAAGACAATTAAAAAGATCAAAGACCTCGCACAACAATTGTAAAGGCATATTAGGGCCACCATTTTTGCTAGTATTGTCAAATTATTTTGAAGTTCTTATCTTTGCAGTATCCACTAAAAAATTCAGCGATTCCAGTGTCTTCTCTTGATCAGAATCTTTGTTCTTCCATCCTTCGGACGACAGCGTTCTTCCTGAAAGTAGAAAATATGAATGTGATCCGGGAATGCTTATTTTCCATGTAGACGAAAACTACAAATTAAATTCTGTGTGATTGTTTACACGACACAATTACAGAAATTACAGCATCAGTTGTTTAAGATGTCAGTTACAATGAAGCAAAGGTCACGGAGTAGAAGTCGTCACACTTCCACGCGGCAGCATTCAAATACAGAATAAAGCAACCGACAGATTGAAAAAGCAAAACGTTTTTGTTTGAGCGTTTCTCTAAAAATACAAGAATATGTTTCGCTTTTCTTGAAGCCAACACTCTAATTCAGATAAATTTTGAGTTGAATAGCCGCTCAGGCTAAGCAACCGAATCGTGGTACGTCGTTGAACCAAGATAATGCGACTCGTCAAGATCTCTGAAGGAGCTTGAGGCGACAATTTCCAGAGGCAAAGCTCACCTGCTGTTTTTGTGACATAAACGTTTTTCGTTGCTCTTTGTTACAGGCCTAGAGTGTTCTTCCTTCTAGAAGCGTCATGCGAAACTTTATGTCTTGCACAACGGACGACACGTCTTCACTCTACGACGGAAAGCGTGGTTGCTGAAAATTCTACAACTTCTGATGAATATGGATTAACAACTGCAATCAATAATCGGCTCTTACGTCATAGATTTGGCGCAGAATTTTGTCTGCACGCGCAGCCAGCTAATCAAGAATCAAGCTCAATAAAAGGCGTTGAGAGTGACAGAGTGAAGAAATTTAACGCACCGTTACTTTCTCATGAAGGAAAACAAGATAAAAAGTACGCAAAATAAATTAAAAGAGCTTTCCTTCTATCAAACAAGGAAAAAGCGAGCAGCAACACCGTGCGTCGAGCTGCAGCAGTCCGTGGAGTTAAGATCGATAAAAGTTTTAAGAAGTGGTAAAATACGGCTGAAAGGTTGTGAAGGAAACTGTTTATTCGTCTTGTTTCAAGCATGGGAGGAAAAAATTATCAGTCTCCATGGTAATCGAACGTCAAACCTCCGGATTCCAACGCTTCGATGCTCTACCACTGAGCCTCGGAGACTCCACAATGCGATAAAGCATTACGAGGTCCATATATGTCACGCGTCCAACATATAGCTACGCTAAGCATTGCCAAAAGCGCCATATGTGTAAACATAATAAGACAGAGACAAGGCAATTTACCATCTATTTTTTTTAAAGGTTGTTTGATGTTCTTAGTCAGGGTGCCTCTCTAAAACCATGGCTAGTTCAAGAAAAAATCATTGATTCAGTTGCTTTTTCTGAGACAGCGTACGGTCACATTTTTTTTGGCGAGCAGAGTAAAGCACGAGCAGGAAGAAAGCGCGAGGGATGAAACCAGTGCAAGTGGAGGAGGGTGAAACTTGTCTCGCCCCGAGCGCTTTCATCCGCTCGCGTACAAACTAAAAAACAAAATTGGCGCCCGTTCAACAAGATAGTGCCTCGTCCGGCGTATTGAGACTCATCACTTAACAAATAAAGAAGCCTTGATTGTGGTCAGTTCTGTTGTCAAGCACGCAGAAAGCGGCTAAAGTATGAAGAAGTGTAGGAGGGAAACACGAGATGTATTCGAGTGTTCACTCTACTTCTTGATAGCTCTAGCCGCTTCCTAAGTGCTTCATTTGTTTTAGAGTAAATTAAAAATCAATTTCCCCATGCATTCGTATAATCTTCTATTTATTGCTTAATCTAAAATCTACCACACAGAATACATTCTGCAGAGCTTGGAATAACGAAAATGAAGCAAGGGAAATGCAATCAAAACACTCTTAAAGCACTCGATGTTATTTTGTTTTCTATGGTAAATATTTGGCACTAAAGGTTACATCCAGATTCGTGCTAAGTCCTCTTTTTACATTGAGGAAACAAAACTTAAAGTGGTATTAAACTCACACTGTAAATAGGAAATACCCTCAAAACTTTGCTGAGGGCGTTTAAATGATTGTAAAGTTCATTCATTCAAAACGAAATTGCATTTTATCACTCAAAACAAGTACACTCTTTTAGTATTGCAGTTATGCTAAGTATAACACTCAAGGTGAGATTCATGGACACAGTGATATTAAATTCACACATTCATGAAAAAGCAAAACAATAAGAAACTGTTTACACTCCGAAAACAACAATTATGCAACAATCATCGCACACACTAAAAGACTAACAACATTACGCATGAATTTAGCTGAGTATGATACTCTCATTCCTAAAAAAAAATTATGTTTTAACAATCAGCGTATGATCTATCTGAATACTATGTTGCTTACGAAATGCATCGACGAATGTTTTAGAATTAGTCTGCATGTCTTCTTGGATCTCATTTTCTCCCTGCTGATTACTGTACGTGATGTTTTCAATGACTGAAATGAAAGATCGACTGTTTTGCAGGAAGAAAATCTAACAACTAGAAACGAGTCATGAATCGGTGGTAAACAATCATTAAAAAGGTTAAAAAGCGATAAAAATCAAAACTTTCTAAAAGAAATCTAATTGCGTATTTCTCATTGGTTGGTGCAAAAAATCATGTGTTATTCAAGTTTCCGATCAATCACGTGGATGACTTTTTTAAAAGTATCAATATTCATTGAAATAACTTATGTATTAATAAAAAATTTTTACCAAAGTAAAAAATCTAAATTTAAATCTACGCTAATTATTTTAGAGTCACTAATTCCTATCAAATCACACAGCACTCTCCTCCTCTCCTTCAGGCAGCACACCGCCAGCAGGATTTCGAACCAGCGGTTTTCGCATAACGCTTGGTGTATCATGTGGGCTATCATCCATGTCCGGTTCAAAGTCGTACTCGTCCAACATCTGCCTCATGGAATATGCTTGAGGGTGGTCACCCTCATCTTCAGCGACGTACTTATGCGATCTTTCACCTCCAGCTTCATGTAGGTAAATCTGCTCCACTTCGGACTTTCTGCGCTTTCTTCGTCGACACACCAGGATAAGTATGATAAGCAGAAATAAAAGGAAGAGTAGTGAAGATACAGTCGTAACAATTATCTCTAGTGGAGTGAATTTGGTTTGTTTGTCGTCGTCGCCTGGACAGCGTAGGAAAGCGTCGTAGGTTCCGTGCAACAAGCACTCTTTAATTCCAAGGACTTTTTGGCAGTAAAAGCCGAAGAGACTTACAGAAAGCTTGCTGTGTGCAAGACTGCCTGAATCGGCAATGTCCGCGAGGCAAGACTCGTAGTAAAACAGGGCTTGTGATACCAGTTTCGGACTGCAATGTTCCTGTAGCTTTCCTTCATAAAACGACTCGTAACACTTCTCTAAGGCCTTTCCTTCCAGAGTTTTGTTAAGGAACGCTAGACTGTAGTTCGCTAAGGGACTCAAGTGCACCCCTGACGGAGCCCATCCGGGGTAGTCTCCAGAATGAATAAACAGATGAATATTGGTCACATTTACGACTTGGGCCTCGAAAAGAGAGAGTGCTACTTCAACAGAAATCGGACTATAAAGGTACCCCACCGTCGTTTGCCCCATTCCTTCGTCAAAAGGTACGTTTAATACCAGTCCTTCGCGGTAGTCCTCGAACTTGACGCTCATGGACGCCCTGATTTGTTCCATCGTCTTTGCATATTGCCACACCTTTAACTCGTCCAACGCTCCAAGCATGTCGTATTCACTGTCTACCATATAGCCTCGCATGTAACGTCCTAGAATAAACAGACCATTGAAAGAGAATTGCTTTCCATTTTTTATCCCATATGTTGTTGATTGACGATGCTTTCCGTTGGAATAGACGAACGCTTGCATTCGACCATCGATCGTCCTCCACGTTACAGCTAAATGAGTCCAAACTCCCTCGTAAAGATTAATATCCGTTATAAATTTCTCCTTGTCCCATTTCACTTGCAGTCCGTCGTTGCAAACTATTGCAAAGTCCCCAATAGCGGTGACAACAGAGAAAACAGCGTGACTGCCAGTGACGGGTTCAGTGTTGTTTCTCTGATCTGAGGAACAGAATCGAGCAACGCTTTCGCCTGCATTCGTCAAACAGACCCAAATTTCAACAGTAAACTCATCGAGAACTGGCAAACTTGTGTTGCTTGCGTACATAACAGCAGTGTTACCAGACGAGAACTCCAACATGTAGCCAGCCCCAGAATAACTGCGCGAGGCATATTTTGTCGTCAAGGAATTGTCCTTCTCCATGATTCTGAACCGTGTAATGAGTCTTTTTTGGATCGTTGCTTGAGTAAGGCCTTGCTGATCTGTTGTGTCATTGTTAGAAGTATCAGCTATTTGGTTTTCCGATGTAAGGCTTTGGTTTCCTTGTTGTCGTATCCAACTGCTCTCCTTCTCGCCACAGATGCCATCTGTCTGATCTCTCTGTTTTAAAACTTCAATAGCTGTTCCAATGGTACCGTAATAAGATAGAATGTTAAACTGAATTTCATCTTGGATGCGAACTTCCAGGATGTTATCTGTTAGCCAACGGTATCGGATATCTGCATCCTCGACCCATTCATCAGACTTGGAAAGCTCCTGAGGGGTGTTGCTTGTTTTATCAAATAAACTGCTTACCACTGTCTCAAAATCGTTGTAACGAACCGACAGCTCTGTTTTCGAGGTGCGGAGGGAAACCTCACTGATTCGTCGACAGGACACTCTGTTGTTACATGGAACTATCAGCACCTGTGCATCTACAATTGATGAGTTGAAAAGATGGTACGCACCGGGAGCTTCGAAGTGAAAGTTTACCCCTGTCACACTCGTAAAATGAGGATCACCAAAGTTTATAGCTATTCTAGGGATAGAGGAATTGTCCAGTATGGAGGAGTCCTCTGCAATCGCACAGTCAGCTCCTGTCCAACCGGGTGTGCACCTGCTACATGGTATTGGCGAGACGGAATTGTTTTCATCGATTGGAGCGTTATATTCAGCCGATATATTCCCTTTCCAGTGTGGTTCGCACTCGCAGGTACCATTAGTTACACTACAAACACCGTGTCCGTTACAAGTTTCCCTTAGCCCACCCGGACATAGATTTGCACAGTCCACTCCCCAGTAGTTTTGTTCGCACTTGCAAGAAACGCCATCCGTTGAGTTTATATCTGGCCTGGGATACCCAAATACGCATCGCGTATTACAACGTGAGCCAATCCAGTAGGGAAATCTTTGGTCGACAAAGTGATGACAAAGTTCTTTTCCTGGCCACTCGCTTAGGTTGAGGGTGTTCTGGCAGTAGTCGGCGAATGTGACCACGGCATAAACGGCCGAACGTAACTTTGACGACAGCGAAATGTCGTGCAGGCACACTTTGTAGTAGAACTGTGCTACTTGAATACTGAGATCTTCGCAATTAGCATACAGCGGTCCACTGAGAATGAGGCTAAAACAGAAGGATTCTGCATCTCGCTGCAAGCTTAAGTTGACAAAAGTTGTTTCTTCCGGGTTCAAGCGAGGAATATCAGCATCTGAGAACGTCCACTGTGGCTCATGAAACTTTGTCAGGAAGAGATCATTTTTTCCAAGTATGTCAGGAATTACCCTTCCGTTAGCCTGGTTGAACTTCCAAAGGTGAAGCAGATCAGGGTAAATGCCAGCCTGTACATTCAATCTCCAATTGCTTTTCACGAGGTCTGAGTTCGTCCGTCGCTTCCAGATACGAAACTCGTCGATCTCACCAACAAAACTTGACTGAGGAAGCATGCTGTCCGAGCTGGGTGATGGCTGCCACTGTCCCAGTGCCAAGACACCGCCGTTTGAGAAAACGTTTCCATCCAACTTAAATACGCGGACTTTAACTGCCCCAGAGGAGCTGACGTGGTAGAAGTAGAGAGTCCCAACGAGTTGTTTGAAGACAATTGTGAGTTGATTCCACTGTTTGATCTCCAGTTTAAGCCCAGTGTCAAAAACAGAGCCATTGTAGATAATTTCTAGTGTTGTATTGTCGATGACAGCAAAGATGTTTTGGCTTAAATACGAGAAGATGATTCCTCCTGTTTGGTGGGTTTTTATAAGCAGTTCAATTGTTAGCACATCAACAGGAGGTAATTGTAGGGGGCCTGAGCGCACCGAGTGATCCCTGAAAAATAGATTAAATCCTGCACCAGATGGACTTCGGTATTCAGAGTAATGCAGGTACTTGTAAATAAACAATGTTTGTGACTTGTCAACTACTGAATTATGCTTCAGAGAGGTGATGTACGATTCAAGACTGTTCGAGTTGTTAAAGGAGACGCCTGTACATGCGCCAAGAAGGCCTGTGGAGTTTCGACAGTATATGGCTGGCAGGTGAATAGTTACAGAAAGACTATGTCCCACAGTTATACCAAATTTCACACCGTTTGGACCGTAGATCTCAAATGCGACCGTGGAGATACGCAACATGACAAAGTCCACCGATAGTTGCGTCCTGTGGTCAACTTGTACCACATTTCCATTCAACCAAATGAGAGGAAAGATTGGAACAGTTCTTGAAAACGTAGCAACTGGCGCGCGGATGGCAATGACATTATTATTCAGACTAAACGAGAAACCAGTTGTGCAAAGCGGGATGTAACTGCCATCGATTGGACATGGTGCTTGTCGAAGCTGGATGACGAAATTTTGGGAAGCAGACCGCAGTACATAGAACTCACCTACCACTCTGTAGGTAAAACTGACGCCAAAAAATGTTGTAAAGTAGCCATTTCCTCCGATAGCTGCAACTAAGACGGTTTGTGATGTTATACCAGTGACAAGTTCCACGGCAAATTGACAATCAGTTCCATTCCATCCTGGACTACAGCTACTACAATTTTCGTTTCCTCTCCAGTTCACTTGGCACTGACAATGTCCAGTTGAACTATCACACCAACCGTGTCCTCCACAAATATTTAGCAGTCCACCTGGACATATCTGTGAACAATCGCTTCCCCAGTAGCCTTCCATACAGATGCATAGGTTACGATCATCAGGATCCGCAGCACCAAAGACGCATTTTATGTCGCACCTGTCTCCAATCCACAGGGGGAAGTGGGATCCAGGGAACTTATTGCATAGTGGCTGAGCTGGCCAGGTACTATAGTTCAAGACAGCTTGACAGTGATCAGCGAAGGTAACTATAACTGTCAGGGCTGCACTGATGTCGTCGGTTGTTGCAATGTCTATCAAGCAAACAAGGTAATGAAATTCCAGCTCAGATTTTAACTGGCCGTGGCACTGATCATGAAGTGTACTCTTGTAGAACAGCTCGAAACAGAAAGCCTTTGCCATCTTCTCTAACGTCTTATTGAGAAAGTGCATTTCGAACGGTTTATCGGATGATGTTAAGTTCGTGTTGATGTCAGCATCAGAAAATACCCAGTGTGGCTGTTGCCATGGTGATCTCGGTAGATAGATGTGTTCGTCGGTCACAAGGTTCATTATGACGTCACTTTCACCTTCGTTCATTTTCCAAAGCCCAGTGAGGTCAGGATGAGTGGGGACAACATTCATTCGCCAGTTCTGAAGTATAAATGCAGGATTAAAGGCTCGCTTCCATACACGGATCTCGTCAATGGTGCCAACAAAAGATGCGACCGTATGAGTTTCGCTGTCTCCAGGAGACAGCTCCCATTGTCCGAGGGAAAGAATACCGCCTGGTAGAAATGGATTTGACGGGAGCACGTAGGATCGTCGTTGCACTTTCCCCTTAAAGTTGAAGTGATAAAACTCTAGCACTCGAGACTTGTGGTACCAAACAAGTGATACGTGGCTCCATTGGTTGATAGTCACATTCACGCCCGTATCAATGATCGCTTTTCCAAAGTGAATTCTAAGTGAACTTTCAATCAAAACTGCAAACGTTTGTAAGACTGCATAAGAGAAGATTGTTCCACTGAATTGGTACGGCTTCAGCAGAATTTCAAGCGTTATATCTACATTGAGGTTGAACGTTTTTATCAGTGGTTTCGATGAGGCCCCTGTCTTATTAAACAGAAGGGCATACATACCTCCAGTTGGTAGTCGTGTTTCGTGGTAATGCTCATATTTAAGAACGATCAAACTGTCTTTGTCATACACAATGGCATGACTTCCAATTTCTGTATTTAAGACGGGCTGAGTGACATTTGCGGGTATGATACTTCCATTGGAGCTAACTTTGAGATCGTTGTCGGGCTCGTTATCGCAGGATCCAAGTAAGCCTGTAGAGTTATAGCAATAAGCAGACGAGACGTCGACTTTAAAACTCAAGTATCGACCATGAATTCGAATGGCCATGGCAAAATTGTCTTTCCAAATAATTTGATAGTAGTTGCGCCCATTGTACTTCAGTAGGATGCCAAGATGTGGTGATCCTAGTGTGGAAATCAATCCTGAAAGAAGTAGAAGCTTTCCATTGACCCAGATTACTGGAGCTCCACCGGTAGTGTAAGGAGCGTGAAAAGAAACTACAGTCGACGTAATCCGTATTCCTATGGCATTCACACAAACCGTCTGCTGTCTGCAGGGGACATGGCGAACTTGAATCTGGAATGACAGGTCAGGTAGATTCATCAGATAAAATTGACCCAGGGACACAAGAGTAAAGCTGTAGCCATCAAACGAGACATAATGGCCGCCAGTCGATGACATGCCGATGGAGATATGACGGTTCAAGTTGAGTGATACAAGAGCCAAGGAACAATCAAAGCCATGCCACCCTAGAGAACATTTGCCACAGTCCTGCGTTCCATTATAATTAACATTACATTCACACTCTCCTGTGATGACATTACACATTCCGTTGTTGTTACATGGGTTCGCAGCTCCGCCAGGGCAGGTGTTTGAGCATTCCAGTCCCCAGTAGCCGTGGTAGCATACGCATGTCTCAGAGGCCAGCTTCTTACCGAAGATACACTTTCTTTCGCATCGCTCTCCGAACCAAATGGGAAATTCTCTTCCAGGAAATTCATTACAAAGATGTTTCGCTGGCCAGACTGTTAAGTTGTTGAATGCTTGACAATAATCGGCATACGCTATAATCACTTCCATAGACATGTACAAGGACTCAGAAGTTGCGATTCTTTGGAGGCAGGACCTGAAGTAGAAGGTAGAAACGCCAGGTCCCAAGGATTTACAATGCGAATGTAATGTGCCCATTAGTAGTGTTCTATTGCAGAAAAGTTCTGCGGCTACTTGCAGAGTTTTGTTCGTAAAACTGAAATCTAGTGGTCTATCGTAGAAGGGCAGCTGTAATTCTACATCAGAATATCTCCATTCGGGTTTTCTCCAAGGCTTAAAAGGAAGGACTAGCTTCATACCAGTTACTTTATCAACAGCTGCAATTCCTTCTCCTTCGTTAAATTTCCATGCGTGCGCGAGGTCTTGGGCATTTACGCTTACCGATCTGTTCCAAGTTTGCAGTATGAACGCAGGATGGAAATAGCGTGTCCATATGCGAACTTCATCTATGAATCCAGCAAAGAAATCAGTTGGTTGAATTCCAGATCCGTCGAGAGATGGCATCCAACCAGCCAAAGCAATTGTTCCTCCTGGTGTAAAGATATCAAATCCAACGTTTATGTCGAGGCGATGTAACTGGCCTCCAGAAGAAAAGTAGTAAAATTGCAAGACTGTAGTGGATTTTCTGAACACCAGACTGACCTGGTTCCATTTGTTACGCTCTGCAACTATGTTTGTATGGTAAACATTCTCTCCGTAGAAGATGGTGAACTTTCCACCCGTGTTTGTTACGAAAAATGTCTTCCTCATGGTATAGGATATTATCACCCCGTAACGCACCGTTTTAAACATGATCTTAACTGTAATGTCTGTGAAGGAAAATGCCTTGTAGATTACATCTGTCACAACAGTAGTGTGGTCGAAGTAAAGTGCATATCCTGCATTCGCCTCTCGATATTCTACGATCTCCTTATACTTGTACTCGAACAAACTATGGCATTTCTTCACCTTTAGCTTAGTAGTTATAAGAGTGCTAATGATATCTTGAGTCTTTGCCTTGGTATCAGAAGCGTTCTTTTCACTTAGAATATCACTTCCTTGCCTAAACACATTTGAATGGTTCCCGCTTACGTTGAGCATAAAGCCTTCTTCAGAACAATTTTTAGTCGGATAATACGACAAAAGCGATTGTAGGAGTCCCTGGTTACAGGAGCCTAGTAGTCCGATGGATGACTTGCAAACCAAACCCGATGCCTCAACACTAACGCTTAGAAAGCGCCCAGTCACGCGTATTTTTAGGTACAAACCAGCATATTTCACTTCCCACAGGTGAGCTGTGATTTTGCTGACAGTAAAACCGTAGACGTCGAGAGTGATTGGATGCAAATCTGTATCGATGACTTTTCCGTTTAACCAGACGATCAGGCTTCCCCCAGAGCTGTACGGTCCATGCAAAACTACTTTATAAGAGGCAATTTGCAGTGCAATAGAATTGATACACGACTCTTGTTGAGTGCAAGATACTAGGCGAATTTGCACATTTACAGAGAGATGTATGGAGTAAATAAGATAGTACTCCCCGGTCACTTGCAAGCTGTAGCTGACACCACTGAGTGACGTAAATTGCCCGCCAAGCGATACTGCACCAATGCCTATTATGACACTGCCGGATGGCCACTGAGTGACTGCGATTGAGCAGTCTGTTCCAGCCCAACCTCGAGCACAAGTGGAACAGTTTTCATCACCTTGCCAATTAAGCTCACAAGAACACTTGCCAGTCACGACATTGCAGACTCCATGATTGTTACATGCATTCCCTTTTCCTCCTGGGCAGATGCCTGAGCAGTTCGTGCCATAAAATCCAGGATCACATACACAGACTTCACTTTCGTTAGCAGCTTGACCAAAAATGCAAGGGATGGTACAGTTCTTTCCCATCCAGTTGGGAAAACGCTTTCCAGGAAACTTGTTACACAAAGACTGAGCTGGCCAATAAGGCAAACCAAATATTTTTTGGCAATAATCTGCGATTGCTATTACGACATCAATGGATTCAACAGTCAATCCGGTGTCCACTACTGCTTGAACACAAGCACGGAGGTAAAATTCTAGAGTGACATTGCCTAAGGCATTACAAGCTGAATGGATTGGTCCCTCATATATGAACTCGAAACAAACTTTGATGGCGATTGTATGTAGAGTGGCATTATCTTCATTTGGGTTCACTGTGACAACGGATGTGATGGGAGCATCGGAGAAAACCCATTCTGGTTTACCTAATGGATACCTCGGGAAGAGTAGAGCAACATCAGCCACTAGGTCTTTAACAATGGAATTCTTTCCCTCGTTGAATTTCCACAAATTTGTGAGCGATGGGGCACCCAGTTGAATATTTGATCGCCAGCTTTGTTCAACCAATGCATAATCGAAGGGTCTCTCCCACACGCTTACCTCATCTATTTGACCAAGGAAGACATTGGTTGGCTGAACGCTAATTGATCCTGAGGCCGGTTGCCACATACCTATAGCAAATGTTCCTGCACTTATAAAAGGGTCGATAGTAAAACTAAACTTTCGCACTTGCACAAGTCCAGATGAAAATGTGACGAAAACAAAGAGTTGAAGTTTCTCACGGACAAATACTACGGTAATTTGATTCCACACATCTGCTTCGGTTGTGATACCAGTGTCAAAGACGTCTAATCCAATAACCACCCTCACTGTTACATGGTTGCTGATGTAAAACGTGACATTCGATGTGTAGGAGATTACTGTTCCTCCACATATTTGGGGATTGCATGATTTAACTAAGAGCTGGAAGGTCAACGTTTGACTCACAAAGAGTTTGACAACTGTTTGAGTGACCACAGCAGTGAAACGGTAGTACAGACTGTACAAACCTCCGTAAACAACCCGCGTTTCTTTGTGCATTTCTGCATCGATGACTATAATGGGATCTTGAACTGGAAACACTTTTGTTACAAATTCATTAACGTTATCACTTGTGGCATTTGGTTTACCAAGCTCCTCCAAAACAGTCGTTGGTCTATTTATCGAAGTGACAGAACCACCACTTCCCTGAGTTGCATTTTGACCGACACGTAGTTTAGCACAGGAGCCACATAAACCATCGACAAGCTGACAAAAATTAGACGTCACTGTTGACTCCACACTCATGTAACGATCTGAGAATACTGTTTGTATAGACAAATAGTGTGAGACAACAATTCTGTAGGCAGACCTGGAAATTGGTTGAATGCTAATATTATTTTTGAGCATATCTTTAGAGGGCTCTCCGCCTACTTTTGTAAGTTCTTCGTTTACATACACCACTGGAAATGAATCACTCTCGTAGGCCGCGTGGACGCTAATTGTTAAGTCATTGAACCTCACACCAATGGCATTTAAACAGACGGAGCTCTTCTCGCATGGTACTTGTCGAACTTGCACTTGAAGAATGGAAGAATTGATCATTATGAACTCTCCTAATGTTGTGAATGTAAAGAGTGAGCCATCAAATCCGGTAACATAGCCTCTCTCTAATATTGTACATACTTTAGACATCTGACCAGTCACGGATGATTCTGTTGTTGACACTGCCACTGAACATGATTTTCCGATCCAGCCAGGAGCGCATTTAAAACAATTTTCACTTTCATCCCAATTTGGGTGACAGTTACATTTACCGCTCCTAATATCGCACTTCCCATTTCCATAACAGGGGTTTGCTGCTCCTCCAGGGCACTCTCTTGAACAATTTATTCCCCAGTATCCATTGTCACATTTGCAATCGCCATCAGTGAACCATCCAACCTCGCACTTTGTGGTACAGTTTACCCCAACCCAGTCATTATAGCGTCCACCCGGTATGACATTACAAAGTCCTTTTCCTGGCAAACTCGACAAGTTCAAGGCTGCCTGGCATTCTTTTGCAAAGTTAGTTGCTATCATAAGAGCTGATTCAGGTGTTCCTGATGTAGTCACTTCGGATATGCAAGCTTCGTAGTAAAATTTGGACCCTCCAGTCACATTAGCACACTCATTCAGAAGTGGGCCTTTCAGGAAAACATCTGAACATAGATCTTGCGTCGACTTGTCTGGTTCTTTTTCAGAGAGATCAGACGTGATGAAAACATTGGCTTCTTTAATAGCATCTGAAGGGTACCAAAGTGGGCTCTTCCAGGGAGGGGTAGGAAGGCCAAAATTAAGAGATCCTACAGTAGCCCGACAAATAAATCCACTTCCTTCATTAAACTTCCATAAAAGTGCAATTCCCGGTGTTCCTGATTGCAGGTTAGAATTCCAAGTTTGTAGTATGGTGACTGAATCAAATCGCTTATTCCAAAAGCTCAGCTCGTCTATCCAGCCCACAAAGCCAGGCAGAGAGAGCGATACTTTAGTCACCTGCCAAAGGGCCAGGGCTAGGGTACCACCATCCGCAAATATCCCTACACCAACGAGGAATACTTTTGATTGTATGATGCCGATGGAGTTAACGAGATAGAACTGCACTTGACCTGAACTCCGCATGTAGACGAAAGATATGTGATTCCAAAGTTCTCTTTCAAGTACAAGTTGAGTGTCAATGACAGTGGTGCCAAAGTAAATGTGTATTGTTTTGTTTACAGCTATTGCAAATGTTTCATTGAGTGCATATGAGATAATGGTCCCAGTGTAAACATCTGGATTCTTGGCTTTGACAAAGAACTGGATTGTTATATAATTTCCGACAAAAGTGTTGAGCAGTGGTGCGCTGATCACTGATGTACCGTTGAAGTAGAGACAGCTCCCTGCAACACTACTAAGTTGAGGTTCACCAGAAATGTTCAGTATGGGACCAAAGGAACTTTCGTTTTGTGGAACAGCCCATGAATTCACATAGGAAATCAAGAGTTCTTGAGTTATGTTTGACACTTCTTGAGTATCCAATATTCCTCCAGCGGTACAGTTTGATGGTGGAACACGTGATC